ATACCGCTGCAACAACAAAACAATAAATCAATACCAATCCATTAAAAATATACTACCATTGTACAAAACATCAATACCATTCAAGAAATAAAAACACTACCATTTCACAAAACATCAATACCATTGCAGATTTAATCACTACCAATGCGACAAAATCAATACCAATGCGGCAAAATCAATACCAATGCGACAGAAATAATACCAATCCGACAAAAACAATACCAATACGACAATAACACTACCACTACGGGGAAAAATGACTACCATTTAAAAAAAAACATACCAATGTACATCTCCACCGAGAAGTAAACGGTCATCGGCCAGAACCCCACCGACCCCAAAAGACCAACGATGTCGTTGAAGAACGGGAGCAGCATGGAGATCAGAGTTGTGGTAATGACGAAGATGGTCCTCCACACCAATCTGAACAAGTTGAAGTTGTAATCGCCCCAGGGGAGTGGGATTCTGAACTCCTTGGTGATGAAGTAGTTGTCGGGGAAATTGTTGGCAACCAGCTTCTCGACGAATGCGTAGATGGGTTGGCAGAAGACTTGGTAAGCTCCGACGAGGTGGACGACGATGTGGTCGGGCTGCTCGGATCGCCACCCATCCGACTGGTGACTCGCCCGTGGCCGGAGAAAGAGGCGCGGAAGGGGTCGTCGGACAAGCAAACCCTAAGTGAGAGCTTGCGGCTACGGCGGGTTTGGCTGTAGAAGTAGGGTTAGGGTAGAATATATAGAATAATCAAGTGTGGTCCTTTTTTTTCTTCCAAAATTATCCCGAGCCAATCTTAACCGTAAAATTAAAAAAAGAGGAAAGATAAGAAAATAAATGGTGGATACTAGAAATTCAGTTTCCACCCTAACGCATTCCCGGCCAAAGGCCAGGTAAAATGCTAGCACGTACTCCTCCCTGTAATTTGAGGCTATCCACGTCAGACTATAAAGAAACTGTTCCGCGCAGAGAAACCGTCGTTTCTTCCGCCGCTTTGTGTCCTCCATCCGCCATAATTCGTCACCGTAAAAGCCTCCCGCCACCCGCCTGCCCCATACCTATGGAGAGTGAATTCTGCCTCCTGCCACCGCATGCGCCTGTCCCATCACCAGTTCTCATATCCTCGCCTTGCGCTCTTCCGACACACCCTATAGTCGTTTAATTTGCCCACTCCATCGATTCTACAATCTCCCTCCAAGTCCCCAACCCCACCTTCTTCGACGTCCATCTCCCTCTTCCTCCTGCAAGGCAAGGCGCCACGGTCGCCCGTCAAACTGCCCTCACGATCTTCGTCAAGAAGGAGGTGTCTTCCTATGTTTCTTTCTACTTCAATTTTCAATTGAGATGGGTTTCCTGTTCTTTTGCTTGGTTGTTTCTAGGCCTTGAATCTTAGATTTTGGGTCTGATTTGATGAGAGGAAGGCGGGACGTTTGAGTACATTGTTTGGCTTTTGATAGTTCCAATCTGCAGGTACTGCTTGATTTCGATGTTGTCAAATCTGTGGGATGGACTTTCTTCTTGCCGTTAAGTTTTGTAATCACTTGAAAATTGAGGGTTCCTTTTTGGTTTTTTTGTTGCTTCTCTTACTTGCATGGCTTCGCTGCTCCTGTTACATTGCTGCTTTAATTCCTTGCTCACTTTCCCAGATATGACAAGACAATATTGACTGATCCCCATTGCATCTCGAGACAAATGGACAGACTTACACACAACAAGTTGATCCACAAATGCATAGGACGCGCACAAAATCAGTGCCACTTTGAGTTTCTAGGGGATACTGTTCGATGAGATTGTTGTTCTGCTATGATCATGAGTTATATATAACTTGCATAGAGTGGCTACCCTCTTTCCACTAGCAATAAACTCAAGTACTCGAGGAGGAGAAAGCTAGGGATAATCCACAACTGCACTACTTGAGTTGAGAAGGGAAAGCAAGGGATGATTATATTCACAGGTAAACCTTTATTTCCATCTTTGTAGACTGCTCGATGAAATGTTTTGTTGTTTCTGCTATGAATTATAACTTGTCTTTCATAGAATAGCTATACACTCAAGTACTCTGAGGAGAAAGCCAGGGATATCCACAAGACCACAACTGCAAGGGAACATTTGCATGTATATCTTTATTTCCAGTTTGTACATGAAATTTTGGAACTTAAGTGACTTAAAATCTATTTTGCAGAGCATCAAAGATCATGAAGGCAACATCAAGATTATGTCCACGAGCCCCAAACCTCCAAAGTCCAAAAAACACTGACACTGCCACAACATAGAAAACTGACCTAAAAAACTAACCAGAACTCTACCACTAGAGCCTTGAAAATGGTCAGGACTTGATGCATTGAGTTGAAAGAAGCCCAAGCGTAGTTGATTCTAATAGAATAGGGTGACAGTACCATAATCACTTGCCATAGTGTGCTATGATGCCACTGACTACCAAACATCTCCAACCAATGCAACCTTTATATATTTACATACATTGCTTTACGTAGAATTTCATGTCAATAACTACAACTGCTTATATGTTTAACACATTAGCTTATAAATAACTTACATAAATCTAATACCAATTGTTTCCTCATAAGAGCAATAAAGAACATGCAAACACTTCGGTTCAACCAAAAAAAAGAAAAAACACAACTCAACAAATCGTGACACATTAGACCCGGCGGCCTAACTAGTTAACTATTAAGCGTTTTCTCGCAAAACACTTCCCGCAACTTGCGGATTTTTTTTTTCTTTTACTTTTTTTTCTTCTCGCATTTGCACTGGCCTCGGCCAATTTTCCTATGTTCATTATTTTTCTTTACATGCTTTTTTTAATACATGTTTTTGCCCAATTGTCCCAGTCTGTAGAGTTCTTCCTTAGTATTTTGTTTGGCAGTTATTGGAAGTCATATTAGAAAAATTAGTGATTAAATATTTTATACTAAAATTTTGATTCATACCTGATTAAATCGTTTCACATCGTTAAAATCGCTTACAATTTGGACTCTAGTTTTTAGAAAAGTAGTACGACATGCATTAATCAATGCAGTGGCGGATCTAGAAATTTTTAACAGGGGTGTCCTCTTTAAAAAGACAAATAAAAAAATAAATAATTCATAAATAAAAAAATATCGGACTAGTACAAATTTTAACATAAGGCCACGACGTGTTTTTATATTTTGAAAAAGAATAAAAAATGGGCTTAGTAAATTGCTCAACAAATCTGTATATCCTACTAGACAATAGTTTACGAACTGAGTATGGATTTCTAACCTTGTTATTGATGTAACTCAAAGTTGAAAAGACTCTTTCAACACTTGTTGTGTAACCATAATCAATTCAAATTAAGGGTAGCCCGTAATTAGTTTAATTGTTAGGTTTTGAAAATAGTCGGGGATAAGGAATAACTTTTAACTATTATGAGAGTGTCTAAAATAGAACAACAAATGAGTTGCAACTTAATGGAGGACAATGTTTAAAAAATACAGTATATCCTAAGTTTGAATAACACAGACTATCGCTTATTTTTTTTTAAGTATACGCAAACTACTACTGAGGATATTATTATCGTTGTAGGGGTGTCCCGAATCACTAATTATAAATTTTTTATCCATACAAAACTATTACCGAGGGTTGAATAATCGTATTCCTAAATTTTAGGGGTGTCCCGGGACACCCCTAAACCCTCATGTATCCGCCCCTGAACCAATGTTTTAGAAACCATATCGTACCGACCAGTCGAAAGGAATACTTAATATACGAATTTAGTACCATGATTTTACTATCATGGTCTGGTTCAACCGTTTCATACCACTATGTTGAGACAAACATTTATTATTATTTTTTTTGGTACCGCTGGCGGGACATAAATGTTTGTTTGGTTATCTCATCATTAATAAATAATATTTTCTAATATGAACTCTTTCTGTCATAACAAATAGACATTTCACTTATCATATACAATTTAAACATTAGATATTTAGAACCAACATTGGTTCATGTATCAAGTATAAGATAATAAATTTGATTGACAAATTTGGACTTAAATTTCATAGTGAGATTTTAGAAACCTCCTAGAAGGAGATGATTACAAATAAGAGAGATCGAATTATCATGTGTCTATATGATAAATGTAGGTAGATTTTTTTAAAGTTCAATGTCACATGTATCAAGGAATGGCAATGGGGTAGGTCTGGGACGGGTATCTCGATACCCATTCCCTCCCATGGCAGGTCGGGTCCAGGTCGGGTAATTTATCACGGGGCGCGGGTCGGGGCAGGTCGACCCAATGGATATGTAATTTATATGAAAAACATTAGAAATATTCGTTAGTTTCATTAAATTATTGGAGAGATTGAGATTTTCACTAATTTATAACTTTACTATAGCTAACATATGATGCAATATAAGGAAATCCTAAGTAGTTTGACAAAAATTGCATGTAATTTAGGTAAGAACGGGTCACAAATGGGGCGGGTCAGGGCAGGTCGGGTAAAACGGGTCAGGGCGAAATTGCCATCCCCTACATGTATAAGAGGGCAAGAGATTTTGTTTACTCTTTTGCTTGACGTGGAGAAGGTTTTTCACATAAGCATATTAGCAATTTCAGATATTCCGTAAATAATATTTGACTTCTTTTTCTCCCTAGAAAAAAGATGAGCATGTAAAATAAATTACAAAAAACAATGATTGAATTACGATCCCATAAACCTATATTGAGAGACTTTGTTATAATGTTCTTGAAAATTAGTTGTAAACACACAAATAACTTAAGAGACTCAAAATAATTAAAATATGTCTTTAAATTATTTGATTGATAAGATAAAAAGCAAAATTCACCCGCCAACAAGCCGGGGATAAATCAGTTCATTTCTAAAGAGGCAAAGTAGAGGTTCCAAATTCGAATCATTAACCAGTACTTGATAATAAAAATAAATCGATATCCACCCTCATTACAACAAACAACAATAGTTCTTTCTCCATTCCCTCATTTTCAACAACAAACTAGCTAACAAAAGTTAGTACAGTACAGAGACGCCAAGCCTTTTGATTTTGATGCTCTTTAATTTCTCAGCATCTTCTGGTCTGTCAGGGTGAAGGGAAAATCTGAGCGAAACAATGAGTCCAGCATATCTCTCATACCAGGGCTCTACTTCTTCTAGTGTTCCTTTCTTGGTCTCACCCAACAAGTTCTTCTCATACCATACATATACTTTGTCTGATGAACTCTCAAATAAATCCATAACAGGAGAACTCCAAGAGGCAGCGGTAGTGGTGCCGATGTTGCAGTCGCACGTCATCCGAACATTCCGAATATTGAAAGAACACACAACACCAAATATAATTCCCTTGATTGGTCGCTCAGTAGTCCAGTTCGTAGGCAATTGCACCACCATACATGAATCATTCGTGCTTTCGTAAGCAAACCATTCTGGAAGCTCACTCCCCGAATATTGAAGAACACCCTATCAACACCAATAGAGACGGGTCTCATAAAACAAAATCTTTAACAAACACAGTTCTAGCACTTTAATATTGACACTAGTTATTTAACCCGCGCTTTGCGGCGGTAAGATTTACGTAAATGATATATACATGTTTAATTGACATATAAAAAATAGCTATTAGATCATGCAAGAGGAGAGACGGAATTAAAACAGGTTGCATATAGGCAAATGCTCTAGAAGATTAAAAGTAATTATTGATAAGGCAAAAAAGGACTTTGAGGTTGCCCAATATATTTGGGACAAAGAAAAAACCCAGAAAATAAAGTCAAAGATCTAAAGCCCTCTAAAGGATTTATGTAATGTATTAAAATTTACATTACTGATATAAAATGATGTTATGTAAATTTTATTTAATGTATGATCTAATAATAACATCAAGTTAAGAAAAAGAAACACATTTGATTAAACTATTATATAAAATTTAACTTACCTTATGGAACATTTGTGTAATGTAAATTAGTGAAAGGTGAATATTATATATAATAATACATTAATTTTAATTAATAATAAAATAATTAAGTTATGAAAAGTATTGGATTTGATCAAACTGTTATGCAAATCTTACATAATATTTGTGTGATGTAAATTGATGAGATGGTCAACCGTTTAGTTAATAATAAGGAAATTTTATTTAAACCTAAACTTTATAATATCTTTGTGTAATAAAAATTGATGAGATGGTAAATCATTTAGTTAATAATAAATATTTTTTTCATTAAAACTCATATTACGGAAGACTATGTAATATATATTCTTTTCATTGATATATAAGGAATGACTATCCCTCCATAAACTTTATGCAATGTATTAATCATTACGAAAGGCTTATTGTATCACGTTTAGTTTAACTGATTCATAATAAATAACTGTCCTTTCATAAGTTTGACGTAATGTATTTTTAGTTTACGTAACTTTTATAAAATGGTGTTACTTAAATATTTCATAATTTATGGTATAATAATAAAATCAAGTTGCAAAAATTATCACATTTAATTAAGCTATTACGTAGAAGTTAACTTACCTTACGAAACCTTTGTGTAGTGTATAATGGATTATATGATGAATATTGTAGTTAATATAATTGAAGTTAATTTAATTGTTACATAAGAAATAACTATCATTCCATAAGTTTGATGTATGTATTTGTAATTTCGTAACTTTTACATATCAGTGTTAGATAAATTATATGTAATGTATGGTCTAATAAAAAAATCAAATTACAAAAAGTATTACATTTGATTAAACAATTATGTAAAATTTAACTTATATTACAAAATCTTTGCATAAAGCAAACTGATATGGTGAATATTTTAGTTAATGTAATTACAGTACTTTGAACTTGCCATGCGGAGCTTTGCATAATACAAATTGATGGTAGTTAATAATAAGAAATTAAGTTATGAACTTTCTTTTACAAAATTAAGTTAATAATAAAGAAATTCATGAAATTGATGATGGAACAATTCAATAAGATATATTTAGTAGTTACATCATGGAATAGAGTTTGGGAAGATAGTCCACGCAATTTCTCATATGCTTGTGCATAAAGCCAACCATAGGCTATAACTCAACCGAAATTTTCATCAAGACATGTAATCTAAACATGAGTTTGTACTAATTTAGCCTCTAATTCATTTAAGAAGGAGAAACAAACTTTCATTATAATTGATGAGTTAGAAGTTGCACAAATTTGTCATATAATGTGCTTAAATCAATAATGTTATTTGGATAAATACCGAATCTAAAATTTAGCTTCATATATGATGGTTTAATGTTAATAAAATGAACCAACTAAATTGTGTATTGTCGGATCATTGTGTTTCAATTGAAGAACTTCATACCCATTTAATTGACAATGAACAAATGAGAGAGACCCATTTAATTGACAATGAACAAATGAGAGAGAGAGAGAGAGAGGGGTTGATGGGTCTATACTGTAGATAGGGAAGGAAGTGAATGACAATGGGCAAAAAGTAACTGCGAATAGAGGAAGGGGGTGCCCGCAAAAAAAGGTAGCGGGCATGAGCTGTCACCGTTTTTTTATGTACGATCAACGGCCAAACTTGCTTTGCCTAATGAGGTGTACTCAGGTTTATATAAAAACGCCCACATGTGATTATAAAATCCTTTAGTGAACAGTAAATTCCGATTTTTTCTTAAGAAACAGTAACCTCGTATTTTTAAGGACTTGTGTTTTAATAATTCTAATATATATACCTGAGGATGTAGATTCGACGCTGCATGATTAGGGAAATTAAGCACCACTTCTTTAGCCAGATTCGTGTCCAGTTGTGGGCAATCTTCAAAGCGCAGGGAGTTCCATCTCAGTCTGCCTATGTTGCTTGGTAAGGCTTGTAAAGATTCACAACCACTTACATCCAAAAGTTGAAGGTTGGGGGGAAGTTTCGGCAAAGATTGAATCCTTGAACAGCTCCTCAAATATAGTCTGGATAACTTGGCAAGTTTATGGATGTTTCTCGGGATGAACTCTAGGCCTTTGTTGAAAGACAAATCTAGAGAGAAGAGCTGCTGAAGTTTCTGTACAGCAGAAGGCAGGGACTTAATATCTGTGCCAGAGAAAAAGAGTTGCTGCAAAGATTTCAGATTGTCGATGCCAGCTGGAAAATTCTTGAGGTTCGAACACATTCTTATATCAAGCACAGTTAAGCGATCAACAGGTTGTGAGATCTCTGGTAAACTTTCAATCAGCTGGCAGTTCCGAAGACGGAATGTTTGAGAAACCATCTTCCAGATATTCCTTGACAAGCTCTTGAGATAGGCGTTGCCAATCAACTCGAGTTCAACAAATATTGGCAAAGAGCCCTGCTGATAATTATGATCGTCATAACAATCCATCTCTCTTATTGCGGTATGGCACAACCGAAATGTTTTCAAGCTTGCTGAAATTACAGGGAAGCTGAAGATATGCTTGCCACAGAGACGCACCAAGCCACCCCGCTTGACATTGTAAATTTCGCACGGCAAGGCTTCGACGGGTGTCCCCGCCAGGTCCAAATACACCAACTCTGCTGAATTCAGCTCAGGACAACGAGTGACCTTGGGACAGCCGGACAAGTAAATACACTTGAGGAACTTTGAGTTGAGTTTGACCGGAAGACTCCGCAAATTTTTACAATCATAGAGGTCCAGTTTTATCAGCTTGTTCAAAAATTGAACATGAGGTGGTAGCTCGACCAGGCTTGCGCATCCCCTAAGAAAGAGGTACTCAATATTTGGAGATCTCAACGAGTTCGGGATTTCAACTAAATTTATGCAGTAAGAGAGGTCAAGACCCACTAAATTCACAAGCTTTGGCTGCAAAATGACCAGATAAGAGATGGTAAATATGATAATTCCTGATTCAGTATATGAAAAATATACACTACTAACCTGCTTGTGCAATAAAATAAGCATGGTTTAGGCAACAAACAATCCTGGTGACAAGTTCGGACCAAACGACCAGATAACTGATTGTCTCTTTTTTTGTCATCTTCTTTATCTTTTAACACATAAGCCAATCAGATAACTAATTCTCTCTCCCACAAATCTAATTTCGGCCACATCTACTTCACTTGAACGAGAAGTTCAATTTTTTCTACACATCAAATCAGATAATTTGGGGTTTACAGAATGAAAAAAATTTCAAAAAATTTTGTAAGTGTTTCAACACATTGCTCCATCTTTTAGGATGCAGTAAAGATCATTTGCCACCATGGTAAAGGTCCTTAAAACTTCCTTACCATCAAGTGGTAGACATTTCGCCATCGTTTTAAGGGCAATTTCCTAGGCCATGGCATTGTCAACGGGAGATAACATTTGCTTCAAAATATATAAAATAAACAAACTATAGCCAGATGAAGCATAAGAGAGAGGGATATATAAATGTCAGATACTACTAGTGAGATATCTCTATCTAGATCATGAATTAAATTGAGTTTGGGGTATGATACTATACCCTAACCTCTAATGGATAAACCCCAGACACCGATTTTCTAAACCCCAACCCGAAGTTTGATTTAATGAAAAACAAAAATTGACCGTTGAGATCGGCCGGAGCTCATCTAAGTACATCTAACGGCTAGATCACCTGCTATATACTATACGCATGACGTACACCAGTCATCACCATATACCCATATATATGTACGTCAGGCCGATCTCAACGGTCAATTTTTGTTTTTCATTAAATCAAACTTCGAGTTGGGGTTTAGAAAATCGGTGCTTGGGGTTTATCCATTAGAGGTTAGGGTATAGTATCATACCCCAAACTCAATTTAATTCATTATCTAGATAGAGATATCTCACTAGTAGTATCTGACGTATAGTATACGCCCTGACGTACGCCAGTCTGACCAATATATATATAAAGGACAGAGAAAGAAATGTCGATGAACTCATCCCAAAAAAATGGTTTTTATCGTACCTGAACTTCCCAGCATCTTTCCAATATTGAGCTACCACGTAAATTAAGTACGACTAGATTTTCAGGAGCAAATGTTGATGGCAGAGATTTTGAAGGAAATACGTGCCACTCCAACCACCTTAGACTGTCAGGAAGGCTGTCGAGGCCACCATATGGTAAATGAACTTTGCAAATTACAGAGTCTTTTCCTGGATATGCAAAGTGGAGATATCTAAGAGAAGTCATCCCTTCAAACGTGTTGGCCGGCAAATGTATATCCTTGGCTTCAGAAAGGTTCAAAGTTATGCCTTCAGTTGCCCTACCTCTCTCGAAGGCCGAGCTTCTTGTTAGAATTTTCTGAATATCATTCTGATTCTCCAATCTAGTGCGGTTCTCCAGTTTTGATTCCTCATTAACGATCCCCCAAGCCATTTCAGATAGCAAGTCATGCACGCTAATCTCCTCAGCCAAGTCGCCCATCACACAAATGCACAAGGACATATCAATTAGATCCTCAAGTACATGACTGGAAGAGTAATATTTTATTGCAACAGATTTTGGTAACGCGTGGAAGAAACAAGCGACGTCCAAGAATAATCTCTTATGATCAACTCCCAGTGCATTGTAGCTTCTCTCAAGAACATCATGGATTCCTGGGGATGGAATTTGTCTCATATCACCCAAGAAACTCAGCCAATAACTTCTGCCCTTGTCTAATAATGTACCGCCAAAAACTTTTATGGCTAGAGGGCATCCCTTACAATAAGATACAGCCAGACGTGATAGTTCCATCAAATCATCAGGCGGTAGGCGTTTTCCAAATGCATGTACACGAAAGAGTTGAATAGATTCATCCGGATCCAATATATCAACATGGTAGATCCTAGCCCCTATATTACCAAGTACCATCCGATTTCTAGTTGTAAAAATAATTCTACTTCCTGGGGCAAAGAGATTGGTGGAACTCAGAAGATCGCCCAACAACAATTGCTCTAATTGCAACAAAGTTCCCACATCGTCGAAAACAAGAAACACCCTCGAACGGGAAAGACGACTTCTTCTGTAACTCACATCTAAGTCATCATAACTTATGTTACTCTCAGACAACAGTGTCGAGTAGAGTTTTGTTACGATTCCTTCCATTCCATTTTCCTTTTCACACCTTTGGTTGATGTCACGGACAAAGTGATACTCCATTCCTTTCGTCAAGGAAATCAGCCTTTGATAGCAAGCTCTCGCTAGAGTGGTCTTTCCTACACCCCCCATCCCCCAAAGTTCGATAATGCGAATATCATTCATGTTGATGGCTAATAGTTGTTCAACTTCAGAAACACGAGCATCCATGCCAATCAAATTATCAGACTTCACTCTCGGTGACATGTCTATGAGTATATTGTGAACACCATTGATTATTGCTTCAACTAATTCAGAATCAATCCTAATAACCCAAAAGGATAAAACAAATGAGCAAAAGTGGAGTGAAGCAATTACTATTGGTGAGAAGCCTGGCTGTTCATTAGGAAGGAAGACTTACTTGATTGCCTGTGAAGTGTAGCCAGCACAGTTAGCCACAACTTTCAAAGCATCCATCCATCTCTTCCGATCCACTTGAGATTTGCTAGCTCCGCGTTTCTTTTTTCTTCTTTTCGGAGGTCTAGCTCCATGTTTCTGCTCAATTGCAGCGGCGTAACTTCCAGAATCCTCTGATACATCAGATGGATCGACTTTGTAGAAAACTGGAAGCACCCGGTGTCCGAATTTCTGGATCCTTTGGGCTATGGTGGCCACTTCATCCAAGCACCAGCTTGAATCTGCAAAATTCTCCGAGAAAATCACAATGGAGAGTGCGGATCTTTGGAGAACAGATATTAGCTCGTCGATGCTCTCACTTTTGTCGAGCTTATCGTCGATGAAGGCTTTGACTTTCTCGCGAAAAAGAGCAGCCATGAGGTGGCTGGTAAAACCACCGCGGGTATCAGCACCTCTGAAACACAAGAAGACATCGTACTCCCATTTCCCTGAGTAAGACGAGGAATCAGGACAAAGTAACGATGGAGTAGAGGAAGAAGCAGCAGCCATTGATATGTGTTGGTATCTGACTTTCTGCTATTGAGGGGAAGTTCGGGTTCTTTCTACGGAAGAAGGAACACTTCTGTAGCTGGGCGAAGAAGTCTTTGTAGGATACTAGGATTTATTTGCTTCCCACTGTTTAAATGGCGCGTTCCCATGTGCCACATGAAAGAGATAAGAAGTTCTCATGTCCACACAAACACGTCTTTGTGGAAAATAATGTACAAACTAACAAAGCAGAAAGAAAGTCTACAGTCAACGCCTGTTTTGGTGGGGTTCTTGAGAACAGTTCCTGTATAAAAATGAAAAGATTTATACCATTTCGAAGCAGAGGAATGACCATTTCGAAGTAATGACAACAAGCAAGAATCATGATCAGAAGTGAACTGCTGTAGGGATGCCACATTCTTTTACATGATGGGGAGTAGTGACACCTCCAAATTCCACAACAGCCACACATCGGAATGAAAACAGCGAGCCCAGCATATTTATTGAAGCACACGTAGTCTTCTTCACCATCCTGGAGACTGATACGTCTTAACAGACCACAGAAATGCACGACCTTAGTTGCCATCAAGCCAGTCCTAATATCGGGATATATCCGACACAGACGCCCTGTTGATTAAAATGTGGATATTGCAGATGATGATTTGGATTGCACTTTCACTTATACGCCCACCAACTTCAACCTTAGCTTTCACCACTGACATCTTCCAATAAGTTGGAATGGTCCGAAATGAACTTCTATATTCTGCTCGCATGATATATGAGATTTTGAAATTGTTGAACACCTGAAAAGCAAATCAACAATTCTGATACGAATACACAGCAAATCACAAAATGCGTACGAAGAAAGTTTAAAACGGGACGCCAATCCTTTGTCCATTTTCCTCATTCCCATCAAACTATGAGCTAGCAAGCAGTTAGTACAGTAGAGAGACGCCAATAGTTTTGATTTTGATGCTCTTTAATTTCTCCGGATCTTCTCCCTTCACTGGTTGAACGGAAAACCTGAATGAAACAGCGCGCCCAGCATATCTCTCATACCAAGGTTCTGCTTCTTCTGGTATTCCTTTCTTGATCTCACCTAACAAGTTCTTCTCATACCATATAAATACATTGTCGGATTGGGTCAGACCAAAACCAAAACCAGAACCAGGAGAACTCCAAGAGGCAGCCGCACTGGTGCCAAAGTTGGCCTCCCAAGTGATAGACATCAGAATGAGCCCAATATCAGAAGAACACACAACACCGAATGCAATCCCTTTGATTGACCGTGTGATGGTGGAGTTTGGAGGAGGCAATTGCACCATCATACATGAATCATTCTTATAATCCACGCTTGTGTAGGCAAACCATTCCGGAAACTCACTCCCCGAGTATTGAAGAACACCCTATTACCAACAAAAGATGCACTTTCATAAAAAAAGGATCTTCAAAATTTCTCCCTAATGCTAATCATAAATATAACAAAAATATGGTACTTTAATGTTTCAATACCTGAGGATGTAGATTGGATGCTGCATGATCAGGGAAATTATTCAGTATTTCTTTAGGCAGATTCGTGTCCAATTGGGAGCAATCTTCAAAGTACAAATCCTTCCATCTCAGTCTGCGTATGTTGCTTGGTAAGGCTTGTAACAATTCGCAACCACTTACAGTCAAAGTTAGAAGATTGGGTGGGAGGTCCGGCAACGATAGAATCCTTGAACAGCCTGCTAAGCACAACAAGGATAGCTTGGCGAGTTTGTTGATATCGCTCGGAATAAACTCCAGGCTTTTGTTGAAAGACAAATTCAAAATGGAGAGTTGGTCAAGTTCCAGGAGAGCAGAAGGCAGAGACTTAATAGCCGTGCCATCAAAGTCAAGCTGCTGCAAGGAGTTCAGATTGTTGATACCAGTAGGGAAACTCTTCAGGTTTCGACTTCCTGTTATACTAAGCTGAGTTAATTCAGTCACAGGCTGTGAGATTTCTGGCAAAGTTTCAATCAACGGGCAATTCTGGAGAGTGAGAGTTTGAGAGACCATCTTCCATATATTCCTTGACAAGCCCTTGAGTTGGGGGTTGCAGACCAAATCCAATCGAACAAATCTTGGCAAAGAATCCTGCTGATCATCATCATAGTCATAACAATCCATTTCTCTTATTCTGGTATGGCACAACCGAAACTCTTTCAAGCTTGTTAAAATCACAGGGAAGCTGGCAATGTGTTCACCGCATAGATATAGCCGGCCACCTTGCTTGATATCATGAATTGCACTCGGCAAGGCTATGATGGGAGTCTCCAGTAAATTCAAAGACACCAACTCTCCTGAATTAATCTCTGGACAACGAGTAATCTTGGGACAGTTGGCCAACCAAAGAGACTTGAAGAACTTCGAGTTGAATTTGGGCGGAAGGCTCCTCAGATTTGTACAATCATCAAGGAACACTGCTACAAGCTTGTCCAGATCTTGAAGATGAGATGGGATCTCAATAAGGCTTTTACACCCCTGGAGAAGTAGGTACTCCAACTTCTGAGACCCTGACAGGTTCGGGATTGCAACTAAATTTATGCAGTGGGAGAGGTCAAGCCACACTAGATTCACAAGCGGCGGCTGCAAAACAAAAAGACTAAATATAATAATCTCTCTTCCATTGAGTATATGGAATATAATGGAGTACTAACATACCTCAACTTCCCAGCATCTTTCCAGTATTGGGCTACCACGTAGAGAAAGTGTGACGAGCTTTTCAGGAGAAAATGTTGACGGCAGATATTTGGAAGGGAATATGTCCCACCGCAACCACCTTAGGCTGTCAGGAAGGAAGTCGAGGCCACCATATGGTACACGAACTTTGATAGCTCCATTCTCATTTCTTGGACAGAGGAACTTGAGACATCTAAGAGAAGTCATCCCATCGAAGGCTTTGGCTTCCAGACGCATCTCATTGACTTCAGAAAGGTCCAAATATATGCCCTCAGTGACTCTACCTCCATTTAAGGACGAGCTTCTTGTTAGTAGTTGGTGAATATCATCAGCATTCTTCAACATGGTGCGGTTTCCCAGTTTTGATTCTTCATTAACAATGCTCCAAGCTGTTTCCCTTAGCAAGTCGTGCACGTAAATCCCCTCACCAATATCACCCGCCACAGAAATGCAGAAGGACTTATCAATTAGATTCTCGAGTACATAATGGGCTTGGTAATATTTTATCAATAAGGATTTGGTCGTCCCGTAGAATAAACAAGCAATGTCCAAGAAAAATCTCTTTTCCTCAACTCCTAGTGTGTTGTAGCATTTCTTAAAAACTTCATGGATTCCTGGAGTTGGAATCTGCCGGTCATTCAAGAAACTCACCCAATATTCTCTGCCCTTGCCAGATAATGTACGACCAAAAACTTTTATGGCTAGAGGGTTTCCCTTGCAATATGATAGAGCCCAATGTGATAGTTCCATCCAATCATCGGGTGGTAGGCTCGCTTCGTCCAAATGCATGGATACCAAAGAGTTGAACAGACTCATTAGAATCCAAACAACCAACATGATAAATCCTAGCCCCTACATTTCCAAGCACCATTCGGTTTCTTGTTGTCAGAATAATTCTGCTTCCAGGGGCAAAAAGATGGGTAGAACTCAAAAGATCTCCCAACAACAATTGCTCTAATTGTGACAAAGTTCCCACATCATCCAAAACAAGGAACACCCTCAAACGGCAAAGACGACTCCTTCTATAACTAACATCCAAATCATCGTAATTTATGTTACTCTCAGACAGCAGTGCTGAATAGAGTTTTGTTATGATTCCTTCCATTCCATTTTCCATTTCACACCTTTGGCTGATGTTACGAACAAATTGATGCTTGATTCCGTTTGTCAAGGATATAAGCCTTTGATAGCAAGCTGTAGCTAGAGTGGTCTTTCCTACACCAGGCATCCCAAAAAGTTCAATAATCCGAAAATCATTCATGTTCATAGCTATTAGTTGTTCAACCTCAGAAACGCGAGCATCTATGCCAATCAAGTTATCAGACTTCACTCTCGGCGACATGTCTACAAGTATTTTCAAAACACTGTTGACTATTGCCTCAAGTAATTCAGAATCAATCCTGATAACCAAAAGGGTAAAACAAAAAAGGAAAACAAAAAAAATCGAAATGAGAAAAACTGAAGTCACGTTGAGAGAAGCAATTATTATCAGTAAGAAGGCTGGCTTTCAATTAGGAGTAAGGAAGGCTTACTTTATTGCCTGTGAAGTATGGGCAGCACAATTAGCCACAACTTTCAAAGCATCCATCCATCTCTTCCTGTCCTCTGGAGATTTGCTAGCTTCATGTTTGTTTTTTCTCTTTTTCGGAGGTCTAGCTCCATATTTCTGCTCAATAGTAGCCGCATAACTTCCAGAATCATCTTTAACATCAGAGGGATCCACTTTGTAGAAAACTGGAAGCACACGGTGTCTGAATTCTAACATGCTTTGAGAAATGGTGGCCACTTCATTCAAGCACCAGCTTGAATCTGCAAAATTCTCCGAGAAAATCACAACTGAGAGTGCAGATCTTTGGAGGACGGAGATCAGCTCATCGATGCTCTCAGTTTTGTTGAGCATGTCATCGATAAAGACTTTGATTTGCTTGTCGCGGAGAGCAGCCCTGAGGTGGCTTGTAAAACCAGCGCGGGTGTCGTCCCCTCTGAAACACAAGAAGACGTCATATTCCCATTTCCCGGAGTAGGAGGAATAAGGATGATGAGAAGAACGCAATGAAGGTGGGGAAGCTGCCATTACTAATTCACTGAAGCTTTCGGGATATTTTCGTAGAAAAAGCTTTGGAGGACCTTTCTCTCCTTCTATTTAGGCATTTGAGGCAGATCAAGAAGAGGGCTGGCAGGCTGCTAAGCTTTCAGTTTACAGGTCTTCTTCTTTTTGTCTTGTTGTTGGTACCTACATCATAAATGGGGTTAGTTGGGAATGTGATTTCTTGCATTATTTATTGCCCGTAGAAATCAAATTGATAGATCATTGGAAGTCATTTCCGAAGTTTTGTGGAAAATATTGAGCCAGCAACAAGTCTTGGTCCACCATTTAATGCTACCAACAAATTCAGTACATTTCTCACTAGTCACCCATTTTGGGTTTCTTCACTACAGTTCTTGTATAAAAAAAGACGAGACTTGTACTAATGATAACCAAGATTTGAGAAATGCAATACACTAGACTTATTTTGAAGTAGAGGAATGACCAAGGATTTATAGCATTTCGAGTAGAGGAATGGAGTGGGACAAGTACTAATAGTTCGGAACATACTAGAAATTTGATATATCGGCATATTCAGATTCAACTCTATATACACATGGCAAATACCAAATGTTGAAGAGGATCACAGGAAACAGACAGTTATGTGACAACAACAATCACACTACTTAGCATTATTACCAGGCTGTGAATCATGTGAAGGCATCGAGGGTGGCAAGTGGCAACTTTTTCCTTCCCAAATTCTCTACCCACGTAGCCTGCAGATATCGTTATAATGGCCGAAGTAATGACACCAAGCAAGATCGTCATCCGAACTGAACTACAGTCAGTAAAGTAGAGAGACGCCACATTTTTTGACATGGTAAGGAGTAGTGACACCTCCAAATTCCACAACTGCCACAAATTGAAATGAAACAGTGAGCCCAGCGTACTTATTGAACCAAGCTTCTTCATCATCATCCTTGAAACTGCAAAATGTCTTATCAGACCACAGAAATACACGATCTGAGTTGCCACCAAGCATGTGGTACTCCCAGGGGAAAGATATCCAGCGCCAGACACCTTCAGTTTCGATGAAACATGCTCCAACTATATGCATGGAACCTCGGGGTTGGTCCAATGAATACACGACACCAAATGCAATTCCCTTCAGTTCTGCAGAGTCCACAGGTAGCTCCAAGCTCACATAATTCTCTTCCTTCATGCTCCGTTGGTGAAACCATTGTGGAACCTCACTTCCTGAATAGTGAAAACCCACCTGTAACAGCACAAATAATGACAATGGCAGCCTTAAGAAAATCTCTTTTTGGCATTGTTCACTACTAGGGGCAAACCATATGAAGAACATAAAAGCTTATATGTGCATATATACCTGAGGATGCCGAGACAAAGCCTGATCTGGGAAACTCGACAGGATTTCATCAACAGAACTCCTGTCAAGTTGTGGACAATCGTCAAGCCTCAGGTGCTCAAAATTTAGGTTCCCAATATTCCTCGATAGGACTTGTAATGAATCACAGTTATTTGCCTTCAAAATCTTAATATTTGGTGGGAGTTCTGGCAAAGACCGAATACTCTTACAGCCCATCAACAACAATTCGGCAAGCTTGGCAAGGTTGTGGATGGTGTTCGGGATAAACTCAAGGCTTTCACAGTAAGATAGATCTAGATAAGAGAGCTGGTCCAATTCTTCGATACAGGAAGGTAGTGACCTGATACCTGTGGCACCAAGAATGAGCATGTTCAAATATTTCATATTTGAGATGCAAGAAGAAACATCAGTGATCCTTGCACAACCAGAAATACGAAGCTGAGTTAAGAGTGAAGGCTCCGAGGTTTCTGGCAAACTTTCAATCAATGGGCAACCCTCAACATGAAGTGCAACAGAGACATTCTTCCAAATACTCGTAGGCAGAGTCTTGAGTAGGGTGTTGTGGACCAAATGCAGTCGATCAAATTGATAGTGTTCAAATTCCATCTCTCTTACTGCAGTATGGTGCAGACGAAGCAGCTTTAAGCTCATTGAAATTTGAGGGAAATCAGTGATGTTTTGGCCATAGAGACTAACCACCCCACCCTTATTGACATTGGAGATTGCATCCGGCAGCACGCTTATGGGTGTCCCATCTAAATCCAAGACCTCCAACTCTCCTGAATTAATATCGGGACATCGAGTGACATTGGGACAATTGGACAACAGAAGCTGCCTGAGGAACTTTGAGTTGAGCCTGGCTGGAATACGCTGGAGATTTTCGCAATCCCTGGCATCCAACTTTACCAATTTGACAAGAGATTGGATGCTTGCAGGTAGCTCAATTAGGCTTTTGCATCCGCGGCATATAAGGAGCTCTAGTTTTGAAGAGCTCCACAGGTTTGGGATAGCAGCTAAACGTTCACAGTAGGAGAGGTTTAGCACAACCAGATACCGAAGCTTAGGCTTCCAATGAAAACACCAGCAAAAGCAAAATGAGGTTAAACAAATCCCTTCAATATATGGAAATGAGGACTAACCAGTTAACAAATGACAACCAAATACATAGTGCTTATTTATATTATATACCTGATCTTGTAATTCCCAGCATCTCTCAATCGGGCTATTGCTTAGAATGAGGTTGAAGAGTTTTTTGGGAGAAAATCCTGATGGCAGAGACTTTGAAGGGAATTGATCCCAATTCAAACCCCTTATCTCGTTAGGAAGATAGTTAAGGCCTCCATCTGGTAGACGTATCTTCTGAAACCCTCCCTGCTTTGGCCAGTAGAATTTGAGCCATCTCAGAGAGTCCATCCCTACAAAGGCATTTGCTTTCAAAGTCACCTCTTCGACTCTGGAAAGGTTCAAGCTTATAGCTCGGGTTGCTTTCTCTCCCTAAAAGGAAACACAGACTATAAGAATACGTTCACATAAATTAGAAAAAGGTGAAAAAAGCAGTGACAAACATTAGAATAAAAAAATTTCCTCCATATTCATACCTTTCGGACTGTCAGCAAGTTGATGACATCATCAGGATTCTTTACCCTGCTGCGTTGCCCAACATCTACTTCCTCATTGACAACATTCCAAGCCATTTCTCTTAACAGATCATGCACAAGAATTACCTCATCATTGTTCTTGTCCAACTCACAAATAAACATGGACTTATCAATTAAATCCTGCACTCTACTATGTGCAGAGGTATAACTAGTTTCCAAATATTTTGTCAGGTAAGATCTCAATATTTCGTGGAAGGAACAAGCAACATCTAAAAACAATCTTCTATCATCATCTCCTAACCCATCATAGCTTTTCCTAAGAACATGATGAATTTCTGGTTCTTGGATCTTGCGCAATTTGCCCAAGAAGCTCTCCCAATACTTCCTGTCCTTGGGTAACAATGTACCCCCTAAAACTTTAAGGGCCAAGGGGTTTCCCTTGCAGTATGATACAACTTGGCTCGACAGATCAGCCCAGTCATCAAGGCGAGAGCTAGGTTCGAAACCATGCAGTTTAAAGAGCCGAAGAGAATCAACATCATTCAGACCCTCAACTAGGTGTATCCCTGCCTTTGCATATTCAAGCACCTTTTGATTTCTAGTAGTCACAATGACTCTACTCCCCACAGCAAAAAGTTTGGAAGGATTCAAGGCATCTCCCAAAAGCAATTTCTCTAATAGCAAAGGAGTTTCCACGTCGTCGAGAACAACAAAGACCCTCAAGCGGGAAAGTCGTGCCCTTCTATAACCAATATTCAAATCTTCAGGCTTTAACTTTTCCTCAGACAACAATGCCGAATAGAGTTCCAGTACCATTCCTTCAACCCCTTTTTGCTTATCACAATTGTCACCAATCCTCTCAACAAAATGAAACTTGGTGTCTTTAGCTATGAATCTCAACTTTTCGTAGCAAGTTCTAGCCAGAGTTGTTTTTCCTACACCACCCATTCCTCGAAGCCCAATAATCCGAACACCATCCATTTTGTTCATAGCCAGTTGTCGCTCGACCTCCAAAACCCGTGAATCCATACCTACCAAGTTGCTCAACTGGATGCCAGACGACATCGCTGCTAGAGTTCTCAGAACATCTTCCACCACCTGCTTAACTAATTCAGCATCATCCCTAAGATTCCAGAGGTAAACAGAAAAGGAAAACCACAACTAAATTTGAGAAAATGGAGGGCTCTTCATCGGTTCCATCTGTCACATTGTAATTTACTGCTATATAAAAATGAATCGGAGAAACATACTTGCTCATAAACCCTTAAAAATTGACGAGAAAAGCAGTACTCACGGGATAGCCTCAGAGGTACGGCCAGTCTTATGAGCCACAGCCTTCAAAGCATCCTTCCAATTCCTCTTCCGCTCTTCGGTGGCCTTTTCGTCGACGAGTTTCGCGATGGTGTCCGCATATTCGCCGGATTCACCAGCCACGGCGGTCCAATTCACTCTGTAGAAAACCGGCATGGCCTTGTGTCCGAATTGTTCCACACTTTGGGCAATGGTCTCCACCTCGTCCAGACACCAGGTCGAATCGGCGAAATTCTTCGAGAATATCACCACTGAGACCGCCGATCTTTTGAGGATGGAGAGGAGCTCGGCGATGTCCTCCGTCACAGTAAGCATTGTGTCGACGAAGAATCTGATTTGCTTCTGGCGGAGAGCTTCCCTCAGGTGGCTCATGAAATTGAGCCGCGTGTCGCCTCTGAAACACAAGAAGACGTCGTATTCCCATTTCCCGGTGTACGGCTGAGGATGATACGATGACGAGGAAGACGACGCCATCGAGAAAGTCGGAGAGGTGACTTGCGACGAGTCCACAAATTTCCTAATTTATAATCCGTTGTGGAGTGAATTGTTACACTTTCATATTACAGGGATCAAAGGAGACATAAATTCCGAATTGAGAAACCCAAACGATGGCGCAAACTGCAAAACAGACGAAACATAGCGCCGCTGTTTCTCGACCGAGGAATCATCAATGGAAGCCACTCAATTTCTCCATCTCTCTCCCAATCTCCAATTTCTCCCTTCAAATCCTCTCATCAGCACCACCACCTATCACCAATTCCGCAAGTTCAAATCTTCCGTTGCAACTCCAGAGCTCGTCTCTCAGAACTTCACCAGGAACTCGCCAAGGAAACACTTCTTCCGAGGCCGTCCCAATCAGCAGCGGCGGCGGAAGAAGTCATTCAAGGAGAAAGATGCCTTCCCGGAATCGCTGCCGCTCCACAATCGAAACCCACAAGCCATTTACAAGGATATCCAGAGACTGGCCAGGATGGACAAGCTTGAGCAAGCTCTGGCTGTCATGGACTACGTCGAGCAGCAGGGGATCCCTGTAAATGCCACCACTTTCTCGGCCCTCATTGCGGCTTGCATTCGGGCGAAGTCGTTGGAGGAAGGGAAGCAGGTCCATGTACATATCAGGATCAATGAGCTGGAGGACAACGAGTTCTTGAAGAACAAATTGGTACATATGTACACTGCTTGTGGGTCGATTGACGATGCCCACAAGGTGTTCGACGAATTTCCTTCGAGTAATGTGTATTCATGGAATGCGTTGATTCGGGGGACTGTGATATCGGGGAGGAAGAGGTACAAAGATGTTGTGTCTGCGTATGGGGAGATGAGGGAAATGGGTGTTGAACCAAATGAGTATACTTTCTGTAACATCATTAAGAGCTTCGCCGGTGCATCCGCGTTTAAGCAAGGGTTGAAGACTCATGCGGTGTTGGTAAAGAACGGGTTGATCGGTAGTGCGATGCTCCGAACCAGTTTGATTGATATGTATTTCAAGTGTGGCAGGATCAAGCTAGCCCACATGGTCTTTGAGGAAATGCCTGAGAGAGACATTGTTCTGTGGGGTGCGATGATTGCAGGGTTCTCCCACAACAGGCGCCAACTCGAGGCATTGGATTATGTAAGGTGGATGGTGCAAGAAGGGATACACCCGAACTCGGTGATCTTAACCACGATTCTCCCAGTGATCGGTGAAGTGCAGGCTAGGAGAATAGGGCAGGAAGTTCATGCTTTTATCTTGAAAACAAAGAACTATTTCACTCAGCTACCATTGCAGACTGGATTGATATCCATGTACTGCAAATGTGGCGATATGGTCTCAGGTAGGAGGGTGTTCTACAGCTCCAAGAACAGGAATGTGATTTCCTGGACCGCTTTAATGTCGGGTTATGTATCAAATGGACGATTCGAGCTGGCTTTGAGATCAGTTGTCTGGATGCAACAGGAAGGTTTCAAACCGGACGTCGTCACAGTAGCTACAGTCCTTCCAGTTTGCGGAAAGCTGGGAGCCATAAATCAGGGGAAAGAAATCCATTCCTATGCCGTGAGAAGGTGCTTCTTTCCTAACGTATCAGTGACTACTTCTCTCGTGAAGATGTACTCGGACTGTGGCATCATGGACTATTCAGTCAAGCTATTTGATGCATTGGAGAGGAGAAACGTCATATCATGGACAGCCATGCTGGATTCCTACGTGGAAAAAGGGTTTACCGATGAAGCATTCCAACTCTTCAGGTCAATGCAGCTTTCAAAATCCCGGCCCGATTCTATCACACTAGCTAGGATCTTGACAGCTTGTGGAGAATCCAAAGCTTTAAGGCATGGGAAAGAGATCCATGGACAGTTACTGAAGAAAAGACTCGAGTCCATCCCTTTTGTTTCAGCAGCGACCATTAAAATGTATGGAAGTTGCGGGTTGATTCATTACTCAAGATCGGTCTTTGATGCGTTATCTATCAAGGGTTCGATGACATGGACTTCCATTATAGATGCACATGGGTGTAACGGTCTGTACAAAGATGCAATCAGGCTTTTCGAGGAGATGACATCTCACGGTTGCACTCCCAACCCGTTCACATTCACCGTATTGTTGTCAATCTGCGACAAGGCAGGATTTGCTGACGAAGCTTGCCGGATTTTCGAAGTGATGACAAGGAAGTATGGTCTTGATGTTTCGGAAGAGCATTGTTCTATCATGGCTGGACTTCTCAGCTCTTGTGGTCGATCTGCAGAGGCTGAAAGGTACGCAAGGTTAGTCATGTTGTAACTTGTAACCTTAATGCATTCTTGTGGTTAAAGGGGCATATGCTTGTGGTAAGAATGCATCGATTTTCGAAGTGATGACAAGGAAGTATGGTCTTGATGTTTCGGAAGAGCATTGTTCTATCATGGCTGGACTTCTCAGCTCTTGTGGTCGATCTGCAGAGGCTGAAAGGTACGCAAGGTTAGTCATGTTGTAACTTGTAACCTTAATGCATTCTTGTGGTTAAAGGGGCATATGCTTGTGGTAAGAATGCATCCATGTTGCTGTGCGATAGTGAAGGGCTTTATCTATTCTGCACTGCAAAGAACATCTGTGTTTAAGCCTGCGTTTCAAGCCTCAACAAGTATCTTATACACATCTGTTACAAAAATCACTGCATTTTGTAACTACTAAACTACCATGTCATGACTACAGTCTACAAGACCTGAGTGATGTAAGGAACTCTGAACTGAAAATTTGTGGGGCAAATCCATGTAAAAACATGGCCATAACGAAAACTGTATCTTGAAGAGTGAGTAAGTGACTGAGGAAGACATTATCATAGACGCAGAATCCTGGGAGGAATGATATGCTTGGCTGGGTCCGGAATTATATCATCAGGGCCGAGGTTATCAATCGGCGGTCGCTGCTTATGGTGATCCGTCACCAACTGGTACACCATTGCCAGCGCCAGTGCCTACAAATATATATGTTTACCACATCAGCAGATGGCACAGATAAGCATTGCATACTGGGTTTAACTGAACATGAATGAGTTCTCGAGTTTGAGCGATCAAGGAGGCTTACAATGTGGTCGCCATCGGGTGGAGCGTAGATCCCTGTGGTGACGGTGCTTCTTCTCCTGGTACCTGCTGGAGGCGGATCGGTGATGTTCTTGAACCCAGTAGGAACAACCATGACCGGCAATCCAACTAGATTACCCAAACATACTTTCTCCCAATCCGTGACATTTCCGATGAATGCATCTACTGTGAAGCCTTCTTTCACTTCCCTGATCAGCTTCCCTCTGGCTCTTTGAGCCTGGAGGTAATCCACAGCTGGGATTACCCGAGCACGTCGGAGCTCGGTGGGCCATTGATCCTGAGCTTCATAAGTGTCGTCTAGCCCATCTCGCTGCCACTTGTCGAAGTGGGCCAGCATGTCGACGTCCATCGTGAAGTTTAGGATCCCTTGGACGGAATCCACTGTGTAGTTAAGTTTGTAAGGAACCATTTTCACGCCCTTTGACTTGAGCACATCCACAACCTGCCATAATCATACAAGATCATTGTGAAATGAGAGCATATATATCTTACGGACATTATGTATATATCTGAAAATGTGGCTCGACTTTCTCCGCAGACCTCCATTTCTGCGTCATCCAGATACCCGACAGTGAGTTTCGTAATATCTACTGAAAACGGGTCGTGAAGAGGAACATCTCTGGATGAGATATCGTTAGAATCTTTCCCACGAATGGCATCAAGAACAATGGAACAATCACGGGCGCTTCTGCAGAAAGGGCCAAGCTTATCCTGTTCCAGAGATAAAAATATCAGAACAATGAACATGCAGTTCTGGAGTAAGAGTGGTGTGCGTGGGGGATCTACGGGAGGGAAGGTAAATCAGAAATGGTCACCAAGCTTTCAGATATGCTCATCACACCAGTTCGGGCAACAGTGCCAAAAGTTGGCCGAAATGCAGTCACCCCACAACGGGCAGCAGGATACGTGATCGATCCGGCTGTTTCAGAACCAATTGCAAAGGGAACCATTCCTGTTTTTTCACAAAACAAATCCCTAGTTCTAAGAACCACATGCCAAATTAGCCTCACGAAGACCAGAAGGGTTTAACAAAAAGACATTACCAGCTGAGGTGCTGGAAGCAGGTCCGGCAGATGAACCAGTGGAGAACTCTTCAATGTTCCAAGGATTTCTCGTCCGACCTCCAAACCAGATGTCATCGTAGGCAAGGGATCCTGAAACGAGCTTAGCAACTAGAACTGCCCCTGCAGCCCTCAACCTGCAGTTGGGGAACAAACAACACCACTATAGGGTCCCAAAACTAAAGACACCTATCAAATAACTCTTCACTTGGGTTTACTGAGCTGCTGCTACTACTACTACAACTACCTTTGGTAGACTGTGGCTTCCATGTCAAGGATTTGGTTCTTGAAACTTGTTGACCCCCATGTAGTTTTGTATCCAGGTACTGCTATAATATCCTTCAACCCGTAAGGTATTCCATGGAGAGGTCCTGCAGTAACCACACCATCACAAGACATAAGACTTCCCAGAGCTAACGAGCGAAAGGCGAACTGATTGCATCCGGTGGATGGAGAAGAGTCACAAAAAAATTTACCCAGATAGTCTCCTTTGGCAAGCAATTCATCAGCTTTTTTGGCTTGCTCATAAGCCAAGTCTTCTGTAATTGTGATCACAGATTCAAGAGCTCCATTATACCTGGCTTGTTTCCACAAACCAAATTCTTTCATTATTCACAAAAATGCTTCTTTCATTTCATTGTATAATTCTCTCTCTCTCTCACTCACTCACTCACCTCTTCAATCGATGCAGGAAAATTGTGGTTATTTCATGAGATGTAACTTGCTTGGTCCGAAGAAGCTCCCCTAGTTCAAGTATCTGCCGAAACCAACAAAATTCATAAGCACAGGAAGAAGAAAAAACTCCATTACTGTTCTGTTTTGCAGCAGCCAGCCTCGGAGAATCTTCTTACCTCCATAAAGGCAACATCCTCGTCATTTTCAGGCCTCTTGACGCCGGAGAGGGAAGGGTACTTAAATCTCTTGACAACGGCATTCTTCTCAACAGCTCCACCACCATGGCTGCTGCCCCACACCGAGTTAAAGACCAAACAAGACGGATTCTGCAGCCCGCCGTTCTCCAAAGCAACCGACTTCCTGTTCGATTCTGCAATCGGCAGGTTAAACTCCACCGCTTCTTCAGCAACTTTCAGCACCTTGGCCTCACTGAAGAACCCGGCGTCGAACACCTTGAACGCTTCCCTGAGTTCCGAACCTTTACCGCCGTCCTGAGAAGAGACAAAAAAAGCTGAATCCCCAGCAAACAAAAAATGGAGCCAAGTCGAGAAATTTCCCCCTTTTGCTGATGAAAATCGGAACTGTTACTGCTACTGCTACTACTACAACTACCTGGGCGCTTGATTTAAGCGTACGAACCCAAACTCTCCCACGAAACCTTTCGCATAATTTCTTAATCAAAAAGGGTTTCATCAGATTTCTATGAACCGATTGATTCTGGCCAACTGGGGGGAGATGAAGAACACAGCAGAAAGTTGAAGGAGAAGGGGAAAGAGAGAAGTGAAGATATGATGGGATGTTCGGAAATACCATGAACGTTTTACTGCTACTACTACTCTGAGCTAGAATACGCCAACTGAGTGGAGTGGGAGAGGAACCGATCCCTGTGGCGGCGGTGGAGCAAAGGCCAGCTGACTCGGAGAGAAACAAGCACGGCGAAAAGGCCAGAGCGAAGCAGAGAAGGAAACGTGTCATCTCGATTGGCGACGAAGGACACGAGGCGAGCGCCATGGCCGCCATGTAAGCTTGAAGAATTCAGATTAGTAGAGGTGAGTGATCAGGGAGATTTGGATTCGTGCTTAAGGAAACGGCCATGGCCGCCCATCAAGTCCTTTTTTGGTTATTTTGTATTATGAAACAGATACACTTGCGTAATTTGACTAATTTCTATATTAGATAAGTTGAATTTGGTCAAGTTGTTGTTTGATTCTATTGTTTTTAAATTTTAATCCTTTTAATGAGTAAGTTGAATTTGATAGTGAATTTGATGCATTTTGTAAATTTGTTTATCACAAGGTTGAATTGGAAGTTGAAGAATAGGGATGGATATTCAAGTATTCGATTTGAAAAGAGTTCGTTCGTTAGTTGACTCGTTTACTAACTAATCGAGTGTGAATTAAGTGATGTTTAACTTACAAGGCTCACGAGTCAGCTCGATTAGGCTGTTTTAACTTGTGAGCTAGCTCGTTTTGAGCTATGAGTTGGCTAGACATTGTGACTAGTGAGTAACCTTAGCTAGCGGCTTAAGAGCGACTCAATTTGATTTTTTTTATGAGATGATTTGTTGATAATTCATGTGTTTAAGACTGGTCGTACGTGAAAAAATATGTCTCATTTATAATTTATATTTATAAATTGTTCAGACACTAATTACTATCAAATCACATGACATGAATCGTTACTATTTATGAACTAAAAAATATGCATGACACCGAAGCTCAAGTTGGTCTGGCGAGTTGGTTGACGAGTCGAGCTCATTCTTGCTAAGAGCTAATTTTCCGCTCATCTTTAGCTTCTTCTTTCCCGAGTAAGTTGAGTTCACGCAATACTGAATCAATTGAGTTCCGTGGTTGGCCTACTACCATGTGAGCTCATTAATGAGTCGAGGCTCAATCAACGTTTCAGTAAACGAGCCGAGATCGACTCTTTTTAATTATTTACAATTCCCTAAATACCCTTAATAACTAATTAACTAATAACTCCCTACTAACTACCTAAAATTGAATAAGTCAATCACAACGCTTTAAGATCCTTCTTAAAAAAGAGGGTTTAAGGACCTGAACTTATGCCTATCTCAAATGATTCCTCTTAAACAAAACTAAAAACAACATTAAATTGTCGATGTTTAGAGTCAAATTTCATGTTATGCTATATGTATTATATAAAATTAAAATCGAGGGCATATACCATAGACATATACATGACTTTAATCCAATTCAAACTACCCATCAAACATTTTCCAAAATGTCAAACTTTCTCCATCAACCATTTTTATGTCTTGAAAATGTCTAACTAGACATCTTGATTAAGATTAAGAAAGTTTTAATGTGCTCTTTTGCTGGTATTAAGAAAGACTTCTTCTAGTTCACATTCAATTTTCTTTAATCCTTTACACCCACGCATGCCCATTTCAAGAGGAGGCAGAAAATCTACAAAGACTTGAAAGCTCAAAGTAGGCAAGGACAAGAAGGCCCAGGCACCGGCATTCTAGTACCTGTCCGTGGCCCACGAAATCCTTTCAGAATCCAAGATTGGGCCAGAATCCTTCCAATGGGCCGTCGAAGAGTGTCCAAACTATTTTAATCAGATTTTGACCATCAAATTTGTACCAAAAGAAAATTATATTTATACACATTTGACCATCACATTATTAGTTGAAGTAAAAGATGAGTACCATTGTTGATTGCTATGTCTCTTTATTATATAGATATATTGTAGTCGCCTAATTTAATAATCATTAACCATAATGAATCTCCCGATAAATTGTTTACTGTTTTATGCGACTACTAGTAACAATGAGGGTTGCTGGTAACTACGTTTATCTTTTGTAGCTGCGACCAAATTCGTGTCACCCTTTCAGAAAGGAATGCGAATCTCGGCTAATTATCAAGAAAAAGATTTCATTGTATGCATAAACAGACCCTTCTACATCCCCAAGCCGCACATGAAATAAATATGTCGTTAATAGTTGTGAGGGATTGGTCTTATATTAATACGATGATAATAACATTCAATACATCTCGACCTCCCACATAAGACCTCGGTCAAAGGAAAACTTCGACCCCACATCATAGTATGTATTCCCCGTTATTGGAAGAAGAAGAAGAAATTGACCAAAAAAAAGTGTGTTCGAACTCAAAATTTCGTCATATGCATATGTAACATGCAACTACCTCAACTCCGATTTTATTGAAGAAGTTTTTTTTTTATCTTGTTTACAATATCCACCCATGAATTAAGTAAAAGTGTATGCTGAATACTATATGTGTCGGCTAAGGGGAGAAAAGGAAAACCAAATGGGAAGAAAGTAAAAAGGTTCCTGCTAGTAATTGTATTTGGTCAACCAGAAAATTAGTGTATGATCAAACCTTTGTTCAGGTGTGTGTTGCAGCTGTTTTCCCCTTTTGCTGTCTTTTCATTAAACTAATCGAAACGAGCTTCAAAACTGTTTTTCTTCTGGTCCAAAACCTAATCTGACATTGGAAAGCATAGCTTTGGACTAAGCTAAGAAGTACTTGAGGCCCTACATATTCATCAGATTCATCCTCTCTAATCTAATTCTTCTTTCCCCAAAACATGAACTTGAGAGATGGATTCTTCTTCAATTAAGTCCCACCACCACTCTCATTAGATTAGATTCTCAGGGCAGATAATAGATTTTGTGTTTGTTGTTCCTTTGACAATCTATTTTGTCCTCGATAGATATTGAGCTAGACTTGCATATCATACAGCTGGATGAAACCATATATCCATACGTTTCTTTTCCACCAGGCATATATGTTAGGCTCCATGTCATGGAAGCCCGGTTCTGCAACATCCCTCGATATGATTAACATGACACGAGCTAGTCATGTTGATCGATGTGATCAAATCTCGCCGCTTGAGACCATACTATAATACCGCTTGAAAGAACATTAGCTCCTAGATGTTTCGAGCAACATTGAAAAGGAGAAAAACTTCTTTAAAGAAACCAGAAGAAAAACATTGGAGAAAAGAAGAAAAATTGTAGACGTGATGTATGTTAACAGGCTTCAGATCACAGAGAGTTCAATGTCTAAACCTAATAGTGGTTGTGTTATCTTGACCTGTACGGCTAGGTATTTCTCATTCGCGTCTATGCACGATATGTTACACCGTATCCTAAGTAAAATATTAAAAGAAAACACTTTTACAAGATCAAAATACGTAAACCATACACACTCTTCCAAACTCGAGACTAACCCAACCCGTAAAAGAAAACTCAACCCACTATATAAACGCCACAAAAACACAACATTTCCCAATAACCCGAGTTGTTGATTGAATATGATTTATGGATTATATACTACTCATTAGCATAATCCTTCAAAGGAAAGCTTACTCATATGCAATTGAAGTTTGCAGTTCCTGATACCATGTCAACAACCAGTTGATCCAAAAAATTGAGTTACACTGAGGAATCACAAACCAAAGAATCAATGCTACGATCACAAGTCTCCCACAGGCAAGCCGCACTTGCAATGGAAGTGAATGCAACTAATGATTTGCTTGTTGAAGGGGGAGAATTAAGCAAAGAAATTAAAGACAACCCAATTATTTATTAGTGTCATTACGAAGTTGAACTTCAACCTAGCTAGATCGATTTTTTGTTTTTGTTTTTGTGTTGTCTTTCTTAGTATAAACAACAGCAACCTTATTTGATGCATATGTTAATGTTTTATGCACTGAAAAAGCTCTGACTCGGTCTTTGGAGCAAGTCATTGTGAAGTTGAACTTCAACGGGGTTGAGTTTTTTTGCAATGGTCACATATATGGTTGGAGATTACCATGATCCAGCTGTTCTCGATTACATGCAAAACACTAATTAAATTGGGTCATTATGGCTTAATTAATTAAGTATATTCGTGGTCTAATTAATATGTTGGTTGATGACAAGTAGTTTTCACTCGCTAAATACACCGACTTTTCACTCTATACTCATATATATATATATATGATACCCGTTGAATAGAGAGGAGGAGATATTTTAGATGAGTTTGCTTTTTTAATTGGATAACCGCCAATTTAATAAGTAAATTTTGGTGGGGATATGGATTTGATCTAGTGGTAAATTTTAGGTTAAAAAATGATCCTTATGATCTAACACTAAATTGATACTCGACCTGAATTTTCCGTCTTAGTCTAATACATAACAATTTTTGCTCGTTACCACGTGACCAAGTTAAACTCATTGTAAACTTTATATTTTTCGAGAGGTTGGACGACTGTGATTCTGATTGCTAACAACCTGTAATGGATGATTGACTGGCGAGTCATTTGCTACTTGAAATAACTCGTCCGGTGTACTACGATATGGTTCAACCGGTTTGTGAGGGTAATGTATATCATGCTAATGTTATACTTCACTTCATCTAAACTATAACAAACTAAGAAATTACCCGTAAATTAAAAAGAAAATCCCAAGTGATTAAAAGCATTGTTACGTTTTGAGCATTAACCACCAAAAGAGTATCAATAGAGTCACATTACATAACCATAAAGGTATAAAGTATTCTCTTAATTTGAGCCTGAGTCACGTGGGATGAGAAAGAATAATCTATTAGTGTCGCATAAAAATAATTTTCGGATTGATTACATATATTGCAACTGGATTCCAAATTGTAGTGGGATGAGACGGCATGAACTTTACTTTATTATATCAAAATTGTTGAATGGTGAAAGTATATATATGGAGGAAGTAAAAGAATGAAGTTACTGTAAAAAAAAAAAAAAAAAAGTAAAAGAATGAAGTTCAAAGAAATCGAATTGTTTTAGATAACTTGATGGAGTTAGGGGTGGAAATCGGTACCCCAATACCAATTACCGAAATCCCGAATACCGAATTACACGCTAAAATCAATTCCAATCTCAATCCCTAAATAATTTCGGTATCCCAATCCCAATCTCTAAATAATTTCGGTATCCCAATTGGTACCTCGGTATCCCGATCAGTATTATCGAATACATAATTAATTATCGAATACATAATTAATTAAATGACGAATTTGGTGGTTGATGGTCGCGTAGTAGTGAATGAGAGAGTCTAGTTGAGAGGATTAAATACACACTAGCTTATATTTCGGTATTGATCGGTATTTCGGTATATACCGATCCCAATCCCTAATACCAAATAACAATTGAAATTCAATCTCAATCTCAATCCCACAAAATAATACATGTATTCGGTAATATCAAATATAGACAAATTCGGTACGATGTTCGGTATATCCCAAATATCGGTACCAAACTTCCAGCCCTAGATGGAGTAATATCTTTCATTAAGTAAATCTAAAATTTATTCCTGAGTTATATATATCATCGTTGTCTTAACATAGTTTCACTTTCAATATTGATTGTCGTATTCGAATTCCCACAACATTAATATCCTGCTAAATATAATCATTGGTACGATCAAACTGTAGAAACATTTTGTATAATTAGATCATACGAATTTCGAGTCTATAAATCGAGCTAATTTGACAGGTAAATAGAAGTATGTGAAATTCATGATTATTTTTTTAACAACGTAAATTTATACTATATATAGGGGTTGCATATATACATGCAAGTATCCAATACTGGCAGAGTAGCATTGACGTTGCCACGAGACAGGGAAGGATGTTATGGAGGAAAGAGTCGAGTATAACCATATGTATGAAGAAGATGATAAACATCATATTTCATATTTCATGCTCAATCCCCCGTAGTTGAGTTTCCAAAATTCGATGGGCAAGAGGAAACATACATGTAGTTGTACGGCGCATAAACGTGGTTTAGCCACCAGGGAACTAGATAAGAGAGGAATGTGCATTTTGTCCTATTTCTACTTGGAGGTTAGAAACCCATCACTGTTGGATTAGTGGTCCAAAAACCATCCTCTCCAATGAAGATCCACCTCCGCACTCAGACCCTTTTGCATCACCAGAAACTCAAGAAGAGAAACCGCGTTCCCAAACAGTGATTCCACATCACCACCTCTCCTTCCCAAAATTGTTTTTTTCCAAAATCAATTCTATCTAAAACAAAATTAAAAATGCTTCCTTTTTTCTTTAGTACTCTGTAGTACAGCCTCCTCTGTTTTCAGTATCCTCTGCTCTCCCCACAGCTGCCACGCCACGCCACTATCGTATTGAGCATCATCAACCCAAAATTTCCCATTTCTTATAAAAATTGAAAGAAAAAAGAAAACAGCTCCCTTCTGGGATTTCATCTCTATAACACACATCCGTCTCTTTCACCTCTGCAACTGCCTGGAAGCTCACATTCCTCTCCTCCCACACTATCGGGATTCGGGGGGTTCTTCCACGTCTGCAAAGCAAAAACCTTTCGGTACCCTTCTCCCGACATCTATAAATATGTCACACGACGTTAATGCAAATCATCGTAGCAATCCGATCACCAACTTCTTCTCTTCAACTCATCCAAAGAGAGGGGGGAAAAAAACAGAGCAAAAGAATGAGCAGTGGCGGCACTGGGACACCGTCGTGCTACAGAGGGGTGCGGAAGCGGAAATGGGGGAAATGGGTGTCGGAGATCCGCGAGCCGGGGACGAAGACGAGGATATGGCTGGGGAGCTTCGACACGCCGGAGATGGCAGCCACGGCGTATGACGTGGCGGCTCTGCATTTCAGGGGGCGGGAAGCCAAGCTGAACTTCCCCGAGACGGCCCATTACCTGCCCCAGCCCGCGAGTTCTAGCCCCGACGATATTCGGGCCGCGGCCCATGAGGGAGCGGTCCGGGCTGGGCCGGTGGATGCCGGTGGAGGTTCGGGTTCCGGTGGCGGTGGTGGGGAAGAGAATGCCGGTCCCGTTACGGTGGCGCTGTCGCCGAGCGAAATTCAGGCGATCAATGAGTACCCCATGGACTCGCCGAGGATGTGGTCGTCGATGGACTATACCGCGCCGTCGTCAATGGGGTATACTGCGCCATCGATCGACTACACGGCGCCGACGGAGTATACCGCGGCGTCGTCGGCGGATTATACGGCGCCGTCTTCGTCGTCATACAACATGGGCCAATATGGATGGGGGGACGATTATGGATATGGCGGCGGGCAAAGTGATTCTCTTTGGGATTAAGTTCTTTTTATAAAAAAACACGATTGATGTCTTTTTTGTCAGGAAAAAAGAAAAATGTTTTCATTACTACCCTATTTTTCTAAAACTAAAATGACTTTAAAAATTTGTTTCCAACTAAAATCTCAACTTTTGATTAATAAGTGTTTGGTCCTTGTCTTGTTTCGAGGGCGAAGTTTAAATTTTAACCTGTTTTTATGTTGAATTTTTTCACAAAATAAGTTCTTGCTCATTTGTATTGTTCGAGATAAAAGTTTTTTCAACTAAAACAAGAGATTAACTTGAGAAAATGTCTTTAATTTTTTTTTTAACAATTGTTAAAGTCGGAAATACTCATACAATTGTTTGTCTTTTCAAGGTATTTTAATGAAACTTATAACACTATACTATACCTCTATTGTTGGATTTTAACAAGTCATCCATTTTGAATCACTTGCTAAACAAAATCTTAGATTCCATGGGAAAACCTACTTGGGAGCCTAGATTTTTCAATGGGCTGAAATGGGAAAAGTGGATGACAGAGACTTAAAATAATAGAAGAAGAAGAAGAAGAATGGATGGCTCTACATTTGGTGGGATCTTTTGCTGGCTTCCTATTGGTTGATTTATTATATGTGTGTACCAATAACAAGTAATATCTTATACTACTAGTATTGATAAAAAAAGCTAATCCTACTAGTACTATATACAATATTTTTTTTTTGTGTGTAAGTGTTTTGGGAATGGAAGTGTTGTACTATTGGTTGGTGTTTGGATGGATTTGGATAAATAAAGTTTTATTATAGTTAATGAATAATGGTCTTATAGCCAATTGGATGAGTCCAACAAATTAAGGCCTGTTGGAGCAAAATCTCAATAAAGACAGTTGAATATTTAGACAAATTTCACATTGACAAAATATCAGAGAGATATGCAATTAATAAGTAATATTCAATTTTAATTAAGAAGTGGTGTTTTGGAGTGAAATAGACGACTATTTGTAAAAATTTTGAAGTCATTATAATACACCTCAAAATCAAAATCATACAGAGTAGACTAAAACGGGCACTATCTTAACAAGAAAAGGTCCGGCCGTTACATTAAATTAAATAAAAAAACTAAGTAACAAAATTTTTTTGAAGATTTTTCACACGAGTCGACATTTCATTCCCACAAGACAGTCCACTCACAATAAAATCTTCATAGCAATCCATCAATCGCCATGTCAAAAAATCCATCGTCATTCCATCAATCTACCATTGATCTCCCATGCCGAGCTTGAATTTCCTCATAGAAAGCGGAAACCGGGAAACGAACGGAGACCCAAAATCCTCCCCAAACCAGGAATCACACCCTCTCCATATAAATCCACACATGCAAACACGCCGCCAAATTCACGACCCAACGGATCGAATGTGAAAAACTCTTTGAAATGCAATCTGACAGTTTGATTTAGAATAAGAAACGGGACTAAGTACAGAGATTAGAGCCACTAAAACAGGCTCCCACTATCCTGAAAAGTAGCTAACAAACTACCCACTAACACACTAGCTGACTTGCAGTCTAAGACACGAAAGGAAACTCCTCCCAAACAGACTCGATGACACACAGACTAAAACGACAGAGTAGTGACACAACCAAAACGACACAGCAACACTTGAATTTATTCAAACTTCAACTCGCGCCAAAAGCTCCAGTCTTCAGCTCATCTTCAGTTCATCTTCTAACATCCTCCCATGAACTGAAGACTCTCCCTGACCTTCAGTTCATCACTCCATTGCTCCAGCAAACACCTCTTCATCACACATTCCAAGCTTGCTTCTCAATGCCTCGAAAGTTTCCAATTTCAGTGGCTTGGTCATAATATCTGCAACCTGTTCATGCGTTCCACAGTGCTCCAGCTCAATCACTCCTTCCTTAGCCAGATCCCTTAGGAAGTGAAAACGCACGTCAATGTGCTTACTTCGTCCATGAAGCACAGGATTCTTGGATAGCTTTATTGTCGAGCTGTTGTCACATAGAATCTTGGTGCTCCCTCTCACACAGCCACTCCAACCAATCATCTCCAGAATCCTTCTAAGCCACACACATTGAGTAGAACAGAATGAAGCTGCCACAAATTCTGCTTCTGTTGTGGATAGTGTAACAATAGGCTGTTTCTTCGAGGCCCACGAAATCACTCCATTAGCCAGGAAGAAGGTGTAGCCACTTGTGCTCTTTCTGTCATCCAAATCCCCTGCATAGTCACTGTCAGTATATCCCAACAGTGGCTCTTCTTCCTTCATTCCCTTGTACCAAATACCATAAGCCATAGTTCCCTTAAGGTATCGCAATACCCTTTTCGCAGCAAGCATGTGTTGTCGCATTGGTGACTCCATGAACCTGCTAAGAGTACAAACAATATACATGATGTCTGGTCTGGTGACTGTTACATATAACAGGCTCCCTATAAGCTGTTTGTACTCAGTAGAGTTCACTGAGATTCCATCTCCAGCTTTGGTGAATTTCATTCCAGGAGAGACAGGATTTTTCACAAAATTGCAGCTGGCCAACTGAAACTTCTCAAGCATATCCCTTATGTACTTCTTTTGACAGATAAACATCCCAGCAACACTCTGATGCACTTCCACTCCCAAGAAATATTTCATCTTTCCCAAGTCAGACATTTCAAACTCAGCCTCCATTGACCTTTTAAACTCAGCTATGCACTTAGGATCTGTACTTGTGTATAACAAGTCATCAACATAGAGACTGACAATGAGAACACCTGCATCAGACTTCTTTATGAACAATGTGTGCTCATAGCTGCACCTTTCAAAACCTGACTTGAGGAAATAAGACTCAATTCTACTGTACCAAGCCCTGGGGGCTTGTTTCAGACCATACAGGGCTTTGTGAAGTCTATAAACCTTGCTCTCCTCCCCAGCAACCACAAAACCAGGTGGTTGCTCAACATAGACTTCCTCAGAGAGCTCACCATTGAGGAATGCACTCTTCACATCAAGCTGGTATATAGGAAGAGCATTCTGAGCAGCAAAAGCTAAGATTGTTCGAATGGTATCCCACCTGGCTACTGGGGCAAAGACCTCAGTATAGTCAATACCAGGTTGCTGAGAATACCCTTTAGCAACCAATCTAGCCTTGCTTTTCTCCACAGAGTCATCTTCTTTCAACTTAGTCTTATAGACCCACTTGACACCAATAGGAGTGATGTGTGGAGGTCTATCAGTTAGTGTCCATGTCTTGTTTCTTTCAATAGCAGTAAACTCCTGAGTCATTGCCTCATTCCACCTTGATTCCAAAGCTGCTTCTTCATATGTTTGAGGGTCATTGGATACTGCCATCATGGCTTGCCAGTCTGTGGATGCAAAACCACAGTCATACACAGACAAGTGACTTGGTGGTTTCCTCACTCGAGGGCCCAGGTCCCTACTTGGCAGGCCTAACACATCAGTATTGATGTCATTAGTATCTTCATCAGACTCAGTCCCTGTAGAAGTAGCTAGGGGAGTTTTTGGACTAGGTGGTTGTTCATCAGCTGAAGCTTCTGTGAGAGCAGGTTCAAATTCTGAGTCTGAATCTTCCCACAGATCATCACTTCCTTCCCACACCAGTTGAGTTTGATCAGATGCAGCCTCTGAATCCCAGTTCCAGCCTTTGCTTTCATCAAAAACAACATCCCTACTTGTGACAACCTTCTTGGTGGCAGGATTGTACAGCCTGTAGGCTTTAGATTCAGTGGAAACTCCCAGAAAGTAGCATTGACTACTTTTATCCTCCAGTTTTCTTCTTTGCTGGTCAGGGACATGAACATGAGCCACACAACCAAAGATTCTGAAGTGTGACACAGAGGGTGGTTTTCCAGTCCACAGTTCTTGGGGAGTTTTGCCTTGATTGGCCACAGTTGGACTTCTGTTGTGAATGTGAGTTGCCCATGTAACTGCTTTAGGCCAGAAAGGTGAAGGAACTTTTGTATCTCTTAACATGCACCTTACCATGTTCATAATTGTCCTATTCTTCCTCTCAGCTACCCCATTCTGTTGGGGAGTGAGAGCAGCAGTCAACTGCCTTTGAATACCAGTTTCATCACACAGTCCTTGGAATTCATTCAGCATGAATTCCCCTCCCCTGTCTGTTCGAAGACAAACTATAGGTAAACCTGTTTCCTTTTCCAGTTGAACCTTAAACTTTTTAAACAGACCCAATGTCTCTGACTTGGCTGTCAAGAAATAAACCCAAAGCTTTCTGCTATAATCATCAGTCAAAGTGAATATGTATCTTTTACCTCCATTTGACACTGATGTAAGAGGACCACAAAGGTCTGCATGAAGGAGTTGCAGCCTTTGTGAAGCCCTCCAAGGACTCTTCTTAGGAAAAGGTTGCCTGGTTTGCTTGCCCACCAAACACACAGAGCATACTCCAGTCTCTCCATTCAACTGAGGAAGACCTGCCACTAGCCCTTTCTTGCTTAACATATGAAAACTCTGGTTGTTGAGATGACCAAACCTCCTATGCCACAGTGACACAGGAGAGTCTCTTGAACCAGAAGTCTGTAAGCATTGAATGCTTGATTGATCAGATACTGGATTGGCAGTGGCATGCAGTACAAACATCTTGTTTGATTTCATTTCAGTTTCAAACAGCAACCCCTTCTCCTCATGAAAATTCTTACAACTACCATGCTTAATCAGGAAAGCCAGCCCCTTCTCCTGCCATTGCCCCATACTTAGAAGATTTGACTTTAAAGCTGGAACATAAAACACATCTTGAATGGTAATGGGAAGCTGATTAACAGTAAGTTTCACTGTTCCCTTTCCTGCAACTTCAAGTCTGGTGTTGTTACCTAGCCTTACAGTACATGCTGCACTGGTATTAAGATCAGTAAACCATTTCTTGTTGCCAGTCATATGGTTGCTGCATCCTGAATCAAGAAACCACCAGTCAGTATTAACTTCTTCACAGATTTCCTCCACTGACGCCATTAGCAGCATATCATCTTTAAGATCACCAAAAGACTTGTCCTGCACATAACTGGTATAGTGTGCCTGATGATCCCTGTACCACTCAGGGCACTCATTTCTGTAGTGCCCTAACTTATGGCACTTAAAGCACTCAACTGAGTCCTTGTTCCAGCCCCTGCCACTCCTTCCTCTACCTGTGCTTGAAAAGAATCCTCTTCCCTGACCTCGTCCTCCCCTACCACCATACTCATGAGTGGTCCTAAGGGCCTGCTCCTCATCAGAAGCCCCTCTTTTACCAAACTTCTGTTCATGCACTACTAGTGAACTCTGCAATCCATCAACAGTCAACTGATCAATGTCATTTGACTCTTCAATAGAACATACCACATAGTTGAACCTTTCTGTTAGAGTCCTCAAGATCTTTTCAACTATCTTTCCATCAGACATCTCCTCTCCACAGTTCCTCATATCATTAGCAACTGTCATGACACGATTGAAATAAGCAGACACAGTCTCTCCATCCCTCATTTCCAGCACTTCAAATGTCCTCCTGAGAGCTTGTAATTGAGCCTTTTGGACCCTAGCACTACCCTGACATTTGAGTTTCATGGAGTCCCAGAGTTCTTTGGCAGTAGCTTTCTTGGTAATAGTCTTCAGAATAGATTTATCAATAGAATTAAATAAATAATTCTTAGCTTTCAGATCCTTCAACCTCATGTCATCCAGAGTCTTGGATTCTGCAGCAGACAATGTAGCACCCACAGCAGGCTCCTGGAACCCTTCATGTACCACGTTCCAATACTCTTTAGAGCGGAGGAGGTTCTCCATCAACATGCTCCAATGCTCATAGTCGCCATCGAACTTGGGAAGACCCACTTGGGCAAAGCTGGCATCACTCATGTTTCTGCTTCTGATTGCAGAAACCTCTCTAAAAGTTTGAACGAATCACTCACCCAGATTGAAGAACACCTCTCCAACTCTCTCGTGTTTCCCAAACCCACACTGCACCTCAACAGCAGTATCTCAGTCACTCAGCAGCTTGACAGCCTTGAACTCACTCTCTTACTTTGGCTTGAAAGCACTTTCTTTGGTTACAGTTTGCAAGAGCTCTGATACCAAATGTGAAAAACTCTTTGAAATGCAATCTGACAGTTTGATTTAGAATAAGAAACGGGACTAAGTACAGAGATTAGAGCCACTAAAACAGGCTCCCACTATCCTGAAAAGTAGCTAACAAACTACCCACTAACACACTAGCTGACTTGCAGTCTAAGACACGAAAGGAAACTCCTCCCAAACAGACTCGATGACACACAGACTAAAACGACAGAGTAGTGACACAACCAAAACGACACAGCAACACTTGAATTTATTCAAACTTCAACTCGCGCCAAAAGCTCTAGTCTTCAGTTCATCTTCTAACATCGAACCCCTCTTCCTAATCAACCATGGCCGCCGTCGTTAAGAAACATCAGCAGCCAGCCGACTACGCCAGGAAACCCCAGCAGCGGCCGCCGGACCTCCGACAGGAGCCGTGGCTGGTGTACTCCCACGGCAAGAAGAACGACAAGAAGTCGTCGCAGACGTTCTACAGCCTGTCGGAGCCCGGCCGCGGATACCACGTGCGGGGAATCCCCGAGCTGCGGAACCAAATCATATGTGCATGCTCCCACGGCTGGTTGGTCCTGCTCGACCCGGTTCGAAGAGGCTGCGGCCTGCTCAACCCGGTGACCATGGAGCGGATCGGTCTGCCCGACTTGCCGGGCGAGTTCGTGGTCACGAATTGCGCGCTCTCTTGCTCGCCGGAGGAAAGTGGTGGTGGTGGTTGTGTTGTTATGTTTACTGAGAGGGAGAGGGGGAGCTTTGTTTATTGTAGGGTTGGTGGAAAGGAGGAGGAGGGTCGTTATTGGAGGAGGGAAGAGGTAGTGGATCAAGGGAGTTGTGCTTGTGGTACTGAAGGAGGAGGAGGAGGAGGAGGAGAAGGTTTTATGTGGTGTCATGCAATGGCTAGCCTTGGTGGTGAGTTCTATGTCCTTACGAGCTGCTGTGAGAGCCTGTTCAAGGTCGAGTTCGTCGAAGAAGAAGTTCGAGCTGGAGGCTCTGACGATGACGACGATGATGATCAGGTTGACGAATCGATAAGGTTAGTATAGTTGCTGTAATTAGTAGTTCGGTTACGTGTAGTTCCAAGATAGGGTATAATATATCTGCTCAAAACCCTAAAGCAGTTCCAAGAAACTATATAGTGTTTACTTGCATCCCTTTTCACACTTTTACGTTTAACTTGTTTGTTCAATTACTGTGGATCGCTTAGTTAGAGAGGAAGATATCTTGCTGAATCGTTAACAGTCGGTTTGACTACATGAACAAGTAGCACAAACGTATTATAATTTTAACATGAGGTGGCTAGAAACTTACTTGCATATTGATCTGCCGGAAGATTGTGCCATCTTTTTGTGCCACTACGCAGCCAGAAGCTTCTTCAACAAAATAATCCCGAGAAGAGGGGACGACATCATCGTCGACAATGACGGTGGTCACGAGACCGCGGGTCTCCGTGGCAACACGATCTACTTCACGAAAGCCGTTGGCGACAGGTACCTCTACGCGTACGACGTTCGAGAGCGGAGCGTGAGCGTCTCGCTGCCTTGTCCGAACGTGAAGCGTTTCTACGATCCACCTGGATGGATCCTGCCTGCTGCTTCACTTTTTTCGTACAAAGAAGAAACGATCTCGTCTTCGTCCCCATCAGACGAGATCGTTCCAGTTCGTCCCAGTAACTTGAAGTACTGTTGTTATCATAAGAAGTTCAAGCATCATCAACACGGTTTCCCAATCCTCATACACAAAGGACAGGATGCCGAGAGACTCAACCTGATCGACCCAACGAAGACCAACTCGGTCGGCACATTGGCCCTACCCGGTTCGACCCTAACCGGTGCGATCATCCGCTGCTCGAACCACGGGTGGTTGCTTATGACGCAAGGAAGCTTCGGCGGTGAAATCTTCTTCTTCAACCCGTTCACCAAAGAGAAGATCGTTCTCCCTGGTTTAGGCATCTACGAGTTCGAGGGGATCACATTCTCCTCCCCTCCGACGTCATCCGACTGCACGGTCTTCGGCTACTCGGTTTCCTCCCACGCCGTCTCCGTCACGTTCATTCGCCGTGGACAGCGTCGATGGACCGACTCCATGGTGGAGAGAAAAAACGGATTCCTCAGGAACTCCCTCAGCAATCCAGTCTACCACCAAGGAAAGTTCTATTTCATGGGGACGAATGGGAACCTATGCATTCACGACCCGAAAGAGAGGGAGACCAAGCTCATGGACCTTCCAAAGAAGCCATGTGGCTCGATTCGACGGACCCACCTGCTCGTGTCTCGGGGGAAGCTCGTGGCCGTGTTCGTGGGCTACATGGGGCGGTTCGTTCGGGTGTTCGAGCTCCATCGGGGAGCCATGGCTTGGAACGAAGTTCGCGATCTGGGGGAGGTTACGTTGTTTCTGAGCTCCACTTCTTCGCTCGCTGCTGCTGCGACGAGAAGAAGTGGTGGTAGGAATGGAGCAACTGCAAGGATGGGCGACCAACAGGTGTTTCTAGATAAAGTGGTGGTCGGTGGTGGGAAGAGGAGGAGTGATGATGAGGAGATGTTGATCTATTCTCTTGCGACGAAAAGGTTTCATACTCTCTCGGGAGGATACGAGAGCGATGACTGGTGCGACACGAAAGAATATACGAATTCTGCGTGGATTGAACCGAATTTCGAGACCCACACGAAGGAGGAGCTACGGTGGTTCGATCCTGCGGTTCGAGTCGAAGAGACGGCGGCATGCCCGCGTCCGAAGTCTGATCAATGGTATAAGCAATGTGCAGCAGAGGAGTAATGTCATTGGTTTTTTTCTTCTTCTTGTTGCATAATTTGACTCTTATTTAGATAGTGTTGTGTGTCTATTCATTTGTTCAATTTTCGTGTCATGAATTTTTCGTCCACCTTTCATCGTTCATGGACTTTTTTCGCTTTTCTTAGCTCAATCTGTTCGTGCTGAAATCATTTGGGCCGGACCAATATTACAGCGCGTAAGCCCACTGATTGTGGATCCAGAGCGGGGTTTTTGGAGTACACCAAAGAAAGGATTAAGAGTTAAGACTACGTTAATATTGCCCCGTGATTAGGGGTGTCCATTCGGGTTCGGTTTTTCGGGTTTACTCGAAACCGACCCGATTATATACATTTTCGGTTTTTCATGTTTGGGTTTGTTTCGGGTTTTTGGGTTTTGGGTTCAGTTTTGTTTATCGGTTTTCGGGTTCCGGCTAAAAACCTCCAATGAATAGAATTCAACCCGTATTCTTAGGCGTTCGAGTTTTCGGGTTTCGATTTTGCTTAAACCGAACCCGAACCCGATAAGGAATTTTCGGGTTTCGGGTAACCGGAACCCCGCAAGTCCTTATCGGTTCGGGTTCGATTTTAGTGGTTTTCGGTTTCGGATTTTCGGGTTTTTTCGAGTTTCGGTTCAAATAACCGAACCCGACCCGAACTGACACCCCTACCCGTGATTGGTTATGGACTTATGGGCTATGGCCTTAGCCCTTAAGCACTAACCAAGTAACCATAAGAGCATGGTGCAATTTGAGTGAGCTCAAAGTCTCAAACCCTTTTGCATTGCGCTCATTTGCAAATTCATAAAAAGGAAATTCCACTACTCGATAACTCAATAATATTAGGTGATTCTTCTTTACATTTTATCACATGACTGATAACTCATTTCGATCTTACATTGTTTTCTCGGTTAATTATGTGTTGATGACTTATGAATCGTAACGATATTAGTTATTTATGTTTTATAATAATGACATATGATGTGACCTGATTGTATTTATAGTGATTTGTAGTTTCACCGGCCTATGTATTGATCCGAATTGTAGCTTGATGGCAACCTGTTCAAGACCCACGACAACACCAAGTATCCATTTCAATCTCAAATGTATAACGACCAAGATCCTCAATAACCTGTCACCGCGGTTCATCGATTGAGTTGTTACACAAGTAAATTTTTATCCTACTTATAATTAACCTCATTGATTTTTGGTAATACCATAAAGTACTTCCATATGTCTTTCTTCCAATTCCAATCTTAGCAATATTAATAAAACATTCATCGGCAAGAAACGTGCATGGTAGACCTAGACCAGAGACAAGCTAGCAGCTAGCTCATCACTTCTTCTTCTCTCACATATGAAAGGGAAGATAGTGCCATGATTCTAAGAACCGGTGGTAAATCGTACGGACAGACCGGGTCCGATCAACGGGGGGGTTGGTGGCTGGCCGCCGGTGCACGCGGAAACCGTACATTACAGACAACGCACACAGAATCGAAGACCGTACCACCGTAGAAAGGAAGACGTGGCGGTGCATGCCTGCCTGCCCGCCTGGAGGATATTATATCATATTATATTCACCCATAAATATCGAGCTATTCATGGACAATATATATAGATATGGAAAATATTAATTAAATATTAATTATGATACTAGACAAACAGGAGGTTACAAAGATTGTCAAACCGTTTTAAGTTGTTGGGTCGGTCAAATAAGTGGTTTGAGTTTCAATGATTTGATCAGAGTCCAATTTATCTGAGTTGTTTCATACATTTTCTAAATAAAATATAATTACTAAAATAAAATTTACCTTACTCTATTAGAAACTCACCATCCATAAAAATAGGGGTGTTCAAATGGTTAACGTGGTAATAACCAAACCAATTAAGTCTAAATTTCATTAACCATAAAATAAAATATCTTAACCAAACCGTCCAAATTAACACAAAAACCAAATTAACCAAACCAAAGTTTAAATGGTTTGGCTAATCGGATTAACCAAATAACATAACATTACATGAAAACAATTATAAGACTAACCATCCATGATTATCATCATCATTCGAGTTAATGAATCATTCATCATCTCTGCACCTAATATAGTTAGCTTACAACAAACCCTTAACATAAATATTAAATACATACCAATACCACTCCTCAAGAAGTTAAAGCTCTCCTACAAAACACTTAAACTATACATAGTTTGAGGTGGCTGACATGGTATTGTACGTAATCCTAAAGTCTAGTAGTTGCCCAAAATGTTTTGGTTTAGTAAATAGGCAGACCCATTTAATTTTTGATCCATAATGCTTTGGTTTGTTGTGCACATGGAAATAGAACAGGGAATCATGAAAGTCTGGTTTGGTTGCATAGAAGTATAAATAATTTTGTATATTAGGTGCATCATTAATTGGTTAATTGGTTTCATTGGTTAGCAGTGTTGAAACCAAACCAAACCACCTAAACCAAATAAGCTAAAATGTTTAACCAAACCAAACCAAACCAATTATCCAAATTAACTAAACCAAAAAATTAACCGAATACTACCAGTTAATATGATTACCAGTTACCACGGTAACCAATCCGTTTGAACACCCCTACATAAAAAGTCTACCAGCTGGCCTCACAATCCACCTAGCATCCCCTTCTAAAATCATAAATCATAGATTCTTAAATCATACAATCATATAGTACATATTCAATGTATTTTGAAAATTCAATAGTATTATAAACTTAGGAACTAGTTTTTACCAATTATTGTAAAGTCGTATAAAAAATTGTACGGAAGAGATCGATAATAAAATATTTGTATTTAAACTGTGATTTAACATTAGTTCATTCGTGTTGTCCCGATAAAATCCTATTCCAACTTGAATTTAGGAAAAGGATTTTCCGGTCAGACTATCTTGCTTAACAAACACTTGTTTTTACTCATATAGTATGTGGTATCATCAAATTTATTCTAGATATCAGGAAAATTTTGAAGTGGATACATACTTATAGACCGTTTGGTACCAAATGAATTAAGAATTCATTTCATTTTAAAATGAATTACCCTGTAGAATTCATTGTCAAATGAAATCTTGTGTTTGGTATGTCATATTCAAATCCTTAGAAATAAAATAAATTACCGTGCAGAATTCATTATTAAATGAATTTTTGTGTTTGGTATGACATATGTATAAGTAATTTAGTTAATAAAAGAGGATAATTAATTAATTATATCATTCTATTATAATTAGTAAATACTTGTGGAATTCATTTGGAAATTTCATCTCAATTCCTCGTAATTGCTATAACTAGTTCCAATTCCATAGAATTCAAAATTTAGAATTGAAAATGAAATTCTTTTAAATACCAAACACAAAAATATTTCATATCAAGATGAATTCCGCAAAACTTATGGAATTCATTTATACCAAACGATATGTTATTTATTTTTCTAATTAAATGAACTATTTAATAATTACACACATCACACGTGCAAGCTATGGAGGGGACGAAGAGAAGTACTACTGACTGACTGAATGAATATAAAGGAGGTGGGTATTGAGGGAGACAGAATCATATGAGCTAAGATCCAGCTGTATATCATCCAAAACCCTAATTTGACATTTTCGGGGGAATCTTCTGGGAACAGGCAACACGGTTTGGGTTTGTTTGTTTTGAGTATAATTATGCTATGCCCCATGAATTTGTGACGGCAGGTCACTGTAGTTTGACTGACAAAGAGAGCTATAAGAGTATTACTCGATCGACATTCCAAGTCATGCTATCATTAGTTTAATAACAAGTGATCACTTTCAAGTAGAAGTAGAGAAAGGGGTTGCAAAAATATGTTTGGTTGAATGGTTTGTGATGTCAGGATTTTGAATATAAACATTGCGATTTTAATGTTCGTAGATAGCTGCTTTATTCATCTTGTTTTCTTCTCTATTGAGGCAATCGTAGAAGAAAAAGATTTGTGTTGCGTAATTGCATTGCTAATTGAGTGAACTTAGCTTTTGTTCTGTGCAAAATTGGATTAAATTTGTACGATGAATCGTCATAATATGAAAAGTACACCTACATTTGACTACGTACATAAATAAAATAAAAACAACACATGAATTTAGATGAAAGATTTAGATCTTTCATTTTGTGACATCTGTTGTTCAACATGGTTCAAAGATCATCCTATCTAGTGGGAAAACAAGGACTGAGAAGGTCAAAGATTCATCTATAAACTTATCAAGGAGCTTCCAATAAACTTGTAGGAAGTAAATATGTTGTTAAAAAGTTAGGTAAACTAAACAATTGAAAAAAACCGTCATTAAGAGTAACAAATAATGATTAAAATAATGTTATAAGTAGAGTCCAAAGGTTGAAAGCATTCATATGTGGTCATAAACGTCACACAATTCATCATCATACCATGAAATCAGCCATAACTTAAAATATGGAGCCGAACATAGCCTAGAGGATCCCATAGGCAGAATCTTTCTCCTCAAGTAGTCAATACGAGTATTGGTGATCAGCGGTTCTCTACATACTTTCTCGATTGTTTCGCTTTGATATCTTGATTCTCTTCATCCGATTTAGACTTTCAAGAGCAATAATCCAAACTCCGCTATCACCTAAGCTTGCTTCTTACATGTTCCATTCTACAATCCGATAAAAGATCAAGCAATGAAAACAATCTCAAAACCCACAATACACTTTTTTTTACTATATCCACCCACACCTAAAGAAAGAACCAACGGTTAGGATTCAATTGCAAACACATAATGGTTCAAATTCGCTCCCCTGCATAAAGAACGGGCTCTAGTTTTACACGTATACTAACCGATTATAGAATACAAGAATCGATCCTCAATCAACTTATAAAACATATAGCTAGGGGCACTATTTATAACTAACCATAACATTACTATGAACTAACCAATATTATAGAATGAAAGGTAATTAAAAATTTCTTCATGATCTCAACATGAGGTTGACATCCTTGCTGAAAGATATTGCATATTAGCCCCCAAATTAAGCTTCCATGAGCTGACCGAGTAAAACCCAACAGTCTCCCCCTTCCATCCTTATAGAAAAAAACATTAATCATCATCAATACATTAATCAATTGTAGGACCAAAACATGTCCTTGTCAAATAAATTACACATTCATATCAAAGATCCTGAGATTCATACACCTTGATATGATTGACAATTTAATAAGAAAAACACTTGAAGAGACTCGAGTAGTCACTCTACATTCATGCAATGCAACCCATTGCCAGCCCATCTATCCATAGCTTCCATAAATTAAACAACATTTGTCAATGGCTACCAAAATTAAAGGCAACTACTTAGAACCTCACTCTTGCTTTGCTTTGCTACCCACACCCACACACTCAACACAATTATTATTAGTATTAAACAAACCCATAATTGTCACACGTCATCACATCCATTTTCCCACCTTTCTAATCACTTCTTCATCTATTTAAGCCCCTCATTCTTCACTCTTCCTAAATCTCAATTTTCTCCACTTGTTCCATTATCTCTAACATCTTTAGTGCTAGCTTCTCATCAAACCTATAAGGTAGCTTCCCATTCTCAAACACATTCATACCCCATTGCTTTCCTCCTAGATAGTGTCGTTAAAGGGTGGAACATCGATTCGTGCAACCATCTCAGTCGAAAACTAGTCAGTCGGTTTATCATTTTGCTGGCTCTTCTATCCATTGTTGACATTCCTACTTACATAAACCCAGCTTCTCATTCTTCAATTATCACATTCCTTTTTTTATAAACAATAAGACTGTAACATCAGTTTACACGACCACAAAATTTCTGAGTCGAAATTCTGTTGTGTTACTGGTTCTACGGCTAGTGGCTAGCTCAAGAGATTACATATTAGGGTTTTCCTTTCTCACCGTGCGACTCTTTTTCCTTGCTAATTCCCACCAAACAATGGAGCAAGGAGGCAACAACGGCCACGGCGGCGGGGCGCCGCGGAGGTACAGAGGGGTGCGGCAGCGGAAGTGGGGGAAATGGGTGTCGGAGATCAGGGAGCCGGGGAAGAAGACGAGGATATGGCTGGGGAGCTACGACACTCCCGAAATGGCGGCGGCGGCTTACGACGCAGCAGCATTGTACCTCCGCGGCGGCGCAGCCGCCGGTGGGGCCCAGCTGAACTTCCCGGAGCTGGCCGGGTCGCTCCCCCGTCCGGCCAGCTCCAGCGTGGAGGACGTCCAGGTGGCGGCACAACAAGCAGCCGCCCGAATGATCGTGAATCATAATAATATCAACCATCCGGCGGCGGTTCATTCCCCGGAATCGTGTATTTCGGAGGAAGGAGAGCAGCTGATGGGCGGAGACGATTTGGGTCGGTTCGGGTTGCGACCGGTTCGGGTCGGGCTGTCGCCGAGCCAAATCCAGGCCATCAACGAGACGCCGATGGATTCGCCGAACGTGTGGATGGAATTGGCGGGAGCGTTGCTGCGCGGCGGGGGGAACCAATACGACGGCGCCGTTTCGATGGATTTGGATGGGGCGGTGATCGACGGCTGTGATTTCAGCGGGTTGGACGAGATCATGGAAATGCAATATTTCCAGCCGTCCATTTGGGATTACTGATTGATAATCAAAATCATTATAATTTAACAATGAAGGAAAATAAAAACAATTAATCATATTTTTGGGTGTGGATTGATATATATAGAATATATATTGGTCTATGCTTCTATATTATTAATTTATTATACACTTGAAATAATAATAATAAAATATTGGGTAGGGTGGGGAAAGTTTTGAGGATGCTTCCTCTATTAGAGGCAATTTGGTTTTTAATATTTTTGTGCCCCCTTTTTTTATGGTTCTTTTTATTTGATTAAGGATGATGGGAAGGGGGGGAATGAATCTATATATCTGAGTTGGTTGGGCTGCCTGTTTTTGACAAGCCTTTCTTGCTCTCTTTATGATGTAATGAGGCAATTTTTATGTGATATATATCAATGTAATAACACTATATATGATATTAGTGTTGTTAATTAATTAATTATTTGTTTTTCTATTTATCACAAGATAAATTAATCGAATTGAATTCGAGGGGTGATTTAGTTTCGTTGCCATGCCAAAGATCCGGTCTGGAAGCTTCAGTTTAACACGGTAGAGCCTCGGTCTGACTTTTAAGTTCCCAATAAATGAAGGACAGAAGGCTATGGAACAAGTTTGCGGGAGTTTAAAAATCCTATACATCGAAAGCCAATTTATCCCGGTTTGTAGAGAATCAAATATGAATGATGTATAATTTTGATGCTACACGATCCTTTAATCATTATTTTTTGAATATTAGTCTGGATGTAATGAATTTGTTGTGGTTCCAATTCGACTTGTTGATATATACATGTATCTTATATCAATTTCTCTATACATTCTCTTTAAACGAAAATTAATCTATGGGCTAGAAGTTGCACGAAGTCCAATATATATACATATACATTGTAGAATCTATGCTACCATTGGACATCATGAAGATTTAGAGCACGAGACTTGTTGACCTAATGGCTCTAATACCATGCAATTCAGTTGTTTTCAGTATCTCGAGCTCTTGAAAAATGTCAAAAGTATTGATCTTATATCCATTCCTCTAGATTGAGCACTAAATGACTATAAACCCATGATGAAGTATTTTATCTTGGAATCATTATAATTTGAATATCAACTCTTCATTAATAATGCAATTCCAACCATAAATCATTTTCTCTCTTTTTATAGATAGAAAATGGTGTAAACAAACATTCTTCAACTCCGAGTTAACATAAGCAAGTTCATGAACTAAGAGCGATCTTCATTCTCCTTGTACGATCGAGTACATTAAGCACATGCACGACTATGAACCGATTTCACATCCTCTCTGCCTTACCACCATCTAAGCAGAAACAAAGATTTTTCTTTTAACATCTGAAATTTATTTATGGAAGTTAAGATGTAACAATCCAGGATTGTGTCCTTTGCAATTGGAAGGAATCGTTGGTCGGCTTCAAATGTCTCCTCAACTTTCCTAATTATGTTCAGTTTTCTTCAAGTATGAGAAAAAAGATTAACTAATGTGGGGTAGTGGGCGGCTTAATTAAAACTCAAAAGTGCACCAGTTCTTGGGTCCTACGATAGGACTTCGATCCCTAGATATTGGTTGTATCATATGTGTCATTAGCATGACCACAGAAAGGGACCTAATCTAATCTAATCTAATCATTACCCTAATCTTAATTATTCATCACTTACATATAAGCTAATTTTCGTTAATTAGTTGGTTACCGGCTAATCAACTAAGTGAGAAACTTTCAAACGTCTGGAAGGGTATATACCATTGACGGTTGAGTAGTTAGTAGCACCAAGCGCGTCCACCTTCTAGTTAATTTCATCCTCTGGATCAAAGAGTCAATTACACATCCCAAATCCCAATCTATAATTTACTAACTCAACACATTGGTAAGTGATGATGATGATGGCAACCGGTTCAACCGTTGGCCCATTTTGACCTAAATGGGGTTGGACTCGAACTTATGCCTGAATTGGACCAGACACGAATCTAGTAGTATAGATTGCGTATATAATGTAACACACTCAGTTCGGAAGATGCACTATCTTTTACCAAAATATCATTAATAAATAATTATCATTAAATTCTTGGAAAGGAAGTGAAACCGTTTCATATTAAACTACACTTAAAACATGAACAATCTTGAAACACTGGTTTAATAAATATTCATTTTAAAATTACATCAAATCTCTACTCCTTAGGCAAAATCTCACATCGGCAAAGCCAAAAGAGATACATGGGCAATAAGGAACAACTAATACCTTAACCTAACAATATGCATTTTCCAGTGAAATGAATGAGTTTTAGTAAACTCTGAAGTTAAACGTGATCAGGGCAGAGCAATGCATAGATCTAAAGCAAACAATATTTTAATAGGAAAAATGGTTGGGATGTCATATTTAACATGGATTTTTTAACGAAATAATATAATGATCCATCCGTTCTTTTGAATGCTATATATATTTCACATATTGGACAACTAAATTATTGAACGAGTAAATGTGAAGCAGTTGTTGTTTGCATGCAAGTTGGCAGCATATATAAATTAGCACGCAATCATCTTTGGATTCCTTCCCCGATACCTTGATTAGTAGAGCACAATTGCTTCCTGAAAACCCACAATTACATATGCCAACCTTCCCTCCATACTTCCCCTCGTGTATCATGGCCGTGCTGTCTCTTGTTTGCTGCTCTCTTAACCCTTATTTAACTAGTAATTTGGGATTTGAGATCTAAATTAAACTAGGGTCTGATAAAAACCTTTCTAGGAGTAATAATTAGTTCATCGTTTTGCTTGATCTACACCTAAACCTTTCTATTAACCTAGCTAGTTAATGGCGATTATGTATCATGATAGATTCGTGACAAGTTCCTCATTTTTTACGGGAAAGTAGCGAACATTAGTACATGACTCATCATGCTTGAATGCATCGGTATATATAGATCTTTGTGATCGTGTCAAGACATGTCGACAATGCTCTTCCCGAACGAGACAAATAAGTAAGCACACTTGATCACCAATGCCGACCATTATCATAACTTTCTACCCGTAACCCACAAGTTGTAGCGTGCATATCATCCCAACAACTCTTTTGCCAAAAATCATTTCGGAATTGAAAGTCTTGGAGCAAAATTTCATTACTTTGAAAGGATCAAAGAGGACGGGATCCGCAATGAAGATGGATGAAAATGACCATTTCGGTACATGTTCAATGTACTATTTTGAGAAAATTTAGAATTATATGACCATTATGTGCGGATGTCAAAATTATATGACCATTTTGTACAGCTACCCAAAGGTTTAGTGGCTGTTACTGTAAATTACTAAATTAACCCAAGATAAGGCAAATGCCGCCAAAAACCGCAATCAATCCACGACAAAAGTCCAACGAGGACACATGGCGCGCCTCGGGATTCTCAACGAGGAAACGAACCCGGGAACCCGCCAAATCCACGTCATACCTCTGATGGCCCCACCCCCAAATTGCCCACGTGGCACCGTCAGTTGGTTTTTGCTCTCTCTCCCCCTTCTTCTTCTTCTTCACTTCATTCCTTGCTTCCTTCCTTCGCCATACTCACCAAAGCCGAATCGTCTCCCTGCAAGGCTGCAACAAACTCAGAAGTTACTTTCTCGCCCGCCAAACGAAAGAGAACGGGAACTGCATTTCCCTTCCCTTCTCGGCTTCTCCCACGCCGCCTTCTTTTTCTCTCGAGCTAGAAGCAGAGTCGGATTTCACCGGAAATGGACATTCGCCGCCCCGTGATAAATTGTTCTCCGCTGCCAGCCGTTTTGTGATCCCCGAGGTTTGCAATTCCCGCGAAATGCTGGAAGATTTTCCCCCCTACTGTTTGTTTAGGTTTACAGCTTGTAGTACTGAATTGCATCGTTTCGTTCTGGAAGGCGCGAATTGGGCTGGAAATGGCGACTGAAGTGGTGGCTTCTTCCGCTGTTGCTGCTTGCTGTTACGGCGGCGAAGGTTGGTCCCAGACGGCGGTGTATCGCGACGGAGAGGACTCACAGGTTAGTGAGTTGAATTTGGTTCCTTCATACAGCTTTTGGCGGATTCCTAACCTCTGTTTGGCTACTGCTGCTAGGGATTTGTAAACAAATTGTTCTTTCTGTAAATGTTCGAATTGCAGGCTTTCCGCATCTCAAAACTTGCGGATCATGGCTCGATTTCATTTGGGAGATACGAATCGGAGGGTCTAGCTTGGGAGAAGTTCTCGGTGTTCTCTCCCAACAGGCGCAAGGAGGACGTGGAGAAGTCTACTGCGCCAGGTTTTGTTGCTCAGAAGAAGGCCTATTTTGAGGAATACTTCAAAGGGTTCAGAGCTATGAAAGGGTTGTTCAAACGGGAATCCGGGGTAGAGAGCAGCATCAGGGCAGGGAAAGATAACGGTGTCGAGATGATCGATCATGACTCGACGAAATGGGGAAGCTGCAGCAGTAGCAGCTATGCTGTGCCAATTCAGGTTCTGGAGAAGGAGGATCATGCAGATCTTGTTTCTGAACACAATGTTTCCACAATGATGAGGGGTGAATGTGGGAAAGGTAAAGGTCAATCTCAAGGAGATGGTTCCTCCATTGGGAATCCAGATACCTTACTAAAAGATGGCTTAAAGTGCTCCAAAAACGGGAATCGTGCAAAACAAGCAAAGAAACAGATCTCTGCCAAGGTAAATGAGGAATCTTGTAGTCTTTGTTGTTAGGATTCACGTCTCCATCTGCAAATGTATGATAGCGATCCACCTGCATTTCGTTTTTATTGAACCAGGGGTCTGTTGCTTCAGTTGCAAGTATACCGAAATTGGGTACAGATTTAGGGAAGAGATCTGGGGGGTTGAAGCCATCTGTGAGTCGAAGTGTTACGAAGAAGTTGGTGAAAGAAATTAATCCTGCCCAAGCTTCCACGAACACTAAATCTAACCAGGCCCGTTCCCTTAGGAAACTTGGTGAAGTTCAGAAGAGTACAGCCACTGGTGTTCACGTGAAATCAACTAGAGAGAAGATGGTCTCGCCTACAAAGACCAAAAACAGCATAGTGAAGCCAAATGTAACTTCAACTAGTTCAGGAAAGCTTTCAGTATCTGCTCAGGTAAATCTGCACATTCTGAATTGCTCCCCCCTTTCACTGCAACTAGGTTCCTGGTTTGTAACTCGAGTGCATTTTTGCAGAACACGAAAGGGACCACCATCACTGGCCATCAGAAGAGACCAAGTCTCGCTAACAGGTTTGATTTTTGCAATTAAGAACTCGAGATTTTTTGTGTTGTTGTTCTGCCCATGTTAATTACTGTCTGAAAAATGGAAAGTAGGAACTGCAATGAAGTTGGCAAGAAGTCATTAAGCCCTAGTGGCTGCCAAAATGGAGGTGAACCAGAGAACCTGAGGCCAAAAGCCATGTAAGCCAAAGCAATTATTTTGAGTTGTCTCCAATTGCTTAAAATTGCGAATTCATAGAAGATTTAACATTTGAACAAATGCCAGGTCAACAGATCCTGCTGCCAACAATGCATCAAAAGCTGGGGCCAAGTCTGCAAGGATCACCGGGAGGGGAGAAAAGCCGGAAAAGGTCTGCTATCATATTCGAATGCCTGCCTTATATTTATAACTTCTCTTTTTAAGTCACAACCATCGAAACATTGTTGAACCTAGGCTAGATGGAACATAATTCTGTTAGCACTACATACTTGAATGTCAAGCAAGTTTTTACTCTCATGAAGAATTCAGGATTAGTAGGTCGTTAGCACTTTCTGACTTCATTTGCCAACTGATTGTCCAGGGGATGACTGCACCCAATGCTCGAATCGGAAGAGAACCCAAGCCTTCCCCATCTAAAGTGAGAGTCATTCATAAGACATCAAAAGACAACACTGAGCATAAGGTAATATTACGATATATCTCACCCAAGTTGCTCCTCTGGTTTCACTTCCACCAGAAACCACAAATTAGAGAACTAATGTTTTTGTCGAGCTAGCTGGAACATAATATTCCACATGTAACTGAAAATGTTGTTAAAAATGTTCTTCCATTTCAGATTTCTTCATCAAGAGTAGGCTTGCCGAACGAGATGAAAGATACAAGGTTAGAGAATAAATCTTGACTTGCTATTCCTTTTCTGGATCTGATTTCACTGCTTCAGAATTAGCTGCTATAGATTCGTGCTTGCCAATAACTTATCTATGTACACGGTGAAATGCGTACAATTTGGTTATCTTCTCAAGAACCATTATCTTTTCTGTCATGCAGACAGCGGATTCCAACTTGGCGTAGAGTTTAACATAACATTTCGGGAAGGTGACACTCTCTAGGAAGCTGGCAGAAGATAAATGTCAAATTTGAGATGAACTCTACTCGAAGATAAACATCTGAGCAAGTGCTGGGTACTAATAGCATAGCAGATTAGTAACTATTGAATCGTCAACAAGCTAACTTCAAAGCCAGTATCACAATGCTGCATTCCTCCTGGAGAAGTAGAACTGATGGAGTTCACCATGGGCCGATAGAAGAAAAGACCGTAACATGAATATAACCAAGCTCAGACCAGAATGGTCTTCTGAAGACGCTACTTCTCTTTGTCAATCTCACATACTGAATATGAGCTTTGAAGTCAAATCTGTTCTTTTTTCCTGATATAATTTCTGCAAGTTGAGCCCCATTTCTTGGTTCATATCTTCATGATCAAGCATCGTCTCCCCCATGGAAGATTCTCTCTCTTGCTTTAGATGCCTGCCATGAACACACACACATACACACAGACACGACAGGAGGTGAGTATATTCACTGTTCAGCATGATCTTACTGTACATTTCTCCTACGAACAGGACAACTATGTTAAATGCTTGAACTTGAAAAATAACCTGTTGTTGCCAATCTGTGAGAGCTATTCTGAAAGCAAACATTGTTGCCTGCACAAATGATCCACTTGCCAGTCCTATCAACAATCCCTTCCCACCTATGTGCACAACAAAAGCCAACACTACAGCTACTGGTGTTCCAACCAGATAGTAAGCTCCAAGGTTCACATAAGCCCCTAAGTTCTGCCAACCAATTCCCCTCACAACCCCTGTTCCACCCACGAAACAATCGTTGATCAAGTCAGATCAATTTGGTCTCCGGTACGTGGTTTAGTAGAAACGTGTCGAGCTGGTCTCGTACGATATAATTCATAGAGTGGTGGTGGTTACCTGAAAGTACAGTTTGTAAGGTGTCCATGACCACCGAGGCACAAATGAAAGGAGCCATGTCTGCAACTTTCTTTACTATCTCTTTGTCGCTGCTGAAAGCATACCCCAAAAAGCGTCGGCAGAGGACTAGAGGTACGATCACAACGACCAGCTCGATAATCGCAAGAACGAGTATCGCCCCGACTGCCATTTTCGCTGCCCTCGGGTTCCCTGCTCCCAGTTCATTTGACACTCTAGTACTGTTCAAAGATCATCATCCTTCCACTTATTAGTTAGTGTTTTTTCTGGTAGAAATGGACTGACCAAAAGCAAACTCTGAAAGCACAAACCTTACAGTAGCTCCGAACCCATATGGAATGAAATAGTGGAGATAGGTTATTGTAAAGCTGCACACAAATGGAGATATCATAGCTTTAGGCATTCCTCTCTATGTTCAGCAATAAGCTAAGTAGAAAGCTTACCAAATAGAAAGAACTGAGGTTTCCACTTTTGGGCTTGGCAAGAGCCCCGACAGCAATATCAGCACCTCATACGACCACCACTCAAGACTACAATTAACGAAAAATGTCGAAATGGTTAGCGAGAGGTCAAGCGTTAAAGTTCTTATATGGCGCAAAAAGGGTAAGATTTTGTTTACAGACCAGGTCATTACCGCGGAGGGAGCAGCAAACCTCAGGAACTCCCCAGCGGCTAACAACACATCCTTGAACACGAACTTACACCGAGTTCTCATGCATTCTGCAGAACGAGCCATGTAAACGCCTAGCAATACCACATAGACCCAGTACGATAAGCTGACAGCCAATGCAGCTCCAATGGTTCCCAATCCTGATCTGAACACCAGAGCCCAGCAAAGAGGGATGTGGATGCAGAGTGTTGCAAGTGAGCTGAAGAGCAGTGGAGTGATCAGTGATTGTGCCTGGAAGTATCGGATCAGTGCCTGGAGTATCGCGTAGGAGAAGAGGTTCGGGATGAGGCAGATCGAGTAGCTGCGAGCTAATTTCGAGACCGAATGGTCCTGCCCTGTGAGGATGAGTAGCTTGTCTGTCAAGAAAAGCCAGAGGATGGAGATGGGGAAGCATATCAAGGTCATGGACGCGATGGCGGTGTAAGTGTAGGTTGCGAGCTTGTGGTACTGCTCTGCTCCGTAGGCTTGGCCGCATAGTGTCTCCAACCCTCCCGCCATTCCAAACTGCATTTCTTAGTCAGTGTTTCAGCTGAAGGAACTGCTCAAGGCAGCCATGAATTATGAGAAAGATGCTGTAACGTAACTCACAAGCAAGCTGAAGCCGGTAACACTGGTGAAGGAAGAAGCAATGGAGGCGGCGGAGAGGGAGAGCTGGCCAAGGTGGCCGACCATCATGATTGAAACTACCTGAAGAAGGTATTGCAGAACTGTGACGGCCACCATTGGAGCTGCTACCAAGCTCACTTTCTTCAGCTCTTTCAAGCTCACCAGCCATTTGCTGCTGCTGCTGCTGCTGCTACTCCTACTGGTAGTGCTAACCGCCATTGTTTCCATAGATTCTCCTTTTTTGGACCACACTTCTTCTGCTGCGCCAAGACAAGGCTTGAAAGTTGTATCTGCTGGTTTATAAACCTGAATAGTTTGGACTTCCCTACACGGTTGAAAAAGCCTGAAACTTGGTTTTTTCTTGGTTTTTCCACATCATCCACACATAATCCAGAGATTTGTTTATTAGCTAATTTGTGTCACAATCGTTGAGGTGTTGGGTTCGAGACAATTTACTTTCGTCTTCTAATTCTATCAACCTTACATCTAGATGATATTCGCTTTGGATGGTCACCAGCTCGTGTTGTATGAATCGGATTAACCACGATTCAAGGTTGAACCATGACAACAAAAGTTTGTGGTAGAGAGATGTGGATTTTCCATTTGTGGTGAGGGACAATTCTTTCCCCATTTAGCAAAATATTTGGGGTAGGATCTTTGGCCCCCCTCTTACCTTTGTCATTATGTCTCTTGAGCCTTTGTCCAATATCACAAAAATAAAAAAAGGTAAGATAATGTTAAAAATAAAAGCCCCCTAATACTGGTGGTGGTGTCTGCTTTGGACTCGAGTTTGTTTCTTATTCACTCATTTATGTTTTTTATATTTGCCAAGTTCTGGTGGCGAATGTCATTCCTTCACTGCATCTGCATGATTTCCTCTTTATATCATCAATCAATCTGGACTTATTTTAAAAAATCAAAAGCAAATCCCAGTGAAGCATATATATGCTTAGGCTTTCTGCTAGTAATGAAGACTTCCCAGTTGTTTATCTAAGTCTAAAAGCAAACTTTAGTCCTAATGTTAGTGCCTTAGTGGTATCTGCTTTGGACTCAACTTTGGTTTCTTTCTTATTCACCCATTTATGTTTCTTATAATTTTGTATTGGATCATCTACCATTTATAGTGGCCAATGCCATCCCTTCACTGATGCATTTTGCTTGGACTCTCAACCACTTACAAGATAAGACAAACAAGAGATGTCCATGATGTTAGCTTATGTATGTGGGATTCAAAATTGTTACATTTATTATTTAATATGATGTCGGATAATAAATAAGAGTAATTATTTCCGGTAGAACAAGTAAACAATCATATTTATCGGTTTTTAATCTTTTAGGATTTGGTCATTTCTCATTCTCCCAATCTCTATTTGCCAACTTCATAGACACTATGGAAGGAAGAGGAAAATACATTCATTGATCCTAAAACACTCCAATGGATAATAGAATGGTGCAACTCCTCCAAGTTGAGTGATAAAAGTATGCCTCGTAAGTCATGGATGGGGTGGTTATTTATCCAACCAAAAGTAATAATGTGAATAAACTTTTGTAAGTTTGTAAGGACTTTCTTAAGGTACAAAATCTAGAACTTCAGTAAAATCCCACTAGAAATCATGAATAGTCTTTGTATGTCCACATCTCCTTCTAGTAAGTTACTTCTCTAAATTTGCACCTTTTAGGAACTCGTTTCCTCATACAAGAAGCCTTTGAGCACCATGAAAAATTGGAGCATCCATAGACGAAATCAAGGACCCTCTTGTAGCTCTACTCCATGAAAGATCCTCTCTCTTGCTTTCAATGCCTGCAATGAGCACACCAACCCACTAGGTGAACACTCTGAATATAAATTAGAGCAGATGATTGTCTGATAGTATGTAGTTTGGGAAATGCTGCATTTGAAATGAATGGATTTCATAAACCTAGTGAATGGTAAGAATGCAACATTCAGAAAGTTGGGATAATGGCTGGCCAAGTTTCAACCTTTTCAGGTGAATGACCATTTCTTTTGCCATAAATTAAAGGTAATAAATAGAAACTGGGAAAGAAAATACCTGCTCTTCCCAGTCTATAAGTATCAGCCTGATACCAAACATGGCTGCTTGTATTCCTGATCCAGTTGCTAATCCAATTATCAGCCCTTTCCCTCCCAAATGCGCAACAAAAGCCAGTATAGCAGCTAATGGTGTCCCAACAAAATAATAAGCCCCAAGGTTCACAAAGGCACCCATGTTCTGCTTCCCACTTCCCCTCACAACACCTGAATCCATACACAAAGCACAGCTTTTCATGATTCAGAAGTTACATCTAGAAACTGCGTTTTGATGCTGCTATACTAGAATTCACCCTTTCTTTTTACCTGAAAGCACAGATTGTAAGGTGTCCATAGTGGCTGAGAGGCACATGAAAGGAGCCATGTCCGCAACATAATCCACGATTTCCTCGTCGTTGCTGAAAGCATACCCCAAAATGTGTCGACATAAGAAGAGAGGCAGGATTACAATGGCCAGTTCCATTCCTGCGAGAATCATCACAGCTTGAACTGCCATCTTGGCTGCCTTCGGATGCCCTGCTCCCAACTCGTTTGACACCCTAGTACTGGATAAAAAACAGTCTTCTTTTTAGCAAACAGAATACCAGGAGAGTTTGTTGGGGTGGTGAATTGGTGAAATGAGAAGAGATCGTTAAAATGTTGTAGTAAAAGAACTCACCTTACGGTGGCTCCAAACCCATAAGGAATGTAGTAGTGCAAGTAAGTGATTGAGAAGCTGCATTCGGTAAGGTTAGAGAGAGTTACGAGCGATGTTCTCATTTAGAAGAAATGGAAACAATGTGGAGAAATACAAAGGCTGGCCGTACCAAATAGAGATCACTGAAGTTTCTAGCTTTGGATTTGGCAAGAGTCCAGCCAGCAATATAAGCACATCATATGACCACCATTCAAGGCTGCAATTAGACAAGACAAAGAGCATGTTTATTCAGGTCAAAGTGTTCAAAAGCAAACTAAACTGCATGAAATGTGATGCAGTCTAACCATATTTCTAAATGTTCAGCAGGTGAATAGCAGATCAAATATATTTTGGGGGTCTCTAACACTATAAAAAGGGCCACATAGATGCTCCAGTTAGCTACCCGACAGAAGAGGAATGAATTATGATGGGTTTGAGTAATGTGGTCTTAGGTGGGTTCGAGAATTGAGTAAATGGGTCGCTCATTCAGCTGCATTAGGGGTCTATGTGGCATTTTTATTAATGATGTGAGATAGCTTAGTCAGTGCCAAGTTCACCGAAAATCAAAGTCTAGTGGTTAAATTTGTCAAAACACTTCTAAATTGCCACAAGTTTATGAAATCATTTCCCCCCAAAATGTCAAAAGAACAACATACCAGGTCATCATGGCAGAAGGAACAGCAAACCGCAGGAACTCCCCAGTTCCTGACAACACCTCCCTAAACTTGAATTTAGGCAGAGTCTTGGCACATTTGGAGGAGCAAACCATGTATATCCCGAGCAAGATCACATTAGCCCAAGTCGAAATACTAACAGCCAATGCAGCACCGATAAATCTCAACTCCGTTTTGAAGACGAGAAACCAAGAGAGAGGAACATGGAGGCACATTGTTGCAAGTGAAGCAAAGAGCATGGGAAGGATCAAGCTCTGGGTTTGGAAGTACCGCATCATGGACTGAAGCATCGCATAAGCAAAGAGTCCCGGGATGAGGTAGATGGAGTACTCACGAGCCAGGATCGAGATCGAAGGGTCTTGGCCTGCAAGGATGAGTAGCTTGTCTGTGAATAGCCATAAGATCGAGATCGGGATGCAGGCCAGGGTCATGGATGCCATGGCACAGTAAGTGTAAGTTCCAAGCTTGTAGTATTGCTCTGCGCCATAAGCTTGTCCACATAGTGTCTCCAGCCCACCAGCCATCCCAACCTACATGTTTCAATCACCAAGATGGAAGGTAAAAGGCAGTCAAAACCCTTGGGGATACTAACAGATTGGTTACTGGACTTTCAACCAAATTAACAAAAACATCCATGATATAGACACTCATTATAACTCATGCAACCAATCCATACCGAGCCTTTACTCAATCTAATTTAACCCTCCCTCTATGTTCTGAACAACTAACTAGTTTGTCGCTACTTTAAGTGAGTTGACATGGTGGTCTAGACAATTTTAGATAGGGGCGACTGTTATCTGAGGTGTTCTGCAACTCAGTGACAAGATCATTAAATACGAAAGTTCAGTCACCAATTTGTTAAAGACTCCAAAGGTCAGAGATTGTTTAAGCAATTGACCAGAGGACAGGTGCTGTTTAACTTAGCCCTTAAACTCAATTTTGTGCCAACCACTACCACTACTACCTCTCTCCAATTCAATAAATGGAAGAGAAAAAGGCTCATCTAAATAGACAAACAATTTGGTTCTTTTATTTTCTTATAATAATATTACATGCACAAAGAATCCAGACTCGCCGCGTCTCTGAAAGTTCAATCACTGCATGGCCACGAAAATGAATTTGCTAACTAAGCTTTTATTAGTTTTCCTAAAGCTCAACATGGTAATAGCTTTTCACTTTATTATAAGTCACTTTGGGGCCAAAGGGAAAAATCAGAAGAGCCAGAAAGGCAAATAGAGAAATCTAACTCACAAGCACGGTGAAGCCAGTTACAAGGGAGAAAGCTGAGCCGATGGACGCGGCGGAGAGGGAGAGCTGGTCGAGGTGGCCAACCATCATGGTTGCAACAAACTGCACGAGGAACTGCAGCACCATGACAACCACCATTGGAGCTGCTACCAAGCTCACTGTCTTCACCTCTCTCAAACACCCCACCCATTTAGTACTGCTGCTGCCCTCCATTGTTTTCTGTGTTCAGCTTCTTTTAATTTCTCTCTTGGGGAGTCTTGGTTTATAACGTGACCAAGGAGAGCATTGATGGTTTGTCTTTTGGATACTCCATTGGGTGGCTCCATGGAGTGGGCTATCATTTCTAAAGCTGAAATGGAAATAGGAAACATGGTGGTCAAAAAGTTAACTAATGCAATAGCTAAAGTAAGCAGATATAAAGGGGGGAAATGCTCATTTCAGCTGTACCACATGCTATGTTAACTAGTACTAAATGAACTCAAATTCAGGAAACAAAAGAGGCCGAGTCGACATTTGGATTGATCATGCACCATTATTAAGGGTAAAGATCAATAATTAGAAATATATAAAAACTTTAGCAACCAATTTGTAGCCATAAAATATGAGGCATGAATCATAATGTAATGCTGAGGTAGCGTGCATTATGACAACTATCTCCGCCACTTTGCATATCCATGACCAGCTTTTGTCTCTTTTTCCATTTACAAACCAAAAGGAAATCCTAAGTGGACTCAACTTTGTCAGCCACTAATGCTCTCCCAGATCATGCTGCAAGATAGCAAACAATTCACAGTCCCAATAGTTCCAGGAATCCAGTTACATACAATTTCTCAAACAAAATCACGCACACCTAGACAACAAAAGGTACATTGTTCATCCATGTTTGTGCAGCTTCAACCACAGCCCCTTTTTTTTCTTCTTTCTTTCAGGTACACTTTCCATCCCCATACTTTGCAATGAAAGAATGTCTCAAATTCCACAGATGAAACTGAATGATTTTGCTAAAGCCAAACTACTACCAGAATGGGCATATTCGATTATATGCTCTCCTTCCCTAGTCATTCATCACATCCCTTTCCCCCAACACACAAAGCAAGGACAAAAGGCAGCCCATTCACTCTGCCAACTCTGAAACGGATGCTCAGGCTAGACAGACCAACTGGCCAAACTTTTGCTTATCAAGAACACGTTTGCTCAACATAATGGGAGAAAGTTTGTTTCACCTCTTTTGCTAATTCTGCTGCAACTTTTACTAGGAAGAGCAATTAGAAATCCAACCGGGACAAGGAAGCCAATGGAGGATAACTACAACACCGAACTGACTTAATTTAGTTACTCAGAAGAAAAAATTCCAGAGTTCTTTACCTGGACGAAACTGATTCTTCTGTCTTTCTTTTCTGCTTGATTTCAGCAGCATGACATGAGAAAAGGCGATTTCTTTGTTGTTCCTTGCTTCTAGAGGGGGAAAGTGATAGCAACCCGAAAGCTGGAAGAGCTTCTAGAACAGATTCCAGCTTTCTGTAGGCATAATTGAGAGAAGCCTTCTGTAGCGATTGCGCCGAACTGAACCCCAAGAGATTCCGGGCAAAAAGAAGACGACCCAATTGAAGATTTCGGCAATGAATGAACTACTAAAGCCGCCATCTTTTACTACCGTTATTGAAACAGGAAGGAACTAAATCGAGAGATGGGACATAAGAGAGAAATGGAAGGCTTAGACTCATAGCGGAGCGACAGATTTTTCTCAGGGCAGAAGGAAGCGGAGCTGACGAGAATCGGAGATTGAGCGGAACGTGGGACCGGGAAAGAGAGCGGCAACCGGCGGAGCTGCCTGGCGGGAACATCGTCCACCAAGTCAAAGAGACTCTAGACTTGGGGCTTATGGGCTTGGACTTGGACTTTGTATGGACTATGGTCATGCTGCCTGTTGGGCTTTGCCGGTTAACATGAACACGAGCGAGATTTCATGGCGGGAGGAGAGTTGCTGTAAAATGCATGCAGGAACAAAACCATGGTGCTCCAACCTCAGATCGTCGATGAGGAGCATTACATTGAAACTGCACAAAGAGTTGCTGTAAAATGCATGCAGGAACAAAACCATGGTGTTAACTGGAAGAAGGGCTGCGCTGCTGCAGAACAGTGATAATGTCCCAAGCCACAAATAGTTACATTGGGTCTCAGAATGATGAAGAATTGATTTCTAACTCAATCTCAAATCTGCTTCACTTTTATAAGGACTCACTGCCCTATTTGAAAACCGAATAAGAATATGAACCAAGAAGTTGGTTCATCCACCAACAGAATCAAGGACCCTCTGGTTCGCCGCCTCGAAAGATTCTCTCTCGAGATTTAGATGCCTGCAAGAAACAAACACCAAGAGAAGAAGCGTTGAGCATTGGACAAACCGTAACTAACATGGGCAAGGGACAGAAAGGGGGTGTGGTGGACAAACAGGAAACCTGTTGTTCCCAATTGGTGAGGACTATGGTGACAGCAAATAGAGATGCCTGGAGGCCAGCTCCAGTTGATATCCCAATCAATAGTCCTTTCCCTCCTAAATGTGCAACAAAAGCCAATATGGCAGCTAATGGCGTTCCGACCAAGTAGTAAGCCCCGAGGTTCACGAAAGCGCCTAGTTTTTGCTTCCCACTTCCCCTCACAACCCCTGTTCCATCCACAACACGGAGGTGTCAGATAGACTCAATTGGGCCAGATGCAGGCTATGATCGTCGAGTTATAGATCGAATGATATTCGTTGTCATTAGCTTGCAACTCGACAGGACCAGGACGTCATCAATTGGGTTAATCCGAGTTCAACAGGTTTAGATCATTTCCCTTTCTGTCAACTCAAGTTGCAAGCAAGTTGCATCGAGTAGGGCCAAAAATATAGAGGTGACAAATACACATTAGATCAACGGGTTGATCATAGTTTTTAATCAGATTACGAGTCAATCAAATCACATCATGATCAAGTTATGGATTGATCATATTGTGGTCTCGTCGAGTCAGCAAATCAGGTTTTACACACCATTAACTATTTGATCAACTCAAATTTAAGTAGGCTTTTTTTTACCTGATAGTACTGCTTGTAGGGCATCCGTGATGCATTGGAGACACAGGAAAGGAGCCATAGTTGCAACATGGTCGACGATTTCTTTGTCACTGCTGAAAGCGTACCCCAAGACGTGTCTAAGGAACAAAAGAGGCAGGATGATGACAACCAGTTCCGTCGCCAAGAGAACCATTACAACCTTCATTGCCAGCTTAGCTGCCTTTGCATTCCCTGCTCCCAACTCGTTTGACACCCTTGTACTGGATCAAAACAAAAACTTCTGTAGGATGTTGATATACACAAAAATAGAATACGGTTTCAAAGTGCAGTGTATCGAAACGTTACCTAATAGTGGCTGCAAAGCCAAGGGGAATGGTTGAGTGCATGTAAGAGATTGAGAAGCTACACCATTTCAACCAAAGATGGAATGAAGGAACAATCAAGTGAAAGAGGAAAATAAACAGTAAGAAGGCAGGCATTATTGTAGCATTACCAAATTGATAAAACTGAAGTTTCCAACTTCGGGTTCGGTAAGAGCCCAGACAATAAAATGAGCACATCGAACGACCACCATTCAAGGCTGCAATTAAGTCGAAAGACCGAGATCAATAAGGGGGATGTTAGAATTTTTGTGTCTTCCTTTTTTGCGAGTAAAATCGTGTCAAATGCTACTGAATTTCGCTTGAGTAACCGTTGAATTGCCCAAGAAATCTATGTTTAGCGGGCTATTTGAAGCATCAAGTAAAGTTCAGCATCACTCGATCCGACTTACGTGCATTCTCCAACATGCCAATACAAGTACTGATCATTGCACTAAACTACATTTCTGTTAAACCATAAGCTTAACTAGATAATATGTATCGAAGCAAAAACTGTCTCACTATCGGTGACCATTTCTGCTCTAGTTTGGTGATGTATTCAACCCAACAATGCACATTAGTACATTACCATACCATGTCATGATCGCAGAAGGAACCGCGAACCGCAAGAACGCCCACGACTCCACCAACACATCCTTCCACCTAAACTCAGCCATAGTCTCTGCACATTTGGGAGAGCAAACCATGTAAGTCCCGAGCAAGATCGTATTAGCCCAAGTGGACACACTAGTGGACAATCCAGCCCCGATGCAGCCCAATCTGGTTCTGAACACAAGAACCCAGCACAGAGGAACATGGACACAAATTGAAGCTAGCGACGAAAACAGCACTGGAAGGATCAAGCTCTGTGTCTGGAAGAAACGGATCATGGGCTGGAGCAACGCGTAGGCGAATAGCCCCGGGATGAGGCAGATCGAGTATCTGCGAGCCAGGTTCGAGATCGAAACGTCTTGCCCGGTGAGAATGAGCAGCTTGCCTGTGAAGAATAGCCAGAGGATGGAGATGGGGAAGCATAGCAAGGCCATGGATGAGATGGCAGAGTAAGTGTATGTTGCTAGCTTCTGGTGTTGCCCTGCTCCGTAGGCTTGGCCGCACAGTGTCTCCAACCCACCTGCCATTCCAGCCTGCATGTTGCAGATTGCAGTCCCTCCAACCGATCAAAGAGGGAAAAAACAGAGAAGCAAGAAGGCAGAGGAAAGGAAGAGACAGAGGATGGACTCACAAGCAAGGTGAAGCCGGTAACGAGGGAGAAAGCAGTGGCGATGGAGGCCGCCGAGAGGGAGAGCTGGTCGTCGAGATGGCCAACCATTAGTGTCGAAAGGAAGTAGACAAGGTACTGCAACAGCGTGGCTGCCACCATTGGAGCCGCTACCAAGCTTACCGTCTTCACCTCTTTCATCCACACCACCGATTTACTACTCATGGTCTCATTACTCGCCATTTACAGAGTTTCTCCTCTCCTTTCAGTTCGAAGTATGATCAACGAGGACTAGTGAAGTTGTGAGATGAAAGCTGAGAAGAAACAGGGATAAGACATCTGTCCGAAACTCCCCTGGAGACTCTGCCACCTGCCAGCATCTATTTTGTCATGTTCTATGGCTGCTCATATAGGGGTAAGGAATATCTGCATGCAAGGAGAGAAAATTTTGAAGATTGAGGACAGGATAATGGCGGGCTAACATTGGATCGAATAATCAACTTTCGGATCTGCATAAGCAACATAGATACTCTGTTTTCGTTTGTTAGCTGCATAAAAGGGAATCTCTTTTCCTCTCTTTTCATCCCAACTCCTATGGTTGCTAAAGATATGCAGATATAGTAGTAGCTGCTTCATATGAAGATAGATAACAATGGTTCATCCAATGCCAAGTGCTAACCATTATTACACGGTTGGATTACGTGCATCTTTTGGATTTCTCATCTTTCTTTTGCATTTTCATCAAAAGTGTCGGTTGTCTGTGCAATTACAAATACTTAATATAGCATCGCCTACTATAATTAGAAACGATGATTCAACTGTGTTTTTGTCAGAATCTATCGCTATTTCTTTTCCAACGGATATTGACATAAAATGGGATGTCTCGATCTATAGCATATTCGTTTTGGATCCTTTGGCTAAGCTAACTGAGTATGCTAACTACAAACAACCGATCAACACAAGAGAATGGGGTAAAGATTGCTGCCGCAGCTCTGCTGCAACTTAGGCCAGCAAGAAGAGGAAAAAAAAAATACAAATCCCAAAGGGGCATGGATCCTTTGGCCATGATCGAAACAGGAATAATGGTTTCCTGGAGTTAGTCCTAGAGTGATCAAGCAAATGCAATCGATACATTCGACTATATACCTGGAAACAAACAAACTGGTTGTTTTCCCTTTTTCCTTGGTCCGAGCTTCTTCATCCTTGTTTCTGCTTGATTTCAGAAGCTAGGACATGTGAAAGGTAAAATATTTGTGGCAGAAGAAAGTATAAATCCCTATAAGCCTTCTCTTTGTTCCTCTAGAAGTTCACTATACAGAGACCTTAATTCCTTTTCCATTCAATGCTGAGTAGAATGCTGGAAGAGAGATTCTATAATAGTGCCCACCAGCCAAACTAAGCTGCTAACTGAAGCCTCTTATACTGGTTTTCCAAATCCGTGGCCTGTCGTTTCCACCGAGACGATTTGAGGCTTCTCAAAACTGTCCCATAAATATTAGGATCCGGCGCTAGACCCTTATTCATCATTGCACAAAGAATGTCTTTGGAAGTCACCAGATTGGATTTCCTCCTATGGAGTTCTGCAAGCGTGTCGTAAGCCTGATTACCCGAATTCTTGAACCTATCACTCACAGAAACCACGTACTTGTAAGCCTCGTCGTATTGCTCGACGTTGAACAACAACTTGATAACAGCAGCATGCGTCGATTGCCTCGGTTCAATCCCAGCTTCCACCATATGATCGAAGAACTTTATCCCGGTACTGAATCTCTCCTTCGCCACACAATCACATATAAATATCTCAAAAGTCAATGCATCAGGAGGGCACCCTTTGCTCATCATTTCCTGCAGAGCTTCGTGAGCTGAATCTTCTTGGCCAGCCTTCAACATCGTACTAATCATGTAATTGTAAATATGGCGTTCAAAATCGATAGTATAATCCTGATGAGCTTCCCTCATCTCCCCCATCGCGTCTCTCGCTTTTTGATACTCCTGCTTCTTACACATTTCCTTTATCAGTGTGCTATAATAAGACACCCTCATATTACTTAACCTGATCACAAGCTTGGCCATATCAAAAGACACCGAGCTGGCGAGCATCTCAATCAAGGATTGCATCCCAGTTGCATAAACTCCACCCTTTACCTCTTCCAATATACGCACTACAGTTCGTATAGCTTCTTCCACCGAAACACCTTCATCTCTAAACCTCAAAGCTAAGAACTGAAATGCTTCTTTGGTCAGAGCAATGCCTTCCGAACTGAAACGAACTAAGAGACTACGCATGGTTTCATAATCATCACATCGACCGCAGTTGTCGATCATTAAGTTACAAAGACAGGAGTTGCGCATCAGACCATGGTGAGTATCTTGAAGCCAGTCAAAGAAACCTAAAGCTGATACCTTGTCTTGATTGAGGACACGAAGAATCTCCCTGGCGGACTTAAAATCCAAACTTAGATTCATCGAATCGAGCTCCGAATCCAAATCGCCATCGCCATTTCTGACCAATGCAACGATATTCCAGAATGGTATTAACTTTGGTTTCTGCCGAACGACCTTAGCAAGAGAACTCCGCGACTCGGGAACACCAGCAGCCGAGGCAGATGCCGAGTAACATCGGAAGCAGCCGCCATGAGTAACAGGATTCAGAACACTCGAACTGTAGCGATTGCGCCGACTGAACCCTAGTGATTCTGAGCACATCCAAGACGACGACCCATCGATGGATGGATTCGACTGAGAGCTTCTAAAGCTGCAAACTTTACCTTCGGAGAGGTAGAAGAAGGACCCAATTGAGAGAAAATACAGGGGTAGTGGAGTCAGGAATGAATCGGAGAGTGGATTTTCGGAGGGTTTGCGAGAGGGATCGGAACGGGAAACGGAGAGGTGAGAGAGCAGTGTGGAAATAGAAGGATGGGATTCGGAGAGTGACCTGAGTGTTTTCTGGGATACGATTGAGACGCCCATGGAAAGTACGGAGCGCAATGGAGAAGAAGAACGAAGAATTGTGAGGGATTTTGGGGGAACAGATCGCCGGGAGAAAGGATAGCGGTGGTGGTGAGGTAGGCTACCGGCTTTTGGTCGAAGTCTAATTCACCTGCCGGCGACGAAGAACTGGGGCCAATATGGGCTTTACCGTAGTGATGAGCGGGCCTCACATTTGGGTTCTAGTGATGAGCGGCCTTGCAGTTTTTCTGGGCTTTTTCTTTTCTTTTGGGATAGGATAGGACGTTAACAGTTAACAACTCTGTGTGGTAGTATCATGGTAACAAATAACAATAATTAGTTAGGGTATGTATCAATACTTTTTTTTTTAATACAAAAGACAGATTGAAAGAGAGCTCATAACATCCTGGAAGTTAGCCAGATCATAAAATCAAATAATCGACACGTAGTCGGGTACAATAAAAGGGTCTTTTTAGCCATCTAATGGGCTACCCTATTGTTATTCCGACATATAAATCAAACAGTCAAGCAAGGGGTCTTGTCAATGATAACAAGAGTTCTTTCAAAAATAGCACCCGCTTGACTATGATGGGCATCCGCAATGTTGAGTCTGTCAATAACCACCTTCGCATCACCCTCAAACCAAACATCTTCATGACCCAGGTCCAAGCACCATCGAATCGTTCCTCGGAGAACTAGGAGCTCAATTATCGTAGGATCGTCAATCCCAACAAATTGTATCCCCCTAGCCAAAATAACCTCCCATGATTGGTCATTTAGAATCATTCCTCCAGCCGAATGGGATCCAAGCTTCGTTGCCCCGTCCCACATACACGTAAGAGCAACCGAACTAGACAGAACCATATTACTATGTACCAGGACAGGTGGTCGCAGCCCCTCATCAAGAGGCACATTAATCCCTTCCTGATATTGTTGGGTATACTGCCTCATTAAGGCAGGGATCCCGAATTGTTTGCCCTCGAAGACAACCCAATTACGGGATCCCCAATGATTTTAGCGGTACTTATTGTGCCACTACCAGTAAAAATATAGGTCAACCCTTTCCTCACCCTCATTTCTCTCCAAATTATTTCTCTCCACCGTCGCCATAACCACAACACTCAGTCTCACGCGACTCCGCGCTATCGGTCGTCGTTGAAATCTTGAATTTGCCTCCCTCGCTTCGTTGCAACCATCTCTCGCGACCATGTCTCCACCATTCAAACCACAAGTAAGAGAATTGGAATTTGTGGAACTGGAACCTTTAAAATGCCATGAATTTCTCATCTATAGTGTTTATGGTTTGCTTTGTGAGGTCTTTTGAGTGATTTATCGACTTTCTGGTCTCCTTCATGAGTGCTTCATGAGAGTTGTTATGTGGTTTCGCATAATTTTGGTCTACCTCGTTAAATTTCTTATTTGGGCCAGGAGATTAGTGATTTGTATCGTGTTTAGCGCTTGTGGTATGTTTTGGTAGCGTTTCTGGTATGCTTCGTGAGGTTTCTAATACGTTTTCTCGACTTTGCGGTCTGCTTCATCAATGTTGTGGTGTTTTTTCACATGTTTTTGGTATTGTTCGTAACAAGATCGGGTCATATGTCATAAACTTATGATGCAAAATGAATTATGAAAATTATAGCCTAAACATCTTTGAACATCCTCTATTTCGGTAGACTCCAATGCAACTATAAAATGGGGACTTTAGTTATCTTACTATAGATGCTCCTATCATCAGAGCACAAATACACACAAAAAAAAACATAAACTAAGCAAGAGACTAATCCCCTCTTATATAATGTATCAAAGTCCATTAACTAAGCAAGAATATTTAGGATAATGATTATATGGAAGTGTTGTATTGATTGAATTGCGTTGGATGTTTGTGTTGCCAATAATGAACGCCTGTTCTTTGCGGACCCAACGAAAATTATATAACAAATTTGGGATGAATTATTGTATCCACAAACGACACTTATGGAATATTCATTCTTTGGCCATCTTTCTCATACCCTTGTAACCCGACAAAACCATGCTTATAGATCAATCCATTCTTGCTAAGTTTCCCATTAAATGTCCTTTCCAAATTCCATGTGGGTTGTATTATACTTTCATAATTATGTGTAATCACACATGCCAATACGGCTAGAAAATGTCAATATGTCATTGATAAGATTTGATATTTTTTCGTTTGCATAATTACATGGGTAAATCATTTCCTGTGGTGATAGACATTCGTCGAAATTAAGATAAATCTTGATTGTCATCTCAACTGTGAACAAAAATGACGGATAACATTTACATAATTTGTCTCCATAGATTAACAACAACCACTCAAACTAATGTTGTGATGCTCACAGGACGACGTGTGTGAGAATGTGCTCACAAAATGTCAAACCGTCAGATACCGCTCTGCAGTTATTAAATGAATATGATGACATGTTATTTATAAAATTATCACCACATCCACCTCAAAATTGTGAAGCCTCCAAAATATAACCCCCGACGATCACACGCTCTCCAGTGAACACGTTCTAACAAATTTTCTTGCGAAGTATTTTAGCAAAATCCTATGACAAGTAACCTATCTTTCATCATCTCATATTGCCACAAGACACAAGTTATCAAAAGTAGCCGTTGCATTTAACTATTTCCATTCCACCTTCATAATTATATATCTTCCTTTGGCGTTACAAAACACCATCCAATTCCATGATTGACTTGCAGACAGCTTCCCACAAAAGCCATAATCAAAAGTTCAGCTTAACAGCCAATCCAGCATGCTTCTATGCAATCATTTTGATTAATTACCCAATTTAAACACAAAATTAGTTGGAGAGGAAACAAGAAAAAAACAAGCGTACATACAAAGCAGAAAAAATCATCTTCTCTGCCTAATTACCATTTTACCAAACCGCTAAGAAATCAACCGCACCCACCGCGCCACACTCGGCACCCCCTGATTCACCGCGAAAACCATATAGTAACTCGGCGGAGCCACCGCCCCGTTAGCCGGCGCCGTACAGCTGATCCTGTACCTTCCGGCGTCGGCGGGAACGCTGGGCGTCACCGTCAACTTGACCAACCTCTGCCCCTGCGAGAACGAGTGAGTCGCAAACGGCGCGCTCCCCATATTGACCTCAATAATCCCCACGACCGGCAACTCAACCGAAACCGAAACCTCGAAAACCTCCCCGTAACGAATCGTTTCGGGGATTTCTTCAATAACCGGCCGCAGGTTCGCCCGGTCGGGTGCCAGGTACTCGGGCGAGAACGCCTCGATCCGGAGCTCGGTCGGGAACTCGACGGTCTCGAACCTGTACACGTAGTGCGGGTTGCTCCCCGCGAGCAGGACCCGCCCGTCGGGGAGCAGGTTCGCAGTGGAATGGTACAACCGTGGCACGGTACCTGGAGTCAGGGTCATGAACCGCAGCCCGACCGGCTGGTCGGGCCGGTAGAGGACCGGGTAGAGGCACGGGTTGGAAGCTAATTCGAACCCTTGAGTACCCGATTGGGCCCCGTTGATAATCAAAACGTCGCCGGTTGGAAGCATGACCATGTCGCCCATGATCCGGCCGAACGGCATGTCCTCCATCTGCCAAACCGGGTCGGGCGACGTGGCGACGATCCGGCCGCAGGTTCCGTGGGCCGGCGTGTCGGTGCTCTTCTCGATGAACGCGCCGTACTGGGCCCCACCGCAGACGACGATCACGGCCGTGGAGTGGTCTCCGTCGAGCGCCAGCATGGCGCTCGACCCGGCGGAAGGGTAATTCCTCGGGCCGCCGTCTAACGGCGGGTAATTTCGGATCACGGCGTTAGAATCGTGGTCGTAGAGGACGGCTCTGTTGTTGGCGAAGACGAAGAGACGGCCGTTGGGGAGGAGGTGGACGTAAGGGTACAAATTGTCCATCTGATTGTCCTCCGTTTCGACGAGGAAAGGGAACGAAACGGCGCCGTTTTGCCGCGGCGGGTAGAACTCGACCGAATTGGCGGCTCTCCCGCCGACGATTGCGACGGAGCCGTCGGGGAGGATCTGATTGGTGGCGTACCAGCGGCCGTGGGCCAATTCGGCGTCGTCGAGCTCGACCCAGTCGCAATTGCCGTCCCAATCGCAGGGATTGAACTTGCGGATCTTCTTGAAGCCGTCGAGGTCGCCGCCGGTCTGGAGGAGGGTGCCGTCGGGGAGGAACTGGCCGGAGGAGCACCAGGTGTCGGTGAGGATCATGAGTGGGCGGAGGTGGTTGGTTTGTGGGTGGAAGACGAGGGAGTGGGCGTAGCAGTCGTGCTTCAAGACGGCGTCGTGCGGGTCAATTCGGCAGCGGGGTTTGGGGAGGAGCTTGCGGGAAGGTCCGATGTTGGTGCGGTCGAGGAGGACGACGGTGTTGAATCGGGTGACGGCGGTGTGCATGGAGGCGATCCCGGCGTTGGGGACCAGGAGCTCCCATGTCCCCGGGAGCTGAGCGCGAATTGGGGAGAAGAGAGTGAAGGCCAGAAACAGGGGAAGGAGAAGGAAACCCATCGTTGTTGGGAAAGTGAAAGAGAGGGTCAGTCCGACTCAGAGAGAGCGAAATGAATCAATTAATAATGGAAATAGACCGTTACTGGCGGCGAAGTAGGGAGTGAGCGAAGAAGAGAGATGGGTAGTGGCGGACGTCGGCTGAAAGGGATGCGGAACTGTGGTGGAGAAGATGAAAAGGAGAGTGGATGATGTTCGTTGCTCTCCACTTACTTAATATACTGTTGTACAAGTGGAAACTGAAATCCCATAATATTAAACGAAAATTGACAGGGAAGAGAGAGTGGATTATAGCTTGTGTGGTGGGTGGTGGGACGAGTCTACTCTGGCTGGAGACCCAAACGCACCCATGTGGCGGGTATGATTCGGTTTGCTTTTGACAACTACGCAGTCATAGAGCCGTATGTTATGTGATGTGAATCTCCTCATCCCTGCTTCTTTACTTTGGCTACACTACATAAAGACGAAATCCAGAGTCTCTATTATTGGGGGTGGTAGCCGGAGATGATTCCGGTGGGTCTGATTTGGGCTGCCGGCGGAGCTCAGGGAAGAGGGAGAACACAGATTTTAAGTTTTTTTTTTTTTTTAAACTCATAATATGTTGGAAAAAAAATACCAAGTTACACATGTTTTTAAAAAAATTCTCAAAATACACACGTTATGAAAATAATTCCCAATCTACACATGTTTGGGCTATCACCGCTGTCGACGAAGACAGTGATTGCATCACTGATGTCGACGAAGACAGTGATTGCATCACTGCAGTACACGGCCGCGGTGAAGGCCTGACCTGCGTCGAAACTTTAAAAAAACGTAACTTTGTGCTCGGTTATCCGATTGTAGCGATTTTTTTTTTTATTCCGCATAATTTTTCAAGATCTTGCAAGCCGCAAATTGCCGTAGGCGGTTTGGTCCCGCCTTCGTCTCGAAAATATGTTGTTTGCTACCCCGAACGAGCCTTTTTTCGATTTCGTCAAACTTTGAACGACCATAACTTTGTGCTCCACAATCCGAAAATCATGAATTTTTTTTGATTTCACATAACTTTTTAAGGAGTACAATTTTTATCATAGACATATTTTCGGAATGTACTTGGATTCCTGAAAAGGAAGGTAAAGTTATTCCCAAAACCCCTTATATCCATAAATAATTCATTTTTTGAAAATTCTCTCCTACTAAAAATTGTAGTCCTTAAAAAGTTATGCGAAATAAAAAAAAATTCATGATTTTTGGATTGTGGAGCACAAAGTTATGGTTGTTCAAACTTTGACGAAATCGAAAAAAGGCTCGTTCGGGGTAGCAAACGACATATTTTCGAGACGAAGGCGGGATCAAACCACCTACGGAAATTTGCGGCTTGCAAGATCTCGAAAAATTATGCGGAATCAAAAAAAATTTCGCTACGATCGGATAACCGAGCACAAAGTTACGTTTGTTTAAAGTTTCGACGCAGGTCAGGCCTTCACTGCGGCCGTGTACTGTAGTGATGCAATCACTGTCTTCGTCTACAGCGGTGATGCAATCACTGTCTTCGTCGACAGCGGTGATGCAATCACTGTCTTCGTCGACAGCGGTGATGGCCCAAACATGCGTAGATTGGGAATTATTTTCATAACGTGTGTATTTTGAGAATTTTTTTTAAAAACATGTGTAACTTGAGATTTTGTTCTAATATGTTGTATCTTGCATGCTTAGCTGGGTTCACTTAATCACTGTAATTGTATACTCATTTAGTAAGCCTGAAATCAGCTGGCCCTTTTTTCCTCTTCTATATTGCTTATTCTTCCTCTCCATCTAGGGTTGGTCTAAGTAGGGATGGGCATTCGGTCGGTTCGATTTCGACGGAACCGAAATTGTGAATACCGGATCCTCGAATTCTCCCAAACCTCAAACCGAATTCGAACCGTATAATTCAATTCGGTTTGGTTTTTTACACAAAACCGAATTTGTAAAGCTATTTGTTCTTCTCACTTTTAAATTATTTTTTACCCCTAATATAAACAATAAATATGTAATTATATGCCTCGTTAATGATAAAATCAAACTTTTCAACACATAAGTCATAAAACATTTCAAATATTTCAGTCTAAAAACAACTACAAACATAAAATCCACCATTTGGAGCAGCTTGCAATTATAGTATTTCGGTTTTCCGGTCAGAAATACGGAAATTCGATTCGGTTGAGAGAACCCTGGTTTCCGAACTATCCATATTTTCCTTCCGAATAGTATTAATTCGGCTTCGGTGAACCGAACCGGTTGCCCACCCCTAGGTCTAATACTAAGAGCCCTCTCTCCACTAATGCACCTCGGAACCTTGGAATATAATCAAACAAGGAAAAGAGGCACTAAGAGGGAAGGAGGGAGAGAGAGAGAGAGAAGTATGGCCCTTTTCCTCCCCACTTCTCGAATAAACATCACTTGGGTGTGAAGCTACGCTAGCTAGCTTCTTGTTGTGTTAGTGTTATACGCTGCACTCATTACATATGGTCTAATACTAGATAGTTCACTCATGAGCCAAACCAATGTGAAGCGCAAACTGGAAGGCAGAGAGGCCTAATCCGAACAGAACAGAATGAGTTTCTTCCTCGAAATATAATCCGTTTTCCCAGTCCTATTAACTCGAGGTTTCCATACAGACATCCATACAAACATGTTAAGTTATCCAATGGCTACTACGAGAACAAATGGAAGCAACATAGTTAGCAAAGGAGATATCAACCACCACAATGACTGCAGACTACTTTTGTGACTGAGTGCTCGGTCGACGAAGAACCGGTATCTGCAGGAAAAAGAATGGATAACCAAGTAGATTAGAGCAGCCACAAGAGAGTTATTGTGGTTTGATGAGAGTTGGTGCAAGATAACAAGGAATGACACTGACCTCGACTCCATTAGGGCCTATGCGATTGCGAGATATGAAATTACCAATCAACGTCGAGAACTCATCCGGAACATCTTCCTGCAACGGAAAAAATTTCGCGAGTTAGTGAGCACTTGTGCGTGCAGATTTTGGGTAGTCATGAGATGTGTGTAGATTGTTAGCCGATTGAACCTGAATAGCATGCCCGGTGTGTCTGACAACCACCATTTGGAACTTCCCTTGCATTTGGCCTATTGTGAGAGCCCTGTTGCAAAATAAAAGAAGCATCATTACCTTGCTGAATTCGATAATCACATGGAGCCTGCACTTGTTTCACACTAGTTTTCCAGTAAGCTGCTAAATCCTAATGGCAACCCTGAAACTAGGGATAATTCTTATACAATTTTCAGCCTTTTTGCCAAGATCAAGAGACTAGGGATAATTCTTAACATATAACATAGTAGACGAGAAAAGTTCAGAAGACAAACCTGTCTAATCTGTCTGTTCCAGCCAAAAGCAAGAGCTTTGGAACCGGGGATGACAAGAACTTTTCAGAGAGGCCTTCATACCTGCAAAATATATGTGGTTATATATCTTATTACCTAAAGGAGGGAAAAGAAGACTAGAAAAGGAGAGAATCTCCAGAATGTTATGGGGTAAGAGCTGGGTCAGAATATCATACATAGCATTGATCGACTCTAAATAACAGCTATCTTTTCATTTCAAAGGGGGGTGTTAGCGCCAATGAAGCTGGAACAGACAGATGTGCTGATTCCATCTCAATCTAAAAGAGTAACTACCATCTTCTGGTTAACCACCATTGAAGCATATAACCAGGAGACTGTTTTCAACTTGAATGAGCAGGCTTAAAGATGACCCAAGGCTTTCCACACCCTAACATGGACATCAAGGGCCATCTAGTTACAGAAATGAATGGACTGATGTCTCCTATGGACACCACCAGAAAACATGTGAGCGACAGTATGAAGCTAGACTCTTGTCTCCATATCCCATCCAACTAGCTTTTATTCTAAAGACAATCCAATGTCATGCTAAAAGAAAAAAATTTAGACTAAATTGCATGCAAGGAACCATTGCACAGGTCATTTGACAAACAAGCATTAAAGAATGCAATGTGCAGTGTTAACAGTGTGCTAGTAACAAACTAACCATCCTCTCCAGTATTGTTCAGTTTCCTCCAGCCGTGCTCGATAAACATAGCTGCAGAATACAACACAAGTATGTCAAGGACTACACAGTTCCTCCCTGATTCCAAAATCACTGGAAAATTAAATCCCATTTAGTAATACACAACAAATGATTTCCCATTTAACAGTTTTACATGCTTGGCAAAGAATACGTACCATTTCCTGGCATCATCATACTTCAATGTTGTAGGAACAGATACTCGAGCAGAGTCAATATTCCGTAAGGAACCTCCTTTGACACTCCATTCTATCTGTAAGAAAACATCGATTTTAGATTCATTAGACTTACCAAGAAATCTAAGTTTTCTTTTATCATGGCCTGGGTTCAAGAAAACTGAGTTGTAGGTAGCAAGAGAAAGGAAACATGCATGAAACAACTCATGATATGAAATGGGCAATGAATTTATCAAATGATCAGTTTCCAAAAAGAAAAGAGCACATACTGCTTTTTCTATGCTTTGAAAATGCTGAATCCTGCTTGATAGGATCTTCTGCATGTGCATTAGTGAAGCCATTGCAGTTCCCTGGCAACACAGGCATCAAATTTATCATCAACCCACAAAGATTGGAACAAACGTACAGCAAAAAATTTACTCTGAGAAAACCTAACCTCTACAACGTCAACCACAACCAGGCCAGCCAAGCTAGGAATCGCCTTCTTTGCAGCAACGTGGACAGCAACAGAACCACCCATGCTGTATGTCAGAAGTACGAATGGAGGAAAGAGAAGTTAATACCACAAGTTGATTTACTTTTTTTATAATGCTAACTGAACATACTACTTCAAGTCGTCGAAAACCTTTCTTCATCTATGATTCACAACGAACTATCGGCCAATATCAGATATTTCAATTGGAACCCTACACGGAACACCAGTCACTAAAATTACTATCTTCGTTGACCAAAATTACCGATCCTTACTAATCAAACTTACAGGAGTGCAAGGATCATGAATCTCATCATTCCATCAATGTTCTTCAAGATGTGCCACGTGTCTACATTTTCTATTTATACATTCTCTTCACCACATGAACCGAAATAGACAGACACATACACAAACTGAACTTTGATTCATAATGACATCAACAAAGTTTAAGGTGCTTTCTTCCCGAGCTAACCAAGGTTCAATATTTAGGCTATCATCTTAACAGTAAACAACAACCTGTGGCCAACGAGTATAATTGCTGGAGGAGAACTTCCATACATTGCAGTCAGGACAGCGATAACGTCATTGCACATTGTCTGCACAAAGAGAAATATGCTACTCATGAATGACACACCAAAAGCTCATGTAGACTTTCCAAAGATTAAAAAAAACCATGGGGTTGCCAGCAAAAGGAGTACTTGAGAAAATTAGTATATCGTACAATAAAAAATAGTACCTCAATGGATAGATCAAGCTCATTCTCTGTGAATGTCTTGCCATGTCCTCTCATGTCCATAGCAACCACCCGAGCTTTCTCTTTAATTTGAGCAGCTGATAGGGCAAAAGAAAGCCTGAAAAAAGCAAGTGATTGTAAAAGCAGCATCCAAAAATCAAACTTCACCATAAAACTCTGAGATTCCACACAAATAAACTGTCTACCAGGAATCACATCAGAGAAATTCTAGCACAAAATGTTTCAAGCACTTATCACAACTTAAAACATACTGCTAGTGAAAATAATCACAAATTCAGTAGTAAGATTCTCCAATATGACTGTCAGCATTTAACATACCCAGAATAACCACCTCCATGTAGACAAAAAACAACTGGTCCTTCAGATCCTGCCATATACACATGAAATACCTATAATGATAATCAATATCAGAAGATAGCATTGATCAAAACATGAGAGACCAAACTAGAGAGTTAGGGTTGTAACTCACATCGTCTGAATCAGGAATGTGAATATCTTCCTCTCGGTCGAAGAACTCTTTCCCATCTATCGGAGAGAATTTATGTAAGGAACTCCTGCGAAATGATTTCGATGACACACCGTCATTCTACCAAGAAAAGGGGAACCAAGCACGATAATGAATCAAGAACAAGAGTGTTGGCAGTTAAGATGATTGCGAATTTTGGCAAGTGCATAAAAACATTAGCTGTTAGATTAACCAGTGCATTCAAACACTATGGAGGTTAAGAACCTGAATTCATTTACATTTGTCAGTTACACAGCATCTACCTACAAAGTTTCTACCTTTAACATGCACTGGCAAGATACGCAGTATCCCCAAACTTGTTCAGCAAAGCCATCGACAAGAACAAAACCTCCACCAAGCCGGCCACATTTCGTAAATCATGGTCAAGTTATCAAATTTCAAACAGTGTAAACAAATCGAGTTCACCCTAAAAACTACACAACTACCACTCATCACAACTACCACTCATCGCACCTAGGGAGAAACCGAGTCACAGCAAACGACCAACTGATCAGTTAATCCAGAAAACCAATCAGTAAAGCAAAATCGAACGAATTGCTCCCTCCCAAACAGAAAAAAAAAATACTAGAGACGTTTCAAGGAAGAAGTCCAGGACAGGAACTCACTGAGAAGCAGGGCGATCGGGAACGGAGTCGAAGGCAGAGACCGGTGGCGGCGGCTTTGCGGAATCATCGTCTTGTGCCTTGGGAATTCGCTGCTGCTCATTTTCCGAGCTTTCCTCTGCGAGCGGACTCAAGTTCGACGATGCTTTCTCCATGGAAAAATCTCCCGATCAATCGCAATTACCACCGGAGAGCAGTGTTATAGAAATTCAGATCGTTCGCCGGAGAAAATGCTCTGCCGTTGTGTTTAGTAGTTCCTTCCTCATCATAGTGGCTGTAAACGCGAAAATTGGGTGGAAAATGGGCCGTATTGTTAATGGGCTCCCGGAGCAGCACTACTTGAGCTGCAATTTGGTCCATTTCAACCGTAATCAAATCCGTAATCAAATCCGTTTCAACCGTAATCAATTTGGTCCAGTTCTATCGCCTGTAATCAAATCCGTAAGGCCCAGCCCAAATGTTGCCCGAATAGGAATGACAGGTATCCACTCGTTCCCAACTAGGGATGGCAATGGGTTTGGGGCGGGTTTGCTTAAACCATCTCCATACCCATCTTCAAATACCCAAACACATACCCGCCCCATACCTATGCGGGGAATGTTTTGCAAACCCATCCCCATACCCGTGGGTTTCGGGTACCCATGGGTAATACCCATACCCGTACATCCAACATTATTATACCTAAAACTTACAAGAAAAGTTCTAATTATAATTGTAAACGAACATATTATATCATGAAGTCAATAAAATAAGTCTATTTTTTAATTTGGTTCTAAGATTATGATCCTAAAATATACATTAATACATAATATAGAGTATAATATTTTTCAAATTATTATGTTCTAACTCTGATACCCACGGCTATGGATTTGATTGCCATCCCTATTCCCAACTCAGTCAGTGTGCTCTGGTCGTGGGTATTCACCCATCCATGACTCCGTCAGCGCGCTTGCGTTATTCGTTATATTGATGTAAAACTCTAAGTAGTTTGAATAAAATTACAAATAATTATTAATTAAAAATAAAATTGGTTGAGAATGAGATGAATCAGATTGAATCAAGTTGAACAAAATATCCACACTTACCCTTCCCTATCTGCCAGTGGCGGACCTATTCATACCCAAGATTAGTCAGCTGACAAACCTTGACTACATAATTAGATCAAACCAGCCCATTAAAAATAGTATTATTGTTGGGCCTTCCCAATTTGACAATACTTACTGCTTACACTTCCGTTCAACCACTAAGGCACTAACCAATAGTTGTTATAGAAATTATTAAAAAATATATAATGATTCTAATTAACCCCTAACAATATGACGAATCCAAGTGGCCAAGCCTATTAAGATTTTATTGAATCTCCTTCTCTTCTTTGGGGAATGAAATTCGTCAAGAACGATCTTCAAAATCGTATGGAGACCAATTTATGAGTGATTGTCTGGTCACTTTCATTGAAAAAGGTGTGAGTAGCAACATAAGTGATGAATGTATTATAGAAACTTTTTAGAATATGAAAACACGTCGTGGTTCGCTATGAGAAGCGATGAATCGATGTACTTTATTAATTAAACATTTTATTTTTATTTTTTAATTACTTTATTATTTATTTTTGTGAATACCCTTGACAAAATTTCTGGGCCCGCCACTGCTATCTACGAAGCATGTAATATTCATTCCAAAACAAATCGAATAAGTCGAGTAGGACGAGTCAGATCGAAATCGCTAACACTAACCATAACTATATACGAAAAGTCATCAAATTAATGACACTTTTCAAAAGGGTTGGTAAAGCTATAAGTTATGTGGGGTTGGAAGAGTATTCAACAAAGGATATTTAGTATGATTCAGATTATTGTGTGGCCAAGTTCACATCAATTATCCTTATATGGCCCCAAATCCCAATTTGTTGTTCGTAGGCTCTTGCGTCTTTGATCTAATCCACAACACTACAGCACTTCCACTCGCTTTGACTACGCCATACACGCCCATTATTAGAGGAGAGTACAACCAGAAAAAGATACAAAAATATCTCAAAGGAGCTTCCACTAATGTCAATCCATGGATGGAATCGTCGGTGGTGCAGGGTAGGTACGAACATTTACGTGACTACGCAGTACTGCTGTAAATCTTTTCCTGACATAAACGCTTCAACAGCAACACTTACGTGTTAGAGAGACCATTTTCGGTTGTTTACATGTGGAAAAGGGAACTCCAATTGTGAACCAACAAACTTTTCTGATATCTCAACTACCCCCCCAGATGGAACTGATCAATTCACTCTCTTAAAATCAAACTCTCTACCACATAAACCATTGATCTCAAAACTCTCTCTCTCTCTCTCTCTAGGATACTGTGGTTCTCTACTAGTTCTCCAGCGAAGAGATCGTTGAAAAGCCGGCTTCTTTCTCTCTCTGTTTTCATTCCCAGAAGTTCTTCCAGGTTAGCTTGCTTTCAGTTGCTCTGTTTTCTTCTCTGAATATCCATGGGTTCTCTGGACTGTGGGGGGGAGTGGGATGAAACCCATTTTGGGTCTTTGGGTTGTCTAATGGAAGAAACCAATGTGTGGAAGAAGATAACCAATGGTGTTCTCTTGATTGAGAAAACTATACAAAAACAGAAGTAGTTAAAGCTTACTCTGTTTTTCTTCTTGCTCTGTTCTTATATGCTCTGTTTTTCATTACTTTGAATACCATGGAACCAAGAAGTAATTGTTGCTTGAAAGCATGTTAGTGGAAGAGTGGTGTTGGTCAAACTCTCCCCTTCCCTCCATTTTTCATCCAATCACACAAATGGTAGCAAATCAACCACTCATTTTCAGCTGTCCGAGCTAAATGACTCGGTAACTTTAAGGCGATCGGTTCGAATAACGGTAGAAAAATTCTCTCTTTGAATCCAGTGCTAGCTATAAAGTATTGTTATTGAAGTTGGTGGGTGCGGCCGTTGATGCTGCCATTTTCTCAATGACTAATGAACGATCTCATTTGATAATATTCTATTAAGTTTTTTGGAATTCTTCTTTTGGTTGGTGAGGGTTGGCATTTTTCTGGACAGTGGATTTGGTGTGCAATCTATATTAAGAAATGATTTTAGTGGAAGTTGGGCGTCATTATGTTATAAGAAATGGATAGACTTTGCTTTTGTCAGCAAGAGACCAAGCAATTGAGTAGTGGACAAGTGCCAAGACAACCCTAAATAGATATAGATAAGAACCAAGTGAATGTGGTGGAGCATGTACAAATGAGATATTGGATAGGAGTTGTCTATGTTTTTCACTCACTAGACTTGGGTGAATTAGATTACAAGATTTTGATCTTTTGTAGAGTTTGGTATTTAATGTTTGGAATGTTAAAATAGTTCCTTTTGTCGGGTATTTTAAGTTATTCCTCGAGTTCGAGTATGTTAACGTATGCAAATTGATAACATGAAGAGTTGCGTAGACTCTTAAATTAGCTACTAATTGAAGTCAGTTAAGAAAATAAGATGGTTTATCATAATATAAGTTAGTACTAAGATCGAGTAATTAGGATGATTTGCATTGTAGAGTAGGTGCAATGAGCATTCCATATGAGCTTATTTAAGTGTTTATATGGCCTTCACTATAATTCGTTTGAATTTTTGAATGAGTAGACACATAAATTTGGACAATTTTGATACTTTTTCTTTTTGAGAAAAATAAATGTAGTAATTAACGGTGAGATGTTTTTGTACTTGTAAGGATAAATTTATCGGTCAACATTAATTTTTAACAAGTTTATCAATAAACCCCAAAAAATTTAGTGACCATGTAAACGAAAAAGGGTTTTTGTTGCTTCACCCAAATCATTTCCCTCTTTTTATATTTTCAATCCAAACAAACCTTACCTATCAAGAATTTGGGTGAATTGTTCCTTGTTTTACAAAATCTAACTATTGTTTACCAACATTGATTTTTTGGTATCTTCAGAAATAACACCTCCTCTCTAATGTGGTAGCCTACCAACATTGATTTTTTTGGTTCCTATTTTGTTCTCAATTAACCTTTGAAATTTCCAAATGCATCCTCCAAAGTAATGGGGGTTTCTTGACTATGTAAACCTCTTATCATATTCTTAATGGGTTTTGACTCTTGATTGAATCACCTTCCTCAGATTAACCAATTGAATAAGTTACATTAGGGTATTATTCCCCCTTATTTATACTAGCATGAAATCTCAATAGGAACCTCAAGTGGTCTACTAAATCCTGATTTTAATATTAAACTTAAATAATCTAGCACTTTTAGATCCTAATCTTCATTTAACAGCAAAACTTATTTTAAGAGAAATTCAGCTGGAAAATAAATTCTTTTTATATATGACTTACCTTCAATTGAGTCATTTCCATCATGGCTTCCTGGAATCTGCACGATGGAAAATTAGTATATTAAATAATGAGGCAATCTTGACTTGAATTTTCTACAAAAGCCAACAGGATCAAATCAAACCTTTTTTTTTTAACTTCCCAATCAAGCAAAAATGATTGTTTTATTTGCTTACCGAGATTTCCTTAAATTCCCCGTCCAATTGCACATCTTCCATTGTTGTCTGCTATTTCATACTTTCTCTCTTTTTTCACTTCTGGTTTAGACATCGTGATGAAGGATGAGTATGTGGAAGAAGGCCAAAACAAGGCTGCAACAACAAAGGTACTAATCTTAGAAACCCCATTGTTCTTCTGGACACAACGCTGTCTATCATCTCCATAATTCGTGTCGTTGAGAGATATCTTTATAATGCTCCTCTGTTCCTGTAATCAGGAGGTGGATCAAGGGAAGCTTCCTGCATTGACATGGCAGAGGAAGCTCAATAGTGAACCAACCCCTCCTTTGCCATTCAGTCTTACTTTCAGTGATGTTGCTCATATGGTTAGATACTCATCTCTTTAGCCAAAGCTTCTCTTTGTCTATTCTTAAGGTTCTGTTCATTGATTCATGCTTGTTTTGATGTTGAGAAAAGCTGCCAATAGGGGTGAGGTTGATTTTTCACACCAAGGCAGAAGCTGCAAAAGGAAGGGTAATGCTACCAACTTGATGTCAAATGGCTCCATCGTTATATTTTCTATAACTTTGATGAACACATTTCTCGCTTTGTTTTCTATTTCCTTGCAGGAAACCATATTTGATTTTCTCAGAAAGCACCATATCACCGGCGATCATGGCCTCCCTTTAGGCGGCTTAGGGTAAGCTGGACATTGGATTAGTTGATAGCTTGCTTCTTCTTCCCCTTACAGGAAGCTGCAGAATGTGTTCTTATGTTGGAAAGTTTGGACCTTTGTTTTTTCCCTTCAGAACAGGAAGCATTGGAAGAAGCTACAAAGGGGAGTTCCAGCATTTCAAGTTACTCCCTTTGGTACACGAAGAAAAGCCGGTTTTGGCTAACCAATTTTCGGTAAGTTCATTTATCCTACTTCTTGGTCATCTGCAATGCTGCATTCTCAGACACCATTGTCCAACAAAGTTGTTAACTTCAACATTGTGCAGGCCTTTGTGTCTCGCCCGGATGGCAAGAAGTTCTCTTCTGTGTTATGCTCAAGCAATCCTGAATTCCCCAAGTAAGCAAGATAGCAATATATGACACATGAAGACCATCCATTTAGAAATTATAAACTTCCCCTTGAATTAGTGTTTAAACAAAATTTCAGAGGAAGCACAGGTTCTGGAATTGAGTCTTGGGATTGGAATCTTGGTGGTGACAAGACTACTTACCATGCTTTGTTTCCTAGGGCTTGGACTACTTATGATGGTATTATTTGATTAAGTTTCATCAGATATTTAATGAGAAAACTAAGGGAGATCGGAATTCTGAACATTGAATCTGAAAACCAGGTGAGCTTGATCCGGAAATGAGAATCGTCTCTCGTCAGATGTCACCTTTCATTCCTCACAACTATAAAGAGAGCAGCTTCCCAGTAGCAGTGTTCACATTTGAGCTCTATAATTCTGGAGCTACCTCTGCAGATGTCACATTACTCTTTACTTGGGCAGTAAGTTTCTGATCCTCTTTTAACTCTTACTCCGAAACTTCATCTTCAAGTAACTTTTCCTCTGGAAAAGGTTTCATTTTTCTGTGTTTTTCACAGAATTCACTTGGTGGGCAATCTGGATTTACAGGGCAACACTACAACTCAAAGATGAAGTAAGAAAACCCGATTCACATAAAAAAAAATGCTTTGTTTCATTCTTTATCTGGTTTATTATAGTATACAATGGTAATGATCTTGGAATCTCCCAGGACAAAAGATGGAGTTCATGGAGTTACCTTGCATCACAAGTAAGTTCCTGCAAGCAGCAAAGTAGAGAAAACGATGTACCTTGCATCACAAGTTACTCTTAACTGAAAACTGGGAAATCTTCTGCAGGACAGCAAATGGACAACCTCAGCTCACATACGCCATGGCAGCCCAGGAGACAAGCGATGTTCATGTGTCGGAATGTCCTTGCTTTCTAATATCTCCCGCCTCCTCCCAATCCAAAGGAATCACAGCCAAGGATATGTGGGATGAGATTAAGAAGGTTTACCCTCTTTTTCACTCTGCAAATGATCTATTGTGTACTGCACATATATCTTCAATCTTCATGGCAATTACATCTTTCTTATTCCAACTTTGTTTTTTTTTTTCTCTTGCTTACTAGCATGGGACATTTGACCACATGTGCTGCAAAAGTGCACCTTCAGAACCAGGCTCATCAATTGGGGCAGCCATAGCAGCTTCTGTGACTGTCCCTCCACACTCTGTCCAAACTGTCACATTTGCATTAGCATGGGACAGCCCAGAAGTAAGGTTCAGTGAGAAAAGTTACTACAGACGTTACACGAAATTCTATGGCTCGTTAGGGGACGCTGCAGCTAGGATGGCTCATGATGCGATTCTTGGTACGAGTCGAGCTACAAATAAGATTTATCGTATCCTTTTTTGCAGACGAAGACCTTCCGGGGTTTCAAATTTCAGTTTTATATATCTGTTCTGAACTTCATTGTTTCTTCTTGAAAACTAGAGCATGGTCATTGGGAGGCTGAGATAGAGGCATGGCAGAAGCCAATTCTTGAAGACAAAAGGCTACCCGAATGGTATGTTTTACCAGAGATCTTCTACTTCTAATGAGACTTGAAATGTTGAAGATCAATTATTTCAAGTGATAATTGACAAATATGGACTTATAGGTACCCAGTCACTCTCTTCAATGAACTCTATTACCTGAATGCTGGTGGGACAATATGGACAGGTTGAATTTATTTCCTTCCCAAACACATGGCTCATATGTTATAATACTAATCTCCTCGATGAACTCGTCTGTATCACATATAGACAAGTTCGGTGACTGATTCCGACTATCTAAGTGATCAAATGTTGTTTCCGCTTACAGATGGATCACTCCCTTTGCAAAGCTTAACATCAATCAAAGACCAAAAATTCTCCCTAGATGGATCAATCATGCAACCAAAGCACCAAAACCACATCCATTCACCCAAAAATGACACAGCAGTCGACATCCTAGAGAGAATGGTGACAACCTACGAGCATATCAACAACCAAACTACATCAAACGCTGCGTTTGGAGCGTACCTCATGAGAGAAGGAGAAGAAAATGTTGGCAACTTCCTCTACTTGGAAGGCTCAGAATACCTCATGTACAACACTTATGATGTTCACTTCTACTCGTCGTTCGCCATCTTAATGTTGTTCCCAAAGCTTGAACTCAACTTCCAACGAGACTTTGCTGCTGCGGTGATGATGCACGACCCTACAAAGATGAAGATCATGAGTGATGGGAAGATGGTTCCCAAGAAGATGCTTGGTGCTGTGCCACATGACATTGGATTGAATGACCCTTGGTTTGAGGTCAATGCTTATAATCTTTTCAGCACGGCTAGGTGGAAAGACTTGAACCCCAAGTTTGTCCTCCAGGTATGGAAATATGTCACAGTGGACACTGAACTCGTTATATCTAATTACTATACTGTGACAAAAAAATGTGAAGAAACTTTGATTTCTCAATGAACCCAACTTGAACGAAATCCTGCTGGATGCAGATATACAGGGATGTGGTGGCCACAGGCGATACGAGCTTTGCTAGAGCAGTCTGGCCATCAGTGTACCTCGCCATGGCATACATGGAGCAGTTCGACAAAGACGGGGATGGAATGATCGAGAACGAAGGTTTCCCTGATCAAACTTATGATGCATGGCCCGTCCATGGAGTGAGTTCTTACTGTGGTGGCCTTTGGGTGGCTGCACTACAGGCCACATCTGCATTGGCTAGTGTGATTGGCGAGACCGATTCAGCAAAATACTTTTGGATAAGGTACCAGAAGGCCAAAGCTGTGTATGAGAAGCTCTGGAATGGAACATACTTCAACTATGACAGCAGTGGGAACCCTTCTATCCATGCTGATCAGCTTGCTGGTCAATGGTGAGTCAGAATGGAACATCTGAGTTTCACTGTTCCTTGTCCTATAAGTTTCAGACTCTTAGCAATCCTAACACAAATCCAATTCATGACTTCATAAGCTTAGTGTTGATTTAAGGCTCATAATGTCCACTCCAGGTATGCTAGGGCAACTGGTCTTTCGCCAATTGTGGACGAGCAGAAAGTGAAGAGTGCATTGGAGAAGATCTACAACTTCAATGTGATGAAATACAAAGGAGGAACTCGTGGCGCCATCAATGGGATGTTACCTGATGGAAGGGTCTTGCCAGGGATGCAGTCCAAAGAGATATGGCCTGGTGTGACTTATGCACTTGCTGCTTCCATGATTCAAGAACAGATGGAAGACTCGGGGTTCAAGACAGCTTCTGGTGTGTATGAAGCTGCATGGTCACAAACCGGCCTAGGGTGAGTAAGAGCTAAGCTAGGTTATTCCTTTACCTTGGATAACAAGTAAAGCTAAGCTAGGTTTTCATCTGTCTTTCCAGGTACTCATTCCAGGTCCCAGAAGGTTGGAACACAGATGACAAGTACAGGTCACTCTGCTACATGAGGCCATTGGCAATATGGGGAATGCAATGGGCTCTCACCAGAGAAAACCTCATGAAGCAAGAAGTCACCCATCTTGTTCATCAGCCACTTACAGAGGAAGAAGGAGAAGCTGCAAGTTATGAAGAGCTTGCTTGGTATACAAGGCAGCATGCCGGGTTCAGTAAAGTTGCTAGGCTTCTCAAAGTGCCTGAGGATGATGGTGGGAAAAGCTTCTTGCAGGCTGCCTTTGAATTTACCTGCAGCAAATTGCCATTTTAGGGGTTAATTTTTTTGAACAATTCGATTGTATGAACTGTGTATATAGTTATATGAAGCATCATAGTGTCATCCCATTTTGGTAGAGGTAATGTAAAGTGATGTTATTGAAAGGGGTTTTTGACAATGATATGAAAGGATTAATGTGCAGGTGGTTTGTATTATGCTCTACATGCTTCTCTTGGCTAACTTGAGCTAGGTTTAAAGTCAAAAATCAAAGTGTCTTGAAGGCTTTATCCAAATCTATAATAATTACATATCCAGTCATATTTCAGGATTATTTATATCTTGCGCACGAAATTCACTCACTTTGCAACAATTCACATTCAACAATCAAATGATTATATTTAATGATTGACATATTTTCAGACCCGATGTATTACATTACATAACTAAACAAATATGAAGATAAGAACTTCACTATCTCTCAATTAAAAGTTTGAGCTATTACTCAATTGTGTCTCAAATAATCCAACTAATAAGCAACATTCACGAGCATAAATCATTGCCGCTAAGTTTCAAAATTGTTTACAAGAGGATTTTTTTTTTTGTCATAGAAATCCTTGCGGATTAACCAGATAAGCGTGTGGAATCACAACAATGACGGCCCCTAACGGACTCAAAGACAGACCATGCACGAATAATCATATAAAACATTACTAATACCTGTATAGCGTAGGGCATTACGCTCCACACAGTGAACAACCCGATTCGCTTTTCAAGGTGTGTAAACAAAATGAACTAAGGGAAAATGACCAATGAGATCAAGCACTTCTTTGTAAATGGCGCCACAACGAGCATTATGAGGATTAATGTGAACAAAGATTAACCAATGTTTACAAGAGGATTTGTTAGCCAATGTTTCACAAAGATTAACGGCGAGGACTAATGTGAACAATTTTGAACTTGAGCGTCTAACAATTAGTAATATTAATTCTCAAGTTCCTTAAATTTTGGGTTTACTGTTCATTACGATTTTTTAGGGGGAACTATTAGCAGAAGTCCAAGTCAACTAATTTGGGCTGGCCAAGTGGATTAATAAGAAAAAAATTCCATTCTAAAGCATTGGATTTAAATTTTATAGGGTTTCCACAATTGATTATCCAACATCATTCCTATCACAACTAACGAAAATCACATTGGTGCCTTAATTACTTTAAAAGATCACTCCTATCACAATTAATGAAAATCATATTGCTGCCTTAATTACTTTAATTTCACGTGATTAAAGAGAGTGCACAATTTTATTATTAGTTCATTTTCCCCATAGTTGATTATTTGTAGGGGTGGCTATACGGTCCGGTCCGGTTAAATTGGACAAAATTGATTCGGTCACAGTCCGGTCTTTTCGGGAATATAAGGACCAAAGATTGGATTGGATACAGTCCGGTCTTGACCCGGTCCGGTCCCAATTTTATCTTGATTTTAGGTGTTGGGGGGTCTCTTATCCGTTTTTTATCCGGTTTTTTACCTCAAATCTAAGCCCAAATATGAGATTGCATTGTTTGCTATCTGATCCCAGTCCGGTCCCGATCCGGGTTATACGGTCCGGTTTCGGGTAAAACCAAACAATCCGGGACCAAATAGCCAGCCCTAATTATTTGTGTAATTTTAATAATTTTCATTACACAAAAGTAAGTGTGATACTTTATTATTCACTACAATGTTCGCCATCTCATCAATTTTTATCATACAAAAAGTTTTCTAAGATAAGTTAAAATTTACATTGTAGTTTAATTATACATTGAACAAAAAATAGTAATATTTAACTAAATTGTTGATTGAATGTGATACATTTTGTAACTTAATTCAGTTTTTTTTTAAAATACAATTCCTTTGGTATTACCTACTATATTCTTCATCTCATCAATTTGTATTACGCAAAGGTTGCATAAGATAAATAAATTTTACGTAATAATTTAATAAAATGTGATACTTATCTGTAACTTGATATTATTATTAGACACCATTACATAAATTACTTAGGTAAAACTTATAATGGATAGTTGTTTGTTATGTATCAATTAAACAAACATATTATGTAAGTCTTCCATAATAATAAAGATACAACAATGCTTATACAAGTATTTGACCGAACAATATTGTGTATAATATGATTTCAACTATTATTATTATTAGTTTATTAGCGCTGCGAAGCGCGGGTGAAGAAACTAGTTCATAATTAAAAGTTGAGGGGATCTCTTTAGAGTTTAGACTTAAGACCACCAAATGGTAAAAGAGAAGAAACGCCACTTCCGCACCGCACTCTTCAGTCTTCACTCCGATCTCCAACGCTCAGAAAGGAACTAAGGAAGCTCCAGCCACTGCACCAAGGAGGAGAAGAAGAAGAAATGGCGAACTCTCCCGCCGCCAATAAGAGTTCCATCTCCTTCAAAGTCGGCCAGCGAGTCCACTCGGTCGGCGATCCCCGTCGAACCGGCACCGTCAAGTATGTAGGAACGGTGGAAGGGTACTCCGGCAGTTGGGTTGGCGTCGACTGGGACAATGGTGAAGGCAAGCACGACGGGACCGTGAATGGAGTCCGTTACTTCCAAGCGAGATCGGACCGATCTGCTTCGCTGGTTCGACCTCAGAATTTGAGCGCCGGCATTTCTTTCCTTGAAGCTCTGTGCATCAGGTATAAAGGCCAGTCCACTAAGGAAGAAGAAGGTACGCGAAGGAAATTATAATTTTCTTCTTCTTTGCCGGCTGATTTAAATCGACAGCTTGATTTTGATTTCTGGGTTCTGGTTTTTGTAGAGGAAATGTATGTGCTTTCAGCTAAGAACAGAAGGGTGCCTGTGGAATTTTTGGGTAAAGAGAAGATTCAAGATAAGTTGAGCCGGTTTGATGAGCTTACCAATGCTTCTCTGTCTTTCCTTGGTGTTAGCTCTCCTGGATCATCAGAAGATATCAGTTCTACTGTGCCAAGTAAGTCTATAGTAGCATTGGTGTTAGGACCTTCATGGTGCTCATTTGTAAAGTAAAAAATGGGCTTCCATTTTAGCTGTGCTGAAAATTTTTAGCCTCAAAGTTGCGTAATTTGATCTGTTCTTTGTCGTCGACATTGGAATAGGAGAAGACATTGTCTAACAGAATGCTGGAAACGGATTAGTTGTTTATTTGGTTCGAATGATTGCTTGAACTAGGGGTTAGGAGCCAATGTTGCCTGGTCCTCATACTTTGGTGTTGTTACTTGCAGATATAAAAGAATTAGACTTGACTGGAAATTTGCTTTCAGAATGGAAGGTACATGTTGTATATCTTCTTATCTGGATGCTCTTATGTGTGTTTTGTCCACTCCAGCAGAATAACTTTCATACTAATTGCTGTGCATGTCTTTTGTGGCGAAACTTGCCATCTGTTGATTTTCATACTGTGATGACTAGTAGGTACTGATTAGGCTTGCTTTCTTTGGCTCTATTACTCACTGCAGGATATAGGCATCATATATGAGCAATTGCCTTCTATTACAGCACTCAACCTGTCCCACAATTTAATGTCAGATGTCGTCACTGGCCTGCCACAACTCAGTAGGATCCGGGTTTTAGTTTTGAACTGTACCGGTATAAAGTGGACACAGGTCGGTTCCCAAAGCTTCTTTGTTTCTCTTGCATCATCTCTCTTATCTCTTTAAAGGGTTAACAAGATATATTGTTTTTCTGGTAGTGTAGGTGGAAGAACTTAAACCTCTATTGCCAGTAATAGAGGAGTTGCATCTCATGGGAAATGGTATATGTGAAATAAAGGTACTCGTTCATTGGGATACAACGACCTTATAACCTCATCCATACTGTTTCAAGTCTATTTCAAGGCTAGTTTTTGGAATCATTTGACAAGTCTTTGAAGTATGGAAACTGGCTAGAGAAGGGAAATGAGTTGCATGTAATGATTAACCCTCATCTTGAGTCCCATGCATATAGCTTCTTTAAATCCAATATTTGATTTACACTTTTTTCTGTGGTTTGTAGCCGACATCATCTGTTGTTCAAGGATTTGAGACTTTGCGGCTTCTGAATTTGGAAGATAACTGTATAGCTGAGTGGGGTGAAATCTTAAAGCTTACCATGTTGACAAGGTCAGGCTGACGTGCGTGCTCCTCTTTTTGAAATTGGCAACTGAATAGTTAACCTGATGTGCACAAATTTTGTGGGAAACACTGACACGTTTTCATCCTCAGTTTGGAACACCTTCAGTTGAACAAGAACAAATTGAAGAGCGTGTTTTATCCAGATGATGATACAATACAGAAAATGTTAAATGGATCTCACTTGCCAGAGAAAGGCTGCATTCCTTTCAGAAACTTGCGTTATCTTCTCTTGGGTAGTAGTTCTAAAACTTCTTTATGTCTTTCTGATTTGCTATTTGACATTGTACAATAGTCTAATGTCCTGTTTCCTTCAGCAAGTAACTACATCGAGGATCTGTCATCAATTGACTCACTCAACTTGTTCCCTAACCTAATGGTAAGTTGCCCCTTATGCTCTTGTTGTTTGTAAAAGTCTGAAGGGAAATAGGACTTCAACTTGTATAATATTCTAAAGGTCTATACCTTCTTGCAAGAAAGAGTTTCATATCCCAGAAAGACAAGGCCCATGCGACATTTTCAAAAACTCTAGCTTAGATGCCCATCCTTGATTGATAACTTTGTTTTTTTTTTTTGTTAACTACATTGTAGGATATCAGAATTTCGGAAAATCCAATAACTGAACCAGCAAGGGGTGGTATCCCTAGATTTGTCTTACTTGCCCGATTGTCTAAGGTGGAAATGCTAAATGGAAGTGAGGTAAGCTCCTCAACTTGTAAATGAGCAGACACCTCTTCTTTCTCAGCTCCTTCTGAACTTCGTTGATATCTGATTTCAGGTCCGTGTTCGTGATAGGAAGGAATGTGAGATCCGGTAAAGACATTTTCTCTTATTCGGTTCTGTTATACCAACTTCTAACTAATGAGTGCACATTTCTTCCGCCAAATTTTTTTATACCAACTTCAGAATCGGTTGTTTTTTTAATATCGGTTGTGTTTCCTAAATATATTTTGCAGGTATGTCCGCTTGGTTATGTCGCAGTTGCTTGGCAAACCAGATGAAATTAAGAAACTTCATCCAAGGTACTCCTTTATCCTGCTGATTTTTCATTCTTCAGCCACTGGAAGTTCATGAATCCTAAAACTACTAGTGGTGCAAGATTCTGTACGCTCAAGTTAACTAGCTTGTAGTTGCACCAGAATAGAAAGACTACAGTGAGAATTGGAAAAAGTATCGGTGACCGACTGATAAGAATGGGCTACTGCTACCAATGTTTTTTTCTTCCATCAATAGAGAACTGGGTTTGATCGCAGGTTCTCTGAGCTTAAGCATCTCCATGGTATTGAAGACGAAAGGCCTTCAACTGTGGCAGCTGGCCCTCAGAAAATGGCTGCTGGACTACTATGTATGATCCCTTGACATCTATTTCTTTCGTGCAGCTCATCTGAGTTCGCATACTATCCTCACACTCTGTCACTATAATGCAGCGGTCACCCTTAAGTGTGTGGGTGCTTCCATGGGTGAAAAAGCTCCAATGACAAAGAAGTTACCTGCCACTACCACGGTGATTTTCACATGCATTATTCTTATTCAAAATAGATGTCTTGATGGGTGGTTTCTCATTTTATAGTTTTGGAAGTTCACTTTACTCCCAGGTTGGCAAGCTAAAGATTCTCTGTGAAAGTTTTTTCAAACTAAGATCAGTAAAGCCCAAATTGTATCTGGAGGAAGAGGTTTGTGCTATTACTCTTCCTTGCAAACCATTTTGTTATTGTCTCGGTAAAACTGTTGACTACAGAGTAATGGAGACTGATATCCACTCACAAAAAGCTTCATTGGTATTTTGCTCAACTTGCAGAGCTCCCCTTTACCACAATTACTAGACGAGGAGATGGCAAGTTTGGTAGATGTTGGCGTTGGCAATGGATCCACCATTCTTGTGGATGAAGAAAGTTAACTCAAACCCAGTTGAACCAGTTTTGGCTATAGCCCAGTTGGCCATCGTACCTCTGAACATTGCAGAAAGAGTTTCTGGCTCATCTTCATCCGTTTCCCAGTTTCTTTTTCGTAGACCCCCCACGGGTGCAAATTCGTGAACCAAGAAATATCCAGGCAGTGCTGGTTCTTGCTGTACCACCAGAACATTGTTCATTTTTTGCAATTCATCATTAGGCTACAACTTTCAAAATCATATCCTCTGGCTCAGGTTCTCTCTGTAACAATATCCCGGCTTAGGGGTAAACAGTGCAATGAATGATCTTTTCATTAGTCACAAACTATGCTGATTAACAACCCAGAATTGCAGACTAAATGGACTTTTCTTAACCAAGGATTCGACGCTGAATATAAGGTGTCTGACAATCCATTGTGTTTTCCACAGATTTTTATAGTACATTCAAGTGACAAGATCAGGTATGAGAATGATATCCGAGGAGTGCTGATATTATCCAGGTTCCATGCACCATTTATTTAGAACTAATTGTTGTACCAATAAATGAGAGCCAAGAAGGAAGGAAGTATATATATTGATAAAAACCGAACAATAGAAACAGAATGAAAGGAGAGACATTACTGTTTAGAATATAAGCTAGCTACGACGACTACTCTGTTCTGCTTCAACTGACAAAACGCTCTTAACATTCCTAGTTCCAAGCAACCTACTCGTAAATAAACCCCAACAGACAGAAGAAAAGAATGTCTACATACAAACTTAGATTCTGAGGGGCAGAGCAGGAGCAGGAGCAGCTTGGCGGCTGGTCTGTTTAACCCAACAGTCGTAGCTTCCATCGTATGCACCTTGGAGTTTTTCGTAGTCTGGAATTGGGGTAGGCCAGCAGGAAATCCTAGGCTGGAACAGCCTCCATCGAAATGACAAGCTATCAAAGACGCCTTCCTCCCCCGTCCTCACATCGTGATACAGTATCTCCTCACTGACATGATTCTCTAAGAAGACAATTTCTGGGTCGTCTGGATGCAAACAGGCAACGAAGCAGCACGATTTTGACAACGACACTTGATATAGCTCACTCCATGAACTATGTTGCCCGTCGCCGCCCTCATCCTGTCTCCAAACAGTCAACAAGGGAAGTGCACCAAGGTTCTTATCAAGCCGAGCTACGTGCAAAACGCCTTGCGAGGCCGAGATGTGAAAATGCTTCCACTCGAATCCAGGATGACCATCCACACGGAATGGAGGTCGATCGAGGTGGAAAGCATCAACCCCAAGAATCGGAGCAGCATCAAGCCTTGGACCAGCATCCTGGGCACAGCAAAAGAGCCTGCCGTTGCACGAAACTACTTGCTCGCGATATATAATAAGATCACTGTCAAGGACAAGAGCACCCTCAGTCCAGGCTCCAGACTCGGAACAAAACACGTCTAGTTTTGTAGACTCGCCCACAGCAGAATACATACACACCACCCGGAACCGATACTCGGAGTGAACAAATACTTGGTCATCTCCTAGATCAAGCTCATGATTAGAACGAGGTTCACAAACTAACCTCGCAATCAATCCACCACGCTCTTCCATCGACCTGTTAGGCATTAAAGGAAGGGCTACCCATTGCTTGGTAAACGGATTGCAGACAAACCAAGACCTGACGATTCCCGGGTCAGTGTCGGGCGAGGCCCAAAATCCGCATAGAACCAGGTCCTTGAAGCAATCAATGACATGGAAAGACGCTTCAGCAAAATAACCAGGCATGGGGAGGAAGCTCAAGATCACGGATTCGCGATCCTGTGAGGGAATAAGCAGAGATTGGTTCATCCTCTGGTGATGAGAGAAGAAACGGCGATTGAAATAGGGTTGTGAGATCAGGGAGTTCCACCGCTTGCAGACCAGTTTGCAGCAGCAGGCGGACCTCGGGTGCGGGACGCGAATCAGAACTTCTAAGAGAAGATCGCCTACCAGTTTGCTGATTAGAGGAGGAGGAGGGTTTGACACTCGACGTAGTTTCCCTGCCGATGAGGAGGAGCAAGGGAGAAGACGCAGATCACGGTGCGCCATGGTTTGGATTGATGAACGCCGCTGGAACTGGAAAAGGATTCGTTTGGTTTTGTTTCTTCCATTAAGCTCGTTTGGTTTGGTGATTTTTTATTAGTTTAGTTACAATGCATACATTATGGACAATGTATGTATTGTTTTTTAAAGTTTATGTACAAACTATACATGTATTGTTTGCTTGATGTGATGGAAATTATCACTTAAAATGAGTGATAGTAATATCTCAAGTTTTTTGGTAAAATTGTTGAGATTGTTTGCTTGAAATTGATGGAGTGTTTTCTTCTTCCAACTATATTCCTACTTATTAATGATGTGTTTTGTTTTTTATATTAAAAAACAAAGGGTAAAAGTGACATTTCACCAAGAAAACAATATATCTTATTTAAATACTAGAATAACTATAACTGAAACCAAACGATGTAAACTACAATACGACCCGTAAGAGATCGCACATCGCTATATTAATATTTATTTGTAAAATTTTTGAAGAAATTTCCTAGTCCTTTACAAACACTGCCAGTGGCTGCTATTTCGGGTCCAGGCCCGGCCCAGGCCCTATGCTGGTCAGACCCACAGCACAGGGCCTCAAGTTTTGGGGGCCCATTATCCATAATCCATATGTTTTGGAGGCCTGCTTGGGATAGAGCGAAGCCCACATAATCCATAAGAGTCTGGAGGCCCCCTTGGGCTGTGGGAGCTCATGGAGGCCCCCTTGGGCTGACAAGGCCTACACAAAAACTCTATGTACAAGGATGCAGGGACGGGAATCAAACCACCGACCTCCTTATAATTAAAAGGAGATTCAACCACTAGACTACATTGATTTGTTGAATGTTAAATAACTATTAGAGTTTTTAACGCCTCTATTCTTCTCTTTCCCCAAAATTTCTCAACTTCCCAAAATCATCCAAAACTTAAATATGAATTGTTCACACTCAATTCTGATTAAGTTCTCATCCCTACTATCCAGACTCTTAATCAACTTGTTTTAAGTTCTAATATTTATCCTTTTCTTTTGCAAAGAACTTATATGAAAATTTGAAATCATTAATCTTTGGTTATAATTTATAATTATATCAATCCAAAAATTTGAAAAAGGTAGTTCTAAGCATAGATAATATTTGATAATATATAATATTATTAATTTGTAATAATTTTTTGAAGATATGTAATTTTTATCTTTAATAAATTTGTGAGAAAAAATTTGGGGCCACATTTAAATTTTCGAACAGGGCCTCCGAATATAATAGGACGGCCCTGTTCGGGTCGGATTAGGATTCCAGTCCCCAGCCATTCCAATTCATTCTGTGGCCCGGGTCGGGCTAGCCGTGTCACTCACTCCTCTCCAATCCATCTAGGGGTTTAGGGATTGCAATTAGTAGTGCGTTGCTAGAATTCTTTTAATTTTTTTTACAAAAAATAATCTTCTATTGATTAGAAAGAGGTCGAACAAATTATAGTTTGGTATACAACCCGAAAAAGAAATCAGAAGAGCGATATATAGCCGAATACAAAGAAATGACATTTTTAGCTACCTGATTGCTATTCCGACCTACAAATTGTACAGTAATACCCTAAAAATTTCCCTGCATAACACGAACTTCCACCAGAATGGATCCAAAATGATTGTGTTAGCGTCAGTGGGTGGGTGCCATTTTTACCCCTAGCTACAATTAAGAAGAGGCCTGAGAATTTTAAATGCTCAAAATCTCCTCAAACTCTACTATATATTAATCTTAATCTTAATAAATATTAAAGCACTCTGGTTCGGGTAAGGAGGGTGATTTGTTTTTTGTTGCAGTGGTGCTTGTGCGTTTTGTGACTAATTATTTATTTATTTATTTATTATTATTATTATGCTCAGGGCCACCCTCGTCTATGCATGGCATCCACCCTTTGCCGGGGCCAGTTTGAAGGATCCGATCGTAGCGTCGCTGGTCATCGTCGTCCTTTGCTACACCAGGAGTTTCCTCGACCGCTACCAGCCCCCGCCGCCGCCCGGCCATGCAGCCCGCGACCACGAGTAAATGGGCCGCGACGGTGCTCAGTGTCAGTGATCCCCAGCTACCCACTTTTGGCATCATCCCCATTCCCCTGCCATCCAACGGAATTCGTACCGCCACTGTCCACTGGATCCAAAATGATTGTGTTAGCGTCAGTGGGTGGGTGCCATTTTTACCCCTAGCTACAATTAAGAAGAGGCCTGAGAATTTTAAATGTTCAAAATCTCCTCAAACTCTGCTATATATTAATCTTAATCTTAATAAATATTAAAGCACTTTAATTTTCCCCCTCATGCCACGTAATCTTATCTAGATGCAGAAGTTGTCCACATTAGCGGGTATCTTCTCCGTCTTTTAATCCCTTTCCCACGTCAGCGGACCCAATTTTAATATAAACCCTCCTCCAAAGAGGTTAACATGCATGAGATGCTCTTTCACCAATCTATATTTATGATATCCATATTCATACATCTAAAAATAAATTAAATAAGATAAAGAGTAGCAGGTGCAGTCATCATCCAACGAACAAATATTATGCGCTCAAAAATTAGAAACACAAGGTCATACCTATCGACATATAGAAATTTAACTCAAAGACTTTTTGAAACATTAATGATTTCTGAAACATTACCGCAAAAAGGCCATGTTCTTTGGAACTAAACCTAGCGCAGTAGTCAGATCCTCCTTGCACCTGTTGGGAGAGAACAACGAGAAATTGTTCTATTGCCCTAATGAACTTGAGCCATGATATGCAAGATTGGAGATGTGCAAAGCCTACAGAAGAGCAATTAGTTAAAACCCGGTAGCCACACAGGAGAATCCTCCGAACTAAACCAACAAACTATATTCAACTACTAACGTGACACAGCGCCGTCGGCGACCAAACTTCGTCGTCGTAACAACAAATTTCTGTAGCCATTTACCGCCCCGAGTAGCAGGGTAGAGAAAGAGAAACTGAAGGAAAAAAATCTAACTAACAAAAGAAATGAAAGAAAAACAAAGAAGAGAGGAAGACGGGCTGCTTAACACAACCGACGTCTTTTGCCCGGCTAATAAGAAACACTTAATGAAAGAATTTGCAGACAACTTGCTAAGTGTTTCCATTTTTAAACGGATTAATTTCAGGCCGGAGATTTTTTTGGTCGCTCCCTCTGGCATTTCATCTAACAGGTTGTTAGCAGATTGAGATTGGGATCAACTTCCTCCGCAGCTTTCAGACGGTTTTGCAGCAGTAGGCGGATTTCGAGTCTAGAATGAGAAATGCGGCGGCTATGGGGGAGAGGGGTTATGGTGATTACTTGAAACTCTGATATCATGTCATAAATCAGTTGGTTCCAATAACTTGAGTTGTTGTAGAAGGTTATTAATGGATCTTAGACTACTCTATTACAACAGGAACACCATCTAAAACTGGAACTAAAACTCAGATTAAATAATTACGGACGACAAAGGGAGGAGATGGAGGCAGAGAAAGACGTGAGGGCCGTAGTGGTCGAGAGCTAGCTTGAGAGGAGGCGAGGAGTCTCTGATGTCGGAGCATTGAAGAAGGCTTCGATCGGAAAAGGAATCAAAAGAAAAAGAAGAAGAAACCGTTAGCATCAGTGGGTGGGTGCCATTTTTACCCCTAGCTACAATTAAGAAGAGGCCTGGGAATTTTAAATGCTCAAAATCTCCTCAAACTCTGCTATATATTAATCTTAATAAATATTAAAGCACTTTCATTTTCCCCCTCATGCCACGTAATCTTATCTAGATGCAGAAGCTGTCCACATCAGCGGGTATCTTCTCCGTCTTTTAATCCCTTTCCCACGTCAGCTGACCCAATTTTAATATAAACCCTCCTCCAAAGAGGTTAACATGCATAAGATGCTCTTTCATCAATCTATATTTATGATATCCATATTCATACATCTAGAAATAAATTAAATAAGATAAAGAGTAGCAGGTGCAGTCCTCAGCCAACGAACAAATATTATGTGCTACAGAATTAGAAACACAAGGTCATACCTATCAACATATAGAAATTTAACTCAAAGACTTTTTGAAACATTAAAGATTTCTGAAACATTACCGCAAAAAAGGCAATGTTCTTTGGAACTAAACCTAGCGCAGTAGTCAGATCCTCCTTGCACCTGTTGGGAGAGAACAACGAGAAATTGTTCTGTTGCCCTAATGAACTTGAGCCATGATATGCAAGATTGGAGATGTGCAAAGCCTACAGAAGAGCAATTAGTTAAAACCCGGTAGCCACACAGGAGAATCCTCCGAACTAAACCAACGAACTATATTCAACTACTAAAACCCGGTAGCCACACAGGAGAATCCTCCGAACTAAACCAACGAACTATATTCAACTACTAACGTGACACAGCGCCGTCGGCGACCAAACTTCGCCGTCGTAACAGCAAATTTCTATAGCTATTTCCCGCCTCGAGTAGCAGGGTAGAGAAAGAGAAACCGAAGGAAAAAAATCTAACGAACAAAAGAAATGAAAGAAAAACAAAGAAGAGAGGAAGATGGGCTGCTTAACACAACCGACGTCTTTTGCCCGGCTAATAAGAAACACTTAACGAAAGAATTTGCAGACAACTTGCTAAGTGTTTCCATTTTTAAATGGATTAATTTCAGGCCCGAGATTTTTTCGGTCGCTCCCTCTGGCATTTCGTCGAACAGGTTGTTAGCAGATTGAGATTTGGATCAACTTCCTCCGCAGCTTTCAGACGGTTTTGCAGCAGCAGGCGGATTTCGAGTCTGGAATGAGAAATGCGGCTGCGGTGGGGGAGAGGGGTTATGGTGATTACTTGAAAGCAGTAATCACCATGGTTACTAAGTAGAAATTACAATTCTTTCTTTTTCTCTCACTTCCGTAATCTCCATCCAGATCTCCTTTTCTTATTGTTCTCAATCTGATTTATTCGTTTGAAATTTTAATTAGTTATAAAATATTTTTATGGTGTATTTTAATTATATATTTTGTGTTGGGTTGGGTTGTTACTTAAAAATATCGTCAACCCGACCCAACCATTTAAAAACAAACCGTAGGGTTCTAATTTTTTTTGGGTGGGTTTGGGTTTAATATTTTCCAAATCATAATGCATGGGTCGGGTGATTAAAATGGCTAAACCCGAACCACCCGACCCATGTACACCCCTAGCTGTTCCTTCTTCTTCTAATTACACTTTAGGACCTGTCCCAACTCGCCGGATACGGGTTTTCATCGCCTCCGACGCTTTTAGCAACGGGTATAAAAGACAAAAGAAATTAAGCTAAGGATATTAGAGTCATTTTAATAATAGTTATGGCGACAAATAACGTGTTCTAAGATGACGAATAACAATGTCCATTGAAAATGGTATTTTTCATGATTTTGTTTGCAGCAGAAGATAAACGCGAAGAAGGCGTGTTACGTGAATTAATCATTCACTTCCCTTAAGATTACTATCCTTGTTAGTATTAGGTTTATTATGGAGTAGTGGGCAAGTATTAGTAGTCGAATAGGCTTAGGATTAGTTTAGGATTTAAATCCTATAAATATGTATTTACATTGTTCTTTCTATTCAGTTGATGAATAAGAATGTTTCGATTTTTTTTTGTATCTTAGGAGTATTTGTAACGTAATTTGAGATTTTTCATAAATTCACGTGCATGAATTTTTCCGAGAAATCCACGTAACAAAAAAGAAGTTCCCTTTACCCTTTCCGCCTACTACTTATACAACAGAGGCCTTTCTGCTTTCTCCGATTGCCAGGGTAGAAGGAAATTTCTAGCTAGTCAGGTAATTACACTTTCTCTCCCATGTTTCAATCTAGGCGGCCGGTGGACCGGAGAGAAGAATTCTCAGAAGCAGGATAGAGGAGTTAGGTGGTGGCCTTCTTCTTCGGGTTGAGGTCGGCCGCGACTGGGTAGGGTAAGGGATTGTTTGTTTAGAATTTCAGTTAGCAATTAAGGTAAGAAGTATTAGAATTTTAGGGGGATGAATTTCGATATTCAAATGTGACCTAGTACTCTAAATATGACATGGAAGCACGGTTGGTAATAGTATTGGAAAGTGAGAGGTGGATGGACGGACTATAATGGAAATTCTTTTGTTCATCGTAAACTGGCCAAGTTACAGTAAGATACATTAACTGTCCAAGGCCAGTGTAGATCAGCACGTAACCTTCGCCCAATCCTACTTGCGCCAATAAGAGATCACACTAAACCAGAAGAGGCCAGCCATAAGCCGAAACTTCTTAAAAAGTGGTCATGAGTCCAAAGCATGCCTTCATTCCAACATAATGGCCCAATTAACTCCGTCATTCAAAAGAGATCAGCATTAACATAAAATTCAGCCGTACATTCCAGTTCAGTCAGCCAAAGGACCTAATGCAGCAAGAACTAATTCATACAATCATACTACTATTCAGAATCCCAGAATATTAAATCACATAACTATTCAATACAACCACTAAACCGTATCTTCTCAATGAGGAGCAGCATACATCTGGCTCGAATCATACTGACCATACGCTGCTGGCTGAGGAGATACCGTTTTCCCATACCCCACCGGAGCTGCACCCCCAGGGGCAGAAGCAGCAACAGGTGCTGCAGCATAGCTCCCCGGTTGTGCCACTGACTGATCATAGCTCGGTTGAGCTGGTGGAGCAGCAGCTGCTTGCGCTGGCTGAGCATAGACCTGATGTGCAGGATCTTGTGCTTGATAACCATAACCAGTAGCAGCAGCAGTGTTCTGAGCGGTGGCAGCCTGATCAGGATAGCCTTGCGAAGGTTGATATGATCCATATGCTGCAGGGGCAGCCTGGCTATAAGCAGGTACAGGCTGTCCACTCGGCTGAGCTGGAACCTGAGAATACCCATCATTTGCAGAACCATATGGAGGATACCCAGATTGGTAAGAATACTGCTGTTGAGCTGTTGCAGCACCTTGACTGTATGCTTGACTCGGTTGACCATACGGCTGAGGAGGCTGGCCCTGTGCTTGCATGGGGTAAGCCGGTGGTTGCTGCTTGCTGTATTGTTGATGTTGAGCTGGATATCCTGGATAACCTGGCTGTGAATTGGCATGTCCATACTTTGGTTCGTCATATCCATGGCCATAGCCTTGCTGAGGTTGTGCCGGCTGGGGATAAGAAGGTTGATGCCCATAATCATGTCCATAACCATAATTCGTTGCAGGAGCAGGACCAGGCGGGTGGCCAGAGACTGGCGGAGCAGCAGGGTGGTCAGACATGTGGCCTCGTTGACCACCGTAGTAATCATAACCACCACCACCAGGTGGCATATTGGGAGGAGGTCGTTGCTCCCAACCAGGACCATAGTTCGTTCTGTGACCCATGTGCTGCTGTGGGGGGTAATTACCATAACTTGGAGGTGGGTAGTGCATGCCATGCTGCGGTGGATATGGAGGTCCTCGGTGGTGGTAATCATAAGGAGGCATTGGTTGGGATGGATGAGGGCCTCGTGGTGGACCCCAGTGGTTCGGGCCAATGGGTCCACGAGATCGATACGATTGCTGCTGGTTGAAACCCCCAGAAAGAGATGATGATTGCTTCACGTTCTAACATACAAACAAAAAAACTAGTTAGAACAATAAACTAGATTCGGCAACAGGAGAATGTTGACTCAAGAGGCGATACACTATTGAAACCTGCACATACAGAACATGAACATAGGACGATATTTAAAGAAACACCGAAGTGAAATCAACAGTTAAATGATGAAAGCATTATCGTGGTACAACTGAGCCTTCATAATAATGAAACTAGTTATGGATATCCAATAGAATCGTCAACCACAACAAGGCATGCTGAAATCGAACTTTTCGAAGAAAACAAATACCAAACTAATTCTTACTCAATTGCTCAACAATTAAATCTATCAGCTACCACCAGTATGATAATATTACCATGAGATCATATTTTAAAGGGCAAAATTGGAGACAAGAAACCAAGCAGAAATGCAGAATGAGCTGCAAGTGCGAAGGAACTGTTCCCAAATCTACACTAGGCATTTCATGCACACATCATTTTAGAAATTATTACTATTTTGCATCATGCAGACGGCGAATGATTGCTGCAGTCGTTAATGGGAGTTGGCCACGATGAGCCAAAAATTCAATAGAAAAAAATGAGGAGAAACAGCAATTGTGAACTGCCCTTGCAAGTTGCAATGTCTAGAAAAACAGAAGTACACACTTGCCGAACAGCTGAATACAGCCACTTATGCTTGTAGTTCACAGAGGGCACAAGAATTCCGCACCAACCTTAACGACAAAAGAGGGGAAAAAACAAAACAAACCGTTAACATAATAAAGCGCACCTCAAAACTAGTATTATACCAACACAGTCATCATGGGTAGTTACACTGTGAACATAGAAGTAGATGCCAGTTGCATAGGTGGGAGATTGTGAACGAAATAGGCAAGCAGTGTTCTAATCATCTGAACCAGATGCTTGGGTTGACAATATTCATGCATAGAAGCACAACGTACACCATACTATTGAAATGTCCAGCAGGCTATGACTTTCACGAAGAGAAACTGTTTTTCTACCAAAGGTCTAGAGAATAGGATAGGTTGCTACAAAGCACCATGGTTCACAAAAAGCCACTGATTTTGGATTCTCAACTTTGAAGTCTCAAAGCAGTCTTACCAACTATTAACCTCCTGCAAGTGCAAGATATAAAGCCTGATACCTCTCTTCTGTGGATGACAATGAATAGTGGTTGTCTATTGCTACACCAAGAAAGCAATGCTGACCCCATTGGAAAGGCCATAGTGTAATCTGCAGTTTTAAATTCAACCAGTTCGATATCGGCACCTTCAATATGAAAAAGTCAAGGCAACCGGCATCTCGGATGGAATATATGATCTAGCTAATAGCACTCAAGCGATCTCCACTGGTCCATGGTTCATCAATACCATAAATTCCCATGAATTGTGTACAAGATCGCAGTCTCACTGTAATGGAAGACCATCAGACGGATCTTCCCAAATGGATAGTAACTTAGTAAAGGTCTCATCAAATGAATCAGGACATAATACACTTTTGGCTTTGGCAAAAAGAAGAAAAGGACTAGCAAGCACCTCTAAGCATGAACTTGCCACTTGAAAGCACACACAGAAATGAGTCTACAATCACAACAAAGCATTTATGATATGAAACCATTCACCAGAAATCTAGCATCAAACTTCTGCTCTTCATACATAATGGTCAAACAGTGGCCAATGATCATCAGCACATCAAATATGAGTAGATATGCAGATTTATTCACTATATCTCCAAACATAAATAGCATGGCACTTGACAATCCATAATACCAAAGTAGAATATGAAGTTTAAAGCTCTGGAATAGCCAAACCAAAGAGTACGGATGCCCAGAAGGAGAGCCATAGAAGCATAAAATGTTCATGGACTGATAAGCATGGACCCATAATGCGAGTCAGAAAATGAATCTTACATTCAGTAAGTAGGTCAACCAACAAACACATTACGGATTCCTTGCTACTTTTATGAGTCACAGACAAACTTCATGCAATACTTGCTCACAAACCTCAAACTGGGCATAGTAGCTTTTAGTCGAATTATGTAATAATGTATGCAACTAAAAATGGAAGCAACTTCACCAACTAACTTATGAAAGGACTATAAAGAGCACAAACCTGACTCATGACTTCCTTTATCAACTCACATGCCATATCAATTTGCTTCCTATCGCCAGTCACACGTACAGTCCTTTCTTTTGATCCATCTCCTTCAGGGAGATGTTGAGGAATTAACTAGCGGAAACTAAAAAAGTCAGTTTCTGGTGGAGTTTCTTCACAAACATCAAGAGCATGCTTGTAAGAAAATGCAACAGCCAAGTCCAACAATATCACCTACCTGAATACGTGCTCCAGTTTTTGTTTGTAGACCCTTGATAGTATCCCCACCTTTTCCTATGATCAAACCAACCTGGGAAATTATAAAAGACACTAATTTAATAGCAAGAAAAAGAAAGCACGTTGATAAATAAATTGCTGGGATATGTGTCAGTGGAAGAAATATCTGTAAGCAACCTTCTCGTTTGGAACTTGCATCTCCAGTTGCTCTGCAACTGCAGCATTCTGAGCGCTAGGATGGCCCCTAGCAACAAGGGAAGGGGAACCCCCTGCATCAGCCTGCAATAAATATGGGGTAAATGCTGTAAAAATCGGCATTTTAAGGTGGTGAAAATGTTACACCAGTAGACTGAACAAATTGATATTGAACTAGGAGCAAAGCAGGATAAGCTACCTCAGCTATAACAGCCTGGATCAGCTTCTCAGCCTTCCTAATACTACCTAGAGTCCCTATTATTTCCACTGGTCTTGTCACACAACGTGGATCAGCATCTGCATCCCTTGTTATCTGTATCTTTGCCCCAGAGTTATACTGGAGGAAACGAATAGTGTCCCCACCTTTGCCAATAAGAACCCCAACCTAAAAAAGCAATATTTGTGTCAATATTCATTTCAATATGACACAACACATTTGAAATCATACAAAAATAACCAAAAAATGATGAGTGACTCACATCATCAAATAGAAACTAAGGTCAACTTTAATTCTATACTTCACCATGTGTATGTAATCATATAATTCATCTATATGTTCAGCCAATATCAATGAGAGATAAAAAAAAAAAAAAAAAAAAAATACAAGACCATCGCTGGAAACATCTATCATTGGCGTTACCATGACCTTAAGTTCTTTGTTCAGCCTGGGAGTTTTTTTCGTAGAAAATCTTGGGAGTGGTTTTCAGTTCTAGGCAAGTACAACGCATTCCCTGTATCTTGCTCCTGTATATTTTAAACTAATCATTCTTCACTTTCAGCAAGTAGAGATTTTAGAACTCCATATTACATTATCAAGGAAATTCTACTTCAATATCTTAATTGTCCAAGTCAATATGAAAATTCCTTAACATAACATTGTCCAAAATAAACTAACTCTGAATATTAACAAATGTTGCATTGGTGTACATAAACGCACCTTATCATTAGGAACTTCCACCCTACGAGTGGTAGTCTGATCATCGGATAGAGCTTCTTCCTCTGCTTCTTGTAGTGGTTGCCCGTCTTCCCCTTTTGGGAGCAGCTCATCAGCTTTAACTGGCTCCACATCCCCAGCAGAATCTGGTTTCTTTCCATCATTCTCCTCATCAACTCCAGCTGCAGCAGCATCTTCATTAAGAACTTTCTCCTCACTCTGCTCTCCTGCTTCCTGAATCCTGTCAGGAGCCTGCTGAGCACCACTCTCTTCCGGCACTTCACTTTTACCATTTTCATCACCAACAGTTTCCCCGTTAGCACCTTCATCTGGCTTGCCTATCTCAAAGCCATTTTCACCAACTGTAAACAGAAAAATAATCCTCGACTGTTTAGACCATAGTAGCTCTGAACTTTGTGCCAAGCTAGATACTTTAGCACCCACCCTAGACAGAAAAACAGAATAGCAGCTAACATTTCTAAATAACCAGCTGACTCAGACAGATAAAGGACCGATACATGCAAACTAAATGATGTAAAGGATAACACTGTAAACTTCACACGAGCAATGCAATGCCGAATACCAGGCTCGTCCACCGGCTTATCCTCAACCCTAGCCCGCTTGACCTCCTGCGAATCCCCATCGATTGCAGACGAATCGTCGCCGCCGCCTTCGATTTCTTCCTTATCTTCCACAACATCAGAAGTCACCCCGGGCTTCTCGTCTTCCGCGACCGGAGCTTCAGCGGGTAGGTCCAATTCATCGTGCTTCCGCTTGTGATCCGTGTGGAGGGGAGGGCTCGAAGGCGCCGTCGCTGCAACCTCTTCCTCCGCCATAACAAGTGGAAGGGGCAAAATGCTACCAAGAAGCGAAGAGAGATTCGAATCTGTTAATCAAGATGCGAGCTTCCTGCAAATCGGAGCAAAAGGGTGGTCGGTGGTTTGGGAGAGAAGGAAGCCGAAATGGATGCGAGCGAGTGCGAGGGAGATTTGAGGAATGGCGGAGAGGGTTTAAGCCGTCATTTTTATATTTTCTTATTTATTTAATTTTTGCAGAAATTACTACTTTTTTGGGCCAAGGTTTGGGGAAGCTATAATTATACGGGCCTGAAATTTCGTCCAGTTGCGTTGGCGCCATAATTATACGGCCCAGCTGTTGGCGGGCCAACCGAACTTCCGAACCGTTAACTAAACGGAGCGAGAAAGGAACGAACTTTGGTTATGTAACCGCCTTTTCTTCTTGTTAGGCAGATCTGCCCTTCTTCGCTGCTTTCTTCTTCTTCTTCTGGAATTTCCACTCTGTTATCTGCTGTTAGTGCTGTACCTCTTCAATTTTACGCCATTGATTAATAAAGTTCTCGCAGTTGGAGAATTTCTTCATCTTCTGGGATTCATATATCCAGCTTTCTGCATTTGGCGCTTAGGGTTTAGCGATTCTCAGCTGCTGCCCACCTCCCCTTCAAGTTCCACGGCTCTTTCTGTTTTATTTCGCTTGTTGTTCGGGAGATTGCTTTAGCCGCCAGTGTTGTTTGATTGATAAGTCGAGGAGTGCCCATTTGATAATTTGGTAGAATCTGAAATCCCCATTTCCCATTAATTGGATTCGATTCTCAGTGATCGGGGCAGAAATCCAGTCTTTCGGTTGAAGCGAACCTATTTGATACTTTGCCTCAGAGAGCTAGTTTGGAAAGGAAGGAGGAAGTTTGTGTTTCTCGTGGTGCTGCTGTCTGGTGGGCCATCTGGGGTTTGAAGATTCTCATTTTCGGTATCTGATCCGTGAGGTTTTATTGATGGCGGAGCCGGAATCGAAGCCTGAAGTTTCTGTGGAGACATCGCCTGATTTGCTTAAGAATACGCCATCGAACATTGCGCGGTTGGAAGATGTAATAGAGCACTCGAAAGGTCGGCAGAAGTATCTTGCACAGACCAAAAGTCCATCTGATGGTGGTGACGTGAGGTGGTACTTCTGTAGGGTACCTCTAGCTCCAACAGGTAAGTTTGCTGCTGGGTTTTCTTATTAATGTTTAGTAGGGTGAAAAGTGTTTTACTTTTTCCTTGTTAGCGCTGATTTCACAACAGTGCCCCATCATGCCCTTAGTGATTATTTATGCCCATCTTTCATGCACCTTTCGCCCGATCATAAAGAATTGCTTGTGTATTCGTGACGGAAAAATGGGTTCGAAGAGAGATTTCATGCTGCTGTTTTTATGCTCCTACAGAGTTAGCTGCATCTGTTCCTCGCAACGAAGTAGTAGAAAAGGGCGAATATTTTCGTTTTGGAATGAGAGATTCACTTGCAATTGAGGCTTCATTCTTGCAGGTCATACTTGTTATCCTTGTTGGCTGGTTGTGTCGCTTAGAGCATGAGTGATCGGCCTCCTTTTGACATCTCAAAAGTCATTTTGATCACAGTTTTGCATCATATTTATTGAACCAGACGCTTGAGAATCCCATTGGTTGATGTGACCTGATGTTTTTTTATTGGCATCTGCAGAATGAAGAAGGGTTGCTTTCTACTTGGTGGAAAGAGTACGCAGAATGTAGTGAAGGTCCAAGAGGACAACCATCTTCAAGCAAGAAGATAGATGCCGAAGATTCTAATCTATTTGATACGGAGGAAGAAAGAGTTGGTGTGCCTGTGAAAGGAGGGTTGTATGAGGTATCTCTACAGAGTCAAACCATCTTTTATTGCCAGGATGACTCGGACTTCAGTATTCTTACTTCAGAGTGTTAAGTATTCATATCCTATGAGTTAATTTATGCAGGTAGATCTACCAAGGAGGCATTGTTTTCCTGTTTACTGGAACGGAGAAAACCGGCGAGTCCTGAGAGGTCACTGGTTTGCTCGTAAGGGGGGCTTAGATTGGCTTCCTCTTCGTGAAGATGTTTCTGAACAATTAGAGGTGGCATACCGCAGCCAGGTTTGCTCAAATACCTACATTTTGGTACCGTGTGCTATTTGGTACAGCGATCCTATCATATGTTATTGCTTGTTGCAAATTTTATTGTCTGAGATTGTGAATGCAGTCTGCATATTGTACTTCAAATGTATGCTACCTGCTTCCTTCAAGGCTTGACCTATCAATAGTTCCGATTCCCATATTACGAAGCTCCTCTGCTTCCTTAATTTTGGGTATATCTCCAGGTTTGGCATCGTAGAACATTTCAACCCTCTGGACTATTTGCTGCTCGTGTTGAACTGCAAGGATTTACACCAGTAGGTTCTTTTCCTCTAAGGTTCTTTTGCAAGTTTTGTTTCTGGACAGATGGCTAGATAAGAACAGTATGGGTTATGCATCCAGGGACTTCATGCTCTTTTTATGGGTGAAGATGATACCTGGGAGGCTTGGCTCAATGTTGATGCTTCCGGTGTTGCTAGTATTGTTAATTTTAGTGGAAATGGGATTAAGTTAAGGCGTGGTTATTCTGCGCCGTCCTCAACAAAACCAACTCAGGTATATCTTCTGTTTCTTAGACCTATGATGTCCTTTATGTTGATAACTCGATAACATGCACAAGCACATAATAAAGAGCAAAAGTTGTCTTTTGAATATAGAATACGAGACAGTTCCTTGTTAATAATCTTTAGAATGAGTTTGCATTACCTGGTCAAATATAGATAGGTACAATGAGCTGTGCCTATTGTGATAATTTTCGTCTTTATGTGTTCCTCGGGGGGGAAATTGTAAGAGCATACTGGAAGAACCAACGTGTAGAATGCATCACTGTGACTTGAGTAAAAGATAAGTAAAAAAGTTCAGGAATTGCCTTGAACTTCTTTCTTGTTCTTCACTTGCTAGAGATCGGGGGCAGCAAGAATGATCTGTGTTACGTGGTGCACAGATAAGATGATGTGATTAGGGTTAGACCGCTATTTTTTATGTGAAGGATTTTTCACTATTAAGGAGTAAATAGAAGTGGCAACTGGCACCAGACCTTTTCCATGCTACTTATGGTTAACAGATTGCAAAGTTAAAAATGCATTGGCTCATCTGTTGATAGCCACGGTATTTTGATTAGGATGAATTGCGGCAGCAGAAGGAGGAGGAAATGGATGATTACTGCTCACAGGTTTGTATTGTTTTTCCTTTTAATAATTCACTACTTCGCATTCTTGCAGTGTAGATTTATTGTTTCTTCTACTGGTTGTTATGTTGCTTAATTCTGAGAAGGGTGCGAGTATTGGGGATCTGCGTCATGTGGAGTCCTTTTTTCCTCTTTCATTATGTTGTAGTTCTGAAAATAATTGTATCTCCATTGTGCTGCATCATTTTTATGCTTTATTATTCAATTAACTTCTAACTCAGCTATGTTCATTGAGTAAGATTCCTCTGCATCTGTCTGATCTAGGTTCCTGTACGACATGTGGTATTTATGGTCCACGGTATTGGTCAAAGGTTGGAGAAATCTAATTTGGTCGATGATGTTACCGAATTTCGACATATTACTGCGAGTCTTGCTGAAAGGCATCTAACCTCTCATCAACTTGCTGCTCAGCGGGTTCTCTTTATTCCATGCCAGGTAAACAGAAAAGATACATGAATTACTACCTAAAAATGCAGTTTTATTTTTGAATTCCAAATTATGTGAGGATACATAACTAGTATCAGGAAGTGAGCAAACATCTAGTCCGTGACATGTGATTTTGAGGAACTGTCAGGTTCCAGTTACCAGTGGGTTTGTGGTAGCTTCTGCAAACTAAGAGCTATTTTATATTGGCCAATTAAATTTCCAGTTGTTATTTAATGCATATGAAAGCTTTTCTATCTGCTGAATGCCATACTCCATGGTATGAAATGGTGAGTGAAGATTTTGTGCTTTTATGTTTACATCTCTCAGTATGGTACTTAGACTGAATCGGGGGGTTGTATTTCCTGAATTAGTATATAAAAGTTAGGAGCCCTACTGCCTGTGTAACTGGCATTGAACATCACTATAACGACTTCGCCTGAGAGTGTAGAAAATTTAGAACAGACTTTGGTGGATTGCACTTCAAAATCATTCTGTTGCCTACTTTCCCTGCTACTGGGTTTCCTTATTGTCTTTTACTTTTCCTTATATTCACTGTCAGTCTTCATGATTGCTTCTGCTTATTTCTGGTCATCATGTGGTCTCAATTTGCATATTTAATACTTGTTTGCAGTGGAGAAAGGGCTTGAAACTTAGTGGTGAAGCTGCTGTTGAAAAGATCACTTTAGATGGTGTACGTGGTCTTCGTGTGATGCTTGGTGCAACAGCTCATGACGTATTGTACTACATGAGTCCAATCTACTGTCAAGATATTATTAATTCGGTAATGTTTATCCTGTCTTTTTTCCAATAATTACCATACCTGGTTGTGCAAAATTAAAGCATAAGTTTTATTCAAATTTACAAAATATATAGGCCATCATATTACAAAGATTACTTGTTAGTGCCCTCACACCCTTTTGTTTGATGGTATGATTGTTTGTTATCTCCAGGTATCAAACCAGTTAAACCGTTTGCATTCAAAATTTCTCAAGCGAAATCCTGGGTATGATGGTAAGGTAAGCACCTGGTTAGACCCCACCTCCACTCAGTTTCCCTCAATGGATGTTAGCTTGCAGGAAAAGCATGTAACCTACTTTTTTGGTAAAGGTTTCCTTATATGGTCATTCGTTGGGGAGTGTTCTCTCTTATGACATCCTCTGCCATCAAGAGAACCTGTCATCCCCATTTCCTATGGAGTGGATGTACAAAGAACAGCCTTCCACTCCAAATTCACTCCCTGATGTGAATGAGGAATCTTCAATGCATAACCCTTTGCCCAAGCTGGATGGTACCTTTTCCACTGAAGAAATAGTGGATTCTGCTGATGAGGCATCGACTCCAGTTCATGAAGTTAAGGCCACGTCAGGGGAGTTCGAGAAAGCCGAAGGTTTTCCCAATTCAGATGACAATGGTCGAACCCTGTCTGAGGAAAAGGATGGGTTGGATAAAGATGCCACTACGACAGTCGATGACTCAATTGAAGGGCTGGAGAATGAGGCTGTCGAAAACTGCAAAGCGGATAATGCCAAAGAGGTTGAATTGTTGAAGGAAGAGGTTTGTTTCTGAATACTTTCTCCATTCTAAAAGCTTAATATTCACTTCGGCCTCTTAAGTTGTGGTTTTTCTAATTGTTTTTGTTAGATCAATTGCCTTAAAGCGAAAATAGCAGAATTGGAATCGAGGAGTGTGACTGGGCCTGCTTGCGGTGCGTTGCCTCAAAGCCATATTGTCCTTTATTCATTTTTTGTGTTTAATTTGGTTGGATTTTATTAATTTTTTATTTGATGAACAGAAAGTAAGGAGATGCCTGAAACGAAAGCAAGCGAGTCCACATATGAGAATACCCCTACCACTTTGCAAAATGAACCACAGAATTACACCCCCTACATAAAGTACACAAAACTTGAATTTACGGTGTGTGCATCCTTTTTTTTGTTTATGGGACTGGCGTCCTTTGAAGTACAGTTTGCATAAGACAGATGTTTAAGTTGAAGTAGGTCTGCAGGAAATAATACTTATATGATCTTCATGGGACTTTCTATACCAGGTAGACACGTTTTTTGCTGTCGGTTCCCCTCTTGGAGTATTCCTCGCTCTTCGTAACATTCGTATCGGAGTTGGTACTACTTTACAGAAACCTTATATGTTCTTTCTGCCATTGAATTCCAAATGATTCATCTCCCGTGAATGATACCTGGTATCATTAGTTTTCCTGGGAGCATGACCTCACACATGTTCCTTTATTCTATATCAGGCAAAGGGCAAGAATATTGGATGGAAGAAAATATCACAGAGGAGATACCAGCCTGTAGGCAAATGTTCAACATTTTCCACCCATTCGATCCTGTAGCTTACAGGTGTGTGATCCAATTTGACTAGTCGCATTTTGTTACCTTACCTCCTACTTTCAGGCATTGTAAAATCGGTTGGTTTCCGGTCTTAAGAAAAAGCTCTGAGTATAGCATTAACATTTATGAAAGTACTACTTGGTATGATGTGTCGTGTGTCTCTTCTCTGTGTCATTTTCATACAGAATAGAGCCACTTGTATGTAAAGAATACATCAACAGGCGTCCTGTCATTGTTCCTTACCACAGAGGTGGAAAGCGTTTGCACATTGGATTTCAAGTAAGCCTCTTTCAACCTAGTGCAAATTGGATTTGGTTTCTTCCTCCTCCTTATCTTAACTCCTTTCCTCTTTCTCCATCCATGTTCTCATACATTTTTCATGCAGGAATTTTCTGAAGATTTAGCTGCTCGGTCGCAGGCAATCAAGGATCGTTTAAATTCTGTAAGGGTGGGCCCTTTCGACTTCCATAATTTTTTTTCTTTCCAGAGTGATCCCGGATGAGTTGGGTTCTTCTTGACTTCACTTGGTCTTCTTTTGTGCATATGTTTGTCATCTTTTGTCTCTATGCTGAATCAGCATTTCTGATTACAGTCTAGCAATAGCTAATGCTTCACGAGTAAGGAATTTTGCTTGGTCCTCTAGTATTGTATCAGAGAGGTTTTCTATGTTATATATTACTGAATGCAAGTATTACTTGGCTCCCTGGTTGTGTGGTTAGCTCCTTGATTGCTCTTTTCTTGAACCTACTGTACTGTAGTTTTGATGTGATTGTATGCTAGATGGATAACAGGTTACCCTAGTATGCAGGTCAAGTATATTCCATTTATGTTCACCCGTAACGAACCATGAAGTTGCTAATTTTTGTTATTTGAGCAGGTTAAAGTTCTTACAATGTGCCAGTCGAAAAATGAAAATAACTTCGATGGTAAATAATATATTTTTCTCGTCTGTTATCTCTTAGGCGAGGTTACTGGAATCTCACCAATCTGAATGTCTCCGGTAATCCGATGCACTTATCTGTTTCAGGACAAGAGGAAAATGTTCAGGATAGGAATGAGAGAACATACGGCACTCTCATGATGGAAAGGTTGACTGGAAGTGAAGAAGGGCGAATAGATCACATGCTTCAGGTATGTATGGTACATTCCCATCATGTTTGCCCTCATCGAACCACATAATTACTCTTCACATTCCTTGTTACTGAATTCCCTTTTCTAGATTGTTTGTCATCTGAAAACAACATTATCTGCATGAGTAGATTGATCCAGGTGAGGAATGGTAAGACACTATCTGCCATTATTCATAGACTCATAGTCAAAGGTATCAGCTTGGCACTCCGGCACTAGCATGTCCTGGGAGTTCAGTTTATTTTGAATTTATAGCTGTCTTTCGGTATTATTAGTACTATTAATGATGATGATGGTGATGATGATTAGGATCAGTTCTCTAAGAACCTGCATTTGTTGTTTAGGCCCAATTTACAACTCATGCATGACAGTTAATCTCACATTCTTTGTCCAAGGTTTTGCTGAAAAGCAATAACTTGGCTCCCCTGGACAAACAGTCATATCAATTAATCATTCTCATTCCCTTCTGATGAGGCTTTTGAATCATGCAGGATAAAACTTTTGAACATCCATATCTACAAGCAATTGGAGCACATACGTAAGTATCTTATGGGGCTTAAAATGTGTGCATTTTTCATCTGCCTGAACAAGTTTGCACTTACTAGCCTATATATATTCACATCGATTTTGTTTCACTTGGGGGCATTCAGGAACTACTGGAGGGATTGCGACACTGCACTCTTCATCTTGAAACACTTATATCGGAACATATCGGACGAGGCCGATCACGACGATGAGACTGGCGAAGGAGACTCCTCGAGAGATGGAAATAGTGGCTGCGGTACCTCGACATGGCAGGAACGGAGAGAGTCGGCAGAGGAGGAACTTCCTTTAACTTTCTCCGACCGACTGACCATGAAGAACTTCTCCAGGAAAGCAAAGAAATTCATGAGGAAGTCGTGATAGCTCAACATAGACAAACATGGTTGGTTATGTTCATAGGGTTTCCGTGGTAGGGCACAGAACAGTAAGCTGTATCTTTGTACACAAACAATAAAAAAGGGTATCTTGAAAAAGAAAACAAGACCTTTTTTCGGGTTTGGGTCTCTTTAGCAGTAAGGTGTGTTCTGTTTGTTTTTATTTTGAAGCCTTGCTTCTACCACGATATGTACATAGAAACATGTGTGATTGTGGGTGTGACAAAATGGGTGCAGCAGTTGTATATATACTTGGGACTGGGTGGCTGTTTGTTTGATTCTATGTTGTTTTTAAGTTTATCAGATAGATTGTAAGTAATATCCAATGTATAAAAAGTAAAATGATGTCTGCATCAATTCGTATCAGAGCTCGTTTCTGATTTTATGGAGGAACTAATTCCTTCAATCATATATCACGTATTTCTATTCAATTCTCTCTATACTTCCGATTCTCGTTACCTGCATCATACAGTTCGACTTCAGAAACCACCGCAACGGGATGGGATTAGGTGCTAACCCTTATAGTGGTTAGCAACGGGATAACTAAAAATAACGAAATCACTACGGATTATTATAAAATCAATACAACATCTAAGCTAAATCACTACTAATTCAAACTAGTAGTAGTTTTTCCCTTGGTTAGGACGGTGCTAACTATTGTACAATTAGCACCGTAGCCGTTCCCCACAGCAACAAAAGACTTGGTGGAGCATCCACTCCTCTCCTTTGAGAGTTGGGAGAGAGCTTCCTCTACCATCAAGCATTCCAAAAATGCTCTATACCTTGCTTCTCTGATTCTCTCACTCCTCCTTCATGACAGCTCCAATGCCACTGGAATTAATAAAACCCTACCCTGTTCTTCACACAACTTCACTTCCAATCCAACCCTACTCCATCTTCTCCCCCCATCTTCTTCATCCCTCCCATTGCCTTCCCTTCCACAAAACTAGCTGCTATTAAACTATAATATATTGTAAGCAACAACTCTGACAGGTTTCTTCAAATATAAAGAAGCTGCCAATCTGAAAATGGTGCTGAAGAAACTGAGCAGAAAGGTCAAAACCTTAGTCACTAAGCCATTCGACAAGAAACGCGGTAGTAGCAGCCATCCTCCTCTGCCTCCAGCTCCTTCCTTCCATAAACCTCCCTCTCCAATCCACTTCTCTCCATCGTCCCCTGAACAACAACAACTACTACTCTCCCCAATCATGCCTCCGCCGCCGCACCGCCGCCGCCCTGCTTTCCCATTTGTCTTCCCGCAGGAGAACTCCACCGTCCTCCCGGACCCATCCGTCTTCTTCTCCACCGCGCTCCTCTCTTCCCCTCTCCCCACCAATTCCTTCTTCCAGAACTTCACCCTCAAAAATGGCGACCAGCCAGAGTACATCCACCCTTACCTCGTCAAATCCACCGGCTCTGCCCTCTCCGTCTCCTACCCATCCATTTCCCACAACTCTGCTTTCACTTACCAGGTTTTCAACGCCGATCTCACCGTCTCCGCCGCCGCTCCCTCCGCCGCCGATCGCCACGTCATCACCTCCTTCAACGACCTCAGCGTGACGCTCGATTTCCCCTCTTCCAACCTCCGATTCTTCCTCGTCAGAGGAAGCCCCTTCCTCACTTGCTCCGTCTCCAGAAACACGCCCATTTCAATCTCCACCATTCACGCCATTCTCTCGTGTTCTTCTCCCACCAATTCGCTCAACAAGTACACGGTCAAGCTCAACAACAACCAGACCTGGCTCATTTACTCGTCGTCTCCAATCAATTTGACCCACACCACTTCTTCAATCACCTCCGCCGCCGGATTCTCCGGCATCCTGAGGATCGCGATCCTGCCCGACGAACCCGACCCGGGATCCGAATCCGAATCCGTTCTCGATCGGTTCAGCTCCTGCTACCCAGTTTCCGGGGAGGCGATTCTCTCCAAGCCCTTCTCCGTCGAGTACAAATGGGAGAAGAAAGGATGGGGCGATCTGCTTATGCTCGCCCATCCCCTGCATCTCAAGCTTTTATCCGGTGACGACTGCGACGTCACCGTTTTGACAGGCCTGAAGTACAGGAGCATGGACGGTGACCTCGTAGCCGTCGCCGGCGATTCGTGGGTCCTAAAATCGGATCCTGTTTCAGTGACTTGGCATTCGATTAAGGGAATCAAAGACGATAGCTACAATGAAATCGTGGATGCGCTTCGCAAGGATGTCGATGGCTTGAATTCATCAGCGATAACCACGACCTCGTCTTACTTCTACGGAAAATTAGTCGCCAGGGGAGCTAGATTGGCGTTGATCTCCGAGGAAGTCGGTTTCCCTGATGTGATTCCGGCAGTAAGGAAGTTCTTGAAGGAGACGATCGAGCCATGGCTGGAAGGGACATTCAATGGAAATGGGTTTCTGTACGATGGCAAATGGGGTGGCATTGTTACCAAGCAAGGGCTAACAGATTCCGGTGCTGATTTTGGGTTTGGCATATACAACGACCACCATTTCCATTTGGGTTATTTCCTTTACGGCATTGCTGTTCTTGCCAAGATCGACCCGGCCTGGGGGAGAAAATACAGGCCACAAGCTTACTCTCTAATGGCCGATTTCATGAACCTGGGAAAGCGATCGGATTCGAGTTACACTCGTTTGAGGTGCTTCGATCTGTACAAGCTTCATTCTTGGGCGGGAGGGCTGACCGAATTTGCGGATGGACGGAATCAGGAGAGCACAAGTGAGGCTGTGAATGCATACTATTCAGCTGCTTTGATGGGATTAGCTTATGGAGACACCCATCTCGTCGCCATTGGATCCTCGCTTGCTGCGATGGAGATTCAGGCGGCACAGACGTGGTGGCACGTGAAGGAAGGGGACACCATCTATGCTGCGGATTTCACTGCTGAGAACAAAGTGGTGGGAGTGCTCTGGGCCAGCAAGAGGGACAGCGGGCTGTGGTTTGCGCCGCCCGAATGGAAGGAGTGCAGGCTTGGGATTCAGGTGCTGCCATTGCTGCCAATCACGGAAGTAGTGTTCTCTGATTTGAAGTTTGCTAGGGAGCTCGTGGATTGGACTTTGCCGGCGTTGGGGAGGGAAGGTGTAGGAGAAGGTTGGAAAGGGTTTGTGTATGCTTTGGAAGCGATGTATGATAAAGGGAGTGCTTTGGAGAAGACCAAGAGGTTGAATGGCCATGATGATGGGAACTCGCTTAGTAATATGCTGTGGTGGATACATAGCAGAGATTATGAAGAAGAAGGAGGGTGTCAAGGTGGTGGAGGGAAGTTCTGCTGGTTTGGTCACTACTGTCACTAAAAGATAATTCCTTTATGTTGCAAGACAGAGTTAGTTTGTCGAATAAATTCGGGGTTTTGTTGCTGTGTGTGTTTCTGTACATGTATTTGCTTGCTCTCTCTTGATTGTGTTTTTGCTATGGAGCCTTTGCATTTGGAATCTGATGATACATATGCAGCAATGGCGTCTGAATTCTGCTGCAACCCAGATACATGGAAAAGGAATACTAGTTATATTAGTATAACAGAATATGTCAAATGATGGCAAGAACCGTGAAAGCATTTTGGATTTGGATATGGACGTTCTTCAAATGAGCAAACACTAATTGGTCTGAGATTTTGGGAAATGATGATGGGCAATAACAGGTTCTTATCAACTGAACCACTTCAGTGCAGAGGTTGAGGCCTCAAGAAATATGGCAACAAGGGCCAAGTTGTTGCCAAGACTCAAGAAAGCTCCATAGCTAAGGTAGTCAAAGAAGAAGAAGACTTAAAGAAGGAAAGCTTGCCTACTTTTCCAGTTTGTTAGAGTGGAAAATTAGGGAACAACAATATGGGTTTATTGGAACTATTCGAAAGAAACAAAGATAGATGGGAAATCAGAAGGAAAAAAAAAAAAACCCTACAAATACAACAAAAGCTACAGACTTGCAAGACAAGTAGCCCTCTCATCTCTGCAATGGAGATCTGGAGTGGTGTATCTCTCTGCTTCTCACTTCTGCCTCTTGTAAATCTTGCCCAGGAAGGACTTCAAAACTGCTTGCACAGCTTTGCTGGGATGAGCTTCTATGGAGGTTATTATTTTCTCGTAGCTTTTGCTCTCGTACTCCTCGAAGACTCCCTAATCAAGGATCGAAAAGTTTTAACAGTTGGAACTTTGGAAATGATTCTTACAGCAAATTGAGACGGGAATCTTGAAGAACGAAAGGTCAAACCTGGAGATTCAATTCATGGTAGAGGGCCTTCACTTTGGCAACATTGCCTGGATCAGCTTTGCCATAGTTCTCCTGCAAAGAGTTTTGAGCCATGGTTTAAGCCATGTGAGGAGATCTTGAATAGAGAGAATGAACACTGAAAACGGTGGAAGGAAGAATACTTACGAGCAACAGTTTCTTCTGTTCTTCATTGCTAAGTTGGAATGCTTTTACCACCAACCATGAGCACTTGAAATCTTCAATGTCTGTTCCAATCTGCGAATTGGGAAAATGTCCAGTTAGACCAACTTTTCAGATGTCGTTCCTTTAATTTCTACCTTTTCCATATACAAGTTTGGTCAAGAGCTCACCTTGCCAATAGTCTCAGGATCACCAAAGCAATCCAAATAATCATCCTACAAAGGGAAACAAAAGAAGCAATTAAAATATGAACCAGAAAGAAGAAATACAGGTGAACATGATCAACCTCTTTCGATTATCATTCAGCACGAATATCATTTTGTATCTCCAAATCAGACCGAAATTAAGCTGAAGAATCAAATTGAAGTTCATGGATGCAGCAAGAGATTCTGGAAACCTAGATAAATCAACTACAAGAACAAAGGAGAGCCAAATAGAAGTTGATCATTACCTGCACTTGGAAGTAGGTTCCCATCTCAACCAAAATGTTCTGCACTTCAATATGGTTTTCGAGCTTCTCACCAGCCATCAGCAATGCACAAGCAACCTGAGCAGATATAGACATAGATTAGATGATCAAATCACTATCATCTAACCGAACACTTTCAAATTTCAAGTGCATTGTGCTATCGAAATTTGCAGACATAGTAAATGCCAACTCACAGGGAGGTAAAAGGAATAGTAAGCTGTCTTGTACTGGACAATTCTTCGGTGGCTGCAAAAGTTACCATCAATAAAGTTACATATAACACAGGATAGCTATGTGAAGGAAAAACAAAATGAAGCCCTTCTTAAAGTTAAAGCCATGACTAGAAAGTTACTCAAAGAAACAAAAGCTTGAGTTCCATGCTGAGATTCAGAAGTTGGAACTTACAACATATGCCACTATTAAGATGAAAAGGTATCTCCTCAAAAAGAAATAAGAGAAAAAGATATGCATAATAGTTTACTCACAGTGACTCAGTATACTTGGACAGATCCTTTTCTCCTTCAAGCGTTGTGATTAGATCTATCATCTGTCCATGGGCAGTTTGAAACTCCACCTAAAACAAGAAATTGAATTAGAGTAACTACGATGTGATCAAATCGCATGAACAAAAACGACAATATGATGAGATGTCAATCTTACCTCGTTGAACAAATCCAGGAGATCCACATAGTAATCCTTGTTCCTGAAGTGCTTCTTGAGCATCCTAGGAATATGGTTCCGCAGCAGAATACCATCATTAACTGCAATCATACCAACCTGCAGAGATCGCATAACATTTCCAGTCCAATTGATTCACCAAATCAGAATTTTCAAAGTTACTCTAGAAACAAACCGCATCAAGCACTTTCTCAGAACATGTACCTTAGGCAGCCTAAACCAACAAGGTTGACCACGACGAGTGTGAGAGGCATCCATGATGTCATCAAGTACCAGAAAGTATGCTTGAAGCTGAAAAGGAATAGAACAAACAGCCAATGTCATTGACAAATATATCAAAAAGATCATACCTTTGGCCATCATGCAACGAGGGGAATAGTAAAACCGGAAAGGGGAAGCATGAGTCCAATCAATACCCATTCAATACACCAACCAAGGGTGCTGGAAAGAAAGATTTCATCTTCAGTTAGGTCTTCTTCTTCTTTCAACAATTTGAGGCTGTCAACCACGGATAATCCCCGGTTCAACTTCCCTGTAAAATTCCATCCAACATTACTAAACCATTTTCAGCAACCTGGTATTAATTTAACATCTTTCTGCAGATCAACTTTAAGTGCATCCCATACCTCCAGGCACAGTGTAGTCCAACATCTGCCACAAATAGAAACGAAAGAGACATTGAGTAAAAGGAGTTCTGAGATGCATAGATTCATCAAACTAAGTCAATTGCACCTAGTGATGACATTCCAAATAGCTGTTATTGAGATCTAGAACAGAAAGGAACCATAAAGAAAAGTTGCAGAGTAAGTAACCTTTTCAACCCATTGACTAGAATCAGGACTCCATTCAAAGGCAGGGTCTTCCAGGAGATCCTTCTTCAGGGTATCATAAACCTTCATGAACATTGACTTCAGATCTGCCATGACGTGGAATGCTTAAAGAGAAAAGCACAAAGCAGAACCTGCAGATAACCAATCTTCCCACGTCAAGTTCCAACACCAGGTAACAACGAAGCTTATAAGACACAGTAACCATAAATTTTGCAGCAAACTGGATTCTATAGCAGCAGCAGGAATAAATAAGAAAAGCACAACCCATCTGAATCCCCCCACAACCCAATGATACCCAGAAACCAAAGATGAAAACTTTCAGACAATAGACCAAGAAACTTCCTTCAATCCAAAACATCAATCGCAAATCCTACATTGAAAAACGAATGCACAACCCAGCAGCAGATCCATGGCCAGGGTCATAGCAGAATTGTAACAACGCGAGCAAAACGAAGGGGTCTGAGTAAGGAATAGCGGGGGAAGAATCAATGAAGAACATACTGTAGCCGGCGGGGGGGATTGAGCTAGCTACGGGAGTAACTAGCGTCGGCGACAGGCGGGGAATCAGATCGCCGGCGGGGGAGGAAGGGAGATTGTTGTTTGAATGGGAATTGGGGGAGAATGAATGAAGAGAAGTATGAATTTTATGATCGACAAGTGTGGGGCTTTCTTTCGTGGGGAGGTTTATTTATGGACAGGTTGGGCGTTCACTCCCTGTGAATGGGATGTGAGGATGATGGAGAGTGTTCTCTGGTTGGTGGGCGGACTGTGGGGAGTGTTTGCACTTTTACCAGTCACTCTGCTCTCTCTGCTATTTCTCCTTTTTCTTTCTTTGTGATGGGGACTTCAAAGAGAGAGAGAGAGAGTCAATAGTGTTGTGCTCGTTCTTAAATTCTCCAAGGTTTCCTTCTTCCATTAATGAGTCTAAGGTTGTGTACTTGGTTTTTATTTTAATAGAGAAATATATAATTTTTAGGATATATTATATATATACACACATAAGTCTATATTTTATAAAAATAATATATTGGTGTGGGTGTGTGAAATAATTAACATAATTTGAGTAATTATTTTAATGTGAATTCAATAAATCATTTTTTAATCTGGTTATTTGTACCAGCAGGGCGACGGGACGATGGTTGGTTTGATGTGCAAGTGTTAGTTTTGGGCCTGTCGTGTTTACGGTCTCGTGTCTTTGTTTTGACATTGGGCTTTCCTTTCGTTGGGTCGGTCAAGCTCTAATATGTATATTTTGTGTTTCGCTGACTTTGTCTATAATCTGCATACTCCTCTAAGTATATTACCTTTTGTATGCAAAAAAATTTATCGTATTTTACTAGTTTTGTCATCTTTAGAATCGTGAAAGGAAACATACAAATCATAAGATGACATATAATACGAACCTAAATCCGAATATTGAACTATATATATATTGCTCATGCACAACCAGAAACACTAGACTAGAGTTTCCAGCTAAAGCCAAATACTGGTCTGGGAAAGCATCTCCTTGGGAATCCTGATGGAGGGTCAAGATTCAGTGGCTGGGCGACACGTGGGCGGCAGTGATTGCGCCAGTAGCAGCAATTTAGCCACCAACCAACTGTCAATTTTTCTGGTCGTTATTGCTGCTGGTTACGGCCACTAGCTAGCCCGGTTGTTGTTTGTCCTCTGCCTCCATATTTCCCTTTTCCTTTTTTATTTCCTGCTAAAAGCCAACACTAAATGTAAGTATTTTTCTTTTCTTTTCGGAGGACATCTTGTTAGATTATGAAAGGTAGATATGGGTGTTTGAATTCGCGTATAGATCGGTTCTCGAAGACTTGGTACAAATTTTGAGTGAAGATTTGTAATGGGTGGAAGATAAATAAAAAAACAAGACCTTGCTTCTTATCATTATTCCTATGGGATATTACCTGATTCTACTTTATATGAATGAGAGAAAGAAGTGACTATTTTCGATTTCGATGCATTGGAATCTGCATTATTCTCTAAGATTTTTAAATAATTACTTAGAAGTTTTAGTTAAAACTTTCGCAATATTCTAACGGTGGTTAGCATATCTAGTATCCACTTCGAACCCCCCACCAGTGGCGTAGCCAGGAATTATGCCAAGGTGGTGCAAAAAAAAAAAACATAACTTATATTAATTTTTTACAATGAACCACGACGTGTTTTCATAGTCTGAAAAGTATCTAAAATACATTCATCATCCAAACTATCAAGGATGTCACTCTCAATGTAGCCAACCAAAAAATCATTCATGACATCATCACTCATTCTATTGCGAAGTGTGTTCTTCACATAGTTCATTGCAGAAAATGCTCTTTCAACGCTTGCTGTGGCAACAGGAAGCAACAATGCCAATTTCAGAAGTCTATAGACTAATGGAAACACCCGATGTTTCTTTAATGCAACCATTTCTCTAGAAAGTTCAGCAATTCCCTTTAATCCTGCAAACCTCTGAACTGTCTTCATATCATATATATAAGCATCAAGTTGATGAAGACCAAGATGTAAAATATCATCTTTGGAGAACTCAGTAGGATAAAAAGTAGCAAGCTTCACCAACTTGTCCTTGTCATAGTCGACAAACAAATCGTCTGGATTTAAGCATGCCACACAACATAGCAAATCTGTGTTTATCTCATCAAAGCGACTATTTAGCTCTTGTAACTGCATATCCACGGCTGTATAAAATAACTCAACCTTGTAGTGATGGAGATTGGTGATTTGCTGAGCATTTCTCCTTGGTCTCCCAAGTGGAAAGTATACATCATCCATGTTGACAATGGGAAGAGATTCCTTCGTACAGGGGAGAGGGCCGACTTCGTACAGGGGAGAGGGAAGAGGAAGCGGAAAGTGCAGTAGGAGAATTAGGGTTGGAATGGGGAAATAGACGAGGTCATTTAAATTTAAGTAAACTAACAAGTTACAGAAGGATAAAATAAGTTAAATGCTAAAATGATACGATAAGGAGCAAGTGGCGTGATGGCTGAAGGTGTTTGCGGATTAAGGGAGGTCACCTGTTCGAAACTTCATTCCAGCAGGAGTATAGCTGTATTTTTTAGCTGGGCCTTGCCAGCCCAAGTTGCAGAAGTATAAAATAAATTAAATGCTAAAATGACACGACAAGGAGCAAGTGGCGTGATGGCTGAAGCTGTTTGCGGATTAAGGGAGGTCACCAGTTCGAAACTTCAATACAGTAGGAGTATAGCTATATTTTTTAGCTGGGCTTTGCCAGCCCAAGGGGGTGCAGCCGACCTACCTTGGCCCCACTATAAACACAAATCCGGGATTCGAACTCGCGAGGTTCTACTAATAAGCTAGAGACACTTCTGGAAAACAGAGATGCGTGCTGCTGGCCTCCGCGAGGTAATTTATTTTGCCATAAACTTCGAAATTGTATTTTGTAAACATTTGGTTCCTTGTTTTTTTTATGAATTTGTAGGCATTTTGTTTTACCAAATGATTATCACAATAATGTTTGTTTATTCGTTTTGGAAATCTCATTTATGAAAGATTCCTAATTATGAGAGCCAACAAACCAATGAGACAAGGGGAATATTTTTCAGAGATTGTGTGCATCAAACAAATATTTTTATTATTATGCTAGTAATCTAACACCAAATAGATGTTCTTCAAATAAGTGCTTAGATCGATCACATGTAGATCTCCCAAAAGAAAAAGAGGGGAAAAATAAAAATTATATATTGGAGATAGCCAGCCTTTCCCCCTCGTGACAATTGAAATAAGAACTCTTGCACTTTCCTTGAAAATTATTCACACATATATTAAGAAGTCAAATAAGAGGTGATCTATATATAAAATTCCATTATTTTCAAAATTAACCTGGATAATACAGTACTATATACTATATAAATTAGCTATCATGACAGTTCAAAATGTGATAGCCACCAACTAACAACCCTGAAAATGACCAATGTATAAAATATGTAAAGGGTTGAGAAAAGTTGCATGATTTGCATATGGGCTTTCTGGGGTTCATCATATTTGATTTTTCCAATGTAATCATGAATATGAAGTTTGTAATTGTTTATCATACATTATTTATTTTTAATTGATGGCTAATATTGAGGATGATTAGTTATTAAACACTAGAATTTTGATTAACTCTAATACTGTGTCAGTTTTGTAGTTGAGCTCAATAATTCGAACAATTAATAGTAAAAGTTTCATAATGAATCTCATATAAAAATTGGAGGGTAAAAAAAAATAGGTTCATCATAGTTCAATGTTGTGTTGGAAGGAATTTAATAGTATATTGCATCTGATACAAGAGAATAAGTTACAATTGAAAATTATCTATTTTCAAAACATAAAATACCTACAATATGATACAGATCGAAAAATTACAACATACAAACAAACAAGTCATGAAATTGAGTCACAACCCTCATAAGCAAACCAACTTGAAATTTAAGGGCATGCTTCTAGCTAATGACGAAGATTAAACAATCCGAATCAAAAGAAGGAAGAAAAAAAACAAAAAAACAAAAAAGGGAATATATGTATACAATATGTATAACTAGTTCCAATCAATTAATTGATCATCAGGAAATGATCCGTCATTAGAAATAAATCAAATCGAGTATTAGCAACCGGGCGGCGGCGGCTTTCCCGAAATTATCGGCTTAACATTGATGCACGTCGATTTGGCACCACCCTTCGTACAGGTTAGATCAATGTCGGTCAACGCAATTCCTTCACACGGATTCAAACTGCTGCACTTCAACGTGATCGTATCTGGGTCCGTCGTAGTCCCATGAATGTTTGTGAACGTCACGTTGCTGATTTTGACCTTCGATGGTCCCTGAAAAGACAGGAGAAATTATCAGACCTTTTTTCGCCTTTTTTCAGATCGGTCACTAAAAATCGGTGACTAAAAGTTGAGATATAACGAATTCGTCACCTTGGACTTGCATGCACCATCGGGACAGTACTCCTGGTCAATAATGATGGCGTTCTGCACATCATCCAACGTAATATCGTCGAAATGTATGTCGGAGGCAACTCCGGCCTCCTGATCCGGCCACGACTTGATCCTGACGCCGTTTTCCGTGTCCTTGAGGGTGCAATTCTTGACGTGAATTCCGGTCACCGGAGATTCGTTGGGGTACTTCCCCAGGGATCCGATGGCGATCCCGTGGCCCGGACCGCACGTCACCCCCTCGATGTTGACGTTGGTGACGCCGTCGACCATGGAGATGCAGTCGTCGCCGGTGGCGATGGTGACGTCGATGATGTTGATGTCGCTGGACATGCTGAGGTGGATGCCGTCGGTGTTGAGGCTGTCACCGGCGGCCGTGATGTTGACTTTTGTGAAGGTGACGTTTTTGGAGTCGAGGACGGCCATGTGGAAGAAGTTGCTGTCTTTGCTCGTGATTCCGGTGACCAGGCCATTGGTGACCGACTGGAACCTGAGATTCTGCACCAATTGGCGACAAACGATTGGTCCGTCACTAAAAAGTGATACTAAGTAGTATATAATTCATAAATTGAACCTCTTTCAGTTAACGATTGTGAAATCATCCTCGCCATTTTATAGAAAAAGTTAGTGATAGTGTCTTTTGTACTAATTTCATCCATTAAAATTCCTAAGTTCGGGTATCTCGTAGCTTCAGTCGGACCGTTCAGTAGAGTAGGATTTCTAAAATATTGCTCCCAACAACTCGAATTAAGGAGAACAAGTGGTTCATGACAGGGTATCAGTAGGTGTGTTCAAACGGATTGGTTACCATGATAACCATATTAACCGGTAGCATTCGGTTAATTTGGATAATTGGTTTTGGTTAAATTTTTTTGGTTATTTAGTTTAGGTTGTTTGGTTTGATTTCAATACTGCTAACCAATGAAATCAATTAACCAATTAATGATACACCTAATATACAAAATTATTTATAATTCCATGCAACCAACCAAACCAAACTTTCGTGATTCCCTATTTTATTTCCATGTGCACAACAAACCCAACATTATGCGTCAAAAATTAAATGGGTCTGCCTATTTACTAAACCAAAACATCCTGGACAGCTACTAGACTTTAGGATTACGTACAATACCATGACAGCGACCTTAAACTATGCATAGTTTAAGTATTTTGTGGAAGAACTTTAACTGCCTTATGAGTGGTATGGGTTAGGGGTGGGCATTCGGTCGGTTCGGTTCAAACCGAACCGAAATAATGTATACCGGGTTTCCGAGTTCCATCAAACCTCAAACTGAATTCGAACCGAATTATAATTCGGTTCGGTCGGTTCAAACCGAATTATAATTCAGTTCGGTTCGGTTTTGTATGAAAAACCGAAATTGTGAGGTTAGCTTGTATTTTTTCTCTTTCAAATTATTTTTCACCCCTAATGTAAACAATAAATATGCAATTAAATGCATCATCAATGATAAAATCAAACATTTCAACACATAACTCATAAAACACTAACATAATTCAAATATTTAAGTCTCATAATAAGTACAAACATAAAAATTCACCATTAGGAACTTGCAATTATAGTAATTCGGAAAATCGGTTCGGAATTCGGAAAATCGGTTCGGTCGAAAGAACCTTGGTTTCCGAAATATACTCTTTTCTCTTCCGAATTCCGAACCGAAGTAATGTTATTCGGTTTCGGTTCGGTTTGAATTCGGTTCGGTTTTACCGAACCGTATGCCCACCCCTAGTATGGGTATGTATTTAATATTTATGTTAAGGGTTTGTTGTAAGCTAACTATATTAGGCGCAGAGATGATGAATGATGTATTAACTCGAATGATGATGATAATCATGGTTATGTTATTTGGTTAATCCAATTATCCTATTAACCAAAGCAATTAAACATTGGTTTGGTTAATTTGGTTTTCGTGTTAATTTGGACGGTTTGGTTAAGACATTTTATTCCACGGTTAATGAAATATAGGCTTAATTGGTTTGGTTATTGCCACGGTAACTATTTGAACACCCCTAGGTATCAGGGCAGTTTGTGACCCAAAGGTCTTCTGTTTGATTTTCGGGGACCCTGTTTATTTAGCCTATGATATTTGGACCTATGCAAAATTCAAGCTCATATATGATGACTTTCGTTTGAATGGGTGTATTATCAAGTGATATATGGTCAATAATTGAACATCTCCCAACAATTTGAGTTATTGGACGAACTGATTCTTCGCACATTGGTTTTTTTGGTGACGAGAAGTGATACTAGCTAGCATTAGCAACGAGTGGTGGAAAGCATAGATGACACATACCGCTGCATTGGGCTCCGTTTTGCCGGCGCCTTTGCCGTCGAATGTGCCGGTCCCGGAGAGTACGAAGTTTTCGATATGTTTGAAGACGAACCAATTATCGCCGATAATTGGGTCTTTAGCCGAAATGGTTCCAAGAACTTGGACTTCGATTGGGGCTTTACATGGTCCGGTAACCACCGCCAGGCCACATAAGAAGTCTCCCGCCGGAATCACAATCGTCGACGGCGTCGGCGAGTTACATGCCCCTACCCATGTTTTTAGGAAGGCCTATACATACCCAAGTCAATTAGTTTAAGAAAAAAAAAATAGTCAAGCATGGGAGGTAAGAATACATAAGTAGTAGCACATGATCACTACATGTTATTAAACTAAAACATCATTAAGTGGACAATTGCTATGATGACGAATTGAAAACTATTCCGAGACGATTAGCTAACAAATTACTTATCGATAATGGGAGAGTACAATTTTAGATACTCGCATAGATTGATCTATAATCAAATTTATCATATTAGTTCTATGACTGGTTCAATATTTTGTTATTGTCCGAAGATAGTGAATGCTCTCTTTAACAATAAACAAACGAGTAAATTTTAGAAAACAAGAATTGTATGTATACTTTTAAGGATATTTACTATTATTTCAAAAGGAAAATCATTGTTAATGATATGAGTGAAAGTAGCAAGAAATACTATGCAAATTGTTGACATTGAAGTGATTTGTCTTGAGGCCACAATCCTAAGGTTGGAAATAATGATAATGAACTAGAATGCATCAAAGACATCCTTGGAGACATCATTTCGCCTTTACTAACATAAGCAATTCAAAAGAAAAGGAATAAAACTAAACCAAATTCAACAACCTAATTCATGGAAGCTAATTAAATCAATCAAACCTTCTAGATAATTACCATCATCATATCGGTCTTCCCATCAGGAATGGCGCCATATTTTGTGACCTCAAATATAGTACCGCTAGATGGTCCACCGATAGGTGCACCAGCAGGTCCAGAAGTTGCACTACCAGGTCCTCCGATTGGTGCACCAGCAGGTCCAGGAGTTGCACCACCTGCAGGACCTGGAGTTGTACCACCAGCACCAGGTCCACCAATAGGTGCACTACTCGGTTTAGATGTTGCACCGCCAGGACCAGGTGCGCTAATAGGTGCACCACCAGGTTTAGGTGCTGCACCACCAGATCCCGGAGCTACAACGGGAATTTGTGCATCAGCCAAGAAACCGCCACAACCGACAAACGTAACAATTTGCAACAAAAAATACAGTGTCGTCGTTATTGGTATTCCTCGTCTCGAAGCCATATTATATGAAAACTTCTCGTTTGCTGCTTCTCTTTCAAATTCCTTGGCGAGGGGTTTGTTTGGAGCCGAAGGAAGCAAGCAAAGACGAGGAATGTTTGTATGATCCTCTCGTCTCTTTCTTTCTTTTCGATTTCCACTTCTCGTTTCCAAAATTGTGTGTTTCTTCTCCGTTGATTTCTCAGAAAAGTATTAATAGCGACAGAAACTATGGGACTCTTTCGAGAACGCAAACTAATTTGAGATAGGAATATGGTCTCTCCCAATTGAAAACCAATTGGGTTGATTTGCAAATTTAGGGCTAAAACCGGATAAGGTGCAATACCGTCAGTTTTTGCAAACCCAATCTTGAGTCAAACTAATTTCCCCAATTGGTCATTCACCAATCATCTAAAAGAAAAAGGTGGAAAAAAAAAATCAAATCCCTCTCATACTCCATTCGTTTTTTGGAAGAAGAAAAAGAAATTCCCTTTGACTTCTAGAAATGTACATATACAGAAAAGTTCAGCACTCTCCATGCACTACTAAAGAATGCAACACTTGCATGAAATTAGTGCAGTACAAACACAATTCATTCATTCACAACAAACAAAACCCAAAATTACACAAACTTCCTAGTCGCCTGAGCAAACTTCCTAGTGCAGTACAAAATCTATCTTCTGCAACAACAACTTAACTTAAAGAACGAGTCTCTCACTGATGTAACTCCCACTCGAGGTGCAGTACTTGCATGCGATGAGAGGAACGTGCTGAAAGTTGGCACGATCTTCTCCACGAACACGCTCCACCAGTTCTCGAGCCTCAGATCTTCAAGCTTGCTCAGGCATTTGATCCCTTCAGACATAACCTTAAGATTTGGGCAGTCTCTTACCAGCATGGTTCCAAGATCCGGCATCACTCCTCCTCCACCAATTGTCAGCTTCTCTAAGTTAGGTAAATTGGCTAACGCCAAAGCCCTGAGATTGCTAAATCCAGTCATGAATCTCAACTCGGTACCCTGATAAGCATTGTTGAACCAAACCTTCCTCAGGCTATCCATCCCTTGGAGATGCACAACTGGATCTTCCTCCACGGGCAGCCTGCTCCAGAGCAATCTTATGGTCGTGAGGCTTTGGAGTGAGCGAATCCATTCTGGAAAGTTATTCAGCTTCCCGCACAGGATGAGATACCCGAGGAGCTGAAGTGATGATGAAGAAGAAGTGGATTCATTAAGGGAATCCATCTGGAGGACTTCTTCTTCCTTACTTGCTATCACAACCAACCATCGCAGCAACTGCATAGTTTGTAGCGACGAGCACAGATCTTCCATCTGAGCTCGGCCTTCCAAGTTTGTGATCCCCAGTTGTACGAGCTGGGTCATTTTTTTCAACTGCCTCACTATCTCTCCGCTTGCTTCCACCAAGCGCAGAGCCTGCAAGTTCTTCAGAGAGCTGATATCTGCACCGGATGGAACTTTCACCCCTTTTAGTTTGTTGTATTCCCGTAGACTTCCAAACTCGAGATTGCCTGACAACAAGTGGCGCAGGTTTTGCAGCTTCACAACTTCGCTTGGAAGGACTTCGATGTTGGTGCTTAGGATTTCGAGAGTTTGGAGACTCCACAATTTTCCGATACTCTTTTGGGAGAGTTTTCACCATAGTGCTGTTCAAGTTCAAGTACTTCAAGTTGAGTAAGACGGCTATTTGCTCAGAGAGTTTCTCCAGTGGGGACTTTTCCATATCCACCACACGTTTGAGTCGAAGGTGGCTCCAAGGGAGTTTACTTAGAGAGAAATGATTGTCTCCAGCAAAGAAGATGATAGAGCGAACATGTGACGTACCTTCGACTAAATTAGCCACTTCTCGCTCGCTGCTTGCTTGCTGGATGGATAAACGTCGATGGCTGGATGACTTATCTTCAAGAAGACTTGTACCATCATATACCGAGCAAAACTTCTCTTGCTTTGATATCGTAAGAGCAATCTCTCTGTACAACTCATGCATCTTACACTTCCCGTAACCTCCATACATCTCCCATCTCACAGCTTGGAGAAGATTTCGACCAATCAATTCTCTGATGTATCGCATGCCAACCTCTTCTGGCGATACTCCGTTTTCACCTGCTTCCACAAACCCCTCCGCCATCCATAGTCTGATGAGTCTATCGCACCAGATCCTGTGGTCCTCTGGAAATAGAGCAAAGTATAGGAAACAACACTTCAATAGATATGGAAGATCGTAGTAGCTCAAAAGCAGGATGCTTTTATGGGTTGCAGCATTCGATTGTTGCTCACCGTGCTTAGGATTTCCATGGCGGATTCGCGGAAGATGTGCTCGCCTACGTTCTGTTGCGGCGGGTAGGACCCAGATGGAGAAAGCGATGTAGACTTCCAATTGAAGGAGAGAAGAAAGTTTCTCCGTGGTTTCCACCATGGTCGATCGGAAGAAGCTCGGTCGGCGAGAATAGCTGTGGTCTCTTCTCTCTAGTCCTCGTCTGTCGAATTTCCCCGGGAAAGTACAACTAGTAACTGATAAGGTCCGACCGCACAATCTGCATTGATGTATTGGGCTTCTGGCCTAAATTGGATGGAACAACCTTAAGCCCGGTCCAAAACTTTCATTCTTCTAGGAGAATTGGTAACGGCGGATTATTTTTCTTGCTCAACTTCAATGGCTTCACCCTCTTTAAACCTTTTTAATTCGTAGCTTAATCCACCATGTAAAATTATTATTGTCGCATCACTATATTTTTTTTTCGCATTGCGGGGCGACCGAAGCCAAGAAACAGAAGGGGTTACAGGGGATTGCGAAGAAGAAGGTCGAGTAATAACTCGACGCTCAAAGGTTGTGCTCATACCGTCATTTCTAAGAATCGGTCTAGTCTGGTGGGGAGGGTCCGCAAGGTCATATATACCGTAGGGATAGACGAGACTTTGAGAGCCAGTCTGCGGCTCTATTCTCTTCCCAGTATGTATGAACAATGCGTACCATCCAATCATAGCTCAGTTTCATGCGAATGACAGAGAGGAGAGTAGCATAAGGATGAATAAGATCCACTATGTTCTGAATCAGCTGGATGGTTAACAGGGAGTCCGACTCAATAGTGATAATATGTTGTCCAGTCTTCCATGCCAGCTCAAGTCCATAGTTGAATGCCCACAGCTCCGCAAAATCATCAGTAGCCTCTCTAATATTCGCAACGAACCCCCCTTGCCATTTCCCAGTCGAGTCTCGAATGATGCCTCTTGCTCCAGCTTGTCCCGGGTTGCCATTAGAGGCCCATCAATGTTTAAAATAATCCATCCCTCTCGAGGAGGAGTCCAACCAATGTTTGCCATTGTCCTCTCCACTGGCCGTCTTCTGTTGTCTAGCATAAGGGAAGGAGCATGCCAAGAGTTGTGTCAAAGTTGAGTCTTCAACTTAATGGAGTGCGCCAAAGATGAGGGAGAGAGCGCTGCCACTATCCCTTTAAAGGCCGCTGTTGTTCGATTTTTCTAGAGAAGCCAAGAAGCCATACTGAAGAAGGAAGACCAAGGAACCCCGGTGTCCGTGGGCTCATCGCAAAGAAGGTTCTCCCGTAGCTACTCATCTTAGCTGGAGGAGAACCGCAGTTGTCGGTGGTTCGGGACAAGGCGGCTCCAAAGATAAAGAGTAGGTGGACAGTCTCTCAAGATGTGAAGGATTGTCTCTGGCTGACTTGTGCATCTCATGCAATGTGAGGTAGTTGCCACTCTTCTGTTGTATCGGACAAGATTTGTAGCTATCTTCCCGAGCATCGTTAACCACATAAAGCTTCAAACTCTTTCTAGCACTGGCAATCGCCAGATCACCTTCCATATTTTTTCGTTTGAGGAGGGCTGATGTTGAGTGAGGAGGGAGTAAGCGGACTTGACCGAGAAACGTCCATCAGCCGACGCAGTCCAAAAAAGCTGGTCGTCCTCCTGCGAGATTTTATCAACCTCAATATTCAAGATTTTCTGCACAACATCCATGGGCAGTAGGTCGGAGAAGAGATTTGTTCGCCAACTCACGTCGTCTCGAACAAAGGTTGCAATAGGCACCATCATTTGCTCCTCAGGGATAGCACCCTCCGCCACTTCTTGAAGGGGAACCTGCAAAATCCAGGGTTTCAACCCAAATTTAGTCAGTTTACCATTCTTAATGTTTCATGCACATCCTTTTTCATAAGGTTTGCAGCTTTAGCAAAACTGCTCCAGGTGAAGGAACTTCCCTGAGATGGGCGTAGAATGTCAAGATCTTGTCGTTGTCGTCCGTATTTCGCCACCATCAGCTGGGACCATAACGAGTCTATTTCTTTAAGAAGCCTCCAGCCACTCTTAGCTAGCATAGCAATGTTGGCCTGTCTCGCAGGCCTGAGACCCACTTCCCCTAGTGACTTTGGCAATGAAAGTCTCTCCCACGCCACTAGATGCATCTTGGTCTTGTTCTCCTCGTCACCCCAGATGAAATTCTTACTTATTTTATCAATACTATTGCAAACACCATTCGGGATTAGTTCAATATGCATATTAAACCGTCAAAGAGGCAGCCACCGATTTGGCTACTGTGAGACGAGCAGCAAAGGAAAGCCGCTTAGCTTTCCAAGGAGCCATCTTCTTCTGAATTTGGAGGAGAAGCAACTGGTATATGCTTTTGGTCACTCGTTCCTTGATCACTTGAATGCCTAAGTAGCGTCCCAGGGCAGCTTTCAAAGGAAACCCAACCCTCCTGCTAAAGCGGGCAGCTCTGTCTCTGGCAACATTGGGTGAGACATACACGATTGATTTGTTGTAGTTCACCCTTTGCCGCATCACTATATATGACTCCATCCATGCAGAAAGAAGCACAATATATAAACATGAACTCTTAATGATAAATTGATGAGGAAAAATTACCCAATTTTAAATAGGCTCAAAATCAATGCAACATCGTGAAATCATAACCAATGTTGAAGAACATGTACTAACTTAATATTTTCCATGATTTTGTTTGTTTATTGTCGTGTCTGTGAAACCGTACCAACATGTAGTTTGATAAGAAAATTCTCTTATCGAAGCTCTAACCCAATAGACGAGTTTTAGCAACGCGAAACAGTTGAACTATATGCTATTAAACCACGATTTCAAGTTTTCTACCTTCAACATAAAGTACACTATCACTGACTTTTTTCAGTATTCGGTTTTACAACCATTGGTTTATCGTAATCCATATACATATTCCCCTAAAGATCATCATCATCATCGGGAGCCCAAAAACCATGAAAACCAAGCGGGAAATTGAGCTCTCTAGGGACTTCCAACCTCGCCGCAACAGCATCATCGCCCTCCCCAATCCTCTTCGGATCCAACATCACCAGATAACACTTTTGTATCGCTACCGCATACTGCAAACACACATAAGCATAAGAGCATTATTAACTCTGTTTAACAATTCGAGTCGTTGAAATTAATTGGGATTTTTTTTATATGGTATATATTAAACCTGTCGCTATTATTATTTATTAATTAGATTATTGTAAGACACTAGTATAATATTCATAATTAACCTTAACTCGAGATGTTGAGAATAACTAATTTTTTTACTGGCAAGATGTAATTCTACGTACCTCGACCACAAGGAGGTAGCCGTCGTCTTCTTCTCCCGGGCCCGAATCAGAACGGGGTTTGGGAACGAAGATGGGCTCGCCGATGAAGGTCCGGCGTGGGGCGGTCCACGTAAAGACGGACCCTTCCTCGACGTCCATCTTGACCACGGTGTCGAAGGGGAAATGAGGCAGCGTGGGGCGGGAGCCGGAGCAGGCGGCGGCGTAGACGTAGCGGTGCCTGTCGCCGGAGAAGGCCGGGTTGATGATGGGGAAGTCGGTGGCCTTGTTCCATTGGTTCAGCGGCGCCACGTCACAAGTACTACTACTACTGCTACGTGGCGCATCGGTTTTTTCTGCTGCGTGGAGGTTGATGGTGACCTCGACGAGGTGCGGGAGGAGCTCGTACTCGCTTTCCTTGGCGAAGTTCATCGCCGACGGGTCCAGCTTCCCGCTCCGCCAGTTGTATCCTGCAAAAATGAAAAAAACCACATGTATATAAATAAATAAAAAAGAAACTTATAACGATATTATCCGACTCACAGTAGTGTGAGAGGCAGATGAGATACTAGTCCGATCTATCATGCCTCATTATTAATCATCACAATCATATCTCAATTTATTTCAATATATATTCATACTTCCTCGAATTTTGATTTTTCTTTGGTCATATTTTCACCATATGTAAAAATAAGTGCAAGACTTGATCTTTTTAAATAGTTGAACTCACTTATTCTTCTATTATATCTATCTAGTTTTCACATGATGGTTTCCCTTCGTTTCATCGTTAAGTAATAATTTTGTGTTTATTCTTTCAAATAACATGTGATAATAGGTCGATTCTATCCGACTCATAACCGCGCGCGGGTGAATCAATGGGTAAAGTATTTAATTTTATTATGAAAGTCATCAGTTAAGCCCGTTAACTAAAACACATATGATATTTCAAATCAAATCATATGATCTAACCTTCTAAGCAATAGATACATTCTTTCTCTTTCAATGACTATTTTTGTCGAAGTTTGGATTAATCAAAATTGAAATTTGTTCTAAACTATTCTCTCTTGAGTATCTTTCTTTCTGCTCTCACAATGATTCGAGTCCTTAACTTTATTAATGACCAACCCCTCCACTTTTAATTGGAGCGTTGTCCCCATTACATATATATGTATGTATGTATGATAACAACACATTATTGTAATTATATGTTTTCTTTAGTGATTCCCGCCGGCCACCAATGCTTTATTTAATCAAGTGTTAATTATTAATTAGTTCCACAATTTCTTAACTTTCTTTGTCACATCAATATCAAAGTTTTTTTTTTCTATAAATTAAAATGTTAACCCAAAATCTACTAGTCCATATTTTATGCACTACAAATAAGCAAACTATAAAATCCAGTGATACAAATTTAGTGACGGCAATCAACGACCGAGAGTATCTCAATATTCATATTCGTTTCGTTCTAAGCATGAATTAAATCAAGTATTATCCGTAGTCAGATATCGATTTGTTTCGAAATAAACAGGTCAGCGCGCAGATCAAATCAAGTGTATCAGAGATCAGAAATTTGTCTTATTAATCTTGTTGAAACAAAAATGGAAAAAGATAACATTAGCTAGGAAATATAATGTCAGTAATTAATAAGAATTACTGACCGAAGAGTTTGGTGAAATTGAACCACTGGTAGGAGCAAGTGGCAGCGTGGACGCGGATCTCGGCGTTCCCGCTCTCATCCACCGTCTGAAACGCGTTCCCGACGTGGAGCAGCCACATCGGCGCGGGAGCCTCCACCGGAACCCTCCAGTCCCGGCCGCCGGCCTCTTCCTCGCCGGGAAAACGCGGGAGCAAGTAAATGGGAGAAGTGGAGCTGCTAGGTGGGTCCACCGACAGCGTCGAGATCATCGGAGATAATCCGCACACCGCCTGGATTGCCCCTGGAGCAAGTAATTTAAAATTCGTTATTTTTCTTATAACGCAATATCTATCGCTAAATTTCGTCGTTAAAATTGCTAAAACAATCTTACCAAGAACATCGATTTTGATGCGGTTGCCGAACAATATGTAATGTGTGTCCGTGAAAGCCCAGTCGTGGATCATTAGCCGATCTGAGATTTCGAACTCTTGCTTCTGTAATAGCTTGAAATTCGAATCGTACTCTGTAATTAATGTATCAAAACACGTCCATTAGTGGCCTTAATCATTATTACGTGAAATGTAAATGACCAATTTACGACGTACCATAAAATGTAAAGTTGTTGCGAGGCATGAGCATATCCTCGGCATTGCATGACAAGGTAAGAAGCCTGTCCCTTTTGGTGTCGAGCTTGTAATGCGACAATAACCTCTTTGGTGGCATTCTAAATACCCCTACACTTTCCAACAAGTAAATTCACAAATCACAATTAATCAATGACTGAACTTCTAAACGTACCGTTATGTTTAAAATAATGTATAAAACTTTCATATGTATTAGGAGATCGTTTTGGATTAAAAATGGTTGATAGACGATCATTTCGATTTTCGAATACGGTGCAGGTAAAATTGAATTTCTCATTTTCATTCGTATATTTGCTTCCGAACCTAAATTTCATTCTAGTTTTGAGTTACATCAAGTGCAACATACTATGACAACGTCCAAAAGTTTTATACTTAATCTACAAATAAGCGTGTAAACATCTAAAATGTTCATATTTGAATTCATCCAACAAGTTCATTTCTTTCAGTAATTAATTTCATCCAAACAATATCATTCTATTTAAGGAACCAAAATTGATTATTCCAGTCAGACCTCTTTCCCAGGTTTCGACCTATTTTTTTTTTATCGATTTTTATATCGCTGATCTTCCAGCCGGTTTTCGTCCAATACCGACCGAACCTGGTTGTGCCGGCTAGGATACCAACAACCATATACTCTACACTACCAAGAATCCAAACCCATATGTAGATAATATACAGCTTGACGAAGTAATCAATTGTTAAAGGAAGGTTTAATTGATGGTTTAACCATTACTTACGAAAACGTCAAAAAAAAAAAAAACCAACTCGTAAAAAATACGTACCGTACAAAATAGGCTTCAACAAACCGGCGGCCACATCCCACAAATCGACCCCTCCGCCGGCGGCGGCGGCCCATTCACTCTTCTTCTCATCACCACCACCATCATCGATCAAGCCGAACCTGCCGACGGTATCCAAACTCCTGTGATCAATCTGATAAGGATCCCCACCTTCCCAAAGACAGAACAACCTCCTCCCCCACTTCAACACGCTCGTATTCGCCACGTTCTTCATCACTTTCGTGTTCCCGACCCGCCGGCCGCCCTTCAGCAGCGAGAACGGACCCCGGTGGGTGAACCGCCACGTGTCGGTCTCCGGTTCGTGCTCCTCCATCTGTGCCTCCGTCCTCACGTACTTGGCCATGAATTGAACTTTCCCGTCATCCGCCACGTGGAAGGACTTGAGGTAACCGTGGCCGTCCAGCGGGTGGACGGTCGAACCGTGGTCGTCGCTGAACAGGCCGGGTCCGGCCAGGTAGTACGTTCCCTTGGGGAAGTCGGATGGGACGGCGCCGTTTACGGGGAGGAGGGTGATGGGTTGGGTTGTTTCCTTGCGCTGGGAGATGAAGAGGAACTGGTAGTCCCAGAAGGCTGCCACGGCGTCGTCGTTTTGGTCCAACGGCGTCGTTTCGTGGTTGGTGGTGGTGGTGGTGGTGATGGTGGGTGGTGGTGATGAGATCGATATGGCTTTGGGGACGTGGAGGTTGGAATTCTTGTTGTGGTCGTGCCGGTGGTGATGACGTGGCAGCTTTGCCGCCGGCGTCGGTGAAAGGGAGTTCGGTGGGAAGGATATGTGATGGTGGGGAATATTGGCCTGCATTTTGAGAATCGGCATAGCTTCTGTCTGAATCGAAATCTGATCTCCGGCCAACCAGAAGAATAGCTGGTATAAGAAAACGAAGAAGAAGAGGCTTGGCTGGACTGGAAGAAATTGTTATAGCAGAAGAAGAATGGCGTCCTGAAGCTGCATATTTGATATTGGCAGAGTCAAAAGGAAGTGGTTAAGATTCATATATATATATACATGAATCTCTTCCAATAGTTTAAATTGTTAAAGCAAATTGATTTGTGACGTAGTGTTATAGCTAATTTGTAGTTTAGATCATCTACTCAATTTCTTACGGTCTTAATTTCAACCGTGGTGTTAAAGTACATGGTATGACAAATCTGTACGATCCTTAATTTTATGAGTTAAACTTTCGTGTTGATAAAAACGTGCACAAACGTCAAATTTATGGATTAACTTTAATTTCGAGAATACATTTAATTAAGAAAATGGTTAAAATTCATACATAAACCTCTTCCGATAACGATTGATTTTACGAGACAAATCACAACAGTTGCAAGAGTGTTGGGGAACCCACTATTCATTTCTTGGTACCTTGCTAATGGTAGGTGGCCCTACTCGATGAGAATTACAGATTTGCCATCAATTTGTGGGGAATATATGTGTTTGGTGCGCTTTGGTTCAAATTGGCAAAGTGGGGTTATATGGTGAGGGATGATGGTGGACATGAATAAGTTATGGAGTGTAAATGGCAGACATCTTGTCCTCTTGTTCTCATTTCCTCCCTTGTTTGCCCATTGTTTTCTAGGTTGGATGAGTTGTTGGTATTGTAAATTTTATGTTGCAAGTTGAGGTGATATTAATGGTAAATCTGCAGAGTGTATTTTATATGAATGAATGTTAGGAGCAAAACTTTGGGTGTATACTAAGAAGTGTTTTAGTCGGTCAGATTTGGTTCACATAACATGTCTTCGAAATGAGGTCTACGAGGAATGCGAATTATAAGTACGTCTTTTTATCGTATTTAGGGTTTTCTCGGGACGAGTTAATGTTTTATTTACTTACCAGCTCGCTCGATTTCGTTGATGTTTCTCCTCCTTCACATTACCCATTATTTTGCAACATGAGCAACAAGTTCTAAGCCTTGCAAACCCTCACTAGAACCCTTATCTTATAGGTTGTGCTATTCAACATCCTTTCTAAGTCTCAACCCTAATCATACCCTTTGTGTAAAAAAAAAAACCTAGGGGATAGTGGAGGAAACTAGTTTAAGTGCCAATTGAGTTGAAGGTTTATAAGGATATCGATCCTAAAACGACAACGTAATGTTGAAAGAATTGAATATGCAAGTATATAATTGTCCAACAATCAAATAATCGAATAAAAATGAAACACACAAACAATTTAACGTAATTTGCTCGAAGAACACATATATGTATATAATTGCCATCTCTCTACGTTCTTCAACCTCCAAATACCCTCAAATTTCTGAATTGATGCTTGCAACTTTGGAGGTGCCGGTAGCTTTGATTCTAACGAAATAAAGACAAGATGGACAAATGAATATTTGTCTCCAATTCGGGCGGCTAATAAGTGGCATTGCGAAGCTTCTTTTTTTTTTTTTATATTTATTTTGTGAGTGATTGGGTAATTGATGGGGAACAAAACACAATTTGTACATAATAAAAATGAATGAAATCATGAAAATGATTAATTAAAACATCGTTACGCCGCTAATCAAGTGACATAATAATGAACAGCATTTGATGCTTGGAGCTTTGGAAGTGGCGGTAGCTGTGAATAGCCTGTGATTCTACCGAAATAATGACAAGATGAGCAAATTAATAGTTTTCTCCACACACAAAAAAAAAAAAAAAAAAACAAAAGGTTTTCTCCAAATTCGGCCGTCTTCTAAGTGGAATCTGATGACAACATTCTTTAACTCACAACTAAGTAGGGCTGCAAATGAGCCGAGTCGAGTCTTACCCCAGCTTGAGCTCGACTCGTTTATATTGAGCTCGACTCGTTAATAAACGAGTCGAGCTCGAGCTCAGCTCGTTTATTAACGAGCCGAGTCGAGTCGAGCTCGAGCTAGCTTGTTTATAAAAATCTTAACTTTTAATTGGTACTTCATTTTGTATATCATGATACATATGATTTATTTTGTTAGTTAATCTCATCTTATACTTTATACTTTGTTGGTATCATATATCGTTTAGTTAATAAATTTTAACTACTCCAAATCATGTTATTTCATTGTATCGAAGCAATCTATGATGCATAATTTCTTTTTTCTTTTTAAAATAGAAAATAAGATATATTTGCTCACATACTCAACGTGCAAAACTTCATATATGGTGAGATATATAAATTAACAACCATATGAATTAAAATCATAAGATATAGATTGATTCGTCCATAAGTTGGTAATCGAGTTGGCTCTCTAGCCACATGTTAAGACATATCATGAGCTCTACACGAGCCAGCTCACGAGTTTAGCTCAACAAGCCACTGAGTCAAGCTAGCTTGCGAGCTTCACGAGCTGAACAAAGGTGAGCTCGTGTCGAACGCCGAGCCGCTCGCGAGCAGCTCGGCTCATTTGCAGCCCTACAACTAAGCTCTTTGTACAGCCGAGTTTGGAAATGGTTCAATCACGATTATCGAAACCGTGCCGAACCAGCCGGTCCAACCAGCGCAACTTTCCCCGCCAATGAAACCCAGTCATCATCCATGCGTTGGGCTTTGGTTTGGGCCCAATATGAAGTAGACCGCAATTCTTAAGCCCACTCCAGCCCAGTCCACAGCCTTCCTTTTTCCTCAACTTCAATGGGCTTCTTATTCCGATCCGTTGACCAGAAAATGTGGAAGATGACATTCTTCATGTGATTCAGAGACGCCGGCGGGATCGGCACTCGCCGCGGTTTCACCTGCTACCTCAACGTCGCTCACTTCGACAACCAAAAACCAATGCCTATATCAACGAGAAGCTCGAAAAAACACAGAGCGCCGACAAACTCCTCTCCGCTCGGCAAACTTCCGCACTCTTAATCATGAGAATTTCGCTGATTCAATCTGGGCTTGGGAGAGGTGGTCGCATGGAAAAGTCAGGGCACCGGGTGCTTTCTGTTTTCTTTGATGTAGAAGCCTCCGTTGTCGCAGAGGATTCTAGAAGTTACGCTGCTGCCATTGAGCAGAAACATGGATCTAGCAGTGGCCAAGAGGGTTGGGAAGAGGTGGAAGGATTGTCTGAAAGCTGTGGCTAATTGTGCAGGTGCTGACCTTCCTCCCTAGGCGACCGAGTGAGTATTCGTTAATACTATGAGCCTTGTAATACCACATTGATGAGAGAAGAAAAGTATAAGAATTGAGTATTTTTGGCAATTTAATTAATTAATTAATTTTTATATTAATTAGTTAGCGTTTGAATATTGTGAAAAGAAGTGTCTTTCTAGAAAGGTAACTTCCCTTTTCTGTGAAAGGATGTGTCCTTTCGGGAGAGGTAACTACCTTGTTTTGTGAAAGGATGCGACTCTTCGGAAGGTAACTTCCAGCTTTCACAACTATAAATAGATGATTGCCATAACTCTTTTGATAACGTGAGACTACTTCTTTTACCCGTTTTCCTTCTCTATTTCATAAAAACAGAAGTCTGCAAGATTGCTGCTTCCAGACTTAAAATTGAAGGGACTCCTGGGAGTGGTTTGCTCGAGCCTACCAACAATTTGTAGTGGGAGCAAATAACACTCTAAAGAGAGTGATTAATCACGCCTTCAATCGATTCTTTCCTACCAGTTCCTGACACCTTTCTTATTGAATTGACAATTTCTTTCAATTAGTGGTAAATTGTACGTACATTGTCTGTAGTATGTTAAAAAATGCATCAATTGGGAGTATTAGGTTTAGACATGGTAGCCATTCTCTACTTCGAACATTTCCCTCACATTTTGACACTTTGGTTCGTAGGACTGAGTGTAACTTAATTAGGGAGGTAGTGAATGATGTTCAGAGTGCAGCTTGACAAGTTTGATTGATATTGATTCAGGCCTTTTGGAGATTCAGAAAATGTTAGCCATGGCCACATTGGATGGTACTCGCATAATTGGAATCTAGGGAAAGGGAAAGATGATCTCCAGAGATCAAGGAACATCATATTGAAAGGTTTGGCATCTCATGGCTGCTCTCTCCTACCAATCGAATCAAAGCCTTCATGGCTTTACAGCTGCTGCAAAATCTAGAGGTGAAGAGGTTAGTATCAACAACAAACAAAAGGTTAGAAAGTGTAGTTTGATTATATTTAATGATGCCAGGAAATTTCCACAGTTTGACCAGTAGGTTTGGATGGTAACAAGAAACTTCAAATCATGATTGCCACATACCTTCAATTGTTAAGTGGAATTCAAACTGGAAGATACTATTTTTTTTTATGGTGACAGTGACATAGGTTGGATTAGTTGCAGCATAAAAAATAAAGAATGATCCAGGTAGTACTTACAACTAATCTCCTTAGTCCTTAGCAAAAATAAAGAAGCAAAAATAAAGAATGACCCAGGAGGGAGTCAACACTCACTAATGCTCCGAGGTTTAACAGTTAGTTATGATTAAGATGCTGTCCGTTTGCCAAGTTAATCAGAAAGAAGAGCAGATCAACATCCCCCCATTGCAGTGGCTTCCTCCTTTTCCTCAACTTCAATGGCTTTTTCGTCTCATGGTGCATTGTATACTGGAGAATGGGAATATGACGTTTTCTTATGTTTCAGAGGTGATGACACCCGCCATTGTTTTGCAAGCCACCTCATGGCTGCTCTGGCCGCCAGCCAAATTCAAGCATTCAACGATGCCATGCTTCGTAGGACACAATCCTTCGACGAGCTCCTGTCTGTCCTCCAAAGGTCCGCGCTTTCAATTGTGATTTTCTCAGAGAAGTTCGCTGATTCTCCCTGGTGCTTGAACGAGGTTGTTACAGTTGCCCAAAGCATGGCAAACTTTGGGCATCGAGCATTGCCGGTATTTTACAAGGTTGGTTGGTCTGATGTGGCGGCGGACTCCGGCAGGTACTCCACTACCATCGTTGATAAGCTTAAAGCCAGATCAGAGGACAAAAAGAGATGGAAGGATGCTTTGAAAGCGATTGCTAATTGTGCTGGGCACAACTCTGCGGAAATTAAGTGAGAATTCCTTTTTCCCTCTAATACTAAGATCATTATTAAAATGATGAAAAATGTTATTTAGCTTCCAGATTCATTGGTTTGCTATGTTGGTGAATAGTCTACAAGATGGTTTGTGTTGTCTTCTGAAATTGGTGAAAGATTTAACAAAACAAAAGAAAATACATGATTGACCGTTTGCTGGGGAAATTCTACAATACTGGTGAACCGGTAACTGTTGCTTACAAGTTTTTTGTTTTGCAAATGTAATGAGATCAGAAATAAATCTAGCAATGAGAATTGGCAGATACTGTAGTTGTCCACCTTTTGTTTAGATATCAAAACATTCTTTTAGAGTTTCAAGAACTAGTGTAATAATGAGATAGATGGATGAAAATCTCTGATCCAACTTAGTTTGCAATCTGAGGCTTCTAGTATAGTAGCTCAACACCCTAATGAACATCTTGATACTTCAAGTTTTATACTGGACTCTTATTTTGATTACTTCCTTCTTTTCATTTGGATTCTCTTTTTGTTGTTTGTCCTGTGACTTTTAGGATTGAATCTGAATTTATTAAGCTTATAGTAGAAGATGTTCAGAAGCAACTAATAGACATGTCACCGAGCATCAAGTCTAACAACTTGGTGGGTATGGGTTCACGCGTTTTGGAGGTTGAGCGATTGTTAGCCATGGACGAACTAGATGATACAAGCATCATTGGGCTATGGGGGATGGGTGGTCTAGGGAAAACAGCTCTGGCCAAAGCTTGCTATGATCGGACAGTTTCATCAAAGAAAGATATCAAACATCATTTTATCCGGAACATCAATCAAAATTGTGAAAGCCAGCTTGGCGTAGAAGGAATAGTGCAGGATTTGTATTCAAAATTGTTGTCCGAGAAGAATCTAAGTCGTGAAGATTTAGATATGAAACGTCGAAGGGCACGTCTTTCTCGCTCGAAGGTTTTCATTGTTCTTGACAATGTGGAGACTCCTTGTCAGCTAGAGCATCTACTTTTAGGAGATGTCTCTAAACACAAAAAGCTCTTTGCCTCGGGGAGCAGAATTATCGTGACAACAAGAAATAAGAAAGTGCTTCAAAATGCAATGGCAAGGGTATATGCTATGAAGGCTTTGAGTTATGACGATTCTATTCAACTCTTTAGCTTGCATGCATTCAGGCAATACCATCCCCCGAATGACTGGATGCATCTGTCACACCTAGCAGCATCATACTGCAAGGGGAACTCCTTGGCTCTTCGAGTTTTGGGAGGTACATTGTTTGGTGAAGAAATACATTATTGGCAAAGTTTTCTGAGTGGATTAAGAATGATTCAGAAGCCAGAAATTCATGACATTCTTAGAAGAAGCTACAATAAATTGGGGGTTGAAGAGAGGAGGCTGTTTTTAGATGTTGCTTGTCTCCTCAACGGAATAGAAAGACCCAGACTGATCAAATATATGTCAGTCACATGCACATCTGCTTATTGTATTGTGAAGGACTTAATTGATAAGTCCCTCTTAATTTGTATTTCCTGCAAGGATGGAGAGAAGATTGAGGTGCATGATCTGCTTAAGGAAATGGCTTGGAACATTGTCAATGAGGAACAAAAGCTCCGCAAACGCACCAGGCTGGTAAATCCTGAGGATATTCACAAATTACTGACAACTCATAAGGTGAAAAATTGGGCAACATTCATTTCAAACCTCTTCAGAGGCATAGAGATGGTACTACCGACAAGAAAAAGAAGAAAAGTCATAGACATGCACAGGGAAGGTAATTGTACAATGGAGAAACTTAGAACAACTGAAGGTATTAGTTTGGATCTTTCTAAAGCGAAAGAGATGCATCTGGAAGCCAATGCATTTGAAGGGATGGATTCTCTTACGTTTCTCAAATTCTGGTTGCCGATAAATGCTATGTCTAACCGTTCAGCGAGGGACAACAAATTCCTTTTGCCATATGGTGGCCTTGACTCTCTTCCTGGCGGTTTGAGATGGCTGCATTGGGATCAATATCCTTCCAAATCACTACCTTTGAGATTTTATCCCCAACATCTCGTCCATCTTATTATACGAGATAGTCCAATTAAAAGACTCTGGCAAGGATTTGACCAAGTAAGTAACTGTCAGCATTTGTGAATTCGTTTTCCCTAACATTCGTCGTCCTTCATCCCTTTGGACAATTTGTTTTTGACCTTTGTTTTCAAAGGCGTCACCATGGTGTTGACCGTTTTATAGTTTTGAATAATGGATTTATTGACATCTGTTTTTGGCAGCCATTGCTGGTGAATTTGATGGTGCTCAATCTCTCCTATTGCACAAGTCTACTTGTGATCCCCGATCTCTCAAAGTCTTCAAAACTTGAGGAACTCCTACTCCGGGAATGTAAAAGCCTAGTTGAAGTACCCTCTGAAGTTCGACATCTGGATAGGTTGATAAAAATTGACCTTGGATATTGTGTGAACCTTGAGCATCTTCCATCAAAATTCAACTCAAAGTTCCTCAAGTACGTTTGGATGGACCATTGTCCTAATATTAAGCACTGTCCAGACATGAATTCAGGAGAGTTGATGGAATTGGACTTAAACGAGACACCTGTAATAGAGCCGCCGAAGGCAATGTACCATGTTAAGCAAGGTGGCATCCTACGTCTCTGTGGCAAACATTTCACCAACTTCCCAGCTATAGCAGCAAGCTTGCAGGAGTTTCATCTGTGTCATTCTGCAATAGAAGATGTAAATCCTTATGGTCATCATCAGGCTTCTTCTGAGTTATTGCCGGAATTTGGCTGGTTGGAGTTGGTTGGTAATTTGCAATTTAAGAGCCTACCTAAGAATATATGGAACATGGTCTCTTCTCTTCTTACCATCAGGCACAGTCCATTGCTTGAAAATTTGCCAGAGATCTCAGAGCCTGTGAGTGGTCTATCCTATCTTTCAATACTTCGTTGTGAAAGCATCAAAAGCATCCCATCTAGCATCAACAATTTGGTATCTCTAAGTTATCTCGGTTTGAGAAACACCGGCATTAAATCATTGCCTTCCTCTATCCAAGAATTGGATCAACTCAATTCAATAGACCTGAGCTACTGCAAAAGCCTCGAGCATATCCCCAGCAATATCCAAAAACTACCCAAGCTATACGGCTTGTACTTGAGGGGTTGTCGAAGTATTTCGTCTTTGCCGGAACTTCCTTCAAATCTCTCTATTTTGGATGTTGGTGGTTGCAACTCATTGCAAGCTCTACCAAGCAACGCCAGTAAGCTGAGTTGGGAGAGCCTCAGGTTTTACAACTGCCCGGAATTGGACAGGACGTTTCCTGATGAAATCGTGGCAAATTACCCAGTCTATGCAACGTTGCCTCGACGTTGCAAGGTACGTAAATATCGACTTCTTGTTGTCTTGGTGTTGGTATTGTTATTACATTATTAGCCAGTGAACAGAACATCAAATCTTCTTCTTGATGAGGCCATCTGTTTATGTGCTGGTAACAGGCCGAGCTTCAATATCTGGGGAGTGATATTCCGGACTGGTTTTCTTACAAGAGCGCGAATGGAAATGACGGTTCGTTTGTGATGGTTCCTTTGCCTCCCTCCAAAGGCAGCAGTGAGCGACCGATGATCAAGGGAATTGCATTCGGCGTGGTGTGGTCTTCGAATTCTTCCTGTGTTTGGCCGACGATGAAATGTGATTGTTCCGTCGGCACCATCACCGTTGCCTCTTGGAGCTCGTGCCATTTTTCTTTGGACGGGGATGGCGCGAAATCATCAGACAAGGTGTTTCTGTGGTTCGACCAGAATTTATCAGGTAAGACCAAGGAAAGAGAAGGAAAAGGAGAAGAAGCATGGTATGTGAAATATGCTGGGCTCGCTGTTTCGTTCCGGTTCTATCCTCGTTTAGGATACGGAGAAGATGTCAAGCAACTGGAGAGCTTCAAAATCAAGAGATGTGGCGTCTCTCTAATGTACTAAGTCTCCAAATCGTTCGGTTACCAATTTTCAGGGATTTCAGTTGCATATATAAAGTCCACTAGGAGTGGACTCCAAGTCAGCACGAACCAATCCAAGGCGGGACTTAGGTCGAAGAGAAGCTTGCGCGCCAAGGAAGTGTCGCAGCTCTGTTCTGTTTTTTCCTTTTCGCCAAACATGAAGAGATTGGTCGTTGGTATTATTCTGAAGGAAGTCCAACTCCCTTGTTTGCCATGCCGATTAACCCACGCCGCCTCTTCGGCCACGGCCGTCCCGACGCCGCCGACAAGGATTCTCGGCCCTCCTTCAGTGGCGGGGCTGATGCGGCCGGAATACACACTCCCTGCTTCCCCGCCGATGGGTTTGACGGAGAACTTCTCACCCACCTACCTTTCCACCGGCAACCCCTGCCTCGATTTCTTCTTCCACGTCGTCCCCGACACTCCCGCCGGCAGTCTGGTCGATAGGCTCGCCTCGGCCTGGGCTCACGATCCCCTGACCACTCTCAAGCTGATCGGCAATCTGCGAGGGGTCAGAGGAATGGGGAAATCGGACAAGCAAGGTTTCTACACGGCGGCGCTCTGGCTCCACGACCACCACCCCAAAACCCTAGCCCTCAACGCCAGGGCATTCTCCGAATTGGGGTATTTCAAGGATTACGTCGAGATTCTGTACCGGCTCCTCGAAGGCCCCGACGCGAGGAAGAAAGCGAAGAAAGGCGAACCAGGGAAGAAGGTTTTGGACGCCGCAGATCCTGTTTCAGTGAGGGCACGGCGCAAGGAGCGAGAGATCGCGAAAGCGGCCAAGGCGCTGAAGAGGTACAATTCCGATCCCGACTACAGGTTCCTGTTTGATTCCACCGCGGATCTGTTCGCCGATCTGCTGAAATCGGATATGGAGGCTCTGAGATCCGAGGACTACTGGAACATCTCCTTGGCGGGCAAGTGGTGCCCGTCGATCGACTCCTCGTACGACGAACACCTGCTGATCTGCGAGGCGATTGCTCGCCGGATGTTCCCCAAGGAGAGCGACGAGCAGTACCAAGGGATTGAAGAAGCACATTATGCTTATCGGGTGCGGGACAGGCTGAGGAAGGAGATTCTGGTCCCTCTCCGAAAAGCACTCGAGATTCCGGAAGTGTACATGAGCGCCGGGGAATGGAGTTCTCTCCCCTACAGCAGAGTTCCTTCCGTGGCGATGGCGAATTACTCTGATCTGTTCCTGAAACACGACAGGGAGAGGTTCCAGGAGTATCTGGAGAAAGTGAAGTCCAGGAAGGCGAAGATCGCAGCTGGGGCGCTGCTTCCCCACCAGATAATCGGCCAGCTGAAACATCCCGAGAAAACAGCGGTGGCGGAGCTTCAGTGGGCGAGGCTGGTGGATGACATGTCGAGGAAAGGGAAGCTGAGCAACTGCATTGCCGTCAGCGACGTGTCTGGCAGCATGAAGGGGACTCCAATGGAGGTGTCCGTGGCGCTCGGGCTGCTGGTTTCGGAGCTCAGCGAGGAGCCATGGAAAGGGAAAGTGTTCACGTTCAGCAGCGATCCGGAGCTTCATTTGGTGCGGGGGGAGACGCTGATGGAGAAGACCGAGTTCATCAGGACGATGGATTGGGGATCGAACACCGATTTCCAGAAGGTGTTTGATAAAATCCTGGACTCCGCGGTGCTGAACAACCTGACGGAGGATCAACTGGTGAAGCGGGTGTTCGTTTTCAGTGACATGGAGTTCGACAAGGCGTCGAGGCGATGGTGGCTGGAGGAGGAGGAGGAGGAGAGGAAATGGGAAACTGACTATCAGGCGATACAGAGGAAGTTTAGGGAGAAAGGGTACAACAGGGTGCCGGAGATTGTGTTCTGGAACCTGAGGGACTCGTCGGCTACGCCGGTGGTGGGAACGCAGAATGGGGTGGCGCTGGTGAGTGGATTCTCGAAGAATTTGCTGAAGGTGTTCATGAAGCGAGGTGGGATTGTGAATTGCGATGATGCGATGATGCTAGCCATTGCTGATGAGGAATATGAGAAGCTCGTGGTGTATGACTGAGTGAGAGTGATTATGGCGTAGTTTCACTGTTACAGTTACAGTACAGAGTACTGGTTTGGAAATTAGTATAGTGACTAAAAATGAATCTAATAATAAATTAGTATCCCAAACTAAACTACAAGAATAGATCAGTGACCTAATCTGAAATTTACCGCTTTCTTTCCCTCCCCTCTCTCTCACTCTCTCTCTTCCTCTGTATCACACATCTGTTTTGCAGTTTCCAGCTTCGTTGCCCGAATAATATCCTTCGCCCGCCCACCTACCACCGCCGTGCATGAAACCTTGCCGCCGCTGAGCTGCCCGAGGAGGGGAAGAAGAAAATGTCGTCGTCGGCGATTTCCAGTTTCATACCCCGCGGTAGAGGCGGAATCTCGGCGACTCCCGCCGATATCACCCCCAATAATCTCCTCACACTACAGCGCACTTTCCCGAGCTTCGCCTCCAAACCTCCGGAGCTCACCCTTTCCTTCAAAACCCTCTGTTCTTCTTCTTCCCACTCTCCACCGCCGCCTTCTCCGCCGCGGAACAACCCTTCGAAAGCTTTAATCTCCGTCCTCCGGGCAATACCGGACTGGTCGGACCGGATCAAAGAGCGAGGGATGCGGAAGAACCGGTCCCTCTACACCCCGGAGAAATGGGTCGAGCACCGGAGCTCCCTTCGCCACGTCCGCCACCTCCTCTCCAGCGCCTCGTCGCGGGTCATTCTGTCCTTGGTCCCGCCGGTGATTGCTTTCACCCTGGTGGCCGTGTTTGTGGCTGGGTACAATTCCGCGGTGGAGCTCCATTTCCTCCCTGGGTTTCTCCCCATTCTCAGGGCTTCCTCACTGCCGTATCAGCTGACGGCTCCGGCGCTAGCGCTTCTGCTGGTGTTCAGGACCGAGGCTTCTTACTCTAGGTACGAAGTGGGCAGGAAGGCTTGGACTAAGGTGGTCTCGGGGACTAATGATTTCGCCGGCCAGATTATCGCCGCCAGTGTGGATGGTTCTAGAGATGATGCCGTTCTGAAGAATGCGCTATTGAAGTACGTTATGGCCTTTCCGATTGCGCTCAAGGTCTAATTGTTTTCCCTTCTCCCTTTTTTGCTCCAGTGCTAGACTTCATGAAATTCGAGCTAATGAGTTCAGACATCTGTCTTTCTAGGAACATGTTGTCTGTTGAAATGATTCATTTCACTGATTATCACAGGAGATTTTCGTTTGTTGCAGTGCCATGTGATCAATGGTTCAGACATTGGCCAAGACCTCCGGCATGTGCTGGAAGAGGATGATCTTGCAGTGGTGCTCAATTCCAGGAATCGGCCCAGGTGTCTCATTGGATTCATTTCACAAAGCCTTAGACTACTGAGCTTGGAGGAAACCAAGAGGAATCTGCTGGTTTGTATCTCTCATTTTGTTGATTGAAGTTTCTGCAGTTGTTCCAGTTCTCCTTTTCGACTCCCAGTCAAAGTGGTGGTTTCCTTGTTATATCTTGTGTGTGTGTGTGCAGCAGTCGAAGATGTCATGTTTCCACGAGGGGATCGATGTGTGCGAAGAACTTATAGGAATCCCTATTCCACTCTCGTATACTCGCTTAACATCGAGATTTCTGGTACTTTGGCATCTCACCCTTCCTATAATCCTTTGGGATGATTGCCACTGGATTGTTGTCCCTGCTACTTTCATCAGCGCGGCTTCCTTGTTCTGCATAGAAGAGGTTAGATTTGATTGAGTTCTCTGAAATACAGGATAGTTAGTTTACTTTTTCTCTTTCATAAACAATCTGCTGCAGCTTTTTATGGTGGAATATTCTACTGTAGGTTGGTGTTCTGATTGAGGAACCATTTCCTATGCTGGCCCTGGATGAGCTGTGCGATCTAGTTTGCCGAAACATTCAGGAAGCTGTTGCCAATGATAAAGCCATTCAAGCACATCTTGTTGCAAAAAAGAAGATCCGGCCTCATCGTGAGCACTCAACAAATGGTTGGCCAAACTCCTAAGTAACTGCTTGGAATCGCGCCTACAAGATATCATCTTCAATGGTAACTCTTCTCGGAAACTTGGTCACTGAAGCCACTAAAACTGGATGAGAGGCTGCTGCAGTTTTGTCACCCTCAAATCTTTGTTATCAGCTAAATCATGCTTTAGACTGTATATATGTAACAGTGTTAGTGGTGAAGTAGTCTGTATATATAGAGAGAGATCAGGAACTCCTCTCTAGCATCATCTTTTAGTGTCTATATATATGTATGTTACCCAGAACTGAAGTGGCACCAGACCGAATAAACAAGGGTCAAGTTAGACCGTTGGAGATGCATTATGAAGAACACTGTGAGTCTCTTTTATATATTTCTGGTTCTAGCTTTTCTAGAATTTCACTTTCACTTCTCGTGTTTAGAATAATTGTGAATGTGGAAAGAGAGAAAACTGGTAGTAGAGTGATAGAACAATTTGGTTTCTTCGGAGCCAACTTCCCGTTCAGAAAAGGCTTGCAGCTTTTTTGTGATCCTGGGCATTGTAAAATGAGTGAGATTCCGTAAGGGTTTGCCTACAGCAGCATGGATGATAAGGATGATTCATGTGTGATGGTGCATATGCCTCCTTCAAAACCGCATTGGTAAGAAAGTAATGATAAAAAACATTGCAATTGTTATGGTGTGGTCTTCGGATGCTTTCAATGTTCTCTGCCAACTATGATTAAGTGAATGGCATTTTGCAATGTATTTGCGTTTGTTGGAAAATCTATCTGTATTGTGGACATTTGGCATTTCTTTGTACTTTGTGATGAGTGTTGTTATATTATGAGCTTTGCAGCATGTTCAACTTCTATGTTGTTACTTGTTAGATATTGTGCATTTGTGCTATTTGGGAAAGACATTTGTGAAGTTATTCTCAGAATTCCTGCTATGGCTCCAACATGATTTGCCTCCTCAATTTCAGGAATGGAACAAAAAAAATACATAAATTGCTGAACTAAGCTGGCTGCACTGTTTCATTCTGGTTTACAGGGAAGGAAGTAGATCTCTTGAATTGAAGAACTTTCAGCTTTAACATGCTTTTGGTTTCTGGTTTAAGTACCGTTAAGAGACAAATGTTTGGTGAACAGACTCTCATTTGTTTCCTTGCATGATCTCCAGCCCCAGGTTTGTTATTGTTTCTTTACTTCATGTAATTCTTTTGGGATTTCTGGGTATGACTGTTGCTTCTTAAATAGAATGTCGAATTATTATGGAGCTATACAGCCTGTTGCCATGTCCTCCTTTCCTTTGGTTACTTGTTCCACATTTCCTTTCTTTCTTCCTTGCTTGTTTCTTCTTTTATCTCTAAAACAAGACCAAAGCTTCGACGAATACTCTAGTGGCTTAATTGGAGATGGAAGGCACTTTCGGAATTCTTAGCTTAGCTGTCAACAGTTTCTTTTCTTTTGGGGCTCCTTCCTAACAGGTTTTGGCACCTCTATTTCGGCATTCTGAGCTATTGACTTCACAGTACAGTGGCAAAGTATAAAAGTAAAAAGATCACGTGTCTGCATCTTCAGGTACCTAAATCATGCTGCAAGGTTCTCCTGTTTCTTCTTGTGGGTTCATGAATATAGCCATACACATGACAACTTAAAATTAATGAGCTGAAACTTAAAATTAGCGTAACCATTAAGCTGAATCTAAAGTAGGATTGGCAACCATCATTATGAAATTAACTTGTCAAAACTGTTAATAAAGTTTGATAGCTGACTAGTTCAGGCCGTGCTTTCTAATGATACGGCCTTGAATTGGTCTTTTTTCGTACAGCTACTCCATTAAAAAATTAGAAATAAAGAGCTAGTAGGATAAAAGGAAAGTTAGGTAATATGGTTGATGCAATTTAATGGTGACAAGAAATTTTGAAAGCTGTTAGTGCTCAAATCAAGTCAGTATTGAGTTATTTTGGGTATGTGGAAAGAGTACTGTTCTGCAGTATTTCTCAGAACCCTGATCTAAAGTAAGAGATGCGAAGCTATTTAAATTTGCATTAGCATCCTTCTGAATAGAGGTGAAGTTCAGGGGCTGCAAGTCTGGGAATATAGTTTGACTTTGACCAAGAGATTTGAATGACAACAAGAAATTTGAAAATCTTTTTGATGAGACTCCTCTTATTGTTGGAAATTTCCACACTTCCCCTACTTATTGCTTCTTTTATCCTTATAAACAGGTTTTGCCTCCTCAAAAACTGGATTCTGAATTATGGGACTTCTCACAATAGGGGCAGAGAAGAAAAGTTCATGGAATTTGCACCTTCAGGTACATAATAAATAATGACCCAGAGGCAGGGCATAAAAGTCCATAAAGTCTGCACCTCCATGTCTCTTGATTTGTTATTAATTTTCAATACTAAACAATGACCCAGGAAGTCAACCCCCTTCCTTTAAGGAAGTAAGCGCTCGAAGTATATACTTAAAAAGAGGGGAAAAGAAAACGAGGCAACTTGTAGCTAAAGAAAAACAAGTCAAACCTCCATACTCAGCCTTTAGTTGTTAACAATTAGCCATTTGTTAAAAGACTGTCCCTTTAACAAGCTAATTAGAAGAACGTAGATCAAGATCTCCCCAGTTTAATGGCTCCCTCCTCTTCCTCAGCTTTAGTGGCCTCATCGTCTCATAGTGCCATGCATACTGGAGAATGGGATTACGATGTTTTCTTGTGTTTCAGAGGCGACGACACCCGGCATGGTTTTACAAGCCATCTTCTAGCTGCTCTCTCCGACAGGAAAATTAAAGTCTTCATCGACACCATGCTCCGGAAGACAGAGTCCATCGACGAGCTCCTCTCAGTCCTCCAAAGATCTGCGCTTTCCATTGTCATTTTCTCTGAAAATTTTGCGGATTCAACCTGGTGCTTGGACGAGGTGGCAACGATTGCCCAAAGCATGGCAAAACTCGGGCATCGAGCGCTGCCAGTATTTTACAAGGTTGGTTGGTCTGACGTGGCAGAGGACTCTGGCAATTACTCTGTTACCATCCATGAAAAGCTTAAATCTAGCCCAGAGGACGACAAGAGATGGAGGGGTGCTTTGAAAACAGTGGCTAATTGTGCTGGACATACCTCCCAAGCAATCCAGTGAGTACTCCTCCTTCAACTGCTAAGATAATTATTAGAACTGACTAAAATTCTTATTAAATTGCATATTAATTGGTTTTCTATAGGTGGTAGTTATTTCATGATAGTTCCTGTGCTTCTAGAGTTGGTCAATTTTTACAAAAAGATAAAAATAAAAAGAACAAGCTCAATTGACTGTTTGAATGGGAATTCTACGATACTGTTGATTACAAGCTTCTGTTGTACAAATATTTTGATTTAAGGAATCCTACAGTATTGGTAATACTACAGGACCTGGTATCCTAGTTGTCTCGTGTTTGATTCGATTTGAAGTTTGTAAAAAAGTTAGAGCATGTCCACGTTACAAATTAAAAACATAAGTAAGATGGATGCATGGATCAAAACCTCGAATCCAACATAGGAAGTTTGAAAAAATTCGAGGCATCTAATATAGTTACTCAACACCCAAATCAACCTCTTGATAGTTTCTTACTGTGCTCTTACTGTCATAACTTCCATGGTTTCACTTGGATTTTTTTTTTTTTTTTTTTTTTTTGGTTTGGCCTTTGACTCTTAGAATTGAATCCAAATTGATCAAGCTGATGGTAGAAGATGTTATGAAGCTACTAACAGACATGTCACCAAGTATCAAGTCTAACAACTTGGTTGGTTTGGGCTCACGTGTTTGGGAGGTCGAACAACTGTTAGCTATGGACTCATTAGATGATACTCGCATCATTGGGCTTTGGGGAATGGGTGGTGTTGGGAAAACAACGCTAGCCAAAGCTTGCTATGAAAGGATGGTTTCATCAACAGAAGAGATCAAGCATCATTTTATTTGGAACATCAACGAAAATTGCGAAAGGCAGCGTGGGGTTGAGGGAATAGTGCATGAGCTCTATTCAAAATTGCTCTCCGAGAATAATCTAGGTCGTGAAGATTTAGATATGAATTATCGAAGAGCTCGTCTTTCTCGCTTGAAGGTGTTCATTGTTCTTGATGCTGTGGAGACTCATTGCCAATTAGAGCAATTTCTTTTAGGAGATGTCTTCAACCTCACCAAACTCTTTGCCACAGGGAGCAGAATCATCGTGACAACAAGAAACAAAAAAGTGCTTCAGAATGCAATGGCAAAGGTTTATGGTATTGAGTGTTTGAATGATGATGAATCTATTCAACTCTTTAGCTTGCGTGCATTTAGACAATATTGCCCCCCCGATAACTGGATGCATCTATCACGTATTGCAACATCGAAATGTAAGGGAAACCCATTGGCACTTCGAGTTTTGGGTGGTACATTGTTCGGCGAGGACAAAGATTATTGGGAGAGTTTCTTAGGTGGGTTGAGTTTGATTCAAAACCCGCAAATTCGTGATATTCTCAGGAGAAGCTATGATAAAATGGGAACTGATGAGAAAAGACTGTTCTTGGATGTTGCTTGTTTCCTCCATGGAATATCAAGATCCACAGTGATAGGATACTTGGCAGTCTTGTACCCGGCTGCTCATGTCAAAGTGAAGGACCTAATTGATAACTCCCTCTTAATCTGCCGTTGTAGTGAGTATGGAGAGAAGATTGAGATACATGATCTGCTCAAGACAATGGCTTTGGACATTGTGAACGAGGAACCAAAGCTCGGCAAACGCAGCAGGTTGGTGGACCCTGATGATATTTACAAATTGTTGACAACTACAAAGGTGGAAAGTTGGGGAACATTATATAGAGAGCTTTTCTTCAGAGGCATAGAGATGATGGTTCCACCGAGAAGGAAAAGGAGAAAAGTTATAGACATGGATCGTAAAGGCAAATGTGCACTGGAGGGACTTATAACAACTGAAGGTATTAATTTGAATCTTTCTAAAGCCAAAGAGATGCATCTAGAAGCCAATGCCTTTCAAGGGATGGATTCTCTTACATTTCTTAAATTCTGGAGATTGTTGAAGTATATCTACCACTATCAACCGACGAAGAAGATTATCCATTTGCCATCAGGTGGCATTGACTCTCTTCCTGACAGGTTGAGATGGCTGCAATGGGATGAATACCCTTCCAAATCACTACCTTCAGGGATTTATCCCCAATATCTCGTCCATCTTATTATACGCTGGAGTCCAATTGAAAATTGTTGGGAAAATTTTGACCAAGTAAGTAATTTTAAGTATTCACGATGATTTTTTATACATTATACATTTCTACACTCTGACCGTAAGCTTACAGTTTCGAAAATGGATCAATTAACTTTATACTCTGTTTATTTGGCAGCCAAAGCTGGTGAATCTGGTGGTGCTCGACCTCTCCAGTTGTTTCAATCTTACTGCTATTCCAGATCTCTCAGAGTCTTCAAAACTTGAGGAACTCCTACTTCCTGAATGCAGAAGCCTAGTTGAACTACCCTCTCATGTTCAATGTCTAGAGAAGCTGATAATACTTGACCTTGGATATTGTTTGAACCTTGAGCGTCTTCCGTCAAAACTCAACTCGAAGTTCCTCAAGTTCGTTCGGATGCATGATTGTCCCAAGGTCAAGTTCTGTCCGGAGATTAATTCAGGAGATTTGATGGAATTAGATTTAAATGGGACACCTGTCAGTGAGCTGCCAAACGCAATATACCATGTCAAGGAGGGTGGCAGTCTACATCTCTATGGTGAAATCTTCACCAACTTCCCAGCAATTTCAGCTAGCTTGGACATGTTTTGGCTGTGCCATACTGCAATGAAAGAGATAAATTCTTATGATCATCAGGCTTCTTTTGAGTTACCGCCGAAAATTTCTAACTTGAGGTTGTGTGGTAACTCGCAACTCAAGAGCCTGCCAAAGAGCATATGGAGCATGGCCGCTTCTTCTCTCACTGTTATGGGCAGCCCACTTCTTGAGAGTTTGCCAGAGATATCAGAGCCTGTGAATGGTTTAAAATTACTTTATATAACTGAGTGTGAAAGTCTCAAATGTCTCCCATTAAGCATCAACAATTTAGTATCTCTATCTGATCTCCGTTTGGGAAACACTGGCATTAAGTCTTTGCCTTCCAGCATCGAAGAATTGGAACGACTCTGTCACTTAGATTTGAGCAATTGCAAAAGCCTCGAGTCTATCCCCAGCAATTTCCATAACCTACCCAAGCTACTCGAGTTGCTGTTGAGGGGATGTTCAAGTATTCAATATTTGCCTGAACTTCCACCAAATCTCTCTATTTTGGATGTCAGTGGTTGCAGGTTGTTACAAGCTCTACCAAGCAACATCACTAAGCTGAGTTGGAAGTGTCTCAGGTTTTATGATTGCCCACAAATAGACAGGATACTTCCTGATGAAATAATGGCAAACTACCTGGTCCATGCAATATTGTCTCGGCATTCCAAGGTACATAAATACACCGTAAACATTGTGTTGGCGTTAGTAATTTCATTATGATTATATTATTAGCCATTGCACAAAATATTAAACCTTTTTTCTGTTTATGTGGCCGCTTTCTCTGTTGTGAGATCCAGAATGAGCTTGCATATTCGGGGAGTGATATTCCAGAGTGGTTTGAGTACAAAAATGTGACCGATAAGGATAATTCATGTTTGACTGTGCAATTGCCCCCTGCAAACTGCACTGGCAGTAAGCAACCAATCAAAGGAATTGCATTTGGCGTGGTGTGGTCTTCGGATGCCTTTGATTTTTGGCCGATTATGAAATGTGAATGCGACTTTGGCACCATCACCATGGCTTCTTGGAGCTCTTATTCTTTCTCTGCTAATACAAGGGATGTCACAAAATCATCAGATCAAGTATTGTTATGGTTCGACAAGATCAAGCAAAGCAAAGAAGGGGAAACAGAAGCATGGTTTGTAAAATATGCTAGCCAGACTGTTTTGCTCCGCTTCAGCCCTGATTTAAGATATACGGAAGGTGAAAAGCAGACGAAGAACTTGACAATAAAAAGATATGGGGTCTCCCCACTGTACTGAGTACAAACAGTTTGATGATTAACTTCCGTTCAAAGAAGAAACAGATGGCAAGGTACATATCTTGGTCTTCTGGAAGAAACACTGGGTATCTTGTTTTTGCTTTTGTGATTATGAATGTTGTTCATCCTAGCGTGCTGCTATTTGCGTTGTTGTCCCAGTATTTCCATGGTCTCTCTGCTTTTCACTTTTTGGAAAGACTGTTGTCAGTATCATTCTTAGAATTATTGCTACGCTGTGCAGCGCTTGCTCCAACTTGGGTTGCCTCTTCCATCTTTGGAATTTATAAAATTCTTTTCTCGTGACACTTTGGCTATGTCATGTCATCTTTCACAGCCTAGCGGATAGGCGAACAGGGCTTGCTCTATTGGTACTACTGCTGGTTTCAACATGGAGGTCTCAGACTCGAATCCTTTAAGTAGAACTTAATAATAAATAGCAAACCTTTGTCACCCTCGCCAAAAATAATGTAGTGGATAGAGTTGACTACCTTGCTATGGTGTGTGGTGGTAGGCTCCGTTTTGGTAAGACTTATTAAAGATGCCATCATGGGTGGAATCAGACAATTTGGTTTTGGTTTGAAGGTTGAGCAACTGTTAGCCGTAGACAAATGATTTGAGGTAGCCTCCGTTTTGGTAAGACTTATTAAAGATGCCATCATAGGTGGAATCAGACAATTTGGTTTTGGTTTGAAGGTTGAGCAACTGTTAGCCGTAGACAAATGATTTGATACAAGCGACATTGGGCTTTGGCGGATGGGAGGTGTAGGAAAAAGACTACTCTAGCCTGAACTTGCTATGAAGGCTGTACTATACTGCCACAGAAGCCTATTATCCATAAAAGTGTCAGGAGGTGGCATGGGGTTCGTAAGGACAAAAAATATGTTGAGAGGTATTGATGGGAGTTGAGGAAGGTTCAATCTTTGCCAGAACTCGCTCCAAACTTTTGAGTTTATGGATGTAAGTTTATGCAAGTGGTCGCGAGCAATACCAAGCAAGGAAGGGTAGTGGAGTTGAAAGTAGCTACTACACTTTGATATCTCTGCCTCCTCAGGTACATTAATGCTATTATTACAGATACAGCACTTTAATATGATTAATAAGTTTGGCTCTCTTTTATGAGAATGCTTCTCTGTCGTGGGTAACAGGGTAGGGTAATCTCTTATAAAAATCCAATGATTTAGATGTATAGAGATAAATCTCAAATTGCATATCTCGGTGGACAGAAGTTTCCTTCTCCTTCCCATCATTCCCTAAACCAATAAAGCATGTATGAAATGCCCCCACCTCCCATCATAATCTTGGCAATTTCTTTCCTCTTTCCTTAAAGACTTTTTGGGTTATATCGTTGAATGCTATTTAATGACACCAAGAAATTTCGAAGCATTTTGTATAGGTGGCGCATGTATACAGTAAACTGTCCACATACCTTTAACTGTTAATTCTACTGGAAAGATGACCCAACAAGTCAACACACACTATTAGTTGTGAATTGTGATTATAATATTGTCCCTTGGCCAAACTGATCAGAAAGAAGAACATATCAAGATCCCCATATTGTAATGGCCTCCTCCTCTTCATCAGCTTTAATGGATGTTTCGTCTCATAGTATCATGTATACTGGCGAATGGGACTATGATGTTTTCTTGTGCTTCAGAGGCGGCGACACCCGCCATGGTTTTACAAGCCACCTCATGGCTGCTCTCTCTGACAATAAAATCAAGGCCTTCATCGACACCATGCTCCGGAAGACAGAGTCCATCGACGAGCTCCTGTCCGTCCTCCAACGATCTGCACTTTCGATCGTGATTTTTTCAGAAAAATTTGCGGATTCACCCTGGTGCTTGGACGAGGTGGCCACGGTTGTCCAAAGCATGGCGAAATTCGGGCATCGAGCACTGCCGGTATTCTACAAGGTTTGTTGGTCTGACGTGGCAGGGGACTCTGGCTGTTACTCTGCTATCATTGATGACGAGCTTAAAGCGAGCTCGGTGGACAACAAGAGATGGAGAGATGCTCTAAAAGCGGTGGCTAATTGTGCTGGACATACCTCCATGGCGATCCCGTGAGAACTCCTTCTCCCTCATCTATTACTAAGATCCTTATTCTACCTGAAATGATTAACATTCCTTATTTAATTTTCGTTTAATGGGTTTATATGTAGGCGATAGTTTATCATAAAATGGTCTGTTAGTTCTTATGAATTTTGTTCAACTTTTAACTGAATCAGTACACTAAGTCAACACCCTAAGGATACTTCCCGTTTCATATTGTGCTTTTATTGTCATAACTGATATTTCTTTTCATCTGGGCTTTATTTCCTCTCTGTCTTGCCTCCTAGGATTGAATCTGAACTGATTACGGAGATTGTGGAAGATGTTCAGAAGCAACTAATAGACATGTCACCAAGCATCAAGTCCGAAAACTTGGTTGGTATGGGTTCACGCATTTTGGAGGTCGAGCGATTGTTAGCCATGGATGAACCAGATGGTATTCGCATCATTGGGTTGTGGGGAATGGGTGGTGTAGGGAAAACAACCCTGGCAAAAGCTTGCTATGGAAGGATAGTTTCATCCAAGAAAGACATCAAACATCTTTTCATCCGGAACATCAACCAAATTTGTGAAAGGCAGCAGGGGGTTGAGGGAATAGTGCATGAGCTCTATTCAAAAATTTTGTCCGAGAGTAATATAAGTCATGAAGATTTAGATATGCATTATCGAAGAGCACGCCTTTCTCGCTCGAAGGTGTTCATTGTTCTTGACGATGTGGATACTCTTCACCAACTAGAGCAATTGCTTTTAGGTGATGTCTTCAATCTCACCAAAATCTTCGCCCCAGGGAGCATAATCATCGTGACAACTAGAAATAAGAAAGTGCTCCATAATGCAATGGCAAACATATACACAGTTGCTTGTTTGAATGACAGCGAAACTATTCAACTATTCAGCTTGCGTGCATTCAGAACCCATTGCCCCCCAGATAATTGGATGGATATTTCACGCCGGGCTACATCGTACTGCCAGGGTAACCCCTTGGCGCTTAGAGTTTTGGGCGGTATTTTGTTTCGTGAGGACAAAGATTACTGGGAGAGTTTCTTAGGCGGATTTAGCCTGATTCAAAATCCGGAAATTGGTGATGTCCTTAGGAGAAGCTACGATAAAATGAGAGCTGATGAGAAGCGACTGTTCTTGGATGTTGCTTATTTTCTTCATGGTATATCAAGATCCAGACTGGTTGGATATTTGGAAACCTTGTATTCATCCGCTCGTGCTAAGGTGAAGGACCTAATTGATATGTCCCTCTTGCTTTGTATCTCTTACGAGGATGGAGAGAAGATTGAGGTGCATGATCTGCTCAAGGAAATGGCGATGAGCATTGGCAAATGCACTAGGCTGATAGACCCTGATGATGTTCACAAATTATTGGCAACTACAAAGGTTGAGAGTTGGACTACATTTTTAATGACATCCTTCTTCAAAGGCATAAAGACGATGGTTCCGAAAGGCAATTGTGCATTGGAGGGACTGAGAACAGTTGAAGGTATCAGTTTGGATCTTCATAATGCAAAAGAGATGCATCTGGAAGCAAATGCCTTTGAAGGGATGGATTCTCTCACGTTTCTCAAATTCTGTATTACTTGTCTCTATCCAATTGGGAAGAAGAAAATAAAATTGCCATATGGTGGGCTTGACTTTCTTCCTAACGGGTTGAGATGGCTACAATGGGATGAGTACCCTTCCAAGTCACTACCTTCAGGATTTTATCCCCGCCATCTCGTCCATCTTATTTTACGATGGAGCCCAATTAAAAAATGTTGGGAAGGATTTGATCAAGTAAGTAATTTTTTTCAATAAAAAAAGTAAAATTTGATCAATAAGTAATTTTCATTTTCAGTATTAGTTATTATCTCTTATTAACATTCTGTCATTCACCCTTATTCTTCCCTTTAGCTAAATGGTTTGGGACCTCCTGCACTAACTAGATATGTAGGATTCATCAGGTTGAGAGACTACAATGTGTGGGTAGACATTGGCTGCTTTAATATCAATGTTTAGGTAAATATTTTATGATGAAAATGTTTAGCAGTTGAATCACATTCAATGGAAGATAGTTAATTTCATAGATAATCGTATCAACTAATAAATTAAAAATGAATTACCACTTCTCATTTCAGCTTAGTTGAAGTGCTTTGGAATTTAGAGTTTAGGCTGCTAGGCACAGGTTCTGGTTTTTTGTGTTAAGAGTACATGGTCTATAGAGTATATTTTTCAATGATTAATGGGTTTGAGTTGGGAATTAAAAAGATTGAAGTTGAATATTAATTTTGTTTGAGATTTTGTTGTTTAAGAGGTGATTGTATGGTTGAAGAATTTAGTTCATTAGTTATTTGAAAGGGTGAAAATGTAACTCTAAAATGAAGTTTTGTAAAATTTCCGGCTAACCGGACGAGGCAAAAACTACCCTGATTAAAGGCTTCACGTAGGTGTTTTGATCATTATTTGGTTGTTGTTTCAGTTAATTCTTCTTTATTTTTGCAGCCAAAGCTAGTGAATCTGATGGTGCTCGATCTCTCCTTTTGCTCCAATCTTACTGTTATCCCAGATCTCTCGTTCGCTTTACAACTTGAAGAACTCCTACTTCAGGATTGTACAAGCCTAGTTGAAGTACCCTCTCATGTTCAATATCTGGACAAGCTGATAACGCTTGACCTTGGACGTTGTGTGAACATCAGGCGTCTTCCATCAAAGCTCAACTCAAAGGTCCTCAAGCATGTTAAGATAAACGATTGTCCAAAGGTCAGGCACTGTCCGGAGATTAATTCAGGAGAGTTGATGGAATTGAATTTAAGTGGGACACCGGTCAGGGAGTTACCTAGCGCGATTTACAGTGTCAATGAAGGTGGCAGCCTAAGTCTCTATGGCAAAATCATTACCAACTTCCCCGCAGTTTCAGCAAGCTTGAATGTGTTTAATCTGTCGCATACAACAATGAAAGAGATGAATTCTTATGGTCATCATCAGGCTTCTTCCAAGTTACTGCCAAAATTTGCTTCGCTGAATTTGCTCAGTAACTCACAACTCAAGAGCCTGCCGAAGTATATATGGAACATGGTCTCTTTTGATCTCTTTATTAGTAGCAGCCCACTTCTTGATAGTCTGCCAGAGATCTCAGAGCCCGTGAATTCCTTATCCTGTTTTTGGATACATCAGTGTGAACGTCTCAAAAGCCTCCCATCCAGCATCAACAATTTAGTAAATCTACAGTTTCTCAGTTTGTCAAACACTGGCATTAAGTCGTTACCTTCCTCTATCCACGAATTGGACCGACTCCAGTCAATAGAACTGATCGACTGCAAAAGCCTTGAGTCTATCCCGAGCAATATCCACAAACTACCAAAGCTAAACAAGTTGTGGTTGAGGGGGTGTGGAAGTATTGTATCTTTGCCGGAACTTCCACAAAGTCTCTTAGAGTTGGATGTTGGTGGCTGCAAGTCCTTACAGGCTCTACCAAGCAATGCCACCAAGCTGAGTTGGAGGCGCCTCTTGTTGTACAATTGCCTCAAATTAGACATGACAATTCCTGATGAAATTGTGGCAAATTACCTGATATATGCACCATCATTTGAGCGTTATAAGGTACATAAATACCACCCTACTGCTATCTTGGTGTTTTCATCTTTATCATATATTATATTATTAGTGTGATTGAACAGAAAGTCAAACCTTTTCTTTTTTATTGATAACAGCTGTATGAGCTTCAATATTTAGGGAATAAGATTCCCGAATGGTTTGCCTACAAAAGCATGAAGGATAAGGATAATTCATGTTTGACGGTGCAATTGCCTCCTGCTAACCGCACTAGCAGCAAGCAACTAATCAGAGGAATTGCATTTGGTGTGGTGTGTTCATCTTCAAATGCTTGGAGTATAATATGTGATTGCGTCATTGGTACAGTATCTGTTGCCTTTTGGAGCTGTTCTGTTCCTCAGTACTTGTCGAAGTCGTCAGACAATGTATTGCTATGGTTCACATCAGGCGAGACCATGGGCAGTGTAGGAGAAGGAGAAGCATGGTATGTGAAATATGCTGGCCACACTGTTTCATTCCGTTTCTACCCTCAGGGAGGAGATGCCAAGCCATGGAAGAAGAAGTTGAAAATCAAAAGATGCGGGGTCTCTCTACTATATTAAGTACACAGCCAGTTCGATTTTTCATACAGAGAGAAAGAGATGGCAAGGTACGTATCTATCTTTGCAACAGAACTTGATGCATTTTTAGACTAGGGGTGTGAATGCTTTAATGCATACAAACCACATATTCATAAGGTTACCCTTAGTTACCTTTTTTTATGAATGATTTTCTATTTGTATTAACTAATTGTTGGTTGTTCACAAGAGCTCATACATGGTTACATTCAACATACTGAATGTTGAATTGATGACGAGCATAGATGACGAATCGATAGTGTGGATTATGATTTGGTTGCTTGATGAATGAATAATTTTTCCTTTAAACATGCAACTCAGTCCATTCATTAGGCAGTTGAAGTATAGCTTGAGCCTGTTATACAAGAAAGGGAGAAACGAGATCAATGTCATGAATGACACGAATCCAATCGTTACGCGAATTCTCGTTAGTTGTAGCATCAGTAATGCAATCAACCTAATTCCCGAGTCTCCTTGAAATCAAGGAAAGTAAATCTTGTTACGTGGAAACTAAGAATATGAAACATGCTGAGAATTGATGTAAGATTGTAGAGGCTCTGCATGGTTTTCCAGTCCATTGTTGTGGAATAGATGGTTTTAAGAACTTCTTGGAAATTTTTGTATTTTCCGTGTGTCTCAACGTACCTCCTTGCAAATAACTGTACTGATTAGTGACTTTAGAAACATCGAGTACTGATCTGTAAATGTGCAATGACTATATAAACCACGTATTCGGTTTCAGTTGGGGAAACAAAACATAATTTCTCTCACTGTCCAATCAGCTAATTTCAGCATCTCCCGCCGGAGAGAATCGACGAGGCGGTGGCTACGTACCTATCACTTTCCTCCATGAGGTCCACTGTATCAACATTGCCACCCTCGTCCCTCCTTCCATCCCACTTCTTTCACAGAACTCACGCGGCTGCCCTTCCGCCATTCCCTCGCCGGAATGCACTCGCTGATCGGAATGGAACGGTCCGGAAGGGCTCGTCGCAGAATCGGCTCGCGGTTACGTCGCCGGTGAATCGAGTTGTTATTGCAGCCGCCGCCGTCACGCCTGCCTCGCCGCAAATCCTAGAAGATGCTCCGTCGGCAGCGATTCCTTCGGGAGCCGACGTGGTGAGGAGATTCTACGACGGAATCAACCGCCGGGATCTGGATTCCGTCGAGGGGCTCATCGCCGAGAAGTGCGTCTACGAGGACCTTATCTTCCCCAATCCCTTCGTTGGCCGTAAGGTAAAGTACTTCCAGTCACGTGGCCAATGGAAATGAATATAATGCCATTTCTTAGTCCCTGTACTATGTTGTTTGAGCAAACAAGGACCAATGGAGTGGACAATTTTTGCAGGCGATCATGGAATTCTTCAACAAGTCCGTCGACTCGATCAGCGGGGATTTCCAGTTCGCCATTGACGATATCTCGGCTGATGATTCCTTGGCCGTTGGAGTCACCTGGCACCTGGGTAAACTGTATATCTTTCTTCATCCAATGTATGAATACTGTGTTTGTATGAATGCTATGGAACCAATGATTTTTTTTTTTTGTGCTGTAACTTCTCAGAATGGAAGGGGAAGCCTTTCCCGTTCAGCAAAGGCTGCTGCTTTTACCGCCTGGAGGTTAACAATGGCCAGCGACAGATAATGTAGGAGACACAGTAACAGTTTTCGCCCTTTTTCCGATCACTTTCTCATTGTTGACTTATAAAACCTGCAAATTTGTGGATGAACAGTTACGCAAGGGATAGTGTGGAGCCTGCTCTGAAGCCTGGAGAGGCAGTGTTGGTACGTAGTAGATATAGTGATTCGTATTTTGCGTTACGTAACGCGAAAGGTTGACACGCATAAATCGAGAAATCGTACGTTGAAATTGCTGTCTGATTGTTTGTTTTTTGGTAACCAAATTTGATCACAGACGGCTATGAGGGGAGTGAGCTGGTTGCTGCAGCAGTTTCCGCAGCTGGCAGATCGGCTTCCACAATGACCTCTCCGCAGCCGTATCATTCTTGTTTGTGAGAGGTTCCTTTGATGGGTATTATATAGCATCCTTATCGTGGATATACGATTTGAATTGGGAGAAGTAATAGTGAAAATAAAGGTAGTTGAGGATGCATTGTGTCATTTGTGTGTCAGATTGTTAATGTTGTAGCCTGGGGCTGGGGTTGATTTTGTAATGTGAATATGTTCCAAGATGTTTATGTATCTTTAAGTAAGAGAATCTAAGAGAATAGAAGATCGATATAAGATCCATCGTTTGAAGCCTATCAGCTACAGATTTTGGCCAGTTTTCTAGTATAATATTATTCATCGATTTTGAAAGCTATTTATCAAAAAAATTTGCCAATATTTTTTAATGTTATTAATTTAATGATTTTGAAGGCTGTCCATCATAGATTTAAGCTGATATTTTTTACTGCAATTATTCATATATTTTGAAGGCTAATCATCACAAATTTTAGCCGATTTTTCGGAATGCAATTATTTATCGAATTTGAAGGACACCATCTCATATTTTGGCTTGTTTTTTTTAATGCTATTATTTAGTGATTTTAAAGGCTATCCAATCACACATTTGACCGTTTTTTCTAATGTTGTTATTCATCGATTTTGAAGATTATACATCACAGATTTTGGCCGGTATTTTTAATGTAATTATTCATTGATTTTCAAGGTTATCCATCGCAAATTTTAGCAGTGTTTTGGAATTCTATTCTTCATCGATTTTGAAGGCTATATAACTCATATTATTGCTGATTTTTTTAACAATATTACTTATCAGTTTTGAAGGCTAATCACAGATTTGACCTGTTTTTTCTAATGCTTTTATTCATTGATTTTGAAAGCTAACCATCACAAAATTTGGCTAGTTTTTTGGAATTAAATTCTTCATCAATTTTGAAGGCTATTCATTTCAGATTTTCGCCCATATTTTTTAATGCAATTATTCATGGACTTTAAATGTTATCCATCATTTCTTGGAATGCTATTATTCATTGATTTTGAAGTCTATCTGTTACAGATTTTGGTCGGTTTTTTGGAATGCAAATTTTCATCGATTTTGAAAGCTATCAATCAAAGATTTTGGTTGTTTTTTGAGAATTCAATTATTTATTGATTTTGAGGGAATCCATCACTGATTTTGGCCGGTATTTTGTAATGCCATTATTCATCGATTTTGAAGGCTATCCATCATAGATTTTTGCCGATTTTTTGGAATGCAATTATTCATCGATTTCGAAGGCTATCCATCACAGATTTTGGACGGTTTTTTTGAATGCTATTATTCTTCGATTTTGAATGCTATCCAACACATATTTATGCCCATATTTTTAATGCAATTATAAGTTGATTTTGAAAGCAATCCATCACAAATTTTAGCTGTTTTTTTGGACTGCTATTATTCATCTATTTGGAAGGATATCCATTACAGATTTTGAAAGGTTTTTTGGAATGTAATTATTTGTCGATTTTGAAGGTTATGCATCATAAATATTGGTAGAATTTTTTAATGTAATTTTTGTATCGATTTTGAAGGTTATCCATCATAGATTTCGTTCAATATTATCAATGCAATTATTCGTCGATTTTGAAGGCTATCATCACAGATTTTGACTGTTTTTTTAATGCTATTATTCATCGATTTTGCAGGCTATCCACCAGATATTCATGTCTTCTTTTTGCAATGCAATTATTCATCTATTTTGCGGGCTATCCATCACAGATTTTGGATAGTTTTTTGGAAGGGAATTATTCATCAATTTTGAAGGCCATCCATCACATATTTTGTTTGGTTTTTTAGAATGTTATTATTCATCGATTTTGAAGGCTATCCATTAGAGATTTTGTCCGGTTTTTGGAATGCTATTATTCGTCCACTTTGAAGGCTATCCATCACAGCTTTTGGCTGGTATTTTTGAATGCATTTATTCATCAATTTTGAAGGCAATCCATCACAGATTTTGGCTGATATTTTTGAATGCATTTATTCATCAATTTTGAAGGCTATCCATCGCATATTTTGACTGGTGTTTCATAATACAATCATTCTTAGATTTTGAAGGCTATCCATCACAGATTTTGGACGATATTTTTGAATGCATTTATTCATCAATTTTGAAGGCTTGCATCACATATTTTGACTGGTTTTTTGAAATGCTATTATTCGTCGTTTTTGAAAGCTATCCATAAAAGATTTTGGCTTATATTTTTTTAATGCATTTATTCATCGATTTTGAAGGCTACCCATCACATATTTTGATTGGTTTTTTTCATAATACAATCATTCGTGGATTTTGAAGGCTATCCATTGCATATTTTGACTGGTGTTTCATAATACAATCATTCTTAGATTTTGAAGGCTATCCATCACATATTTTGGCCGATATTTTTGAATGCATTTATTCATCAATTTTGAAGGCTTGCATCACATATTTTGACTGGTTTTTTGAAATGCTATTATTCGTCGTTTTTGAAGGCTATCCATAAAAGATTTTGGCTTATATTTTTTAAAGCATTTATTCATCGATTTTGAAGGCTACCCATCACATATTTTGACTGGGTTTTTTCATAATACAATCATTCGTGGATTTTGAAGGCTATCCATCACAGATTTTGGCTGATATTTTTGAATGCATTTATTCATCGATTTTGAAGGCTATCCATCACATATTTTGATTGGTTTTTCATAATACAACCATTCGTGGATTTTGAAGGCTATCCATCACATATTTTGACCAATATTTTTTAGTGCATTTTTCATCGATTTTGAAGGCTATCCATCACATATTTTGACTAGTTTTTCAATATACAATCATTCGTGGATTTTGAAGGCTATCCATCATAGATTTTGGCCGATATTTTTGAATGCATTTATTCATCGATTTTGAAGGCTATCCGTCACATATTTTAACTGATTTTTCATAATACAATCATTCGTGGATTTTGAAGGCTGTCCATCACAGATTTTGGCTGATATTTTTGAATGCATTTATTCATCAATTTTGAAGGCTATCCATCACATATTTTGATTGTTTTTTCATAATACAATCATTCGTGGATTTTGAAGGCTATCTATCACAGATTTTGACCGATATTTTTTAATGCATTTTTTCATCGATTTTGAAGGCTATCCATCACATATTTTGACTGGTTTTTCAGTATACAATCATTCGTGGATTTTGAAGGCTATCCATCACAGATTTTGGCCGATATTTTTGAATGCATTTATTCATCAATTTTGAAGGTTATCTGTCACATATTTTGACTGCTTTTTCAGAATACAATCATTCGTGGATTTTGAAGGCTATCCATCACGGATTTTGGCCGATATTTTGAATGCATTAATTCATCAATTTTGAAGGCTATCCATCACATATTTTGACTGGTTTTGCAGAATACAATCATTCGTGGATTTTGAAGGCTATCCACCACCACAGATTTTGGCCGGTATTTTGAATGCAATTATTAATCAATTTTGAAAGTTATCCATCACAAATTTTAGCCCTTTTTTTGGAGTGCTATTATTCATAGATTTTGAATCCTATCTATCACATATTTATGCCGGTTTTTTGGAATGCTATTATTCATCGAATTTGAAGACTATCCATTACTGATTTTGGTCTTTTTTTGGAATGCAATTCTACATCGATTTCGAAGGTTATCCATCATAGAAAATTTGAATGTTTTTTGGGAATGCAAATATTAATTATACTGATTAGTGACTCTGGAAACATTAAGTACTGATCGGTAAATGTGCGTGGCTATATATACACGTACGGATTCAGTTGGGAAAATAACACAGAAAATTTCTCTCTCTCCAATCAGCTAATTTGAGCATCTCCCGCCGGAGAGAATCGACCCGGCGGTGGCTGCCGATCACTTTACCCCATGAGGTCCACTGTAACACCGTCACCATCCTCGTCGCTTCTTCCATCCCGCTTCTTTCACAGAACTCAAGCTGCTGCTCTTCCGCCGCTCCCTCGCCGGAATTCACTCGTAGATCGGAATGGAACGTTCCCGAAGGCCTTGTCGCAGAATCGGCTCGCGGTTACGTCGCCGGTGAATCGAGTTGTTATTGCTGCCGCCGCCGTCACGCCTGCCTCGCCGCAAATCGAAGAAGATGCTCCGTCGGCAGCGATTCCTTCGGGAGCCGACGTGGTGAGGAGATTCTACGACGGAATCAACCGCCGGGATCTGGATTCCGTCGAGGGGCTCATCGCCGAGAAGTGCGTCTACGAGGACCTTATCTTCCCCAATCCCTTCGTTGGCCGTAAGGTAAAGTGTTATCCTTCCAGCTGGACTCTCGCACGCGCCAGTCACGTGCCCAATGGAAAATGAATAGAATGCCATTTCTTAGTCCCTATACTATTAGTGTTTGAACAAACAAGGACCAATTGGAATCTACCATTTTTGCAGGCGATCATGGAGTTCTTCAACAAGTTCGTCGACTCGATCAGCGGGGATCTCAAGTTCGCCATTGACGATATCTCGGCCGATGATTCTTTAGCCGTTGGAGTTACCTGGCATCTGGGTAAACTGTAGATCTTTCTTCATCCAATGTATGAATACTGTATGAATGCTATGGAACCAATGATCCTTTTTTAACTGCATCTTCCCAGAATGGAAGGGGAAGCCTTTCCCGTTCAGTAAAGGCTGCAGCTTTTACCGTCTGGAGGTTAACAATGGCCAGCGACAGATAATGTAGGAGACACAGTAACAGTTTTCACCCTTTTTTTTTTCTTCCGATCACTGCTTGGTTGGCTTATAATAAAATATGCAAATTTGTGGATGAACAGTTACGCGAGGGATAGCGTGGAGCCTGCTCTGAAGCCCGGAGAGGCAGCATTGGTACGTAGATGTAGTGAATCGTAGTTTTTACGTACGAAAGGTTGACTTGACACGCATAAATCGAGAAATTGTATGTTCAAATTGGTGTCTGATAGTTTGTTGTTTGTTAACACAATTTGATCACAGACAGCTATCAGGGGAGTGACTTGGTTGCTGCAGCAGTTTCCACAGCTAGCAGACAGACTTCCACAATGACCTCTCCACAGCTGTATCATTCGTGTTGAGAGGTTCCATTGGATAGTTAATTATACGACTATACATAAATCCTTTTTCTGTATGTAGGATGTAAATTTGGAAGAGAGAAATGGGAAAAGATCAGCATCCTTATCGTGGATAACTGAATTAGGAAAAGCAATAGCCAAAAAATAAAGGTAGTTGAGGATGCATGGTGATGGTGTATCAATGTTATAGCCTGGGGTAGATTTTCATTTTGTAATGTGAATATGTTCCAAGATGTTTATGTATGGTTATGTAAGAGAATAGAAGATCGATATAAGATCCATCTTCGACCTCTTAAAACCATTTGAGCGCTATTGGTATCAAAGACTAGCGTATTTCTATCAACTCACGATAATCATCAATGATGCTTGAATATAGATTCGGTGAAGAAAAACCTGAGTTACTTAAGAATAACTGATATTTCGAGATGCCATTGATGTAATTAAGTTAACTAATGCTTCTTAACTTACCTTCAATTCCACCAATCCTCCCTTGTTTTGAGAGAGAATGAAGTTTCACGTTTGAATTCGGATAATCTTATACGTTGTATTTAACTCGACAACATGGTCATTGATGCACATGGGATCATTTTCGAACAAATATAAACTTTCAATTTATGGCTTAGTAATCGGATCGAGCAACAAACCCATCAGACGAATTGAGACTAATAAGTCACGGAAGTCCAGTCTGGTGATGTGAACTAAACTACAAATAGTTAAGTAACCTTTGCGAAACTACATGCAGAGATTAGTGACTTAATGTGAAATTTACCATCTTTCCCTCGCACAGTTGGTACCAAATCGAACCAAAAGTCAATCAACGAATTGAGACTAGACTCTAGAGGTTATAGAAATTTAGTGATGTAAACGAAACTAAAAATAGTTTAGTAACCTGAACGAAACTACAAGCATAGATCAGTGGCCTATAATGTAATTGACCACCTTTTTCCCTCGCACAGTTGAAGGCGTTGGAAAGTGGGGCAACAAACCCGCGCGCTTGCTTCGTTGTCTCCGCCTCCTCTCTCTCTCTCTCTCTCTCTCTTCCTCTGTATCACACACTTTCCTGTTTCCAGCTTCCATTGCCCTAAAAACCTTCGCCCCGCCTCTGAAATCTGGACCGCAAACAGTTGCCGCATTGTTCTCTCGATTGCTACACTCTACGCCGCCGCCGCCGTGCATGATCTCTTGCCCGGGGCAAGAAAATGTCGTCGGCGATTTCCAGTTTCACACCCTGCGGTCGAGGTGGAATCTCGACGACTCCCGCCGGGAGGAGTCCTCGTCTGGATTGGCGAGCTTACGCATCTCCAATTTCGTTGCCGGCGGCTCAGGTAAGCTTGTTCTGCTGGATTGTGATTTTTCGTTGCAGTTTTCTGCAATGTTCACCGAGTTGATTGAAAGACGCTTCGTTTTGTTGTACGGTTCGATTGTAGAATGAAGCATTCAGAATTTCCAGATTGTCACTCTGTAGTTCAAGCCGAATGGTGAAAGATCGAACTGTGAGAATGGCATTGGTGGATGAGCCGAGGCTCGCTCGGGGGACTAGAATGGCTGAGCAGCCGCCTGGAGTCTTGGTAAAATGGAATTTCTTCTGCTAAATCAAAATTAGGAACGGCAAGCAAGTTAGAGCTGACGGTGTGTTAGTTACCCCTTTGTGTTTGCAGGCGTATGAACTTGTCCAAGGACCACTTGTGAGTTTCATGTACTCAGCTTCCTGCTATTTTTCCAGCTCTCTTATGAATCTCAATAGTTAGTTTAGCTATAGATGTAAGACTGCCATTAGGAAGCTGCCCGTCGTTGCTTGTCAATGTGTGTTCATAGATCGGATGCACAGCCAAAGCGTATTGGTTTTGGCTCAGAGGTACAAACTTGCTCATATGTGGGGTTTTGGTGATGGTGGGCAGGTAGAATGGAGCTCATCGAGGGACAAATCAGTAGCTGATCCACCGACAGCTGTACTTCTTCATGGGATTCTGGGTAGCCGGAAGAATTGGGGTAAGGGAAATAGGAAAGTCTTTGTCTTTGTGATGATTTGATTTGAATGTTTTCACTTTAATGCATATGGTCACGTACTCGCATTGCGTCTTTTGATTGGCATTTCCCATAAGAATGGTAAAGTTTGCAACTTAGTGTCTTGTTTGCAATGACACTTCCTGTTTGCCCATGTATTACAGGTACTTTTGCTAGACGGCTTGCTCAAGAGTTTCCAATGTGGCAGGTAATGTATATGATCCAAAATGCAAAATGCTTCGATGTTAACTTTTTGATAGGTCATGAACCTGATATCTGGTGCTGATTTAGTTGTTGGCATTTGTGGTCATGTAGTTTCTTTTGGTAGACTTGCGATGCCATGGTGATTCTGCATCAGTCAAGAGGAGGGGAGTGCATTCTGTTGCATCAACTGCATCAGATGTCTTAAAGCTGGTGAATAATTCTTGACCGTCACCAGATTCTATTCTTAATATATCTGTGCATTTCTACTGCTGTTTCTATGAAATCTGGCCATATCACAATCGCTATTAAACACTAGATTTGCCCTCTCAGCATGAAACTAACTGCTATTTCCTTCCTTCCTGTTTCGGCTGGAGCAGGTAGCACATCTTAGGATAACACCCCGGGTCTTAATTGGCCACAGCTTTGGAGGAAAAGGTAATTTCGTTTTCACTTTCTAATATGAAAGAAACAAGCGGGAGATTTTTTCACATTTGAAACAAATTTCTTCCCATTTGATTGCTTATCCTGTTTTCAATTTGTGGATGTAGTTGTTCTAAGCATGGTTGACCAGGCTGCCAAGCCTCTTGCAAGGCCAATCAGAGTGAGTTTCTTATATTACAGAGAGATTACTTAGTTTTATTGTCTTAGAATCAAGTCATGAGTGTCCCGATATTAGGTATGGGTTCTAGATGCCACTCCTGGAAAAGTCCGAGCAGGGGGAGATGGAGAAGACCATCCTGCAGAACTTATATCTTTCTTGAGGAGATTGCCAGAAGAGGTAGGCCATCATAGACATTAGCTGCTTCGCCAGAATATGTAACATCTCACAGCGGCAATCTGGCAATATCTCTCTCTTGCCCTTCTGTTGTCACGACTATTGACCATATGTTGAATCTTATTGTAAGGAAGGTCACTTCGAAAAGAGAAGTTATAAGTGCTCTTCTCAGAGAAGGATTTTCTAAAGACGTCGCACAGGTATAATCTGTTTTCAAGACCTGTCTCCTTGCAGATATAAACAGGATTATCCATCTCTACTGGCTTTCGTTTTTGTGTAGCTGTTTTAGGTCCATTTATCATCTCTTGCTTCTGTATACAGTGGGTGGTAACTAATCTTAGACCAAGCGGACCTCCTTCCTCCCCTTCTTCAAAGTTCTCATGGATGTTCGATCTGGAAGGGATATCAGAAATGTACCACTCCTACGAAGAAACTAATTTATGGTAATCACTAGTCTGTACAAACATCTTCGCATTCATACAAATCCCTCATCTGTTTGATGACTGGCGATATGTTTTGTATAGGAAATTCGTGGAGAACGTGCCTCGAGGAGTGCACCTCAACTTCTTGAAAGCAGAGAGGAGTTTGCACAGATGGGCCTTGGAAGATCTCCAGAGAATTCATGCCGCTGAAGACATTGCTTCGGAGGAAGGCAGTGGAGTCGAAATGCACGTCCTAGAAGATGCAGGCCACTGGGTAGGACTACATTCTTTCTCCGAAACTGTAAATTTCTGTCTGGTGATATGAACAAAACTGTTTTATTGATTGACTACTCTGCTCATCTCTGACAGGTACATACTGATAATCCAGATGGTCTCTTCAGGATTCTTTCACCTTCGTTCCAGGGATTCAAATCCTGATGACAAGCTCTTTGCTCGGCTCAGATTTTGCCCGAAACATACCAGTAATGTGTACAATATCAGTTAGATACGTACGATTTCGCTAGTGAACTCAAAGTTTAGTGGCAATTAGACTCCATATCTATTGAACTCGTTTCGACTCTATATATAAAAAAAATATTTTATTTATGTGTAATATTTGTGCTCAAAAGCAAAGATCTTTTTGTCTCCTGACGTACAAAATTTGTTGTGCTCTCCCCATACCTCTTCCAACCAAAAATTGAAAAAGAACCCCCAAAGCTTCCTTCCTCTGTTCATATCATATATCCTTCTATATGACCTCAACAGCAGGAACAGCAGACGAATGCTGAATCGTCGAATTCAGCTTCTTGCTGGCGAGAGCATCCTCCAGCTGCTGAGAGATCGTCTTCTGGGAAGAACTCGACCATTTCATCTGCATGAAGCTCCTCTTCCTCCATGGCCCCATGTGGATCTTCTGCTCCTTCATTGATGTCTTGGCCGCCTCACAGAGGATGCGTACGATGGCGTTCAGGTAGTCTGCTTTCCCGATGTAGTACTCCGGCAACAGGGACACCATCCGTCGGTACTCCCCACAGGGCTTCGCGATCTCGAACTGGGCCTTGAACTCCAGCTCCACCACGTAGGGTATCCTCTTCTTCCTCGCACTCGTGCTCGCCATAAGCTCCACGTACTCGTGTTTGCCTGGCCACGTGTAAGGAAGTGGTTAAGATCTATATATATAGATCTTGCATAACATCTCAAGTTATTGAGCCCATTTGGTTGGTGAATGAATGTCAAAGAGAAAACTTAAGTGGGATGGGAAAAAGGTACCTCCGGGGAACTTCTTGGTGTTCTTCCACTGTGATGTGCAGAGAGTGGCATTGAAACCTCTTTCGAGAAGCATGTCGACTACCTTGTTCCGCAAGCAACTGGTGCAGCCTTCTTGGGTGCTCTTTGTCGTCTTGGTAGTGATGTTCATGCAGTTGCAGAAGTCTGTCTTCTTTGCTAGCCCTATTATCCGCCCAACTTCTTGCCTCAGCTTCAGACTTGCTGAGCTATGGCGTTCCAAGACCTCCTGTTCGACAAAAAAAAAAAAAAAAAAACATAATCGAAACCGCAATTAGTATGTAAATCTTATATATATGTGCGTTCTTGTTTTGAAACTCAGTGTCTTAGAAATTCGTCCTCCATCATATGAGTATTCGATAAATCGATGTGAGTATTGAAAATTTTGAAGTCTAGACTCTAATTAGTGCCTCTCACTAACTACTCTTCATAACGACATATATTATGAATCAAATTGGGGAAAAAGTTAATTTGGCTTCAAAAATTAGTTTCAAATTATCGTCAGACATAATTAAAATCCTCATACCGTTAAGTAAAGATTTTCTTCCTTTATCATGAATCAAACTAACAACCGCAACTTCAATAAAACACAAGAAAATACTAACCAAATTCATTTTTAGATATTGTAAGAGGCGGTGTCAGCATGACAGCATAGAGAAAGCAAAAATGACAACAAAGATGTCAAGGGATAAGATTAGGTGGTGAAAGGGATTTTGTTGATATTTAATCTTGTCTAATAATCGTAAAGAAAGTGTAATTATTAAAATTAGAGACATGACATAATGCACTTTCACTTTCAAGTGCCCACCATTAGCACATTTAGCAGCCGGTTAGCTGTCTCTCTCTCTCTCTCTAATCAAATTAAGCTTCCAAGTTGGAGGCAGAAAATTTCCAACCACACCAACTCCACACTACAAAACGACAGCAAATAGGGAAGAAAACGACGAAAAGAAATCTGTAGGAACCCTCTGGCATACAGCAAATTTTGATTAAAGGGTATCCCTACCTAGAAAATAATACTCCATCTTTGTTAATTATACTTTTGGCCAACCTTGAACATATGTTTTTAAGAATATCATATATTGATTCAAACCATTTTCCGATCCAAACCGTGACAACTCCTCAAACTCACTAATTTTGATGTCTTCAAAAAAAAGTTTGGGCATATGATCATCATCGCTTGCTTCAATTTAGGAATACCCGGTAATATTCGACTATTTTATCGTTATGACATATAAGTTCGTTTAAGTCGCAAAAACCTCTTTCATCGGTAACTGAGATCATGTATTCAATGCTTTTTTGGCAATGTATGGGAATCTAACTTCGAGTGGCCCTTGAACACTCACCATGGCAGCTCATTGTGGTCACAAAAAATTAGGTCCTCGATTTAAAAAAAAAAACAATGGGACAAAAACATAGCTTTCCTAACATTGATATCAAAATTAAATAGCGAGAACATACTTCCTTAAGAAACCGAATATTTTTTTTTTGAATATATTCCCTTTTAGAATCAGAAATAATTATTTCTGAGTGTTTCACTTTTTAATGGGAAAGATTTTACTTCAATTATTGCCGTTAATACTCTTAGGTAATTCAAATTAAGGAAAAGAGCAAAGCTAAATTGCCCATTTCTTATTACTAATTAGTAGTCCTAAAATCAAAACGTATGAGGCAAAAAATCGAAGCTAAGTCAACACCATACTACCAAAATTCGGTGTAACTTTCAAATTCTAGGTGATTGTGGCAAATTAGAAAATAATTATGAATTAGAAAAGGGAAAATGATGGGATATTTTGAAACATTGATTTCATTCCATCCTATACCTAAAATCAATCGTTTCGTGTCAATTTTTTTTTTGAAGACACCTTAATCAAACAAAGAATCAAGAATTTTACTCGCATATTCTATCAATCGTTTACGAACTATTAATGAAAGCTGAGATCGATGCATCCATCTCAAAAAGAAAAAAGAGAGACGAAGAAAAACTTAGTTCTGTGTTGGAAAAAAAAACATACCTGAAGCAAGGCCTCCTGGGATTCCCAAAACATGACTCTGTCGATGGCCTCATCGTCATCCTCCTCCGGCGATCGATCATCATCGCCGCCGGCGGCGGCATCCCAATCTCCGGCCCCACCACAACAGGCAGCAACAGCTTGAGAGAGGGACAAACTTTTGCAACCACCACCGCCATCATTCTCATCATTGTAATAATGATTGTAATAATCGTTCTGGAAATCATTAATCTCCAGATTAGCTCTATCATTATGTTGTTGATGACGATGATCAAGAGGCTTCAGGATTCCTTCTTCCTCCACTGCAGGCTTCATTAGCTTAATCTGAAGACGACCCATTTCTTCTTTCTTCTTCTTCTTCTTCTTCCAACCCTCTCTACCGGCGAAGGAAAAAAAAAATGAAGGGAAAGAGAGAAAGGAAGAAGAAAGCTCTGTTGGGTTTTTTTTTTCTAATGAATTTTTGAGGGGTTTATTTCTCTTTTTTTTTGTTGGATTATTGTTTTCTGTTTATGAAAGGCCCTGTATTTCTCTCTTCCAAAAATTTTTGGAAGAGGGAAAAACTGTGTTTGGGAGGGCAGAAGAAAGGAGGAAGGAATGGGCTTTGTTTGCTTATATGGGGGAAGAGGTTTTTTTTTGTTTTTTTTTTTTTTGATTCTGTATTTCATTTTTCAGTATTTGTGTTTTTATTACATTTTTTGTGGTTTTTCGTTTTGTATTTTGGGTGGCTCTTGTAAATTGGCTTGATTGGACTTTGGAGGGTTCATAAGATCCCCTCCTTTTGAATTTTTTTTATGAGTTATTTTTTTCATTTTTAATATTGGGGTTAAGTGTTACGTTCGATTTTTGGTAGAGCTGGCGCGTGTTTGTAAGTACAATTTGATTATTCACATGCTACATTAATATTTTTTTATCGCTTCTGAATTACTCATAAGCCTCGTTAGCAATTTATTCTTTTATTAAGTTTTGAACGACGTAGAAATCGTGAAAACAAGAACAAATGTGAAGAGAATCAAATGGAGAGATATATAAAAACCTGAACTCCCAACTTATACGTGTTGTATGAGTGATTCTACAATGCAATAACATCGCACATTTTACTAATTAACAATTATTGTATATGACACACATATAGAGAATGATTGGTGTAGCTTTTCTTCCAAAAACAAAGGAACCTCTTAATTTCGCTAAAAATCAATTAACATTCATTATATACATACAGTGTGAGAGCATCTTCAATAAATTCATTATCATGGTCTTAATCAAACGAAAACTAAACAAACCCTATTTAATTTGTATATATTATCACTGTATATTCGGTAGCTTGACATCAATGATCGATAGATCAGTAGATTTACACTAATATATGGCCAAAAGTGAAGGGCATTGAGTAGATTTATCTTACAAATTATATATAACTACCCAGAAAGTGGTGGATCCAAATAATTACTTACTAATATCTCAAGAGATAAGCACGAGACTAGCAGTGCGATCGCGAATTCAATTCTCACAATCTACCAATCTATATAGAAACGATCTTTGATGGTCCGAACAAATGTGTAACCCATATCGTCTCCTCCTATAAGTTTGAGATGGTTCATACCACAAAAATAAGCCAAGCCCAAAGGGTTAGATTGGTAGTTAATGTTCCCATTAGATTCTTCACTTAATTATGGACCACCTATCGACCATTGTAATGACGGAATCAATATTTGAAGTGGGGTTAATAGCTCCATCCTATCTAGGGATGGCAATAGGTCGGGTCGGGGACGGATAGTGCATATCCGTTACCCTACCCAAAGTAGTTCGGGTTTTATCCATACCCATACCCACATGTGAAACGGGTAGAAAATTAAAACCATGCCTATACTCGTTCGGGTTTCGGGTACCCACGGTTATCCATGGGTAATAATTTCTTTTCATAACTCCAACAAATATGTTATCATTCACACATATTCTCACATTAATTAAGAGGAAAGTACGACAATAGTTCACTAGAATGAACAAAATTAATTAAAACAACACAATTTCATGAAAATAGTATATTTATATGCTAAATATAAAATATTTTAGAGAAAAATAATGATTATTTCTAGACAAAATACATATGCATCTGTATAATCGGGCGGGTTCGGGTTGGATAGTGAGAAACCCATGCCCACCCATTACCCGCAATATTCGGGTTCGAGTTTTACCCGTACCCACTAAATGTCCTTCGGGTTCGGGTTTTACCCTACCCAATTAGGCCGAATTCGGGCGAATATCCACGGTTACGGATATTTTTGTCATCCATAATCCTATCACTTCTAAATATTTTCTATACGAATACGCATTATAACATTAAATAAATAAAAATTGAAAATAGTTGTAAACTATACAGAGCTCCACCGCTACACCATTCATCAATTTGGTGCATAGGACATAATCGGGAAAACGTGGCTATTTTGAAGACAGAAGTGATTGAATATGAAAAGTTGTCTAAACTGCAGATTTATGTGGTTGTAGACAAATTGCCTTGTGCAATATCTCTTGTCGTGTGCTCTCTCTCAATCTTACATTGGCATGATGGGTATCTTGACCAATGCCCTTATTTTGTGGGAAGAAATCGTAAGAATTTATCCCTAAAAAAGAAATTATTGTTGGGCTAAGCGTAGTTTTTCTTTGTGAATTTGAAAATGAAGGTCTTGGTAAATTTGGATTTTGATAAACCATGAATATATGAGGGTTTTGAGTTCATTATGGATTTAAAAAGGACCATTGTTTGTTTCATGGATTTCATTATGGATTTTGTTAGTTAAATTTGTATGTATGAAGTGAATTTTACCTGTATTACCCTCAAAGTCTATGAGTTCCACGAATTTGGTACCTCTAAATACTTGAAGCAAACAATGATTTTTTGACAAAATCCATAATAAACTCAAATCCATCACCAAATTCATCAAGCAAACAAGCCCTGAATAACTTCTCTTCAATATCTTTGTAACACCTTAGGTCAATCCCACATCGACAAAGCACGGAAGAGATACATGGTTCATAAATAGGAAACCGACCTTAACTGACAAGACGCGTTTTGGGGTGAAACGAAGGAGTTTTTGTGGGAACTCCGTAGTTAAACGTGCTCAGTGCGGAGCACAACAAGGATGGGTGACCTTATGGGAAGTCACCCTGAATTGCACCCCAAGTCGAAAACCGTGCGGGTGTAGAGGCCCAAAGCGGACAGTATCTTGTCTGGAAAAGGTTCGGAATGTTACAACCTTCCATTCAAAAAAAAAAAAAGTTTTCCACTAGAAGAATTGATCACTAATCTTGGAGGCATCCTCATGTTCATCGACAAACAACTAATTACAGAGTTAATACAAGAATTTATCTCGTTAATTGAGTCAGAGAATGATCTGAGCTCACTCGTTTACAATTACAAATGTCATTCCTAATTCGTTTAGGAAGAGTTGGCAAAAGAAAGAACCATATCGAGTCAAGTGGCCTCGTTCCAAGCCAATGAAGCTATCCGTAAAATACGAATTGCTCGAGTCAAGACAGAGCTCCAACATCTCGAAGAAGAGAAAACAATCATTAATTAACTGATTGATTTCAAACTTACCATGCATAATTATATAAAATCATGATTTAGTGTGCTATTATTTGTATACTTCTTGATAATATTTTTGCTATTAAACATGGAAAACAAGTGTTCTTCTACTTTATCCTTACTAGAAAAGTAGAAACCAAAAACCACCATGTCGTCGCTAAAGATAAACCAGAAACCAATACCCATCATCCAAAACCCCCAAAAAGAGCCTCTGTTTTTTGCTTCTTCCCTTCCAGTCATCGCAACACGTGGACTGCCAGTTCTTTCCTCTGCATGCAATTTTGTTCTTCATACTCTCCCATCTGTCCCTTCCTTCTCTCTCTCTCTCTCTCTCTCTTCACTTCTGATCATCATCTCTATCCACTTCCCTTCTTCCCTTCCCCATCCCTCTGCCAAAAAACAGAGCAAAGAAAGAACCCATCTCTTAGTTTCAAGTAAAAATGGTGATGATGGATTTGGTAAACTCGGTGATGAATCTCTTTGTCCCGCCGGCGAGCCTGGTGGTGATGGCTTGCGCCTGGCCGGCGCTGTACTTCATCAACACCTGCGAGTGGCTCTACAAGAGCTTCCACGGTGAGGACATGGAGGACAAAGTTGTGATTGTCACCGGCGCTTCTTCTGGCATTGGGGAGGTAACAAGATCACTTTTCTTACATTGAATTCCGTTTTATTTGTAGCTGAATCTGTTCGCCAGTTTGATTGCATGAGAGTGATTTTGGGTGCTTAGCGTTGGTCTGATTTGTAAGGAAGATTAGTATTGAAAAAAAAAACAGAGCTTCCCCTGCATTTTTGAGTACTTGGCAGTTGAATTAAGGCTGGATTGGATGTGATTAAGGGTTAATCGTTGAAATCGGTCCTTAATTGTATAAAATGGAGGGGAATTTTTGCACAAATCGGATGAGAAATGGTTGCCGTTGGCATGGATTCTACTACGAGCCATAATCGCCAGTAGAGTACTTTCATTATACCGCGCTTTGAGAACATAATGCCATTTCCATGTGTTGCTCGATTTCGAACAATGTAGCAAATTGCTTACGAGTATGCGAAAAGGAGAGTGAATCTTGTACTGGTTGCGCGGAGAGAGAATAGGCTTCGGGGGATCAGCGAGAGGGCTAGAGTTTTGGGCGCGAAGCATGTCATGATCGTGGGAGCGGACGTGGTGAAGGAAGATGAGTGCAGGAGATTCATCAACCAGGTCGTGAGCTACTATGGTCGTCGTAAGTATACACGAATCGGTTAGCTAGACACCGAGCTTAGTCGATCCTGAGTCCATAATTGTCATTATTGGTTGCCTTTTTTCCCCACAAATGCAGTGGATCATTTGGTGAACACGGTGAGCTTGGGGCACACATTCTACTTGGAAGAAGTTGCGGACAACTCGGTGTTCCCACACTTGCTGGTAACTCAACTCGGGCAGTGATCATTCTAGTTAATTACTTACTGATTACTGGAGTTTCCTAAGTTTGGTAATCTCGAATTTGGTATTGCTGTCACCTTGTTTGTTTTTGCAGGACATAAACTTTTGGGGGAATGTCTATCCAACTTATGTTGCTCTTCCCCATCTCCATGAGACCAACGGGCGAATTGTGGTTAATGCTGCAGTTGAGACCTGGCTGCCTCTTCCAAGGATGAGCTTATACGGGGTGAGTAATCTGCATTCTTGTTCCTAGGCTGTAAATCAAGGGGGTGAAACACTAACGTGGCCACTGAACTCGCCTATATGCATCACATCATCAGGCAATAAACTTGACTCGTCGCTGATAAGCGACCGCCATTAGCATTGTTGTTTGTTGCTGTGACAGCCCCTAATAGGAAACGTAACCAAAAGTCCAAAACTGATGAAGCTAAGATAGCCGAGACCATAAACACTTAGTGTGACTAGTTCGGCAATGTTTGATGCTAATTGTCTGACTATCGAGTTCGCTAGCATATTACTGGGATGTGATACATTTAGATGGGTCCAATTACCAGATAATTTCATGTGTTGATGGCATAATTTTTTCATTTTGCTAGGCTGCTAAAGCGGCACTCATAAACTTCTACGACACGCTGAGGTTTGAACTGAATGACGAGATCGGGATCACAATCGCCACACACGGTTGGATCGGTGCAGGCGAGGTGACCGGGGGCAAGTTCATGCTCGAGGAAGGCGCGGAGATGCAGCGGAGAGAAGAAAGAGAAGTACTAAAAATCCTTGAACCTCAAGAAATGCCAACATTTTTTTCACATCGATCACCACCACTACCAGCACTGCAAGTCTATTGATCAAAACTTTCTCTGATTCAGGTGAATGGGAGTGGAAGCCCGTTGGAGGACTACGCGAAGAGGATCGTGTCAGGGGCCTGCCGCGGGGACCACTACGTGAAGTGCCCGAGCTGGTACGACATCTTCCTCATCTACAGGTACTTCGCGCCGGGCGTCCTCAACTGGACGCTCCGGCAACTCCTCGCCTCCCACGGGGCGAGGAGGACCTCGCTCATGGGGACGGGGAGGCCGTTGTTGTTGGAATCCGGGACGAGCTCCCCACGGAGTACGGACTCCGGATCTAGCTCCCCACGGAGGCCGGAACCGTCACCGAGCTCGCCATGGAGCTCATCGCCGCCACGGAAGATCCTCGCTGGTCCCTCCGGCGGCCCGGTCACGTTCTCGTCGTCGAGAAGTCCGGTGCATCCAGTGCAGATGCACAAACTCGAGTGATGTAAAGGGTGATCTCGACAAGGCATTGACTGTTTTATTTTGTGTTGGTGAGATGGGTTTTTTGTGTTTTGTTTTCGTGAATTGGAATAAGTGGGATTTTGGTCGTATGGATGGTCATTTGATGGGTTTAGTTTCAGTTTTCTTGAAATGTGGATTTTGTTACTTTGGATCAATTTTTTTTTCCTTCAGTTATTCCTCGTGTCCCTTTACTCGTGACTAATGCTGGAGGTGACAAAAAGTAGAGAATATATTCATTTGCGACTAGTCAAGCAAGAGGCTGAGAGGTGTAGTAGGTCGGAATAACGGTTAAATCTGATTGGGCTTGTTCTGCAGATAATGGGCTCTGGGTATGTCTTAAGCCAGCAGGGGACTAGTACGGTAGGGCGAAAAAGGACGATGCTATATCTGAACATCCTTGGAAATTTATAGCAGGGACAATTAGGAGGAAACTAATCATCATCCACCAATGGGTCGACCCTTATCAATACACTGATTTTTTACAAATTACATTTTGGTATCCCAAAATTAAATTTTTTACAATTTAGTACCTGATATTTATTTTTGTACAAATAAGTCCTCAAATTTTTATGGTAAAATTATGTTATGGTACCCAGATTTTTTTTACAATTTAGTACATAAACTTTTACAATTTTACATACATGTTCAATGTGTTTGCAACTAGAATAAGGGTAATAGGGTCAAAAAGTGACCCGACCCTAAGCTGACTCGACTCTATCCGACCCTTACAAGATCAAAAGATGACCCGACGTTAAACTTCTTCTGTATACTAACAGATCCAGCCCGACCCTCGGTGTCCGAACGGGGCCGTGAGTTTTTAGGGTTAAGTTTATACCCCTAATAATAATGATATAAAGAAATAGTCGACATCTGATTAATTACTTATATAGGACGTTTGTACACGTGATGCATTAAGTTTTAAGCTTTGCCTACGGATCGGACTAGGGTTATCCTCAATCTTTTTTAATTTATAACTAGCTTTGTGTCCAACTACAGAATTCAGACTATGCTTTAATTTTGAATACTTCAAATAAAATATTAATTTATAAAGAAGAAATTTTACAATGCTATATAGTATTGGTGCTATAGGGTTTTGCCTTTATGATACAACTTAAAATTGTATATTTACGTTATGGTACAACTTTAGATTGTACCTATACTTTTTGTACAAATTCTTTTATGGTACAAGTTCAAGTTGTAAAGTTGTACCATAACATAATGGTACAAATTGCTTTATGGTACAACCTAAACTTATACATTTAATGTTATGGTACAACTTTGAGTTGTACATTAAAGCACCAATACTATATAGTATAATAGAAGTGCTCATGAACGATGAATCAAAGGACGAGCTAGCCGCTGCATGGGCGCGACGTGGCCTCAAAATTGTCAAGCCAAAGAAATGGACTCGGACTTGGTCCATGTCCATTCACCTCTCACTAGGAAATAGGATAGGAATGGCAATTGGCAGGTTTGGGGCGGGTATCTCGATATCCATATCTGTTCCGTGGTACAGTGGTGGATTTAGGGGGTAGCCACTCTGGGTTCCGGCCCAGCACTTTTCTGGATTCGGATCTATGATAGTCCTTATGAATTTTTTGATTTTATGTATTTAATCCGGTGTTATTTTATAATAAAATTATGTGTAACTAGATAAATGGTTCAGATCAACATATTTAAACTACTTTAGATTTAACCTAGAAATTCTAGCTCCTAAGATTTCCGTCTAAAAAAAACAATGAAACCTAAAATTCATCAAGTCTAAACCGTAAAGAACTAAAAGAAATATGAGGTTTGTTCTCTTAAAATCACTTGAGCACCTGGTGGATACAGGGATGGACACACAATGTAAATTGATTAGTCGATTGATTTGTCTAGTGTTGACGTTGCCTATTTCAACGACTACTACAGAGTGAACCTTTTCAACAATGAAACATGTGAAAACTGATTTACGCAACAACATGAGCAATGAATTTCTCGCCGATTGATTAACTATGTTATTTGAAACATAGTATTGAAGATTTTGCTGGTGAAAACTGATTTACGCAACAACATGAGCAATGCATTCGCCAAATTAAAAGACCGTAATTTACAATAAATAGATTCCTCTTGGCTTGGGGGACTATTTCAATTGCTGATAGAGCGCTTCTCTTATTCAGGGCTCTTTGCATTAGAGAATGCGACTTCCAAGGATTATATCAATACAACGGCATTTCAAGCGGATAAGATTGAAGATTTTGCTGGTGACATTGTAAAAAAAAAAGGATCGTATATATTTTTTACAGTATATAATTTTGTAATGAATTGCGGCCCAGTACTCTATTGTGTTCTAGATCCGCCGCTGCCGTGGCAGGTCGGGTCCAGGTTGGATAATTTATCATGGGTCACGGGTTGGGGCAGATCGACCCAATGGGTAAGCAATTTATATGGAAAACATTAGAAATATTCGCTTTTTTCATTATAAGACAAAGAAAACAAATCATAGTATGATAAATTTAGTTAAATTATTGGAGAAATTGAGGTTTTCACTAATTTATAACTTTATTATAGCTAAAATATGGTGTAATAAAAGGAAAATACTAAGTAATTGACTAAAATTACATGTAATTCAGGCAAGAATGGTCGAGAATGGGGCGGGTAAGGGCAGGTTGGGTCGATGAGAGTACCCATACCCTCCGTAACCCTCCTACGAGGCAGGTCGGACCCGCCCCAAAATAGGCCAAACAGGTCGGGTAAATCGGGTCAAGTCAAAATTACCATCCCTACCTCTCACTTTTCAAAGCAAGAAAACAATCGCTAAAAGGTTTTGGCGACACTTGATCCGATGGCGAAAATCTTATTGGCTAGTAAATGGTATAATATACCATATAACTAGGCATACGTTAATAATTCGAATTATTAAGAATAATTGGGGTCATCCATCAGTTAATAACTCGACTGGCATGGAGAAAATTTCACCACCCCATCCCTCCCGGCCGGGGTCCAGTAAATTTAAATTTCTTGTTAAAATCACTTTTGGACTTTGGAGTACTAGAAGTTTAGAACTAGAACTATTAGCCGTATTAAATTCACCGACGAGAATTTTACTGTTGGAAAAGGAGAACGGTGAGATTAGGATCACCGACTGGAATTGGTCACCTCGTTAGTTAACATACATACCCGTGGAAAAGAAGTTGGCAATGGGACCGATCATATCCAGTTGTCTACTACTACTGAACTGCAGCTCAATTGACTCTATGAAACATATGTCGAGTTATTTTGATAAGTTGGCTCTCGATATAGTATCAAAGTGTACTTTTATTATGATATTGTTTTGTATTTGAATTCTCGTCGTACCGTCAATATTAATAGTTGATTAAAAAACATATAGTATTAACGACATATATAATCTTCAAACTCATAAGTTGATTTTTCGTTTGATGTACGCTTAAGGAAACAATATAAAATTCATTGTTGATATTCACCCAACATTTCAAATTGTTAGGATAAGCAATTCCTCGACGACTTCCCGAGCTTCCCCACCCGAAATCGCAGAAATACTTCCCCAACTGAGATTTCTTCATCGACTTCCCGAGCGTCGTACTCACTATCAATCTCTCCATCTGATCGTCTCTCCCGCGGTGTCCTAAATCGCTCTCTCCGGGTATTGTCGTCCAGGTCTCAGCAATAGTCGACTGGGGTCAGTAAGAACAGAACACCGTCAATATTCAATCGACCGAGAGAATCATCGCTGCCCTAATTGAATAGTTTTGCAGCATCGACCCCGCCATGGACTCGGGAACCGACCACTACATGGTGTTAGGGATGCCGTCGGAGGAGAAAATATTCAGGATTTAACGCATAGCGCGGTTGAAAGGGCTTAGGGTCTCGCGGAGGAAGGCGATGGTGATTTAATAATTTGTAATTTTATGTTTTATTTAATGTTATAATGAGGTGGAAATGATAAAAGATTAATTTTATTTTTTAATTATTTTTTATTTGTCACGTCACTTATTTAACGGTCAACTATAATGGTTGACTGCCACATCAGCGAGAGTTAACGGACACTAACGAAGAGTGACCAAACTTGAACTGTTAAACTAATTTTAGTGACCATGAATGGAATAAACTAATTTGAGTGGCAAACATGAAACTTTCTAGTGATTCCAGTGACCAAACTTGCAATTTACCCCTTCTTTTCCATTTGAGTTGTGTTGAGATGGACTGCTATTTTGTACGGGAGAGTGTTGCTTCTCAACAGATTACGCCACGGAAGATAGCAACTATGGATTAAGTTGCTGACGTTTTCACGAAGGGTCTTGGGGTTGACTAGTTTTCCTAACCGGAACTTCTCGATATTCAAATTGGGTCTTGGGGCCGGACTTCCAAACTCGGACTTCACAATATTCAATCCTCGACGTGAGGGGGAGTGTTAATGTCTAATGTAACATTATTTACATTGATGATTAATTTGTAGTATATACATATTATCCGAAAATCCTAACGCCCGCAACCTATGTTTATAACTCCATGTATGGCAGACAAAGGATGTAAGATCCTACAAGACCAAGCCTCTAATAAGATTTCAGTCAGAAACTTCTACGTCTTCCGTGGATTAGTCCTGATTATAGGAGAAACCACATATACCTTGTATATTCGTGTTATTGTTTTCGGTTCGTTCATGTTATTTTTACAAGTTACCCCGCTAAAGGGATCCAAGCATAGGAGTATCAAGTATCTAGTATTACAACTACGGTGACATCGGTCTATTCCATTCATAGTCGAATCGAATTGAGATAGGAACCGACCAAAATGGAAAGGATAATGGTTGATTTGGTTCGACTCTTTACTTTGAGACGACAAGTTGGGAACCGAAACATCAACCAAATCGCCGGAAAGATTTTCTCAGCCGAAGAATATTATTAGGCAAATTGCCGCAAAATACACGAACAATTCATGTATAATTTTACTTCCTTTCTCCTTGGCGCCTCACAATTTCTATGGAGGAACACAACTACGTACATTTTCAGAAATAATCTTCTACCGATATGTTCATCAAATCCCTTCCGGCCGAACTTCCGGCGCCGTCCCCATCCCACCTCCCACCACCACCACCCCCGCCCCAGGACGTCCCCGACGACATCGCCGGGGCCGGCGGCGGCGGGGACGAATTCCGCAGTATCATCTGCGCATCCACGGCCATTCCGGCGTCGGACGCCGCCCTCTGCACGGACCTCGGCGACATGTCCGACCGGACGCTCGCCGGCAGCGAATTCACCGGGAAATTGAACCCCTTTTGAGACGAACCCCCTCGGAGGCAGTAGGAGGCAATGTCGTGAGCCACCGCTGCAGCTTCAGGGGAAGAGTACGAACCGAGCCAGAGCCTTTCATGGGAACCCGGGACTCGAATCTCCGACACCCATTTCCCCCATTTCCGGCGCCGGACTCCTTTGTACTTCCTCTCCTCGTCGCCGCCGTCGCTGCTCATGGTTTTGCAAAGGAAAAGTTTGAATCTTTTGTGTGTTTGGTGGGTGTGTGAACAGGGGAGACTTTGGTGAAAAACAGGGGAAGTGATTTGGGGAGAGAAGTTTGACGGGTTTATATAGGTTGAAGAAATGGGGGAAAGTCAAAACGGTGGAAAGGAGGGGAAAGTCAATATTTTCAAAGGTCAAAATGAAGGTTTGAAGGATTTGATTCAGGGGAGGTGATGATGATGATGGTGCTGATGATGTCATTTTGCCCAAAAGTACAACACAAGTGGGTTATGGATAATATGGGGCAAGCCCTTTAACACGTTTCTTTTTTCTTATTAGAGAAAAATGTAGCTTAGATCAAGCATAAAAAAGGATCATTAACAAAATCACTGTTTTCTGAATATACGTTCACAAGACAAGTGACGAGTAACCAAACATGTGTTTTCAAATGTGTTCATACATGACGAGTGACGAGTAACCTATCAAATTCATCTTATATGTATTATCAATAATTAAGGATATGAAAGGTGATAATAACTTATAATAACTCATTCAACCTAAAACATTCTTGACCAGTATGTTAGCTAACTCCTAACCTCATTAAATTATTATGTAAACCAACTAACTTGTAAACCGATCATATGCATAACTTGCATGATTGAAAAATTCCAATCAAAGATTTTGTGATTAACTGAATCAGAGGGGTTGTGTAAAATTATGTTCTTGATTAGTTAGATTACGTGTCAATTTGATTGGACGCACTGTTTAGCAAGTATATATTGTCATAGATATTCTCGAATGATAGCAACAATATACAAGACTTAGTTAAGGCGGGAAATAGGAAATTCAAATAACTAAATCACAATAATCAAAAAAATATCTAAACCATCGCTCCAATGACCTAATTGCCACGCTATGACAGACTTATTAATACCTCTATATGATATATTAGCTAAAATGTAATAACTTAGTTCATAATTAACAATGGACAGTCTGTCTAATTAGGGCGAAACGAGAGGTGGGAAATGGTCGTCTTCCTGCTCGCAAATTGCATCAACTTGGAGAAGAAAATAAGAGCCCAAACCAGTAGCTTTTCCCAAATTACACTTCCCAGAAGAAAATTGACCTTTCCACAATTGATACAGTTTCCAATTTCTATCACTCAATTCGCTGGCCACAACAACAACTCTTCCGCCGGCCGTGGGCCTTCCTCCCTCGCGAAACGCGGCCGGATTTCCCATCATTTGGGCCTTCGATTGAATAGAGAAGAAGCTTTTGGGCCTGTCAAATTGAAGCCGATGTTTCCAACGCCAGATTCTAGAATCTATGTGGTCCCTTCTCCCCCCATGGATTCTCATTTCTCAGCTTCTCAGCTTCAACGAGATACCGTCAGCGAAGAACTAACAGCTTTTCTAAGCACCAGCCGTAGCCGTTGTCTCTGTTGGCCGACTGGAAAACCCTTACGACATCGTTCAGAAACTCGGGAGATGAAGGGGCAGCGGAAAGAGTCTGAAATCGAAAATCGAACTAGTCATTATATATTCTAAACTGAAATAAAAACCGATAAAGACTTATCGAAATTTGATTAATAAAAACTTCGATAAATTGTTAATGATTTTGGTGAGAATAACTGAAAAAATCAAAAATAGATTATTGAATATATTAAAATTTATCAATTTATTAACGGGTTTTCATTTTTTATTCATCCGTTGCCACTAGCTCAACAATATCAATGTCGGACATATGAAGGCTGATTGCAACTTATTAGATTCCCTCCCTTCAACCCTTCTGGTTGCTCCATATACACTTTTTCATCTAACTCACCATTTAAGAATGCCGAATGTCGTCTTTACATCCATTTTGTGTACATGCAAATTGTAAATAGAAACCAAAGCTAAAAGCACTCTTATGGAAGTGATTCTTGCAACTGGTGCATAGGTGTCAAAGCAATCTACTCCTTCCTTTTGCCTAAACCCTTTTGCAACCTACCTAGCTTTGAAGGTATGTATTGATCCATCCGTGTTATACTTAATGCGAAATACCCATTTGCATCCAATAGCCTTAGATCTAGGAGGCAGATCCACAAGAACCCAAGTCTTATTTATTAATAACGAATCCATCTCATCATTAACAGCCTCATTCCAAAAAGCAGAATCTCTAGAAGCCATTGCTTCTTGATAGGGTTTGGGATTGTCTTGCACATGGAACAAAATGGGTATCTTTCTAAAGACTATATCTTGAGGATCAATAAATTCTGGATCGTCTTGCACTTCGAAGGATTTATATTTTCCTACCCTTTTGAGTTTCAACAAGAGATTTATACAATTTAAACTTATCAAAGGCTTCATCCTTGGTTCGCATTAAATAGACATAGGTAAATCGAGTACTATCATCAATGAAAGTAATGAAGTACCTACATCCTCCTCTAGTTAATTGACCATGAAATTCACAAATATCAGAATGTACTAATTCTAACAATTCTGATTTTCTGTCAACCGACTTAGGAAATGGCTTTCTCTTCATCTTATCTTGCACACAGATTTCACATTTATCTCCACTGTCATCACCACAAACTACTAAACAATTTCTAGACATGTATTTCCGAGTCTTAAAGTTAACATGCCCCAATCGATTATGCCATAAATCAAATGAAGTACTTTCTATACTATAATTTGCATGCACATCGATATAAGCAGAACCATCAAATTTATTATTAATATTACCATTGTCAATACTTAGTTTAAACATACCATCACTAACATAGCCCTTCCCAATAAATATACCAGCCTTGGTCAGAATCACCCTATCAGATTCTATCACAACCTTTATTATCCCCTTCTTACAAAGCATGAAACCAGAAACCAATTTCTTTCTAACATCAGGAACGTGAAGGACATTGGTGAGAACAACTTTCTTTCCCGAAGTGAAAAGCTCCACGGTTCCAGATCCAAGAACCTTGATCGTGCGGTGATCACCCAACAGAACCTCTTGTCCCTCTATCGACTATGAGTAGTCCTTGAACATGGCTCTCTTGTCGCAAATGTGAGCAGTTGCCCCCGAATCATACCACCAATCAGCACTGGTCATGACTCCAGCCATGTGCAATTCCTGAATCATACTCACATGTAAGTCAGAAATCATTGCAACAATCTCACTAGGCTCAACTTTCTCAATCACAATTGCACTTGCAGCCCCTTCGTTCTGGTTCTTCTTTGGATTAGGACAGAAGCGAACAATATGTCCCTATTGCCCACAATTGAAACAATTCTTAGTGGACATAGGAGAAGGCTTTTTCTTTTTATTCTTCTGGTTGTTGGTCTGGTTGTTGGAATTATTCATGGCCTTTCTCTTCTTTCCCTTCTTGCTCTCCACAACATTCAATTTGGAACTTGATGGTGCCTCCGAATTCAGATCCTTGCCACGGATACGAGTTTCCTCCTCGATCCTAAGGTGCTTCGGAATCTGCTCCAAAGTGAACTCCTCTGACGTATGAAGTAATTTCTTCCTATAGTTGCTACATGATGGAGGGAACTTCACAATAATTTCCCCCACCAGAAACGCATCAGGAAAAGTTATCTTCAACGCAGTTAACTTAGAGGACAAGATTAGGAATTCATGAACTTGATCCAGAATTGAACGCTTATCATTCATACTAAATTCAAAGAACTGGAATGTGACAAACTTATATGCGCCTTGTTTCTCTGATTTGTACTGGTTCTCCAAAGATGTCCAAATCTCAGTAGGGGTCGCCAACTGGGAATACAGATCGTAGAGACTATTAGAGAGTGAATTGAGGATGTATCCTCGGCACAGCAGGCTGTAATCACTCCTCTTCTTGCACTCAACCTTCAATTCATCATAGTCAATGTCTTGTGGTTCTCCTAGCGACACCAAATCAGGATCCAGTATGTACACGATCTTCAAAGCAGTCAACAGAAACTTAATCTTCTCTTGCTAGCGGGTGAAATTGGTTCCATCAAACCGATTGAGTTTGTTGGAATCAGAGGCATACGCCTTCAAAGTGCTCTCCACTCCAGAATCCATTGTCACACAAAAATAAACACTCTAAGATTGTCAAGGAAACAGTATGGAGAAAACGGATTGAAAAGGCGTGATTTTGATCACTCTCATTAGAGTGTTTATTTGCCCCCACTACGTTGTTGCTGGTAGGATTTAGGCAAACCATCCCCAGGAATCCCTCCAATCAAAGTCAGAAAGCAGCACCTTTTGTGACTTCTGTGTTTGTTTTTTTGGAGAAGGAAAAACGAGGAGAAGAAGACGAACGTTGGACGAGAAGTTTGGCTGCAAAAGACTTTTATAGTGAAAACGGCAGTTCCCTTCCGAATGGTTACGTCGTTTCGCAAAAGTCAAAAATTAAATAATTATCCGGATTAATTAATTAGCCAAAAATTTAAATCTGAATGCGTCGCACAAACATGCCAAGTGCTAAGTGCGTAGTGCGATTTAATATGTCAAATTAAATAGCCCACACTTTTTCCAAAAGCCCACTAACCACTTTATTCAATAACTAAAGTGGAAAGCAAACTTAAAAACAACTTGCACTTTCCTTCTCCCACCAATGTGGTATTTCCTTTACTCTTTGACTACTCTAACAACCCCCCATTATGTTTCTTTACTTTGATGCCCAATATAATATCTACTTCTCCAAGATCTTTCATTTGGAAGCAGGAAGTTAGATACTCTTTGGTCTCATTTATGCCTTTCATGTTAGTTCCTATTATCAACATATCATCAACATAAAGGCATATAATGACCATATACTCTTTTGTGCACTTTGAATAAATGCACTTATCAGCAGAGTTATGAGAAAATCCATGAGCCAAAACAACAGAATCAAATTTCTCATGTCATTGTTTAGGTGTTTGCTTAAGTCCATACAATGACTTTTGCAATTTACACACATTTCCTTCATTTCCAGGCAACACGAACCCTTCTGGTTGCTCCATATACACTTCTTCATCTAACTCACCATTTAAGAATGCCGAATGCCGTCTTTACGTCCATTTGGTGTACATGCAAATTGTAAATAGAAGCCAAAGCTAAAAGCACTCTTATGGAAGTGATTCTGGTAGGATTTAGGCAAACCACCCCTAGGAGTCCCTCGAGTCAAAGTCTGAAAGCAACACCTTTCGTGAATTCTGTGTTTGTGTTTTTGGAGAAGGAAAAACGAGGAGAAGAAGACGAACGTTGGACGAGAAGTTTGGCTGCAGAAGACGTTTATAGTGAAAACGGCAATTCCCTTCCGAAGGGTTACGTCGTTTCACAAAAGTAAAAAATCAAATAATTATTCGAATTAATTAATTAAATAGCCCACACTTTTTCCAAAAGTCCACTAACCACTTTATCCAATAATTACAGTAGAAAACAAACTTAAAAACTACTTGCACTTTCCTTCTCCCACTAATATGGTATTTCCTTTACGGTTTTACTACTCTAACAGAAATGGTGGTCACGATGCAAAATTGATGACGATGGTGATGGGATGGTAATGGCAAAACCATGGTAAGGCTTAAATTTGGATGGTGGCAGCCAGCAGCTATGCCCCAACGCTCCCGACGACGAGTCTCTCTCTCTACAGACTGCAGTAATTAATATTAAATTCATGGCAGGAGGGCCAGCCAAACAGAACCACACTCACATCTTGAAGCTAAGCCAAAATTCACTGCCCACAAGCAGCTAGCTAACTAGCTACCTCTGCCATACCTCCACAACGAATACTCTGTTTGAATACAGACTGCAGTAACAATGTTGGGACTAGCTGATGACTAGCTACTAGCTAGCAAGCTGGTTGTTTTCATTACGAAGAAAAGCTTAATTACCTGTTGGAGAACCCGTTTGGTTTCGATAATACTTAAAAAGATTGCTTATGTGCATGCATTATTGCATGTAATATTGGAGATTAGTAATGTTATGGGACAATTTAGGTATCGCAACTGAAATATAAGATAATGGATTCTTGTATATTAGTACGAGGTCTTTTGGGAGGATGTCCATCGAAAAGTAAATTTTTTGCGGGCCGGTTTGATCCAAAGCGGGTAAAATATGGTACGAATCGAGTTATCCAGTTTCAACAAGGTGGAATCAGAGGTTGGTTCATTTTCCATTCGTGGCAACGGTGGACATCGGCTTGTCCAAATCCATTAATTAGAGATCCACGTCTGTTTGACGGATTTGTTGAAATCGAGGTAGCTCAACTGTTGATTAGTACGGTATTGTCTGCTAATTTACTTTTGAGTGTCCTCTCGAGAACTCTCATACTAATTAGACTAGATGGACACTAACATAGAAGGATAATTTCCCTCCATTTTTTATTTGGATTCGATATCCTAACAATTAGGATTCGATTATAATCCTTTCCAGTTATGTCTCTCAACTGTATATGCATGCAGCTAGCTTCATGGACCACACCCTGCAACCCTAATAACTGAAGTTTATGGATCATCATTATTACCAAAAACAAACCTGTCAGTAGTTCATGTGGGTTGGTT